AARRCTGGAGCGACCTTTAGTGTGATCGATCCAGCATAYCCACCAGACAGGCAGATCATCTACTTGGAAGTCGCCCAGCCTCGAGCTCTGGTCAACATTGAAAAGGCCACTCTTGATGCTGGTCAGCTGGGTCCAACCGTCCGAAGTTACATCAGCAACAATTTGAACCTTCGCACAGAGGTTCCAGCATTGAAGCTCCAAGATGATGGCACCATCCTAGGAGGCTCTCTCTCCGGTGGATCAGATTGTCTGCAGGATCACATCTCACAGAAGGCAAAGTTACCAGGCGTAGTTGTCGGACCAGACAGCACTCCAACACTGTCTTTCACATCTGGCTCAGAAGGTCGACCCAAGGGTGTCAAAGGGAGACATTTCTCGCTCGCCTACTACTTTCCTTGGATGTCACAACGCTTCAACTTGTCCGAGAAGGAGAGATTCTCCATGTTGAGCGGTATCGCTCACGATCCCATCCAAAGAGACATCTTCACACCACTGTTTCTAGGAGCAAGTCTCATCGTTCCACCAGCGGAGGACATAACCTTCGATCGTCTGGCCAAGTGGGCAAGCGATAATGCAATCACAGTGACACATCTGACTCCAGCAATGGGCCAGATTTTGCTGGGAAGCACGGATCCAAAGGTTGAGAGTTTACATGCTGCCTTCTTTGTAGGAGATGTTTTACTCAAGCGGGATTGCCGTCGTCTTCAGGCGCTCGCACCGAATTGCAGAATCAAGAACATGTACGGAACAACCGAAACGCAGAGAGCTGTGAGCTTCTTCGAAATCCCATCCGCGAATGAGGATGCCGGCTTTCTCGACAAGATGGGAGATGTCATCCCGGCTGGCACTGGTATGCTCGATGTTCAACTGTTGGTGGTGGACCGCGAAAAGAAAGAGAGGCAGTGTGAGGTTGGTGAAATTGGTGAAATCTACGTTCGAGCTGGTGGTCTCGCGGAAGAGTATCTGGGTGATCCAGCGAAGAATGCGGAGAAATTCGTGTCAAATTGGTTTGTTGACAATCAGCGATGGGTCGATGAAGACAAGGCGCGTGTCGCCGCAGCTGGAACACCAGAGCCATGGCGGGAGGCATACCTGGGACCACGAGACCGCATGTACCGCTCTGGCGATTTGGGTCGATACATGCCTGACGGTAACGTCGAGTGCGTGGGCCGTGCGGACGATCAAGTCAAGATCCGCGGATTCAGAATTGAGCTTGGCGAGATTGACACTCATCTCAGTCAGCATCCCCTGATTCGAGAGAACGTTACTCTGGTCAAGCGCGATCATAGCGAGGAGCAGATCCTCGTCTCTTACTATGTTCCCGACATGCAAAAGTGGCGAGAGTGGTATGGCCAGAACGTGGAGCAGATACAGCAACCACCCAGCGGTGGCATAACCCGCCGAAGAGTTTCCGCAAAGGAGACTATGGGTGTGGCTGAGCGAATGAAGATCTTTGAGCTCCTTACACTTGATGCACGCCAGAGATTGAAGCAGAAGCTCCCAACATATGCTGTTCCGACTCTCTTCATCCCCATGCTACGCTTGCCTTTGACACCCAATGGCAAGGTCGATAAGAGAGCGCTACCATTCCCCGAGCAAGCAGAGATTCTGGGCGCGGCGCCACAGGCACCAGATCTTGATTCTCGCACCGAGACAGAATCTGCTCTCGCCGATATCTGGGCTTTCCACCTGAAGAGTCGTAATCAGACTTCGGAGACGTTGCCCAGAGATACCAGCTTTTACGATCTTGGTGGAGACAGTATCATGACTGTGCAGATCGTGCCCAAGATCAACAAGAGATGGCAGGGAGCGAACATTCCAATGTCTGTCATGGCTGGTGGACAGCCAACCTTGAAGAGTGTCGCGCGGTACATTGATCGCTCCCTCGATCCCGCAGGTTTACGACTCGACGCCGCCGAGGAGCATGAAGATCTCCAGACTGAGCATTACTCCAATGACCTCCCCAACCAAATCGCTGCTCTACCAACCAGCATATCAAGCAGTCCAATGCGGAGCACAGAAGCTGGCGTCAACATACTACTGACTGGAGCCAMGGGCTTCCTTGGTGCATATGTCCTACGCGATGCCTTCACACGCAAGGTTCCCAACCACGTCTACGCACACGTCCGAGCTAGTTCGCTCGAAGCCGGAAAGGAGAGAATTCGGCAAACGTGCACTGCCTACGGACTATGGCAAGACTGGTGGCTGAGTGAAGGTGTTCTCGAAATCGTACTGGGAGATTTGGAGAAGCCTCGACTCGGGATGAGTGATTCTGACTACAAGAAGGTGGCCGAAGACGCGGACCTCGTCATCCACAACGGCGCTCGCGTACATTGGCTCCATCCTTATGCGAGTCTGAAAGCAGCCAACGTCACTAGCACGGTCGAAGCCATCAAACTTTGTGCTACTGGAAAGCACAAGCGTCTCACCTTCATCAGCTCCACCAGTGCACTGGATACCGAGTACTTGATCGAACAATCTGAAGCCGGCCGCCCGGTCATGGAATCCGACGACCTTGAATCAAGTCGTCAGGGTCTAGGAACCGGTTACGGCCAGACTAAATGGGTCTCCGAGCACATCATCCGCGAAGCCTGCAAGCGCGGTCTTAACGCTGTGATTCTCCGCTCAGGATATGTCATGGGACATCCCGAGAGCGGAGTCAGCAATACTGACGACTTCCTCGTCAGAATGCTCAAGGGCTGTATCCAAGTCGGCTCAAGACCAGATGTGAAGAACACCATCAACATGGTCCCCGTCAACCGCGTTGCGCAACTAGTCAACGCCGTCTCATTCCACGGCAWGAGCGGCGAACTCGCTCACGTCGACGCTCATCCTCGCTTGACATTCAACGAATACCTAGGGGTTTTGGAGACATATGGCTACAACGTCCCTCTAGAATCCTACGAAACCTGGAAGCGTAAAGTCGAGCAATACGTCGAAGCAGGCCATTCCGGCAAAGACGAACTTGCGCTGCTGGGATTATATCACATGGTCACTGGGGATTTGCCATATGCGACCAAAGCGCCCAACCTGGATGATCGGAATGCGCAGGCTGCGTTGCAAGCGGATGTCGAGTTGGTGAATGGAAGCACGCCATCTACGGTCACTGCTGAGGCGATTGGAGCTTACTTGTCGTTTTTGATTGCGAGGGATTTCATGCCTGTGCCCAAGGGTGAAGGGAAGGCTTTGCCGAAGATTGTGCTGGGTGAGGCGCAGGTTGAGGCGCTGAATAAGGTTGGTGGACGTGGAGGTAGTTCTTCTTAGGTCTACTCTGGAAAGTCCATACACGGGGTCAAATCACGTCGAGCAGACCCGGACGTTTGTGTCATTTTCTGTTCGAAATGGTTTCTGTCCTCGACCCTGTTCGAAATCGTTCAAGCCCTTGACCCTAACATGTCCATCACGACAAATTTCCGTCCACTTCAAGAAACATCATCATACCCAACCTCAAATCTCTCCATGGTGCCGTCCATGGGATTTATTTTACAGTGAGGTAGTACGCCATGAATCTTAAACTCAGTCAGGAAAAACAAAGGGCGTAGACCTAGAATATCATGCATAATTTCCTCGCCTGTGAATTCGAATTCGAAATCGCATTCTAGAAACCATTTAGAATGGAATGTAGGAGCGCCGCAGAGTACATGTTCCTCTCCTCTCGACTACTTATCATGTGGGTTAGTTGGTTGGTGAAATGTCTGGTTGGTAGGTACCTAAACTTAAGACGTGGCCTTGAGGGAGATCTCGTGAGAAGGACTAGATATTCGAATCGAAAGACTTGAGAAATAAATCTGGCAGATGCAAAGTCGAGTCAATTTTCGTTCGTCTGCATGGCTGCCTGCATAAACAAACAGTACAACAATACAGTATTTGTACATCAAGCCGTTTGGATAACTCCGTACCCATGACTTTTTCAACTCAAGGTAACTTTTCAACAAATCATCCATCCACCTGCGAGCCACACCATCCCTCACACGTAACCATCCTTCACACATAATTCTTACACTTTCATCCCAATCATCATAGCATTCGTTTCCTCTTCCTCTCATCATGGGCACCCTCATCTTCGCCCTCTCGCTCCGCAGTATCGGCCGGATTGAGCAGCGAGTGGACGTTWCTAGCCATACTACTCCTCCTCGTCGGCGGACCAGGAGTTTCGAGTCCGCGGAAAGGAAATCTCGGACCGGGTATCTGCCATCCCGCATCGTTGGTATTTGCATAGTTGGGCGCGAAGCTGTTGGTAAAAGACGGTACTCCTGTATCGTGAGGTGCGGGAGAATGCTGCCTTGACCCACCGGGGTGGATCACGCGAGGTAGTTCATACTGCGCAAGCGCATCGCGAATCTGCTGATCTCCGGGATTGTGAGGAGCGGCGCGTGGGGAAGATGGCCAGGCAGAGGACGATTGTCCAGAAGCATAGGGAGATGTCCCTTGACCGTATTGTGGAGGTGGATGACCGCCTTCCCAGCCTTGCACTCTAATATCTGCGGAAGTATGTCTACGTGCAGTACTTGATGGCGGCGAGCTTGTGGTGGCAAGTGGATGTTGCTGTTGAGGCTGCTGTTGGTGTGGCGGAGGCGGTGGAGGAGGAGCAGGGAAAGTCGGCCTATTCGGCGAGGGAGAGTATGCGCCGCTGCCAGTACCGATCGAACCATAACGACGAGGCGACATTTGTTGCTGCATGTATGGTGGGACAGGAGCACGAACACCTCCGGGTCGTGGAGCAAGTCCAGGTAGGCCTTGTAGACTCGGCCGACGGGAGTCGTCGAACGGTCTTTGCCGAGGCGACATGGGTACGGGTGGTTCCGGGGCTAGATTGTTGGGCTGGAAGAAGGATGGCTTGTGGAAGAAATGGGAGTCGTGGTCTTCCGTCGATCGTATGTGATCTATTTGTCGAGATATGTCTTGGCRCATAGCCGCAACGTCGCGATGCACGGGGTTTTCAGGGTCCGGGATGATGGTCAGTAGGTGGGAGGATAGCTCATCGTTCCAATGGTGACATCTAGCCAGTCCTTCCAGAAGCGTCTGGCATTTGGCCGTGACGGCTGCGTAAGCTTCCTCCGTCCGGGCCAGTCTTGCGTGAAGCTCCTGTGCATTCCACTCCAATGCGTTTAAGCGAGCTTCCACAGGATCGGGCATTGCTTCCATTGCATTTCCCGGACCTGGAGGTTGAGGAGTTGGCATCTTGGGAGGGGCAGGAAAGGATTCGCGGTGTATCAAGGCGTGTCTACTGGCTCTTCGCTTGATCTCACGCAGACCGACGAGATCACCCCGCTTGAAGTTTCCTGCACCGTGCTTGAACTCCCACAGAGGCGAGTCGGGAGATCCGGTATGAAAGACGTCGCTCACTGAGACGGAGTCAATTTCTGTAGGCGTTGGGCGTTGGGTGGGTGATGTGGACCAACCTTTGTGAAAGCCATACAYGTTAAGTTGTCTTACGAAGGAGGAGATGTTGGTATGCTTAAAGTATTGTCTGCTCGAGTCAGCGGGTAGCTTCACACTGCATATACGATTGGCGGACTCACGCAAGAACTTTTGAGAATTCGGACGAAGGAGACATGACAAAACTCTCATTGGTGTTGGACCAAGAGATGAGATGCTGGATGCTCTGATCTTCCAACATGCTTGGGGATGTCAGCGATTCCTCTCACAGCAGGACATGACTAGCACCTACTTGTAGAGCTTGTGGATGAAGGCAGTCTGGACAATCTTAGGCTGCTGTGCAGCAGCGGCGGCTCCCGTGGGTTGCGTGGCTCCATTTGATGTTGACGTTGATTGTTGTTGATCGTGATGTCCCTGCTGCTGCTCCCCCGACCGATCTCCGCCCGGACTGCTGGTAGGCGGACCCATTGGCGAGGCTTGAGAGTGGCTCACATCCATGGCATCCCCACCGCCCGCCCCGGCAGCGGAAGCGGAAGCATGGCTCGACGCATTCTTTCCCAAGCTCGGGCTGAAGCTCCGCGTGTCGCCGCCAAAGGGATCTCTCCGTAAGGGTGCTCCCAATGAAGCCATGTTTGATGTATATATACCCCTCACACTTGTTCAAGATTCGCCCGACCTCTAACCAAGCTTCAATGAATGGTGTATCCCTTCTCTCACTCGTAGTCGCACTCCCACAGCTTCAAACTTTTTGCTACCCAGCCCAGCGTATCCCAGCTCACACTCTCTCCATGCCTCGAGGTGCACCGAGACACAAGCACCGAATCACCGTGTCTGTAATGATGGTATGTATGGATGGGTGAATAAGGCGACCCAAGTCCGGAAGGGAGTGCAGTCGCGCTGGCCTTCACCAGACAAGGTAGTAGGTCGGTCGATCGATTCCCAACTTATCGCGAAGCTTGCGGGGTCCGACTTGAGATGGAGAATTAAGGTAGGTGAGGAGAAACGAAGGAACGGTCGAGTCTCTCGCTCTCGGCGGATGCTTCCGTCCGGCGGGCAATTGAAGATGAGATGCAGGAACAATCGATGCTACCCCGAAGATAAGGTATGTGCGGAAATCATAGAGGAATATAACTACAAAAGGTGCGCCCTGTCGTGCCCACGGCGGGGGATGTGGGTGTGGTGTGGTGGGTGAGGATTATGATGGATGGGTTGATTGAATTGCTTCGGGGAACGAATGGCAAGTCGGTGCAAAAGCGAAAAGAGCTCGGATCTGCACCTCGACACCTGAACCTTGCAAAAGATAGGGGCCGCTATCCTGGGATAAGTCCATCCTCCGTGCTGTTATCCAATCCTACTGTACTGTCCTGTCCTGTCCTGTCTTGACCATCTTCCCACTCCTCTCCGAAATCCGCATTCGAGGAACAGTTGGGCGTCCTCCTTGCAGCTTGTGGCGTGTCCGTCGCTTCCAGAGGCAGAGGCAGCTGCAGACCGCTCACCCACCGTCTCGGGTCTTCCTGTCCTACCACATCCCTCGCCAGATTGAAGTTTCCGTCAAATGCAACTTGAGGCTCCACCTCTGCTGCCTGGCTAGTAAGTGGGCAAAAGAAGTTCATATCCATAACTACTCCTCCCCGCCATCGGGGAGGGGAAGCTCGCTTTTCTACGCAATCTTCCTCGACGCTGCAAGCAGGCATTGCCTGAGGTATCCCTGCACGCGCCAGATCCTTCACTTTGTTGCACCAAATCACGGAGAGCCTCGTGTTTGGACGCTGTACTCCGAGCATGACTACCGCCACTAGGCGCCAAAGACGCCTGTCGATGGATGAGTCCCCCGAAGTTGGTCGCCTCGTGGAGAATGAGGACCGGATGACGATGTATTATCCGCGGTTCGTCTCCAACATGGTCATGGTATACTGACGTATCTAGACTGCAACAATGGGTCGATGATCTGAGTCTCGATGAGAGACTTGCCGTGTCGACAATGATTTCAAAACGTAATGATCCCGTAGTGAAGCTGCCCGTGGAGCTCATCATTGCCATACTCGACCATTTACCCATCTTCGCGGCGTGGCGGCTTCAGCTCGTTGGTAGGAGATGGCGCTCGTTGTTTTCATCAGAACAGGTACTGCGAGCCAATCTTGCGCAATGGGAGACACATGACGCGTCGGACACTGGCAAAACCCCATCACAAACGGCCACGGAATCCATCAGGACCAAAGTCCGGCGTACACAAGCCTGGAGGCTGGGCTGCGCTTTCTCTAGACTCGAAATCCACGACAAGATACCCCCACTTGAACAACATTCGGGACAGATCATTGCTCTCAAAGGCAGTCGTCTGGCATACATCTGTGATTCTAAGAGTCGCGGTCATTCTCTGATCGTGAGGGACCTAGTTGCTGGAAGTTCCCATACAATCAGAGGTGATGCACGGGAAGCTATTCACTCGATGGCCTTGGGATTGCATCTCGTTGCCTTTGCATCGCATTCTGGAAAGCTTTATGCTCAAGACCTGTCAGATCTTACACGTCCAGCTCGAAGCGTTCGTCTGCCGTCCACGGCGGTGCTGGCTATGCACGTGGATCGAAAGACTGTCGGTGTTGTGTTGGAGGGTGGACGTTCTGTAAGTACGACTCGACCCAAAGACCAACTCGTCTTTTTTTTTTCGTACTTCCCAGCATCCGATCAACACATCATTCTCAGTTTGTCCGATGTATCCAATCAGCGAACGGATCGCCGAGAGGAACCTCATTCAAAACCAAAACATGAATCGAGCGTGCATCTCCAGCGCTCTATAGAGAAGTAGCTACTGACCGTTTGAGCAGTTCGCGCTATACAGTGCCGAAACAGGGTCGTTGCGTTCCTTCCCAGTAGACTTTGGATCGCAACCCGAAGCAACTGCCATAAGCCATCCCAAACTGCAAACACGGATACACATGTCTTTGCTCATTGACTGTGAGTACAACACATGCCCACTAAAGACAGACCCATGAGGTCGCTGACGCTTTTCTTCTCCTCACATAGCTCGCAGTGAGACCGTAGATATTTTCAGGTATACTCGAACTATGATAACCCCGCAGGGTGGACCTAGACCCTCCTACAACAACACGATCAAAATGCAGTGGGAGCATGCCCGATACTCTTTCACCGGACATCGAAGCGCAACATCCTACGAACAAGTCCCATCTCCAAAGTCATCGCAACCTCCAAGACAGATCAATCTAGTAGCCCTACCACCGAGCCACTGTAGGCCTGAACCCTTGGGATATGATGACGAATTCACTCTCGGTACCATTGCAATCCTGCCAGTTCCTTACCGTGACGAAGAGCTCAGGCTTAACCCACCACCCGCCAGGGTCGAACACCATCATCAAATCTTGTTCGACTCGAAAGCGGCAAGACTGCGACGGAGAGACCATGATGAGCTCAACGAACATCATCGGATAGCGGAGATACACGCTTGGAAAGATGTACGAATCTACTTCCATCAACACCAAGGTAGGCACGAATTCGTGACGAGAAACGTGGTGGATATCGGGTAAGTCGGTGGCCTTGATATCGCGATTGATGTTTGCTGACCGTTTCTCTCTTCTTTTGCATCCAGCTCTCGCTTTCAAAGCTTTGTTAGACACCAGAACCCACATCTTGATGGTAGTGAGATTTTAGGTTTCAACGATAGTTTTCTTGTCACCATGGGGCATTGGGACGGGAGAGGGACGCTTGACCAACAAAAGATTTTTCTATATTGTTTCGACGAGACGTTGAAATGCCCAGGATTTGTCAGCRCCGAGATATGGGGACGCGATAGTGGGCGTCTGGTGACGGGTGAGAAGAAGCGTGTTTGGGAGGAGTATGAAACCCCCGAACCTATGCTGGAGGTTCAGAGATAGCTCTGAATTAACAGATGATGGTATCGTTGGCTGTTTGTTGAATGGACGCAAAGCAGGACATTTTCCAGAAGATGAATCTTCGAGACTCTGGTGCGTGCTTGTACAATCATGGCATTTCGTGCATGATCGCTCATCAACCTCGACGCTCCTTCCAGTCTTTTCTCGCTCTCCAACCCTGCCAACTTTTATCAAATGACAGGGATCTTCTCCAGCTACACACGCGAAGCATGACGTATCGTTGTACCACAACACCTCTCGCTCGCTCTACATCATCCAGTGTAATCCTGTCCCTCTCGCCTCAAGACTTTCCAACAACACCTTTCCCAAGCGAAGCGAAGAAGTAAAAATCCTTGCCTTACGATCAACCCCCCCAAAAGTCTTTCAAAACGGCGTCCTATTTCAACGGGATGGGTGAGGAGATGGGCAAGGCCTGGAAAGGGCAAGGCGGTATGTCATTGCTTTTATTAAATTCTAAACTTCCTTAGAACTGTGGACTGATGAGTTTTTGGAAATTTATAGGAGGAATTCAAGGCGCTGCGACGGCCGTGGGGGATATGGTTGCCGAAGAGACGAAGAGTAGTGGGCAGAAGAAAGGGGATGCTGCGAATTTGTCGTTGAATGAGTTTTCCAAAGGTTTGTTACTCTCCTTCCTTTCCCTCCCTTCTTCCTGTTTGTATGTGTGTGAGTGAGGATATTGTAGGATGGGATGGAATGGAATGCTGATGTGGAGAAATGTTGATAGGGACGAAGAGGAGTGGTGATACGGTGCAGGGAACTGGAATTGATGCTGGGAAACAAGTTGAGAATCAGGAGAGTGGGAGTGCGGACCATTTGGGTATGGGAATGAGGAAGGCTGCTTGATGTTCTGCTTTATCATCTTCATCTTCATCCATCATTACGAACATGGTATTCATCGATGTTTCCACTCGGCCTTCTTCTTCTCCGCAAAAGCCTTCATGCCAATCTTCTGATCCTCACTCCCGAACAAACCATGGAATACTCTCCTCTCAAACTCCACTCCTTCCCGGATCCCCAAATCTTGACTCTTGTTCACCACCTCCTTACAAGCCTTGACAGCAATTCTAGAGTATCCCGCAATCGTCTCCGCAGTATCCAACGCCCCCTCCACACAAGCCTCGGGAGTCTCAAAAACCCTCGCAGCAAGTCCCCAATCATAAGCATCCCTTCCACTGAAATTCTTCCCCGTAAGAATCAACTCCATAGCTCGACTCTTCCCAATCGCCCGCGTTAATCTCTGACTTCCTCCCGCTCCAGGAATAACTCCCAATTTAATCTCGGGCTGTCCAAAATTCGCCTTTTCACTACAATACAACACATCACACATCATAGCCAATTCACACCCACCTCCCAACGCATGTCCATTAACAGCAGAAATGACAGGTTTTTTAACCGTATTCGGCAATTCCGACCACGACTCAATAAAATCCACACCATACGCATCCGCGAAGTTTTTCGTGGACATTTCTTTGATGTCTGCTCCTGCGGCGAATGCTTTGTGGGAGCCTGTGAGGACYATGGCGCCGATGGTGGAGTCTTGATCGAGGGATTTCATCGCGGCGTTGAGTTCGTGGATTAAGGGTGTGAAGAGGGCGTTGAGGGCTTTGGGGCGGTGGAGTTCGATTAGACTGACTCCTGGACGGGGCGTTGAGACTTTGATGTATTCGTAGCTTGTTGTTGCGGGGGTCGCGGCGGTGGTGGATTGGTGGCGGAGAGGGAGGGCGTAGCGGCCAAAGTGCGTGGCCGCGGGGCGGAGTTTGGAAGCTAGCATGGTGGGATTCTTTGTTTACTCTTCGTGATTGTGTTGATTATCTATCAATATTTCATCACCATCAATGCGAGAGAGGGAGCTATCAATGCGGGATTCTTAAGCTTTCGCTTGCCTCGGCCGAACTTGATCCCTAGCGTACAAGCCACGTTGGTCCCTGAATTCGCGTCCCAATCTCAACGTGGCGTGGCGCGGGAGTAGATCTCAAGAAAGGGTCGACATTTCTTCTGCAACGGGCAAACAATCACATCCACACCCACCAACATCGCCTTTCCATCCACCAACTCACGTCTCCGGACTGTGACTGCGCACGCGAATCTCCCTCGGTTTCTCCAACACATCCTCCCTCAACCCCCGAGGACCTCACAAACATGGATGCGCCGGAGCCTGATACGCCCTTTGCGGCCGTTTCCGCGCAGACAACTCGCTTTCAAAGAGTCAGTGATAGGGATACCCATGTGGAAGAGAAAGTATGACAGATGATGCTAACGGTACCATCTCCCAGATCTATCAATCCTACCTCGACAAGTCAACCCCATACGTGGCCTACAGATGGATAGGCACCGGCGTCATCTTCCTCGCCTTTGCTTTAAGGATAGTCGTCGCGCAGGGCTGGTATATCGGTATGTCATCCCTCTTCCATCTCCTGCGGATGCCACAATATACAACAAAGCTAAAAACATCTCACAGTCGCCTACGCTCTGGGCATTTACCTCCTCAACCTCTTCCTCGCCTTCATCTCCCCCAAATTCGACCCTTCCCTCGACGCCGACACCGACATGGAAGATGGTGTGCCCGCGGGCGAATCTTCCCTTCCCACGAAGAATGACCAAGAATTCAAGCCTTTTGTTCGCAGACTCCCCGAGTTCAAATTCTGGCATTCGGCCACGAGGGCTGTGAGCTTGAGTTTCTTGTGTAGTTGGAGCGAGGTGTTTAACTTGCCCGTCTTCTGGCCGGTCTTGGTGGTGTATTGGTTGATTCTGGTATTTTTGACCATGAGGAGGCAGATTCAGAGTATGATCAAGTACAGGTGAGTTGGATGGAGTGGAGTGACGATGATGATGGGACTGTCCRTATTTGAGCATGAAATGCTAACAGATGCAATAGATATGTGCCATGGGATTTTGGCAAGGCAAAGTACGAGCATAAGTGAGCGATTGATGATGAGCGACACCTTGGGCTGGATTGGATTGGATTGCATTGCGGGTGAGACGAGACGAGACGATATTGTATTACCACCACTAGGATTGGACGCAGCAAATATGTATCACAAACGCAGCAATGCATTGGTCTGCATCAACATGGCCTCCTCCCGATTCTGAGCCGTTGGGTCGAACAGGACTTGCAAAAGCTTGGAATATTGGAATGAAAAGATCAGGTGCGAGTTCCGGACACGGCTCGATATCTTGGAAGGATCCCATCGTTGAAATTTTGTTCGGCCCGACCGTTGTGCAGGCCCCGGGGGCATCAGCTATATGTTTAAGCAGGACATATCCACCTCTCCGCATACAGCGGCAGCAGCAGGAGCAACAACAGCAACGAGAGATGGCGCAACCTCAGGCCGTCATCTTATCCTCCTCTGTGCTCAGTGCTCACATTCCCTCCAACTATACATCCTTTAACATGCTTGTCGTCGCGTGATGGTTTGTGGCTGTCGCATGTCATCTCGTGCTGATCTCGTGAGGTCTTGAGCAAGCGAGGTAAGATACTGCTTGGGCAAAGCCTCATAGACCTTCATCAGGAGATTGATGAGCAGCCTACTAGGTAGTTGATCTGACTAACAACGCTGCACCCATTGAAGAAGRAAAAGCAGCATACTTCACGACACGACAGAATCAGAACCGGCATTGCACACATTTCGCACTCAGCCGCCCGATCCTGTTCATCCCGAGGAAGACACCTGGATCATCGGATGTATTCGTGGGAGTATAACGGCAGAAGAGCTCATCGATGCCAAACAAGACGTGAAGTTCGCGCACGCTGCCGTCAGCGACTCTTCCCATTGGTCGAAACTTTCGAACATGGAGGCACCCGATGCATGCAGATCGCACGCGCTCCAACCTCAGCTCTCACCCCGTCCCTGCATCCCCGGAAAACATTGCACGTTGTTGATTCTGGTCCCTCTGCTGTCGACATCATGCCTGCACGCTGCTTGCTGATAGGCTCAGAATCCCTTCCAGCACGGGCTCGTCTTTGGCGGGGCAGCGTGTCGTCGTCGAGGGGTCGATCTGCAGGTCGATCTTGTGTGTGGTGAAGAAATCGCACGGGTGTGCTCTCAACGGACGGGCACGAGAAAGACAGGCTGTGTTCCGATGGCTGGCCGAATGACGAGCGGGTCGCAAAGGAGCTTGATGAGAGAAGTACCTCATACCGCCTTTCCTTTGAGCTATCTATGAATTTCTGCTCTTCCAATCCAACCCTCTTTCCTTTACCTACATCCCTCGTGGTATCTATCCCCCCCTTCCACAACGAGCATGTCGTCCTTCATCTCCTTACTCGGGCTGGACGATCCCAAAAATCAACTCAGTTTAGCCTCTATCTGCGGCATATTCTTCCTCCTCGGCTGGTTTCTGCTCTTCTTCACTGAGCTCAGCGTGGTCAAGAAGTTCTCCAATGCAATCCATCTCCTCGGACAATTCGCCTACTCATGCTTCCTCAAGCCTCACACTGGTGACGGTACGGGCAACCAGCAGGATGCTCTGGAAAGCTTCTACTCTTCGCAAGCCTCCATCTACGATGCCACACGATCCAAGCTCTTGCAGGGTCGGGAAGACATGCTGGCGATTGTAGCTGCTCAAGTCAAATATCGACGAGAGACTGGCCAAATCTCCCACAAGCCCATTTGGGTGGACGTCGGTGGAGGTACGGGATGGAACATTGAACAGATGGGTCAACATCTTGATGTCCCGGATTTCTTCCACGCGGTATATCTGGTCGATCTCAGCTCCTCGCTTTGCGAAGTTGCACGCCAGCGATTCTCACGACTCGGCTGGAAGAACGTTCATGTCATCTGTCAGGATGCAAGAACTTTCCGTCTTGCGGATCACGAAGCTGGTGTTGGCGAGGAGAAGCGCGAGTTCAGTATTGGTCGACCGGCGTATGAGGAAGATGCACGTGATAGTGTCGGAGCCGATGTCCTTACCATGTCTTACAGCTTGAGCATGATTCCCGAGTTTCACCMCGCGATTGACAGCGTTTCGAACCTTTTGGCTCCAAATGGTATCGTTGGTGTTGTGGATTTCTACGTCCAAAACCAGATTGAGTTCGCAGGCCGCAACTACACTGGTGGTAGTATCGACAGGCATTGCATGTGGATCAGCCGTGTCTTTTGGAGAACCTGGTTCGAGCTTGACCGGGTCAACTTGGACTCTGCTCGAAGAGATTATATGGAGTACAAGTTTGGAACCATCATCAGCACAAACCGCAGATGCCGTCTTTTTGGATTCCGCATCCCATATTACATCTTTGTCGGTTGCACCCGAAGCACGATCAACCCAATGCACCAACTCGCATCCGTCGACGCCGCAGCGACCGAATCTCCCTTCATCAGCGCGCTTGATATTCWTGCACAGAGCTTGACCCGCCGACGAAGCTCCAGCACCGAACGTCGAAGCAAAGCATACGATACCGCGGTAGTGAACCTCGCAGCCAGCCTCCCTCTTCCCGCCGCATACTATCAAAACAACAAGACGCGCATCTACTACGATGATACTCTACAAAAGCATCGCCAATTCGGTGATGAGTACATCTACGCATTCACGTGGGAGGACAATCGTATGGACTCCCGGTTGTTGAAGATCACCTCGGAGGATGTCATCCTTGCCATTACCAGCGCAGGCGACAATATCCTCAGCTATGCTCTCGAACGACCAAAGAGAATCCACGCCGTGGACCTCAACCCGAACCAGAACCATCTTCTTGAATTGAAAGTTGCCGCCTTCCGCAGTCTTGAATATGAAGATGTCTGGAAGATGTTTGGCGAGGGTAAACATGAGAACTTCCAACAACTTCTCCTCGAGCGTCTATCACCACACCTCTCCTCCCACGCCTTTGACTATTGGCTTCACGTCGGTCCTTCAGCCTTTTCCGGAAAGGGCTTGTACTTTACAGGTGGCAGCCGTCACGCTCTCAAACTCGTCCAATGGCTCGGCAGTCTTCTAGGCATCCGCAACGACATGAAGAAGCTTGGTGAAGTTCAAACTCTCGCCGAGCAGCGAGAGATCTGGACCAAACGTGTCCGTCGTGTTCTCCTCTCCCAACTCCTTGCATACTTTGTCGTGGGCTCCGAGCGGTTTCTGTGGAAAGCCCTCGGGGTGCCAGGCGAGCAAAGAGCCATGATTGAAGAAGATTACAAACGCCAACAAAAAGGAACCCCGACTACAGGCGAGGAGAAGAGTGGTGAGGGTAGACCCGGTGCTGTCGGCGCCACGAAATCCGGCCAAGCGATTTGGAATTATGGAGTTGAGACTCTCGATCCCGTCGCTAATGAGACGCTGTTGAGTGAAGATAACCACTACTACCTCCTCTGTTTGTTAGGTATGTCATCTCTCCCTCCAAAAAAGAAGAACACACAAAATTAATGCTAATCAAAACAGGCCACTACACCCGCCGCTCACACCCAACCTACCTAACCCCCAAATCCCACACCAAACTCTCCCAACCCCCAGCCCTCTCGAACCTCCGGATCCACACAGACGAACTCTCCGAAGTGTTCGCACGCATGCAACCCGAAGCCCTGACGATTGCCGTTTTGATGGATAGTATGGATTGGTTTGACCCCTTGGGTGAGGAAGCAGCGATGCAATGTCGAGCCGTGAATCGCGCCATGAAAGTCGGAGGCAGAGTGCTCATTCGGAGTGCGGGACTTTGGCCTTGGTATGTGGGAGTTTTTGAGGGGGAGGGGTTTGTGGGGAAGAGGGTTGCTTGTAGGGAAAAGGGGGGGTGTACGGATCGGGTTAACATGTATGCTAGTACGTGGATTTTTACTAAGGTTAGGTGATGAGAGGAGGGGGAGGGGGAGGTATGATGGTGGTGGTGATGGTGGTGGTGATGGTGGTGGTGATGATGATGATGAAAGATAACAAACAAACAATCAATCAGCTAGACGAAAAGAAGGAAAGAGAGAAAGAAAGAAAATCAAAAAGGGTCACAAAAGAGAGGACGAAGAAGAAGAAGAAGAAGAAGAAGCAGAATAGAACAAGATCAGTTTAGTCAGACCCACCTAGCATGGAAGAAGAAAAAAGAATCAAATTTCTTTACTCAATCACTCACTCACATCACTCCAGTTGACTTCTAATGTCTGACGGTGGAATTTTATGAACGCTTCTAGAAGATTGATAGTCGCTTTTGAGGAGTGGTTCTGGCTGACTGAGATAGTCGAATTTAATGTCCTATAGTAGAAATGCAAGGTCTAATAGTCGAAAGTAATGAACGGTTCTTATTAATAGTCGAATTTGAGGAGCGGTTCTGATTGATGGTCGGATGTTGTGAACGAGTTTTCTGGTAGTAGAATGTAAGGAGCTGTTCGAACTGATAGTCGACTGTAGTGAGTAGTTCTGATTAAGAGTCGAATGTAATGAACGGATTGACAGTCGAATATAAGGAGCTGTTCTAAATGTTAAATCCAGTCAAGTGTTTAAACCCATTAATGAATGCATGATTGAGAAAGTGATATATACACCAAGTAAAGAAAATTCCATTCTCTCTGAGCTACAAGTAGTTAATAGGTAACGTAACATTCACCACACCTCCACGAATTGGTGTGATATTCTCGTTATATTGTAATGGTGTGATGAGGGAAAGCGAATGAGATTATCGATACTTGTAGGGCGGCTGAAGCGGGTTTTTTTTGGTTCTATTAGGTGCATGGTAGGGATTTCGGGGGCGGGAGGTAGGTGGGGGAGGGGGAATGTTAGATGGTGCGGATGGTGGGGAAGTGGGGATGGAAGGAAAGTGGGAATGGAAAGTGGGATTGTGGGAGGTGGTTTTGATGAGATGAAGGGGATGCTGTGCTGGTTTTCTTCTTCCATGAGAAGAAGGGGAAGCGAGCAAGCAATGCTGAGGGCCTGGTCGATCATGTAGTGGTGGTAATGTTCATGATTTGTTTTTTGGCGATTCCGCACGCTGGCATGGTATGGTATGGCGCCCTGATGAGATTGTCCATTTCTTCCATTTCTTCAACGCCTACCCTGAGAGGATGTCATCCCCCGGATACGTACAAAACAAATTCTCCCTCAATGCTGGCTGGCCTCGCCCGTGTAGAGCGTCCCGCATGCACCTCCCATCTCACTCACTCCCTCCCCTCTCAAATCCACGCAAATCTCCACCCCATCAAATCTTCTGCCCATTCCCCTCGGCCTCCAACTCCTTCTCCGCATTCCGATAATACTTGGCCGTATCCACACCATGCTGATTATGATTCACAAAATTAAACCAAGGCATGACATGCGAGAAGGTACCCGAATACCGACTCTGCCTGCTCSCCGCACCCTGCATATACTCCGTCAACGAACTCTTGCCATACAACGGCTCTCCCTTTTTGACTTTATCCGTCATCTCCCGCATATCCATCTCGATTTCCCGTCGGTTCTCACTGAAGCCGTAGAAGCGATTGCAGGAGCGCGAATACAGGAGCATGAAACCCGCCGTGACGGAGATGAAGCCCGACAGACGCATGATTTGCGCGAAACCCCCGCGGCCGACTTCTGAGGGGGAAATGCGTTCCCACCAGACCATTAGCGCGGGTCCCGAGGCTGCGAAGGCCGTGGCGGCGAGGTAGTCGCTGGGGCGGGCATAGCCGATGACGCGTTTGAAGTGGGGGTCTGAGTCGATGAGCTGGAGGGTGCTATGGTCAGTATGGCAGGTGCGGTGGTGGAGGAGGTGGAGGAGGACTGACGGGATAGTCGCTGTGGAGGGTTTTGGCGGGAACAAAAGGTCTTCCCGTCTCACCCAGCTCTGGGCCTTCGATCTGAGGGTTGGGCGCCTTTTGTGGTAGACTTCGTTCCGCCATGCTGGGTGGATGGTGGTGGAATGAGGTCGAGGAGACTGATGTGAGGTGATGTGAGGTTGCGCGCCTTCAATGGCGCCAATGCTGGAGGTCCGGATGTTGCCGTCTTCTGATTGGTCGGAAGTAGATGGGAGTCAGCATAAAGTCAAGTTCCCAAAAGGGTAGGCGCTAGTATATATAAATGGCACACTACCGCATTTACATTTTGGCACGTATTCTGTGGAAATCAGTCTTGTCTTGTTCATCCACATCTTCTTCGCGAAACTTCCTCTTGCAACACCATCTCCATCGACACCACCGTGCAAATCTCACCCAACAAAAACGTACGTTCATCCACTTTCCTCCAACTCTTCATTCCCACATGATGATATCGCCAAATCCACGCACCTTTCCAAGAGATTCCGACATGTCCCGCAGCGAGGAGCTCTATTCAACAGCTCAGATATGCGGGAGCTTGTACACCACAATTACGACCCAAGCGTTACACGGGTCCGTCTGTCGCTCGAATTGAACGAGTTCATTTAAACCATGAAACCACGGATTCTCTAGAGTCTTTCTCGAAGGGCTGTCCTCTTTGTCGATATACTTGGCATTTTTGCAATCTTCTGATCTCTAATAAGGAGTTGTTACATTACACACATACTTTACGATTTGACGAATGGACTTTGGCTGACGTGTTGAAAAACATAGGATGATATGACTTGAAGGTCGTTACCTCCCCTCTCTCATATCGCTAATGCTTCATTTTTATGATGATGAGCCTACCATCGATTCGAGAGATGCCGGCATTGCCCGTTTCAAGACCAACCACCCAGCAACTCGAGTGAAAGTTATATATAGAGTAACTAACCATTACAAGGGTCTTCTCATCAATACTCAGGCATATAACACCACAGTAACCAGAATTACAATAACAAACGCGCCACTATACCGTCCTTCTAAGAGCTATACTAAGCGTCCAAGAAACTAGCATTCCCCAAACGCATCTAATAAATTGGATAACTCTCATACCCAAGAACCTCCCCAATCATCGCACCCCCCGGCGTCCTCTCAACCCGTTCACTCTCCCCTCGTAAAAATCACCCCAAATCCTCATAAACATCCACCTCAACATCCACATGATCGAAAACCTTCCAGCTGCAGCATAATGAATCCCCATCATCTCCACCACCATCATCTCCACCACCACCATCTCCACCAGCTCGACAGCAAAGCAACACATAATAAATACCCCGATGCTGAACCCCACCCCCAATCTTCCACCCCGCAATCACAATCCCCTCACATCGATACCTTGCCCAATACCTAAGCTGCTTCAATATCCCTTCCTCAACAACTTGTCTCTCAAGAGGAAATACAAGTTCCAGGTGATCAGTTTCAGAAGGAACCCCAGCGCCATGCACACCATCCGTTAACCTCATCAAAGTAGTAAAATCTCTCGGTAAATGCAAAACCTGCTCTACTCTCCCTGACGTTTCGATTTGCTCTCTCAACGCCCCTTCCAATATTTCTAATTTCCTAACAACTTCTTCTGCAGGTAAAGCTTCCTTAAAAGGTCTAGGAATCAACTCCCCCAAAACCTCCTCCACAGACCTCTGTAGTAACCAAACCTGATTATAAACTTCCGCATCACAAAGCCCCCGATCATTTCCTCGTGGAGGGTCAACATCTCCAAACGCAAGCATATAGATTTGTAAATTCAACGCTCCGGAATCTGTATATCCATCAAGTCGAGGTATCCCATCTTCGGATTCGGATTGTGGGTGCCATTTTGATGTTACTTCAGCGATGAAGCGTTGTATTTTCCCGGCGATTCACGGCGTTTGCCACTTCGTTGTAGCGTTGGATGACGGTGTGGAGTTCATGTTCGGCATGTGGCGAGGATTTGGAGGTCATGAGTATGGCATTGATAATTTTTTCTTCGTCGGTTGCGATGTATCTCGCAAGAGACGCAATCATAAGCAAGAATGAGGTCTTTTATTTAAGAGGCTTGCGCTTGTGAATGGTGGAGCGAAGTGGCGACTTCGATGTGTAGCTTTTAGTAGTATAGCTTTACCGTATAGCGTGGCGTAGCTGAGCTCTCTCCCTTCCTTGTGACTCATCTTGGTTTCTCTGCAAATGGCTCTTTTCAATCCCCGCCGCCAGGAGATTACTCTACTAACTATAGTATCTAGCGATTAGTAAGAACGCAACGATACCCTTAGGTGCAATTGCCGTCATGTCTAGCGCCATTCATTATAGCTGAAGGCGACATTATAGTCTGGATATCTAGCTCTGGGTGTCCTTCGATCTTTACGCCGTCTAGGAAGGGATATTAAGTTATCGGCTATACTTGCGTTTACGGGATTATGGATAGTAAAGCCATCGATGAGTAGAGGTAGAGTAGAGATCAGCTTCAGACGTTTGTATTAATATCGAGAAATTGCCTGTGATGATTTCGCAGAGTTATTCGGTACAAAATCGAGATCGGCAAAGTAACTAACTACTTTACCTCTACACTGTCATCCAAACTGTGATGCAAGAGCCTACAAGGAGTTCTAACCTCATTTCTTGATCCTTCCCCAAAACACCTCAAGTCGCCCCTAAATGCTCTCCTCGCAACCCAATCCGTAGTTCCCCGGAGAAATTCTCAAAACACTGAACAATACTCCAAGAATGACAACCCCCTCCGCAACCCTATCTGCCAAAGTGACAAAGTCTACAAAGGTAATCAACAGCAGCTGAAGCGCCATCATTATTATCACTGCTAGATCATCATTCTCCGGCACCTCCTCCCTCCTCTACTCAGTCCGAGAATCTTGTAGAGCCTACAACTCTGTATCGTAGATTCTACAAGAGGATGCACTAGACAAATTTTCGAAAGCTAGAGTCGCTTCTTGACGACGTTCGAAAATCGTATATACTATTCAAGGGCGTCTCTATCAAGATGATATCGGAGGCATGGTTGATGCAGATCTGGCTGGAAGTAGCAGAAATGCCGAGGGTCCAGGTAGTGGTTCTGTTTGATGTGTTAAAGTAAAAGGCATAACTGTGATGTAGGAAGTTCTCTGGAGAAAAAATCAGGGGAGATTCCATAAGGGCTTTATAGGGGCTTCTTTCTTGTTGTGATTTATCGGCGTACCCATCCGGAAGGTAACTACCTTTCACTTTATGCAGAATCTTCCCGCGCCACGAGACGACTTTTACTGGAATCCTCCAATCGCTGTAATGCTTAAGGCTCTGTAGTGTTACAAGTTTCCCCCCGGAACAAGGCATAAAATCTTCCATTTTACTGTCAATCCTTCGTAAAACTCATCACCAAAACGAAATTTCCCCTATAAGAAACACGTACGCAAGTCGCTAGACGCTGTCCCAATAGCRCACGATACCGAGTAAGACTACTACTACGGCCAATAGTACCAAGTTCCATGCTCTATGCACTTTCCATAAAGGAACCACAGTGGCAATAGCCGCATGTTGTTCCCGTTCGTCATTGAGGTTTGCCCTTGGGCTGGGTTCAGACAACACTTGATAGGCGGTGGTAGGAATCCAAGCAAGGAATTAGCAATCATGATGATTATATAGTGCCCCGATAAGAAAAAGACTCATAGTAGCAGCAGATTCTAGGCGTTTTCGACGTTTCAAATCGAAGGCTGCCCTCTGTTTAGGGTCCGATAATACCTAATAGGCGGCGTTAATCTACATTAATTATTAGCATGATTAAACGAAGAAATTCGGAATAGCGCAAAGTCCCGCACGTCTTAACTAGTAGCTCGCTTTGTCTTATAGACTTCCCAGATAGTCCTGCTATCTGCCGTAGGCTGGACGCCTAGTATGGCGTAGTAATCTTTCCAMATTACGCGTGCTTGGTATAACTAGGTATCTTGCGAGTTTTGGTCTGTTATCTAAGAATTCGTTATTAGCTACGGCTAGGAGTTACATCTATATACTACCATCTTACTCGCCGTTTGCTAGAGATCTTCCCCTCGATTCTTCGCGTAGGAAGTCCTCCTTTTCTCATAGACCGCGCTAGAGGGTATAGGAACGTTCGAAGAAATTTTGTAAAAGAAATATACACTTCACGTTCACTCTCTTTGTCCCGTCGTCTGATGTGTGGAGTGGATGTATCCCCAAAAGCCTTCATTATGTTTCGAAGGAAAAAAGGTACATAAAATCTTCCCACGGGCATCCCCTCTTTAACTACATGTGCGTGATATGTCTCAACAAGATAAAAGCCCAAAATCACCACCCTTTTCCATATGCCCAAGTCAAGTCAGTCAGCATTTTCTAGCCACCATCCCTGGGAAGACAACAACAACTACACAAACAAACCTCAAACCATCTCATCGACAGTGGACTTGAAACTCGATGAAAGGATTAGATATGAGTTTGATTCTCACGCATCACTCTGCCAAAGCACAAGAAACACTCAGCAGAAGAGAAGCCTCCCGTCCTATATACAACGGGTGTCTGTCCCCTTTTCGACCCAAAGTAGCTTGCCCGAGAAAGCAAGCAAATCAGCGAGCCAGAGTTGTACGGACAAGACTTATACGGCACAAATTATAGCCGCAGTCCAGCAGCAGCAGTAGCAGACGTATTGAAAATTTCTGTTTTGGGTATATGAACAAGTAGGTAGGTATCATACAACAACCTCATCTCATCTCCTTACTCTTATTCCCCATCCTCATCCTGATCATCATCATCATCAGATTCCTCGCCCTCACCATCATACCCTTCACCACCATCCCCATCTTCATAATCTTCCCCACCACCATCCAATTCATCCACCACAACAACGACCTCTTCCTCCCTATCATCACCCTTGAAGTGATCGTCCTCCTCAAAATCATCCACCAAACCCATCAAAACCCCATCGCCCCTTCGAGCCAGGGTGCTATTCTACTGCACCTCAGCTTTAGGAGTCACATCCCCATCTCCATCCCCTTCAACATCCGCATCCAACATTTCCTCCTCCTCATCCTCCTCCTCCTGATCATCACCATCAGCAGCAGCAGCAACAAGCGCAGGTAACACCCCACCCCCCTTCTTCAAAGCCTCGACCTTAGCCTTAGTCATCTCAAAAACATACTGTCCCAAATGCTCCACCCCCTCCAAACTCGTCGCAGCCCCCTCAGGAACCTCCTCACCCACCCTCCTGGCACTAGGGTACATCTCTCCCGTAACAACCTCCAACTTCCTACTCCTCCCCATCAACGGCGCAAAAGCCTCCCTTAATTCCAAACTCCCCTCGAAAACCTCCCTGCGTCCTAGAACATACAATCCCAACCTCGCTCGACTTAATGCTACCGTCAAACGTCGGAGATCCCTCAAGTACCCGGGACTCGTCGTGCGGACGWGACTGAGGATGACGTAATCGTTCTGTTCACCTTGATATTTATCCACTGTGCCCACCCACTTGGGGAGACCGAACAATCGATGATTCTTGCAGCGATGATCCAGGACGTTTTTAATCAGCGCTCTTTGCCCCGCGTAAGCTGTCAAAAGAGTGATTTTCTCCGCCGGGTAGCCGAGGAGACGCATGTACATGTACAATGCGACGGCGTATTCCGCCTCTCCCAAATTTTGTAAGAAATGAGGAGAGGGTTCGCTTTCTCCAGAGCCTTTGTAGTCTGGGACATCAATAAATTGGTAGTCGTATTTGAAACCCGCATTCGCCTGGGTGAATTCGGGGAGTTGGGAGGTATGGGGGAGGTCGGTGAGGGTTGGGTAGCGCCAGCGGTAGAGTGCTGCGAGACTTGGTCTGGAGCGACCTTGGGCTTGAAGGAGGATGTGAGGTACCCCCAACCGGATGAGGCGTGCGAAGAGGGATTGTTCGAGGTTGGCGTAGCTTTTCAATGCATTGTTTTGAATCACTGGGGAGTTTTGCAAATGATCTCCCACGAGCACAATTCGTTTGAGTCGGCTCTCGGCGGTAGCGCTCTTGCCGTCTGCTAGATGGGGAGCTTGCAGGACAAAAGGAACGAAATTCTCAATCTCGGTGATTTGTGCTGCTTCTTCCATGATGACATTGTCGTAGTGGAAGCCGAGACCTACAATTTCTTGTCTTCGAATGGCGGCGTGAGTGGAGGTCATGGCAATGATGCGAGCCTCCTTCACAAGCAGGTAATTTGACTTGTCTCTCTGCGCACGCAGAATCTCAAAGGGCCGGATATCTGCAAGCTCGTTGAGGATACGACGGATATGTCTCTCACATCCTTGAGCAACATCAATCAGTTGCTCCTTGGAGGCGTCTGATGGGAAGAGTGGATGCGGTGCGTCGGAGAAATAGGCATGAAAGGGGAAAGCGGTGATGACATCATCTGCGGTGGATGTATCCGACTTGAGGGTCTCCCAATAGCGCTTCCATCTCGGTTGGACGTGTACTTGATCAAAGTACTCGGCAGTCTCACAGCTGCTGCCGTGAGCACCCACCGCACCGATGCTGTTGGCTAGTCGCTGAATCTCCGAAAGGTAGTACCCGCCGCGTTCAAGAAATGACTCGACACGCCCTGCTTTGCTGAAGCTGGCTTCTGTGGAGAGCTCCTCTTCTCCATGACCCAATCGTAGGAGATGTCTCTCGTCGATATCAAGCGCCACGATCTTTTGGAAAAGCTGGTTGAGGGCTTGATTTGAATGTGCAACAAGTAATGTGCGTTGTTCGGGGAAGTTGTGGTAGATGTTATTGATGATTTGAGTAGCGACATCAGTCTTTCCAGTCCCAGGTGGTCCAACAATCATAGTCAAGCCGGGTTGTGTACCTGATGTGATTGCTTCAATTTGAGTGGGGGTGAAACGGACAGTATTCACTTTCGGGGCATCCATCGGGTATGGTCCGCTGTTGACCGGCTTGTATGTCGAGACTTTAAAGGTCTCCGCTGATGGTGCAGCCTCTGGGCCATCCGGTTGATCTCGTCTCCTCTTCTTGCTTTTCGGTGGTGCTGGTGGAGCCTCCTCGCCTGTAGATTCGAGAATGTACGGCGGTGGAAATATCCCGTCCTGGTTTGGGTCTGGCTCGACAGTCTTACCTGGGAGGGATTCAATAAGATGCTGCCAGTCGAGGAATGTATCCCTATAGTCGGCACTCTTCAGCTTGTTTGGTAAGCGCTTGTATGTGGCAGATGCAGGATCGCCATATCCAAGGAAGACTTCATGCAGCCAGGTGGGAACAGGCGAGTCTGATAGTGCGAGTTGTTTGATGCTCTCCAAGACGGGTCTGAAATTGTTCTCCCGCGCTCGTCGTCGAATTACAACATTTATCCGGTCGTAAACATCACCCTTGCCAGCATCCGCTCGTTCCTTGTCCAGCTTATATGCTGCAGCATCCAGTCGAACGAGGAGTCGCCGGGTACGTGGTCGGGAGTCATCATCTTGCTCGCGCTGATTCTGGCGCAATGCTTTGCCGTTGTCGTCCAACACACTGATGATGTCCGCACAACGCACTTCTTTCAATCCCGCCTTTTCTACCAGGGAATGCTCGGAGCTGCCGTTAGTGAGCTTCATCGATCCATCCTCTGGGTGGAGTGCGATCAGAAAGACGGTATCATCCGGTCTCAAACTCTCCCACTCCCTCCTCAGCGCAGGTTGTAGTTTGCTGACATCCAAGATGATCTCCACCTTGACCTCTGCGGGTATGACCTCACCAACACGAGGCGGTAGCGCTTCGATGATGGCTGGTTTGCTGATGGGGATTGCCATGCGAGAAAAGCCATCGAATCTGGTGATGCCTCCACCTCGTCGAGGTTGTRGCCTCTTGATGGTGTCTTCAAGATGTTTGCGGATCTCGTAGAATGCTTCATGGCGGTAGAGGATGAACGACCTCCATAAGAAGTCGCCGATTGTGAGATATTGTAGGTTGAGCTTGGGGATGGGGAGTGGCTGGGAAATGGTATGCTGGTCTGTCCTGAGCATTGCTGGATCATACAACACCTTCTCGTTGGGCAGAATCGGCAGCGACCGTAGCTCCTCGGTATAGTATGCCTTGGACTCCACAGCGGCCACCAGACACTCGAGCAAGAAGGCGCGATCCCGTATCAATCGTGCCTTTTCCGGATATTCGGACGTCCTCAATTCCATCGCCTGACACAATGCAAGCAGCTCTGCATCTGTGAGACTCTCCATATGGCCTTGAATTTCGGATCTCTGGGAAAGAGCGGCAAAGTTGGCCAAGACCAAAATCTTCAGCTTGTCCGGCTGCTGTTTGAGGGCGACCTTTTGCAGGCGGGAGATGGTCACGTTCTGTGCGTCGTCGTATTCCTGCATGGTCAACTGTCGTCCGGTCTGGTCATCGATGGGGAAGTGGGTGTAATGGGCGAGAAGTTGGTACATTTCCCGTAGTCTCTCCTCGTCCTGGTATAGAGGGGAAAGGGCAATGGCGGGGAGGGTATTGGTATCCTTGAGCAGAGTATTGACATGGCGTCTGGTGGGTAGCTGGCTCTGCAAGTCGCACAGCAGTTCTAGAAAGCGCTCGCAGTACAACACATTCGCCTGCTTCTGATCTGCTGTTGCATCGACATGGTAGATTCTGTCCACAAAATCGGCGAGCAAGACATACAGCCAGCTCCTCTCCAGCTTCAGTCGTGCCTGGCCCGAAGCATCGGCATTGTCCCATTTCTTCCCCGCCGCCCGCCATGCTTTGGTGAGGGGTGTGCTCCTTGCCAATAATTTGTCCCTCACCGCCTCACTGTGCAAATTCTGCCAAATGCCAATCGAGACCAACGGAGCGCATTCTTTCCGCACAATTCCATGATCCAGACTTTGAAATGCGCCAACCAAAAAGGTGAGCAGATGTGTTCGAAGACTCGTCGCAAGGCTCGTGTCAATGCTCAGATGCACGACTCGGCGGAAGAAGTTTGCGAATTCGTCGGGATGTTGGGCGAAAATGGGCCAGATGGGAAGATTGTCCTGTCGTTTGGTGTTGACAATGAGGACCAAGAGGAGGACATGCTGATTGGATGCATCTTCCGTGTATCCGGGGAGAAGATATCGCTCCAATGCCTGTAATTGTTCGAGGAGGAGGAGATTCCAGGACGAGAAATCATCGTCTTCCACCACCTTCCAGATGCTCCCCACCGTGCTGGCCAGCACTTTGGGTGCTTGGGTCGATGTGAGCCATGTCGATCGCGCAAGGACGGCGAGTTCGTGCTCGCCCGTCAAATCTGCCAGTTGGGGCCGCGACATGCTGGCGTCGTGGGGGTGGAGGAGGAGGAGGAGGAGGTGGTCGTCGTCGTCGTCGTCGTGGATGGACGCGATCGCGTATCGAATCACTTAACTTTCTTGGAGCTTGCGGATTAAATGCCAAAAGTGGCCGAATGGGCTGCCGTATATTTTAGTGWGAAGAGCTGAACCTCCGACCTCACCTTTCACGTCGATGGCAGATCCATCCTTATGAAATTCACATCGAATGGTCGTGGAGATTGCGAAGACGAGGCAATTGCTCATTCTCGATCGCTAGAATAAGAAGATGCATCTCATGTACGTCCGCGTTTGCGACCATAACACGCTCCTCCGAGGTGGGTTCAGGTTAAGTTGTATCTTGTTAGCAGCCGCTCTCTTTCTCGTGCTTTGCATTTCAACGTACGAGAGCAAGTCCAATCAATCTCTCATCAAACGCGGTCGTGAGCACAGCACGGCCAATTCCCCAGCAGCGTTTGTACAGCTAGCGCGTCACACTCGGCCTCTGCCCACAAACATCCATCGTCATTGATTGATGGTCGCATCTACATATTTCCTCACTTCATCACGCAACATGGCCGACGACTCGGCCGCCCCAGCCACGGCTCCTTGTCCATGCTGTGGCATTGCCGCCACCAAGGTCTGTTCGGGCTGCAGGGACATTGTCTACTGCAGCCCCGCATGTCAAAAGGCGGACTGGCCCTTCCACAAGCATCTCTGCAAGACCTTCAAGGACTTTCAAGAGCGTCCCGCCCCAGATATGAGGCGTGTCGTCGTCTTCCCAGAAGATGGCGACAGGCCCATTTTCAAGTGGCTCGAGGTAGAGGACTTCCCATGGGGCCATAAAGTCTGCATTGAAGGCACCGACCTGGAAAAGGCGACGTGGCCAAGGGACTGCACATTCAACCCCAGAACTATGCAGCTACTTCCTGAGCGCATCGTTATTTAGTGCGTCATTCCTACCAGTGAAGTGCTCAACCTCGGTGACGCCACCGGCACGGCACATACAGAAAGTGCATATGCTAACACGAACATCGACGGTTTAGCTACGACGACAGCTTCAGCTGGGGCTCCGGCTGCTTCAACACATCATTGATGGCCGCCACCGACGGCCGCCTTGGATATCAGTGGGATGGTCCAATGATTGCAGTCTCCGGGGCTTCTTATGAAGAGAACTCAGTCTACAACATGCGAGACTTCAGCATGAGCCAGTACAGTTCATTGATCGCCTTCTTCGTCGCATTCACCTTCACTACCCAAAGGAAGTTTGTGCAGTACGACGAACAAGAGTTCACGTCGCATGTGGAGGTGCTCAAGCTCTTGAATGTTCCCTGCGACTGCGATGGCGAGCAAGTCACAATGTATCATTTCGAAACCAGCGCCGACCATCCAATCTTCCACGATCGAGTCGGCTCTCTCGTGCCACGCCATCATCAGAATGTCGGTCCCGCTGGGACTTACTCCCCAATCTCACAGGTACCGTAATTCGAATCGAGCTCGTGTAGTAATCATGTCAGATATCCGCTAACCGACAAAACCAGCGCATCGGAATGTCCCTCCTAGCCTGGAAAGTCGACTCACTCGACACCACCCACTCACTCACCACCCCATCCATCGCAACCATCTTCACGCTCATCGAAGCGGATGTCGACACCTTCGGCACCATTTTACCCGGCTGGGATCATGTCCGCGCCGACGTTCTGCTCGGTAGATGTGAGGCAGAACCCCTCGATCTGAGCCACGAAGAAGTGACACGATTCCTCGCCTACTGTGAGCATTACGTGGCGCCTTTGGTGGCATGGGCGCTCGAGGTCGACAAGGCGAGCAGAATGCCTCGGATCGAAGAAGTGCTGGAGAAAGTGACGGCCAAGACGTGGGAGTCTTTCCACTTGCCGTAGGGAGATGCGATGCAAGTCGGCTGGGCTTTTGAACAGACATGTTGAAGCTTTGCTGTGAGTGCGTTTGGTGGAGGTGGCAGAATCAAGGCGACGCTCCCGGCTGCTTCGCTGTCTCGATAACTCGTGTCTGATTTTCCTCGAAATTTCAGCATGCATGATGGATGTCTAGAAGACATGCCGGCCACGGAAGTGTTGATGCAAGTCAGTCGGACCTGAAGCCTTGCGCGCTTGATCAGTTTGGGTAGAGTTTGGCAAGAGCTCTTGCAATTCTTGAGCCAGGTCGGTTGACAGCCACGTGGCGTCGTCGATGACATCTTGAAAGAAGATCCCTCTTGAGCTCGTTAGATTCGTAATGCGAAAATGGAGAACAGTAAGTCCGCTCCATGTTCGTGCACATTTCCCTATTCCACAACTAAAAAGGATAGGAAGTCTAATTCCTTTCACTTTGGGAGGTGGAGCCGCCCAGTCTACTACACATGGTAATGGCAGGCGAAAGATTCGCGGAGCAAGTTGGAAGTAAGTTGACGGAGAGACATGGTAGAGATCGAAACTTACTTTTCCAGTTACCAGCGGTTGATGCATGTGAACGCCAAGCTGTGATTTTGCTCTCAAATACCACCCTGACCTTCCCTCAACAGCCACCAGATTCAACACCAAACGTCTTGGATTTGAAAAATTTCTCAACACGGAACCACTGACGTCCAATCCAATATGGAGCTCGCCGGCGCAAAGAATCCGCACATTCACGCAGCACACGCACTATTCCGGTTGATGGACTTGCCCAACGAGCTCATCTATCGCGTACTCAACTATACCGCCTCGATCAGCACCAAAGACCATCCCATCGTCATCGGTTCGGTCCGGAAACGCAACAACCCCCAAGGATCATATCATCCACAAAAATACAACGCAAGTGACGAGCGACTCTTCGGGCCGCCCATCGCAAAAACCTGTCGCTTCCTACGAACAGAAAGCCTCAAAATCTTCCCGGCCTCCAACTACTTCACGCTCGACGGACGCCGTCTCTGGGATGTAAGTGCCATGACACGATGGCTTGTCCGTCTCTCCGACGAGCAGCTTCGAACACTCGGCGCCATCCCTACTAATATCATCCACCCTCCGTATGACTTCTCCGTGGATACATCTAAAGATGAACGATTCAAAAAGAATCAAAGCCCTTCTTTTTGGAGCGACGATGAATGGCCTTGGGGCATGCAGTTTGCTCTTGGGTTTATGAGAGATATGATTTTCCCTTTGCATGCCTTTTTAACCCAGGCGGGGTATCGTACGTATGTTAGTATAGAGTCTGGGAGATTGGTCCTACAWGGCAAACCTCTTGAATGCAAATTTGGGCTGCTGTTGGTTAGGTTGGCGGGTGAAATTCCGGATGCGACCAAGTGGCTTCTTCTTCAAGATGCGCGGGCTAGTATGATGCCGGATTGGAATATTCAGAGGGCGAAGTGGTGGGGGGTTTGAGGAGGATACCTTACGATCAAGGTTGAAATTGATGGTGGGGATGATGTGGAAGAAATGTAGCTGTTGATGGGATTAGTCAATATTTGATGACAATTGAATGACTTCATAATCAATCTGTCCCTCGCCAACAAACCTTCATTCCTACCTTACCTCGAGATGGACACCTTGACTTCACCTCACTCCACAGGGGTCATCCTTAGACATCCGCCAACTGCAGCCACTCTTTTCGAACACCGCCATGTCGACCCGCAACAAATACTCGGTGCTCTTGCCCACCTACAATGAGCGTCGCAACCTCCCCATCATCGTCTGGTTACTGAACAAGACCTTCACCGAGCAGTAAGATCCCTCCCATACCATCCAATCCCAAATCCAATCCAGCCCCCCCCAATCAACACACACTCACCATCTCCCCCCCACACACAGAAAACTCGACTACGAAGTCATCATAGTCGACGACGGCTCCCCAGACGGCACGCAAGAAGTCGCCAAACAGCTCATCAAAGCCTACGGCGCCTCCCACATAATCCTCAAACCGCGCGCAGGAAAACTCGGCCTAGGAACCGCCTACGTACACGGCATGCAATTCGCCACAGGAAACTTCATCATAATCATGGACGCGGATTTCTCGCACCACCCGAAATTCCTCCCCACGATGATTTCCAAGCAAGCCGAGGGGAACTATGACATCGTCACGGGGACGCGGTATGCTGGGGACGGAGGCGTGTATGGTTGGGATTTGAAGCGGAAAATGGTCAGTCGTGGGGCGAATTTGTTCGCGGATACGGTTCTTAGACCTGGAGTGAGTGATTTGACGGGGAGTTTTCGGTTGTATAAGAAGGTGGTTTTGCAGGAGGTTATTGCTAGGACGGAGAGTAAGGGGTATACTTTTCAGATGGAGATGATGGTTCGGGCCAAGGGGATGGGATTCAAGGTTGCTGAGGTGCCGATTTCGTTTGTGGATCGCGTGTATGGGGAGAGTAAATTGGGGGGAGAGGAGATTGTGGAGTACTTGAAGGGTGTGCTTAATCTTTGRGTCAAGGTTTGAGAAGATGAAAGAGAAAATGAATGGTGATTCTCTACGGAGCGAGGCGTTTGGGACGTGGGTATTGGGTGGGAAGTCATTGTGGTAGTGGTATGTATTATATTCGAGCTGATGGGGGAGATGATACAGCTGCTGGAAGTTTCAGCCAAAAAACAAATGGTAGGTCATAGATTTCAAGTAATCATCCGATTCATCTCTTCGTTGGTCACAGCCGCTCTACCATTGAGATGGATTTACATTGCATTCCCGAACCCGAACCCGACTKGAGGGAGACTTTTAGGCGTGGAGGAACTTCACGCACTTTTCAAAGATGACATTATACAACGCATTGTATTCGAAGCGATTGCTGAATTTCATGCCTCTAGAGCCCTGCCAGAGATGACTGTTCCACCTACATCAAATCCTCCTTGCGCCGAATGAAGGTTTCATCCTACCAGACATCCTCCCAAATTCCTAGACAGTGTTAGCAATGCACCTTGCAATTCTCCGCCCATACGCTCCCAACACAGTGATTGAAGCAAATGATATCCCTCCTTGACACACTCGTGTGTCGAGCGGTGGAAAGTGAAGAGTGTACCTACTCGGATGGTTGTTGGAGTCCATGAGTACATCGTACTGGTCCTCATTGTATCTCCTGTATACTGCCAACGGCGTATCTGCCCAACGATATCTTTTGAACGTTAGCACACATGACATGTGGTAGGATGATCGAACTTGAGGTAGTTGCTGGCAACGCTCAAAGTGACCTCTCTCTCTCTCTCTCTCAAGGACGACGTCGTCCCAGGTGTGCATGCAAAATCTGGCAGTGGCTCGGTCCTCGCACGCACAGGCGACATGCGTTCTATGCTTTACAATCCAATTGAACTTACCGGTGAGGGATCCGGCACTCCTTCTTCCGGATGCAGTCCAAACACACGCCAACAACCAATTCTCGTACTTTTTTGGTCAGGTCCTTGAGATCGTGATGCGTCGGGGCATTGATTTGCTTCAAGATAGTGTTGTTCCTGGGAGCTCCGTACCACGCCACAAGTTCCTCGCCATCACCCTCGTCAGGAGTCTCGATCGTCAATTCGGTAGAGACAAGCGGTAAATTGACCGTCTCGACATGCTGGCACAGAACCTCAACGCCGATGCCGTCGAAAGTAGGCGGGCAAAGATCCTTGTCCTCCAATTCGGCGAGCAAGACAGGAACAAGCTCTGGTTTGCCTACCACATCGCAGGCCGCAGTGAATTTCTGGATCAGCGCTATGACCTGATTTGATAGCATCTCTMGGGCGATACCCTGTTGGATGGACGGTGACGGGATAAGGCTAGAAGGTAGTAGTTCGAGGCATTGCTGGTCGAAAGTCTTTGCTTGGAGCATGATTATCGACGATACGACTTCTTTCGTAAAGCGTCGGAAGTGTTCCGGCTGGTCTAGCATGAAAGCTGCTGTGAGGAGGTGGTCGCGCATGCAACATTCTCTGCCCACGTACTTGGCCAGCAGTGCGTCGACGGGAAGTCGAAGGGCATCAGCACAGTCGTAATAGTCGACGACCATGGCGAGGTCCAGTAGTTCCGAGGGCAAGAGGGGTCTTGTGTCGTCGGGACCAAGGGGGTCTGTATGGTGTAGGAGCCTGAGGAAGTGTCTCATAGCTGAGGGAGACTTTGTAATGTGGAACTCAAGCACTTCACCTCGCTTACGCGAGCGCATCCTCTGTCCCTCGAAGAGCCTTGGGTTGGTGAATATCTTCTTGAAAACCTTGGACGACATCGCTAGAATGCAGGAGGAGACCTGGAACCTTGCGGTGGGTAGAAAGTCACGTTCATCCTTGACCACCAAAATGATGTCACCAAAAGGGCAAACCGMTTCGATTTGATATTCAAAGAGACATTCCACAGGCGGGAGGACGCTTTCCTCGTCTTCTTTAGCCACGACGAGATGCAGCCAGTCACGGAATCTCATGTCGAGCAGCGTCTTCCGTACTTTGAGAGCGACGATCGATGGAGAGGAGCGTGGAACAAAACGTTGTGGAGGAGATGTCGTGGAGGAGATGGAGAAGTCGATGCTTTCTCGCGTGTGTTTCGACCTCCGGCCGGTAGTGTTTGATGGAATGATGGTGCACTCCTCGGCATGTAATTGATGATGGTGTCGGGTGGTGCGGATGCTATTGCGTATCGGCGTGGAATGATATGGTCTTGACAAAGGAGGACATTCAATGTTGTTGTTGTTGTTGTTGTTGTTGGCCGATTGTGAAGTGGATGTGTCTCCAGGCGGCATGTGCTGCTGTTGACTGGCGAGTTGGTAGCAGGTGCCGCCTGGACGTGTACTGCCCATTCCGCCTTCCTGAACTTTGATGAAGACTCCACAACGCTTGCCAGCTTCAAAGATGCTTGGTAAGAGAGTGCAGGTGCAGGTGGAGGTGGAATTGGAAGGGTTTGCATACCTCGCTTTGGTCACTACCTTACCTACCGGAAGCTCTTCATCCTCTCGTCTTCAACCTCTCATCTACAATCTTCTGCACCATCTTCTCCAACACAKCACCTCCTGTACCACTTTCCGAACTGCCCTCAAAGTACGCAGCCACGCTCTTTTCAACATACTTTCCAACCATGTCCACCTCGACGTTGACATCCTCGCCCTGCTTCTTATTTCCCATGACAACCTTTTCTTGTGTGTACGCAATAAGCATAACCTCGAACCAGCCCTCGGTATCATTCACAGCGGTGATGGTCAGCGACGCTCCATCGAGCGTCACATATCCCTTCTCGACGATATATCTCAGCACGCTCTTGTCTCTTGGCTCCAATCGGAAAGTAATGGCATTGCCATCCGGTGTCGTCTTGGCAATGATGGCAACAGTATCCACATGTCCTTGCACAAAGTGGCCTCCCATCCTGGTATGGCTGCTTACGGCTCTCTCCAAATTCACTCCGCTGCCTTCCTTGAGCGAGCCCAAGTTTGTACGGCGGAGAGTTTCTGGTGCCACACCCACTTTGAACTCATCCTTCCCAAACTCTGTCACAGTGAGACAGGTACCATTGATGCTTATGCTGTCCCCGAGATTGCAGTCGCCCAGGATGTCGGCGGCACCGCTGATGGTAAGCGATGTACCTCCACCACCACTCGATGATTCATCGAGCTTGGCTAGCTTCGAGACGGCTGGGCGAGTGTCAGCGCGACTTCGCAGGAAGACAGCACTTCAAAAGACATACTGCCGATGGTCTCAACAATTCCGGTAAACATGATTGCAATGTGGATTGATCTGAGTATGTCGATGATGATGTCTGGAGCTGCTGCATTGGGATCGCGTAGTGGAAAAATAAACTACCGAGATCCGCAGCGGCATCGGCATCGCGGACCGAGGTGAATAACTTGTGGCACTGACCACTGCGGAGCATATCGGGCGACTGTTGAGTAACACTTGCTTCAAAACAGAAATGTAGAGTGTGTTGTGATGCTCAATCCAAGCACTGCATACAATGTCTCTTCAACGCTCTCTGCGGCATGTCAGCCATTCATCTGTCCGCCTGCTCGCCGGTCGAGCGTTGACACAGCAAAGATGTTTGGCAACTGCAACAGATCCATCAAATCTGCCATTGGCTGGTATCAGAGTACTTGATATGACCAGAGTCTTAGCTGGCGTGAGTTTATCTTGATGACTTTTGTACTACAGCATGCTGACTTTCTCCAGCCATACTGCACGCAGATGTTGGGCGATTTAGGGTATGATTAGTTGTCCAGTACGACAATGCCGTAGTGTGGCATCCAAAGGACCAAACGCTCATAGTCAACAGTGCAGAAGTGATCAAAGTGGAGCATCCAACAAGAGGTGATGATACCCGAGCATGGGGCCCTCCCTACGCTTCATACACAGAGCAAAGCGGCAAGGAAGGTCATGGCGAAAGTGCCTATTTCTTATCCGTAGGTTGTCATCACCTAATAGGGGCCTGATTCTCCTGACATTCACCAGGTGAATCGAAACAAGAAATCAATAGGGTTGAGTTTTCAGAGTCCAGCTGGTGTTGAAATCCTCCACAAGCTCGCGAAAGACTGCGATGTCTTGGTTGAAAACTACCTCCCGGGAGCTTTGAAGAAGTACAAGATGGACTACGAGAGCATCTCCAAAATCAACCCCAAGCTGGTCTACGCTAGCATCACTGGATATGGACAGACGGGACCCAACAGCAGCCGTGCTGGATACGACGTCATGGTCGAAGCGTAAGTTCCTCCAACATACCATCCCACAGATTCGCATCCTAACATTCGAGACAGGGAAATGGGTTTAATGCACATCACTGGTCACCGGGATGGTCCTCCTGCCAAGGTCGGCGTCGCCGTGACAGATCTCACCACAGGACTGTATACGAGTAACTCGGTCATGGCGGCCCTTCTCGCTCGCGCCAAGACTGGCAAAGGGCAGCATCTGGACGTAGCTCTCGCAGACTGTCAGATTGCCACCCTTGCCAACATTGCCAGTTCTTGCTTGATCAGCGGCAAGCCAGATTCCGGCCGATGGGGAACTGCTCACCCTTCTATTGTGCCTTATAAGGGGTTCGCCACCAAGGATAGTAATATCCTGCTAGGTGGAGGCAATGATCGACTTTTTGGGATTCTTTGTCAGAGAATCGGGAAGCCTGAATGGGCTGAGGATGCAAAGTACAAGACGAATGCCGACCGTGTGAAGCGGAGGGATGAATTGGAGAAGCTCATTGAGGATATCACCGTCACCAAGACCACGCAAGAATGGATCGATATTCTTGAAGGTAGTGGTATGCCCTACGCTCCAATCAACGATGTTAAGACAACCTTGGAGGATGAGCACGGTAAGTTGCCCTGACCCTGATTCTTCTGAAAAGGATCGACGCTGATGACTAGATGTATGTAGTCCGAGCTCGTGGCATGGTGACTGAAGTTGAACATGAGTCTTGCGGACCTATTAAACTTGTCAGTCCCCCTGTTAAGTTTTCGCTTTCGAACCCTACTATACGGAGTCCACCACCTACTTTGGGACAGCACACGAGTGAGATTCTGACACGGCTACTGGGTTTGAAGGGTGATGAAGTCGAGGCGCTCAAGAAAGACGGCGTGGTGTCTTGAGCATGAAGAGATAGTTATCATCCGACGCAGCGATCTACCCAAGAATCTCTTTTTCCATTCTTGGTCCTTCTCCGTCTTCCTTTCAATCAGATCGGCAGTCCATGTTCCGTAGTCTTGGGTAATACAGAAATCACATGCAGCATCAGATGATGATGAGATCTTGGTGGATTCGCTGTGATGAGATCGATCAGAGACAATGCTGACTGACATCATACATCATCCCCTCCAGTGCTTGCTTGCTGAGTCCTGACGGGCTGGCAAGAATCGATAGACTGGCTTTGGGAAACTTATCTTATTACTCCCGTCCCCTTGGATCGGGGGAATCGGGATCTGACAGRGTCTCGGAAGGGGGGAGGGAACTGACCAGTCAAGATGATGAACAAACAGCAAGACTCCCACCCATGTCCCGGCACTTTTCGCAATAAGATCTCAAGCCGGGATTTGTATTATTGTATCGCGGGGCGATGGGGAGGGCCCGGCAGTCAAATTTCATTTTAATCCTCACAAGTTCCAACTCCCGAAAGGGTAACATCCAGCCGTGTGCCGCAGCTTACCCATTTTCGCATAACGTTCGCAATGCGGCTAATCCATTGTTTGGAGTGGACGCGCTATCTCCGGGGTTGGTTGCATGCACATCCATGGTAGGTAGAGCTAGTTATGTATAATTCGCCGACTCCGACATCATGTTTCGCATTTTGCGGTCATCTTCACAACTTTGACGATCTAACTTACCAGCGGGCGAAACCCAACGCCTTCACGAATGGCCTCTGGGCATGCGAGTCCTCAGGCGATCTTAGCGACGAAGATTGTTTTTACTTCCATTGCGGGCCTGTTGACTGTCGCTCGACTGTACACGAGAACGCGAATTGTCAGCAATGCTGGGTGGGACGATGTTTTTGTTGGTCTCAGCATGGTATATATTTGACCCACCACCACCAGGATGGCGTTTTGATACTCCAACGGTTCGCTAATAATAATTTTTTCCAGACCGGTTCGACGATTCTGTCCGTGACAACATGTGTGCAAGGTTAGTCAAGCAATTTCTCGACGGCATAACATATTGAAATATCCTTGACTAACATTTATGTGCGTTCAGTTGCTCTTGGAATGGGATCACACACAATCACCATTGATCCCGCCACTCGTCCCGAAACACGTTTCTGGTACTACATAGCCATGATTGTCTACAACGCCGCTCTGGGCTTTGTCAAAATATCCGTCCTGCTGCAATGTCTACGCATATTCCCTCGAAGCGTACAGAATGGTCCTCTGAACGAAAGACTTCCGCGGAATAAATACCGAACGGCGACGCATATTTTACTTGCTGCTGTTTCGTTTTTCACGGCTGGGGCTGTTCTTAGCTGGATCTTTACTTGTCTTCCTGTTCAGAAGTTTTGGCATTCGGATCTTCCTGGGACGTGCTTGGCAAGGGAAGCGTATTGGTATGTTTGAAAGGGAACGCTTTTTATGTAGGTAGCATTGCTGACATGATTAATCAAAGGGGGGTGATAGCTGGCATTAACATCGTGACTGGAATCTGCGTCGCGGTCCTACCGTTGCCTGTTTTGCATTCCCTGCGCATCCCAAGACGACAGAGGCATCTTCTCATGGTAATCAGATTCCATCACAGCATATGGGTGTATCATGAGAGATCTGACGTCTTCAACAGATCACTTTTGGACTTGCTGGTATCACTGTCGTGGTATCCATCTTGCGACTCCCTTTCCTTTACATCTTCTCCACCTCCGACGATCCATACTGGCACAGTCCCATGGTATCCATCATGAGTTCCCTGGAAGTCAACAGCGGAATCATAGCTTCGGTGGGTGAAACTATCTATCTTGCGAGTCCAAAATATGGATGATGAAAAGCTCACCTTTTTTTTGCGCAGTGCATACCAACTCTAAAAGCACTCCTATCTCAATACTTCCCTGCATTATCCAAGGAAGAAACTCAGATCGCTTCGGAGGAGGAGGCGAAACCCAATCGTAACGGATTAGAAGAGCACGCCATGGAGGATTTGTCAAGCCGTACATGTAGCCAGCGAGGGGATCCGTCCAGCAGTGTGCGAGGCTCTACCGAGACGGCAACACATCTTAATGCCACGTATTTTAATGCGACTCCTAGGTTGGACGACTGAATGAATGAATTAACGAGAGGTATGGATGGATTCACGGTGAGTTTATTGATGTGGATGGGAGAAACGCGTAGATTTATCAGCTGATGTCATCTGACCGGTCATAGATTTTTTCTGATTCGACATGTGAAAACTGGCGGGCGACTCGAAAGATGCTTTCAGCACAGCACAGCATATCTTGGGGTGAATATTTCCTGCTGGCTACCTCTGCGCTTCGGCTCGGAAAGTGAGGTTACCTTACCTCTCACTTCCAAAGCGGTCGGCTGCCATGTGATCTGCTCCTTCTAACAAGTACTTCATCTTGTTGATCGTTCTTTCCTTCCTGGACATCAACATCGACATCGACATCGACATCGACATCAACATCAACATCGACACTTCTTCGATCATCACTCGAATGCCTTGGCACAGCAGATAACCAACAAAGACAGCCATCATGAACTCGAGCGATATGAACTCGGGCGATATGAACTCGAGCGACACTGGAAAAACAGTGCCAACGACGGTGAGTTCACTCGCGGATAAATACCGAACCCTATCTGACATGTCATTCTAGCAGCCTCCACCCTTCCGACTTTCCGACTTGCCTACTGAGCTTCAGCTGATCATATTCGAATATGCCGTCAGCACGGACGAGAACCTGTTGGTCAACCTTCCGTGCGCCAGCTATTATGGCACCTTCCCCGATGACAACTGCACGGTTGAGGAAATGTTGAAGGTTCAAGCACTGCAGTCACCCCAGCAACCAGCTTTAACGCGCACATGCCAGAGCATCCGCAGCGTTACAATCCCCATGTTCTACAAGCTCAACAACTTTGGGTCTTGCTACTGCTACAAGGATTTCATGCAGCTCGCCTGTGGCTGGCTGCGGGCAATTGGTTGGAAGAACCGCGCGATGATGAAATCATTCACCTTCTTTAGCAATGACGATGGCATGGGTGGTACTTACCCTTACCTTTACCGCCTTGTCGATGATAAAGACCTCAAGGCGTTGCTACGGAGCACTGCTTGTCGTGACATGGGCGGCATGATCGTCAGCACCTATTCTGTGGGCAATTGCGCGCACGCAGTGAAATTCCCGCTGGAAGAAGAGGATCCAATGGACGGACTCGAGCTCGATCTACTGTTTGGGAGCACCGCAGATGAAGGAGTTACGGGCTAGATCTGAGGCTATTCGGAGCTTTTCCTCCTCCTCACTACTACTACAACAACATGGACTGGAAATGTGAGACGGGATGTCGAGCATGTCTGTGTTCATGGCCGATACTTCTTTCAAGCCCGCACATGCTCTCACAGTCCAAGGATTGGTTCAAGACCTTGCAGCACCCTCCCATAAACACCGGCAGTGATTACGTGTTGAGCCCTTCTGGAAGAGGCTCTGGGCTTGCCTTGTACAGCTTTCCGATCATATCTCCAACACTACTYAGCGTCGTCTGCTCAGAGGGCATCCTCCATCCTTCAGCATATGGCAATCTTTCCTGTTCTGATCGAAAAGAGTCAGTGGGTTGGAAAACACAAATGCTACAAGCAAGCACTTCCAACACTCACCAAAGAAGATCTTGACAAAATCCACGGGTGCATCTCCGTCTTTCGGGTTACCCAAGACAGAGAGATACAAAGCAGCTTCACCGTAGCTCAAAAGAAACTCTCTCGGTCCGTACAAAACTTGTGGGGGTTCCTTTTCTGGGAATCTTGGACTCTTGCGTACTTGGCAGCGGCTGTGGCGGGGATGGTAGCAATGTCCATACCCTCATAAAATTCAAGAACCTGATTGAAAATCGTCTGATTGAAATCCGTCCACTCTCCAAAAAACTTGTCTTGTCGGGAGAGAGAAGCATCGTGTCTGCAAGTAAAATATAAGTAAGCTGTAGTAGTTGCGATCCTTGTACAATCCTTTAGACTTACTCAATCGGATAATCATGTAAATCCAAATCATCAAGATTAAAAGCCCCAGAGAGAATATTTCTCGAAGCGAGTAATTCCCCCCGTATGTAAAAAAGACGAAAGATCATTCCCGATATTCAACCCTTGACCGAGACCTTGCTGGATTATTGAAAGAGTCATTCCTCTTCCATTTCTAGGTAGAAGTCCATGGTTTGCGAGGGAATTTAGGGCGGGACAGGGGGAGCGGAGGTCGAGCGGTTTGGGGGCTTGCCAGTTGTTGAATGTGTCGTCTGTTGCTGATGCGGTGGTGGTGGTGGTGGTGGTGACTAGAAGGGCTCGGGTGAGTAAATCCAAAGGGGAGTGCATCTTGTACCGTGATGGATGACACTGTGGACTTTAGGGACTGACATCTTTAAAAGTAGCAACGATGTCTTTCTTGTACGATTTGTTTCGCACAATAATATGCTGGGCGACCGCACTGTTCAACGATGTGGCTTGCGTTTTTTGTGATGAGGCCGCCGAGGCTTGAAACGATCGACGGTGACGGGAGGCTTTCTTGTACGTCTGGACTCTGGACTGGACTCTTTTGTTGGCTGTTTGGAATCATCTCTTGAGATTTCTAGCCAATGGCGAGTTCTTTTTTTTTTTCAAGACCTTGGTTGGTGGAACGTAAAGTATGCAAGCCACCCAGTTGCGAGTGTCACTCTGAAGGCGTTCAAGCAACACCATCGATTTCCAGGTGCTACTTACATATATTACACTACGCAGTTACCCAGGAAGACAGTCCAGTCTACCCAGCTTGAGCAAGACGCAAATACCTTGCAGCCGTCCATCTCCTCAACGGCTTCCCAAACAAAATGAAGAAACCCGCGAAACCCGTAATAGCAAAACTCAGCGCCCCAATAGAAATAAAAGTATTCTGCTGTCCCATCCCATCAATCCAAGGCTGAATTCCCCAAGTAAGTCCAAATCCCACAATATTCCGAATAAGAATAATAGTCGTAACAGCATGTGCATCCAGCAGTGGGTAGCATTCCATGATATAATTCACCGTCACGGCTCCCGTTACTGAGAGGCCAAATCCCACAAAACTGGTACCTATGATTGGCACGATCCAAGGTAATCCTCGAGCGGAAGTTACGCCGTAGATGACGAGACCTGCGGGGAGGATTATTGCTGTGGGAATGCAACACCAAAGTCGATATTCTGCTTCTCGGAATCCTTGATTTCGTCTGCTTAGGAATAGGACGAAGCGATCGTTGAGTGGTCCAGAGAAATATGCTCCAATGAGTGCTCCGATCATGGGACTGACCCAGATGAGTCCGAGTTTCTCTTCCGTGAAGCCGTAGGGTGGCGCGTTGAAAATCATGGCGGTCGTTGTGCCTAGGATTGATAGCCAACTGACACAGGTGCCGTAATTGATTCCGCACTAGAATAGAATATCCATCAATACAATTTATTCCAATCCAAATGAATGGGACGGACGCTTTGCTTCTCAGCATGCACATGCATTGCCAACTTACCCATACGACTGCTGGTAAAGTCGTGATTTGCAACGGTCTCCACATCTGTGATAGGATCTCGCTCCAGGAAGGTTCTGGGAATAGTTTGTAGAAGCGCGTCTGAAAGGTGAAGCTGGTGGTATCGAAGACTTCGCCGACGTTCCCACTCAAGCTCACCTCGCGCTGTAATTCCATCTCGGCGGATTTCAACGAGTCCTTGTCTTTGACGTGATGATGATGATGATGATGATGATGATGGCGCTGTTCCACATCCCCACTCCCACCAATAGAGGAGGACAGCGTTTCGTCGACTTGATGGCCTCGAGTATCTTCCTCCAAGCCATCCGGATGCCGACGAATAAACAAACTCTCCTCGCAAGTCAAATAGAAACACACAAACAACACCCCCGACATAATAGCTCCAACACGATAAATCCATCGCCAACCAAGATTAATCGCCATATACCCCGAACACAACGGTCCCATAAAACTCCCAAACGCCAGACCAAAAACATAAACTCCTAATTTCGAACCTCGTTCGTGGGAAAACCAGACATCACTAATGGAGATTGCTACGAGTGCTTCGAATGGTGCGGCGCCTAGACCCGTGAGGACATGTGCGCCGTGGAAATCGCCGATGTTGGTTGAGATTGCCATCCAGATTTCTGAGATGCAGACTGTTAGGAGGGAGAGGTTGTAGATGAATCTGCGGCCGAGTTCTAGAAATTCGTACCCCATCATCAGCTGAGACCTATTCACTCTAGGGGGACTACAGACTGTTGGAAAGAGGTGTTGCAAATACATTCCCTACACCGAGTAAGAGGAGTAAGACTGCGCTGCCGATGTTGAGCTCTGAGATGGATGTCTTGTATTCCGTCATGAGTTGGAGATAAATTGGTGCTTCCCAGTTGGTTACTGCTCCCATGACGGAGCTGTATGCACTGGGGGGGGGAGTCATTGTTGTTGGTATTTCACTTCTGCAATAATGGGGATTGCGAGTAACTCACAAGAGAAGGAAGAGATGGTATGCCTTGCGCGCTTTCGACCATCGCTACGTATTTTCAGCAAATTTGTTCTGGCTTGTCCAAATCATCGCGGGGAAAAAGACCTACAAGAGGATCAGATAGATCGCTCGATGGCGTGGGGATAAGCAGAATGTCATACTTGGAGCTGCTGGTGTKGTGGCCCGGCTGATGATGATTCTGTCGCACGAGGTGGACGGTGCCTGGGACCAAGTCGTCGTGAGTGTTGCAAGGCTCGAGTTGYGCCATGATGAAGTATGAGATGGACTGTTGAACTATGACCGGTAGTGATATTACCAGATCGGTGTTGTTGACCAAGTCAAGACGAGAGACCGGGCTTTTCTTGAATGATGATCATGACCCCGCTCGAACGGTGGCATTGTAGATAAGAGCCATGATTCGCATCCACGCGCRTGATATCCATTAGCTTGAGACCATATCATCTTGGATTTCCTACATACCTGGTGTGGATTCCTTAAGGCCGCTATTTAGCGCTGATATAGTAACACACTATGTTGTGGGGGAATGAGCCAACTGGATCAATCTAACCGAATCCAGCAATTCACCGCCATTTAGCGCGCGCGGCTCCTTCACTATTTCAGCATACGCGGCCCCGCTGCTGCGTGAGGGTTTCCTCTAGGAATCAACGCCTTCACTCACGAATGAGCATACAACTCGGCAGGTCTGTTTGCGGCATCATGCGGCAGCAAACACGGCAGATAATGGCACAACATATTCATCGCTGCTCACTTTTGATCGACCGAATGGAGAGCAGTTCCCGGAGCGCCTCGCCCCTTTTCACCTCGGAGCATTGTATTTATATATCGCTTACCTGTCGATAAAGTGATGAAGCGCTCCCGTCTCATCAATCACTTGGCATCCCCTCTGGAACTCGTACACATATCCGACGACGACGACATGGGCTATCTTGATATCGCTCGCAGTAAGCGAGAGCAGCGACAACAGCGGAYCCCAAAGGAGTGGTTGCTGAAACAAGAGTTTTTGGAAACTTCGGATTTACTCGCTGTCCCTAGACAGTGTGGAATTCTCACGAACCGGGAGCTGGAAATCACCGAACATTACGATGCCGTGGGAATCGTCAAACATATCAGCACCGGCACTTACTCTGCGAGAGAAGTCACCGTGGCGTTTTGCAAACGTGCGGCAATCGCTCAGCAATTGGTGAGTATCTTCAATCAACACCCCCGTTTGAGGAGAGCCTACTACTAATATGACAACTCCTGTCTGTCAGACGAATTGTCTCACAGAAATCTTCTTCCAAGATGCCATTCAACACGCCGAAGAACTGGACAGAGAGCGAGCCTCCCACCCAAACCGCATCTTGGGACCTCTACATGGCCTCCCAATCTCCCTAAAAGACAGCTTCAAAATCCCAGGCTACGACTCAGTCATCGGACTGACTTGCTTCGCCAACAAGCCGGATAAGACCTACTCACCTCTCGCCAGGCTCCTTCTCGACCTCGGAGCCGTACTGTACTGCAAGACGAATGTCCCCCAGACAATGATGACCGCCGACTCGGACAATAACGTTTTCGGCCGCACCCTCAACCCGGCCAATCCCAATCTCACAGCCGGCGGGTCATCCGGGGGCGAAGGGGCTCTCATTGCCATGCGCGGGAGCATTCTCGGCGTCGGGACGGATATTGCAGGGAGTGTACGAATTCCAAGCCTTTGCAATGGAATCTATTGTCTACGCGCCAGTGATGGATTGGTACCATATTCCGGACAAAAGAGTCCCGCGGCGCCTGGTACGGATGGGATTGCTCCCGTGGCGGGACCCATGGCGACTTCTTTGCTGGCTTGTGATTTTTTCATCAAAACTTTGGGTGCTGCTGAGGCGTGGAAGTATGATGCTGCTTGTTCTATCATACCTCCTCGTCAATTGGAGAGTCCTCCCAAGGAGAAGAGAGCAACAAGGATCGGCGTGGCTTTTGATGATGGAATGTTTACTTGTTGGCCTCCGGTTCGACGTACCATGCGAGAAACTGTTGCTACATTGCGCTCTAATAATGGGATTGATGTGGTTGAGTTGAAGATGCCTGATATTCGAGAGGCGATTTCTATGATCTATCAAATGTACTCTCTCGATGGATGCAAGGTGAGYTGTCTCCCTCATCGAATTTCAATAATCATGTACTCCGCTAACAAGCAGTGAAGTATGTCGAGAATCTGATCAAACAAGGCGAAGAGCCCGAAGTCGAGTCCGTGAAGCGCACCAATCTGGCAGCAATTCCCTCATCTACATTAGATGACTTTTTCAAACTCAACGCCATACGATCCCGAGTCAAGAGTGAATTTCAGGAATTCTGGTTGACTAATGACCTGGATGCACTTCTCTATCCGCCGGCTCCCACGACTGCTACGCCCTTGGATGACTGGAAGTGTATTACTTATACCATGCTCTGGAATATGCTCGATTATCCTGCCGTCATCATTCCCACTGGCAAGGTGTCTAGCACCGACAAGGCCGATGCTCGCGAAACTGCAAAGTTTGGTCCTGAGGATGAGGAGAATTATCAAATTTGTAAGAAACTCGGGGAAAACTGGAATGAATGTTGGTGGTAGAATTCATGCTAATACAAAAACTTGAACAGATACTGGACCCGAAGATTTCAAAAATGCCCCGCTTGCCGTACAATTGGTGGGCATGCGACAACAAGACGACCTTCTAATGAGCGTCGCGAAAATTGTGGACGATGCATTACATCCTGTTCGAGACTCCGCTAGACTATAGATGCATCATGCTCTCCAACCCTCGATTTCGACTTCTCATCAGCCAACAATAATGGAGCGAGATTCTTCGCCGGGGAAATTGGTCATTTTGAACACATCAATGATAATTTTCCCCTCATGCATGGAGAAAACTCCCACTGCAAAGATATAATTCAACCATTCATATGGTCCTGCCCCTGCCTCGAATTGAATTCTCGTGAACCAGTCGGCTTGGGATTGATGGACTTCCGTGGAATCAGGCGATTCTTGTAGCTCGTGGCCTGGATGATATATTCCTTTTGATTTCACATAGATCAAGCAACCATCATCGGTTTTCAAAGTATAACGAGCGTCGAGTTTGTAGAACTGTCATTTTTCTTAAACATCAGCTCTCTCTCGTTCTTGTTTGTTTGAGGAGGTTGATACTCACCCTGTCACCCGCCAGTGTAGTCGCCCAATCCGCTCCAGCAGTGTTGAGAATCGTAGCTGAGATCCTTGGACCCAGAACTGTTCCTCCGGAGATGGGTAAGATTGCTCTGGATACTTGAGCTACAGATGACTTTCCTATGATTTGTTCGTCTTTGGACATTTCGCATTCTAATCGATAAATGAAATCCATAGAGGGGAGTCGCATGTTGGGTACATGGGTGAAATAGGCGTTGCCGGGGGAGAGGGGGGTTGTCATGATTTCGTTCGAGCTGGTTGAGGATGATGGGAAAGATTTAAAAAGGTCATGGAGCTCTCCGTGGGATCTTGAGGTTTGTTTATATATGTTTGTAATACATCTAGGCTGATCCATGCAATAATTAATCTTGGCACCTCCTCACCTCCCCCAGCAACTACCTTTAAAAGTGGGGCGAGAACTTGGATGTACCTTATCTCTTCTCAACGTTGTTGTTGTAAGATAATATTATGGGCCYCTACTATTCCCAAGGCAGTAATAACACGCACAACGCCATGTACCAAACGCTAGCCGTCAGCTCTAAAAGTCCGGGCGGCCTCGTTAGCAAGCAGAGCTGTCTGCCATGTATGTTGTTGTCCGTCAAGGGGGTCGCTCTTCACGCAGTAGCCCGTGTCTTTCCGCTGACTTATCAATTTCACTCACTGCAGGTCGGCGCAAGAAGAAGAAATGTGACGGCGTGGTACCTGTTTGTGGACTTTGTCAGAACAGCTACAAGCGAGACGACTGTATCTGGCTAGACTCTGAGAAGTTTCAACTCCACAGGAGGACGGCTACGACTTCCTCGAACGAGAATGTGATTGAATGCCGGCAGGTATTATTAGGCCATGAATTACCAGACGAACTCGTCAATGCTCTACCGTGAGTAGTGAGTGAGATATGACATCTTCTTGAAAGTTCGTCGGGCTAATCCGCATCAACTACCTTAGCTACCTCAGCCGAGAAGAGATATCCCAAGCAGCAAATACATTTCAGCTCAAAGCGCTCTGTAACAACCCTTCCTACGAACGCTCCTCAGTCTTACTTCTGGCACTTTCCCTGGCAATACAACATGAACCTCTAATGCACGCCTGGATCTCCTGTATCCTCCTCGCGACCTCGGATGACAACCCACAGCACCGACAACTATCAGTCATCCACTACAATCAAGCAGTCAGCGGACTCGGATCTGTAATTCTAGAGGACAGTCCCACAGCTGAATGGAAAAGAGCCACCGCACTCCTCTGCCATGCTATTGAACTCCTACAGCCCGTCCCCTCATCACATCTCGCTCGCTCACATCTCAAAGGCGCGCAATGTATGTTCAAATGGTCGGGACCAGAACCGGATATCCCGGAGTCAGAACACGGTACCTTACTCTTGGAGGCATATATTCTCCGAACGACTTTGAACTGCCTCTCCCAGCAAAACATGTACAGACACTTATCCCTCGACTATGTATCGAAACTCCTAGGAGCGCATCGATCAGCCATGGAACGACTCTCCTTGGACGTCACACCACAACATTGTCCATGGCTAGGAGCTCTAGGACCTGACCTGACGGAATTAATCTACAGAGTCTCCTGGATGATSGCAAATCGCTCCTCCTCCTCTACAAACAACAATCACCATCACCATCACCATCAGGATAATAGTAGTAGTAGTAGTAGGATATTAGCCGAAGCCTGGGATCGTTGCACTCAAGGTCTATTATCCGCATCCGCATCCGCAGCAGCCGGAACCAACAACTCCCACAACAACGACACAGACCATCATCATCGTCTTCTTCCAATATACACCCACCATGCCCGAACAATCCACTTTCTCGCCTGCCAAGCCCTCCTTGCAACTCTGATTCCTCCCGGGGAGGACGACGGCCAATGTGCATCATCATCATCATCATCATCATCATCACACAACACGATCCTCAGGCAATCATCTCACAGGGGCCTTGAAAGACTTGAATTTATTACAAGACCTGCTTGTAATGATGACACTCTTTTATGGCCTTTGGTGATTTTCGGGGCGCTTTTACGGGGGGATGATGATGATGATAGTGATGAATGGCATCGAAATTTGTGTGAGACTTTGATGGGTCGATATTCTGGGATTGTGCCTGCTTCTACTTTGATGAGTATTTTGAGTTTTTGGAAGAATGTGAGGGGGATTGGGGAGAGGAAGGAGAGGTTTGAGGATTGTTTGCTTTTGAGGCAGATTCTTTTTTGATTGGGGGTTTGGGTTGGGTTGGGTGTGGAAAAGTTATGTGTTGTATGTAGGATTAAGGGGTGTGTTTTTTGGGGATATGTATTCTTGGGGGATGGAATGCTGCGATACTTTTTTTTCTTGGATGGGGAGATTTTTAGGGTGATACTCTGGGGAATATGATCTTTTCTCAATAATGACTAGGGATGAGTGACTGATTAATGGATTGCCGAATGATGGATTGTAGTATCGTGTGGTCAAGGGAGTATTCCGAGGGCGGATTTACAGCCTCAGAAGGCTGTGTGCACATTTGTCTAACACACCAGTATCGTGCAGAAAATACATGGACAGCCTGCAGATTGGCGTATTTCCCAAGGGCCTGATGAAGTCAAGTAGTTGAGAGTAGAGTACTTGCAGATTAACAAACAGATACTTAGGGACCGACTAGGAGACGAGTGAATGCCAAGGAATGAATGAACGTACTTGAGGCCGTATAGCTCCGTAACCTCCACACGCTACCCTTAACTTTTACGGTAAGAAGCCGTCTAAACAGTAAGGTGCTTAGAAGCCATAAACCTGGTCTATGCACACCAGTAGCTAATAAGTCCTATCTAAAAAGACATACAGCTCAGCTTCACACGTCAACGGCACATCAACAAGCACACTAAGCTTCCAATTCTCCTCATCATATTCCGCACCCTCAACGCAATCCGGTTCCTCACCCACCCCAAGAATAGTAATCATCTCAATATGAACTGGCCCAGCATCATACTCAAAGGAGCCAGACATACTAAGACACCCATCCTTGTAATGGAAATCAATCTCCGAGACAGCATCCTGGACATTAGAGATTCCATCATCAAGGTAAAGTGAACCGCTCGCTTCACCATCCAGACCAGGTGCGACTACGATATTGAAACCTTTTGTTCGCAATGCTGTGGTCGTGTTGGCGCTTGTGATACGTTGGGGGTATATGATTCCGCCTTTGTAGTGGAGGGTAATGTCTTCGAGTTCGACGTCTGCGGAAACGAAAGTGCCCTCGCCGCGTACGGGCTTGCCGGTTCCCCATTCGTAGAAGATGTCGTTGGGAAGGTAGTATTCCACGCGTGTGGAGTTCTCTTCTGTGACTGGAGAGACGAGAATTCCTTCGCCGTAGAAAAATTGTAGGTCGATGGGGTATGTGTTGACGTCTGTGGGGTAGTTGAAGAAGAGAGGGTTTAATGAAGGTAGGCCGGTCTGATTCTGCTTGTACATTGCCGTGTAGATGTAATCGACTGTTCGTGACGTTAGCGAGAATTGGAATGGTGTTATGAGCTGCCACTTACGAAGCTGGTATCTAATAGAAATGGCATTTTGAGCAGCTCGAGTGACCGACTCCCAGCGGTAGAATTCCTGGTCATTTGCGGAGATTTCGGCATGGTTGCGGTAGAAGGTGTAGAAAGCTCCGAGAGTTGCCCATCTCGCGCATAGTGTTTCCGTAACGTTCCCGCCAAACCCACAAACATCAGATCCCACAAGCGGGACTTGGTATAGCGCTGCGAATTGCAGTATCTGAGAGATGGAAAAACGGTACTGGAACCACTCAGACAAGTTGTCTGTCAACGCCGTTAGCCTTGTTTATCTTTTGGAAATGGGACATCATTCACTCACCGCCAAGCCAGTGGGAGACGTCCTTTCCAGAGCCAGCAAAAGTGCTGCGAGTGATGACCATAGCACGTTCATTTGGACGTCTAGCAAGCATGGCTTGCTGCGATGTGGAAGACATCATGGCGCCGTACAAGTTGTGCGTGTCGTACTGGACAAGGCCGCCGTATTGGACAAGATCGGTGTCAGTCGTACCGTCAGCAAGAGTTGGGCCTGCACCATTTTGAATCATGTACTATGATGGACCTGTTAGAACATTTCAGAAATCAAAACACATGCAGCACTTACAGGGGGTAAGACCAGTTCGCGGTTGGGCAGACCAAGACATTCCTTTGGTCCACAGCCAGAACCAGTCGACTTGCCATTTTGCCAGCCAGTGCCAGCAGCACCATAGCCACCCTGACCCCATTGCTGGTACAGAGACTTCCAACGCCCTCCACCGCGCTCGGTCTGCCCATTGCTGGTCGAGCGTTTTATCATCACGACGCGCTTGGTTACATTTGTACCCTCTCCAGRGAAGTTTGGCTGAAGACTAGCTGGAAAGCCTGGAATAGGAGCGTCTGGTCCGTCACGAACCGGAGGTGGCATTGGAGGATCTCCATCGACCTCGGCAAAGTTCTCTGGAGTGGTGTTGTTACCAGGATAAGGACGGTTCTATACTGTATTAGCGCTGCTCAAGAATGGTCATGGCGGTGGTATTGCTCACGTAAAAGTTGGCTGGCTCATTCATGTCAATCCACAGAGCATCGATATCGGGACCGTTTGTGCCATCGAAGAACTGAAGGAACAATTCGCTCCAGTACTGTTGCGACTTAGGATTAAACCAATCAGGGAAGTAGCTCTGCCCAGCCCACACAACGCCCTCGTATGGAGCACTGTCGTTGTCGTTGATAAAGATTCCCTGGTCGAGACCTTTGGTCAGAGCTGTGTTCCTCTCTGTCTCAACAGAGTAGACAGCAGGATCCACCATGACAATGTAATGCTGATCTCTTGCGTGGATTGTGTCCACAAGATCCTTTACAAGGTCAGCCGGGAAGCGTTCCGGATCAAGTGTGAAGATTCGGCGCAGCTCCATGTAGTCAATGTCAGTCCACATGGTCTCCAGCGGAATACCGGCTGCAGAGTAGTTCGCTACAACGGCAGCAACGTTGTACACGTCCTGATAGCCGTATCTGCATTGGTGGAATCCCAGTCCCCAGTAAGGAGACATTTGTGGCAATTGAGTGATCTCTGCATATTGCTGAGCAACCTCCTTGGGACCAGGACCGGCAACGAAGTAAAAGTCAAGTACTCCGCCAATGATGTTGTATTCCAGATATTGGTTTCCGCCGGCGTTATCCAGATATATGTCCATGCCGTTGGAGTTGAGGAGGAAGACACCGTGGGTGGCATTACCACGATGATCAAAGTAAATGGGGTGAGCACCATAAAGGTTTTGTCCTTGAGGGGTACCGTACGCATCTCGCGTGTAGATGGTTCGGGTATAATTCGTCGTGTTCAGCATGAACTTGTCGCTGTGCTCGCCTGTATACGATTATCAATCAATGCTTCAACGGGAGGATTGATCTTTTGCTTACCCAATCCGTAAAGGTGAGGACGTTCCGGTAGGCTTGTTTTGATGTACACATATTGCCTTTCAAATACCAGCTGGTTGCCAGTCGTATCGAAGAGTACCTCACCAGTGTCTGTCCGCGACACTGAGAAGGCGAAAGGGCTGGCGTTGAAATTGAACTTCAGCTTCGAGTTCTTTGGTGAGGTCCATTGTCCGTAGCCAGGGCGCGGGAAGACAGCATCAGGCACTTGGTACACTGTGTTGTTGGTGTCCAGAATCTTGACATGAAGTCGATCTTGTGTTTGGTACTCGACCTCTAGCTTCAGGTCCTTTAAATCAGTGCCGTAGACGTTACAAGCATCGCCAGCGAGTGAAAGATCGGCGTAGAATCCAGATTTGGTCTCCCACTGTTTGGTGGCAACATAGCCAGGGCATGCAGTAAGGTTCTTTTCGAACAAATCACGACGCGGTCTGTCCTGTAAAGGCAGGTCTTATTAGCTTCAACTTCAGGATATGTAGGTTTGGCTTCAGGTCATACCAACGGAGCCACACCCGCTTCACTTTGAGCGACAACTGTGCCCGCGAAAGCAGTAGCCACTGCCAATATTCTGCCCCACATAATATATAGTCAAACGGGAGAATTAGGCGCCGAACATACGCGCTTTGCATTTCTCATGAATGAGGCGGGAGACGTGATACTTGTACCAATGCCTGTAAAAAAGCCAAGCAAACAATGGATAGCCCGGCATGGAATGTTGCACCGTGCCCTAGTATCACAGACACGTGCTGTATGGTCCTTGCGATCCAAACATGCCGATCGTGTCTGATTCAAGGCATTAATGGAATCCTCTGAGATGTCATCGCGCGTGGAATGCGAACTTTCGATKCGCCGGAGTGAATTTCGGCCTCTTTCTCGTCGACAATGTGGAGTCTCCGCACGCTTAGCCTCCACAACTTGAGGGGTAAAATCAACGTGGCCGGGTAAGAAGGTTGGAAGTCATACATCCGGTTGGTCTACTGTGCAGTTCGCATCAGCGTGACCGTAGATGCCAAGGCGTGTTGTGGGACCATACCGCAATAACAACACCGAAAATGGCTCCGTCATGCTGCGGGATGCTACTGTGGGAAAGTGAGAGTCAGCAATCGCGGAGAGTGTGCACTTCGCGTATCGCGGGTGGTAGTTGATACTAGGTATGCGATACTTGTTCGATCAGCCCAACTAATACAATCGGAAGAGGTGCGCCGTGTATGCATCTCTCAATTTGATACTGTTCTCTCAAAAATCAGATGCAGGACCACGAGGTACCTGCACTGCCTGACTGTGAACAGGCTCATATGCTTGTTCAACAAGGACCATCAACACGCTGCATGCGTCCAATTTCGGTCCAGCTGTTGAGTTGGCTCCCTCTTGCGGCACTCGCAAAAGCACCGATCAAGACATTCATTTCTTCCGCCTCTCCTTCAAATTCTCTTCGATGGTCCGGATCATCTCATTGCCAATCTTGGTCGCTTCTGCGAACCTTGGCGCAAAGTAGGTCTGAATCTTCTCAAACTTCTCCCGATATCCTTCCATATTACCCAGATCGACTCTCTCACTCCAATCTCTAGCAGCAAAAGTGAACTCCAGATCATCGGCACGGAATGACTCGTCTTCGATGGCAGTTTCAATGCATTCGTTGAGGATGGCGGGGGATTTGTAGACATACTCGGTGATGCCAAGCCAAAGACGGAAGAGCTACAAGCCGTCAGCAAAGCCAAGATGTATGCTTAATGATACCACCTACCGGCGTAGAGCAAATCATATGATCATAAGGTACGATCCCGAGTTTCCACCAGCAGTCCACCATAGCCAGTAGACTAAGATGATTGTTCTTCATTCTCTGCGCCGGCTTCTCTCCCAAGCTGAAACGATCCAACAATTCGTCCTGCAGGAGCAAGTCATCTTGGGCATCGTGACCTTCAGCGGGCTCTCCAAACACAGCTTTGCGCGCTGTGTGTATCCGTTCCGTAAATTCTTTCCTGTTCCCGCTCAGCATGAGTTTGAAAAGCTCCGTCACACTCTGTGCGTATTGTCTAATCTGTCTTTTTGCGCTGGGGTTCAAGATCGCGAGACCGGCATACACGTGCCACTTGTTACTGTAGATGCGCATCGTGAGATTGATTTTGACATTCTCAATACCACCAATGTATCGAGGGATCTCCCAAGGAAACTGATTGTTCGCGTGCCACGCAGTACCCATGGACAGGAATGCGGCGTGAGTTACAGCTTGTGTATCGGCGGTGATGCGGTCGTGCTTTTCGGCGGAAAGGTATACGAACTTGCTCTCGAAGCAACTGAGGATGGTCTCGACGAGCTTGACTGATTTCGGAGAGGCGCGATGGTCGATGATGACTAGCGGCTGACCTTTGGGGTTGACGCCAGGTCCGTGGAGAGAGTGGCAGGACACAATTTCGACGTCCGCTGGGAGGTGTTTCTCAAAGGCTGCGATTTCAGGAGCTTTGGTAGAAGTCTGACCACCGACGATGGCACCCTGCTTGGTTGAAGGACCATAGGCTGCGACAATAGCATCAATGTTCTTTGCTTCGACAGAGTACATGATCCAGTCACTGCTGCGGGATACGAGGTGGCCATTTTGAAAGATTTGAATGTTTTTCTGCGGTAGAGGCCGTTCAGCACGGGTGATACATGGCTATATACTGGGCTTGGAAAGAGGGTTCGTACTCTACTGGCGAACTCTGCCTTCAATTCCTCGTACTTTGTCGGCTGGTCGCAAGCATGTACTCTGTAGAGTACGTGTAAGCGAATGTCTATGTAAATCTGAGATGAGTTAGCTGAAGTCCAAGCCAATTCATGTTGTGCATAATTGTGTGATGAACGAGTGGCGGTCAGTCATAAGTTTTTAGGTAGCTGAGTGTTTACATCAGTGACAGCCGTGAGGTCAACGGCTTGCAAGACGCCCGCCGCTGATACCCCACAGCCATGCTCGAGCCAAATGCCTCAGAAGTCATCTTTCCTTGGGGGTGTGTGTGGAGTTGGTGGAGGTTGGTGAGGAGTGCAAGCTTACCATTTGAAGGGAGCTGTGAAGTCGCGCAGGACTGATCGCAGCAACTCACTTCCATCCAGCGTCGCTGATTTTCCGAGCATACATCTTCCCCATGTCGCCCATGCCAATGATGCCCACCACAGTATCGTCCATGTTGGCGGAGGAAGATGATATTAGTCGAGATGTTGAATAGGAAAAGAAATCTGATCCGCTCAGCTCGCCGATCCTGTCTTCATCGCCACCAAGCTTGAACGCCCAATCTTGAGATACAGATCATCAAGCTGTGCGGCTGGTTTGTGCTCCGAGAACACGCGATGTTGTCGTGATGGAGAGGGATGAAAGAAGTGCAGAGCAAGAGCAAAGTCGAGGAGGTTTTCTTCGCTAGCGTCTGCACGGCCTTGGCAGTCAGTTTCGCCGACGACGAAGCCCACTTGCTTCAATTTCTCACTTCAGATCTTCCTTTTGCAGCGACAGTCAAGTCTACACCGTCCAACTCACCCACACCAGCAACAATGGCTCCCAAGAAGGTCCAGCGTGCCGTTACGGAGAACATCTCCCTCGGCCCCAATGTGCGCGAAGGTGAGCAAATGCAGCTACATACATCTCCAACACCTTTGCGCCAATACTGATATGACTTCCCTCCAGGCGAGCTCGTTTTCGGCGTCGCCCGCATCTTTGCCTCGTTCAACGACACCTTCGTGCACGTCACCGATCTCTCGTACGTTTGAAAAAGCATTGCATACAATACACCACACCCGGGTCTCGTGCGAAAATGCCGAGTCCGGTTAGAGGGGCTGTTGCATTTCCATAAGATGGTTCATAGGCTAACCTGGGTGATTCCAGTGGCCGCGAAACCATCAGCCGTGTTACCGGTGGCATGAAGGTCAAGGCCGACCGTGACGAGTCCTCCCCATACGCCGCCATGTTGGCTGCTCAGGACGTCGCCATTCGCTGCAAGGAGTTGGGCATCACTGCCCTTCACGTCAAGATCCGGGCTACCGGTGGTAAGTTGGGGTGGATGTCGTAATACAAAAGTAATGATCCTAACATTTTCTCCCAGGTAACGGCACCAAGACCCCTGGCCCAGGTGCCCAGTCTGCTCTCCGCGCTCTTGCCCGCTCCGGCATGAAGATCGGCCGCATCGAGGATGTTACCCCAACCCCATCCGACTCTACCCGGAGAAAGGGTGGTCGCCGTGGTCGTCGTCTGTGAGCAACTCGTGTGTTATATACGCGTGCTTTGCATTTGGTGGAAATGGCATGGAAAAAGTTTGARCATTTGCTATACCTGTGACGCTCCCGCGGAAGACGGCTTTCAAAAAGAAGGACCTGGCCTCCAATGTGCTGTTGCGTAGTCACATAGAACGAAGCAATGCGAGATGATCAATCCAAGAGTCAAAAGTTACATTATCGTGGCACATCGCGTGCAGAGTGAACGTTACGCCATCGATCCAGATCCTCCTAACGCCTCGCTAATCCCATGCAATTATCTCCGTGATGCACTAGTAGTTCTCCTGCTCCTTCAGCAGCCTGGCAGCGATGACATACGCGAACAGCACTCCGCCCACCAGGTAGTACTTGTTGCGCGCCATGAATGTCTGAGGCACAGCGTTTGCAGCGTGTCTTGCCGCATTCCCACCCCTCAACGCCGCACTCTGCGCCTCGTCAATGGTCCGTCGTACCACACCGTCGCCGATCTCCCTGATCTCTGGCACGTCCTTCTTACCCGTCTGCGGGTCAATCTTCTCTTCCCGCATCCACTTCCAGTTCTCCTCGTCAATCTCAGGCCATTGCTCTTTGAATCGCTTTCCACCATCACCGGCTTTGATCGCACCAAATCCCCGACCGTTGCTGCTCTTGACGTTGCCACCCTCCAGGCTGCGATCCGTGCTTCCGCCTCCTGTTGAATTCCACCATCGCGATCGCGCAGCCAGTATTTTTCGCTCTGCTTCTGTGCCACTGATAGATCCTGTCGTCATCTCCTCACTCGTCATGAAACTCAGGACACCAAGGAGAATCGTTGAGACTTCCCATGCAGGGTTGAAACTCTTGGGGTGAAAGTCGCTGATGGAGAGACATAGGCGCTCGGAGCATCGGAAACGCCCGCTAGGAGTGTGCATGCGGATCGCCGGAGGTGCGAAAGGGTAATCTGAAGGGAAGTTGAGGGTGCCCCAGTATTGGCCATTGTGGTATGGTGTGCCAGGTGGGCCGGTGAGGATGTAGTGCCATTCCAGGATGTTTGACTCTGAAGGATGAGCGGAGATGAACTCGGGAGGTGATGCCGCAATGGCTGCGTATTCGCGCGTAAGACGCTTGTGGGCGGCTCGTGTGGCCATGATTGTGACTGCGGCAGAGAGCGGAGTTGCTGAAGGATCGAAGGCCTTGCACGTTGTTGTGGATGTTCTGGTGTTGGGGATCTCCAATGGAGGCGTATCTTTTGACAAATGAGCGGCCTGGGTGAACGCTGCTGAGTTGCTTTGCTGCTGTCAAATGCGGCTTGCAAGCGTGCGGGCGAATGAACGGAAGTGCATGTGATCGTTCAAGTTGCCTCCACTAAAATGTAAAATGATGTAAGCTACTAAATTTGCTTGGGGCTGCGCTAATGATGTCGGGCTCCCGAGGCTTGCTTCTCCCGCTCACGCTTTCATTGCGGACTGCTACGATATTCTCACTTTCCTCTGGGCACGACCAAAGGCGTCGAGAAACCTCGCAGAACTCGTCGCTCAATAGAGTCATGGTAAGTAGAGACATGTCACATTGAAACCGTTGTTCATAGTGCGTCTGTACACTTGACCTCGGATGTATGAAGGTCCCATTGAAAGACATCCCATACATGGAAATGCTCCGAATCTAAGCTAGTCTTAGCACCTCTCAAGTCACCCAGATGGTCGTTGTGTCTTCGATCCACATTCTGCCAGCACAGCCGATGCTTCAATATTCCTCAATTCCCGCAATAGCAGCCTTGGCCTGATCATACACGCCGCTGGTAGCGCACGACGAGTAAACTCAAAGGCGCAGTGAAATTTCAGTCATTGCGTTGTTATTTCTGCGTCTGACGCTCTTTCTTTTCCTTCACCCAAGCAACGATCTTGTGCAGAGCGGAAATGTCGTGCTCCTACTATGCGTTAGTAAAGGTCAGCGGTAAGCATCTGCGATTTGCAGACGCACTTTCTTCGAGACATCAAACTCTTCGTCGATCCATTCTGGTGTCCCTGCAGACAGGAGTTGCTCGCCGAACTTCTTGGATGAACCCCAATCGATGATGATCGGTTCGTCTCGCTCGTTAAGGGCAATGTTAGATGGGTTAAGATCGTTGTGTGCAAAGCCAAGCCCGTGAACGTGTCCTACTGCAGCTTGTAGCTGGCTTTCGAAAGCACACACATCAAAAGCGGTTACGTCGTCGAGAAACCGATGATCCAAGATTTTGGGTTGTCGCTGAAGAACAATCCCGGTAAGGTAACCGCGTTCGATTTTGCAGCTATGGTAAAGCACGATATTTGGATGAGGATAATCTATCAGGAACTCGAGGGTTTCGACCTCGTCCATTAGCATTTGCGGTACATATGGCGCGTAGTTCTCGTTCAGTAAAGCGTGTACTTGCGGACGTTTCACAAAGCATGTAATCGGGTCGGTCGTTGCTGCCGGCGTGACGTGCTCTGGTACCCGGGGAAACGCTTTCTCGTCGGGAACAACCGTAAGCGCCGAGTTCAAGTCTGACACCGTGAGCTCATATTTTCGCACGTCGTCCTTCTGCCCAATCCAGACATGATCAGTCGAATCGAAGTGGGTAAAGCGTGAGCACTTGAATTCGTCGGTCTCTGTGCTCCACACTTCGAACAATTGGACATCTGCTTTGGAGCTGATGCCGGGTCCGGGGTTGATCGAGCACAAAGGATTCATCATTGATCTGTGATAACAAGGGTTGCAGGAAGAATGTTGTAGAGCAGTTTCTGGAAGGAGCTTTCAATATGAAGCCAAGATTCGCCTTGGCTTTTGTGGCAGAAGAGCCTATTACGATCATCAGCAATTCATTTCGTAGACAGAGTGATGCTATCAATATAGGCCCTCTCTCCCTTGTCATATGCGAATGCAATGCAATGGTCTATGTGTTCTGACACTGTATCATTGATAGGGTGGCGTCTGGAGCCGGCGCGGCCCGCTAGCGTCCGGAGGGGAATCGGTCAGCTTTTCGAAATGCGATTTGCATTCAACATTACATTACAAAAAGTGAGCATGTCAGACACTCCGACGCCTATGCCAAAATTTTGACGGACCAGAGTCGCGTGCCGTGTTCGGGGATGACGTCTTGCTACTTCGTTCGTACTGCGTACGATCAGATTTGATGAGATCAGTTACACCGAAGAGACCGCTCAGTGTTGCCGTATACACGACTCCTTGCTAGCGTCACCTCACTCGTGTCTTCGAGCTTCCGCTCCATCGACTGCGACTCTGGGTGTTACCACAGCTACTTTACTAAACTGGTGTACAATTGGAGCAGCAAGATCGCAGAACCTAATCTCTCGATGCTCGAACACTCTTTTCCCGGACCTTTCGACGGTATCCCTTATTTTATGTGCTGTCGCATCGCGTCGAAGCTATTTCTGTCCGCAAAGCCAAGTACATTAGCAGGGACTCCCTTCGACCCCTGCCGCAGGAATGTAAGAGTACCTACCTAGGTTGTATCTTAATAACAACTTGACTGAGATCTCACCTCGACTTTCCTGTTCCACATTCTCGGCGTTTCAGACCATTGAACAGCAGCACAAGCACTTCAACAGACATCTTCTCTATTTGACACTTCATCTTCCTCGTCCGTAACCCATCCATCCATTATCCAATCAATAAAATCAACATGCACACCAAAATGCTGGCCGGCTTCATACTCGCACTCGTCTCAACGACCCTTGCTGCAGCATTTCCGCCACCAGAAGACCTGAAGGATCCAAAAGGACCAAAGTGTACCCCGGAGCGCATTTGTGCCGACTTTGTCAACGATTGTGGCAGGATGTACGGAGGCTGCTTCACGCTGGCCTGTAAAGGCGACCCTTGGCCCACTTTCACTCCACCGTCTTGCCCAGAGGACTCAAATTCGACCAACTCGGGTACGTCGACTTGATCGAATGATCGGGTGACGTCGACCGAAGTTTGGCGACGCGTTTTCGGAGGTGAGTATCAGTTGCAGTTCACGATCATAGCGATCGCCTGTCTGCAAAGGAGGGGAGTTCAAACATAGCTTACTTATCTGCGTGCGACAGCAGCCTTCCTAGGATTATTATACGGCATGATGCTGGTTTTGGAGAGAACGCCGGTCGAGAGAGCGACACCTGGGAATTGAGAAAGCTGTTATCAAGAGACTTGATTGCGCTGAATTATGGCAGCAATGAAGGATTGGAGTTACTACGGTACGAGGAAGCCTGTTGTAAATTCTATTGCAGTATCGAAACATACTCCATGCAGAGTCGGGGAGATACGTTGCAGTGCACCTTGCCAGTCGAGGACATAATATATACCCGGGTTCCTAGATCACACCCTCTAGCCGACCCTCTCAGCGCGTCGACTTATCCCACGTTTGAACAGCATGAACAAGCAAGGCTCTCGCTCGAGTGCCGCCCACAGAATCGTCACGAGTATACACAGCTACAACCCAGGGGCTGCGAGCGAACCGCTCGTCCCGCAAATTTCGATTACTAATGGTACTTTYAGAGTCTAGCGTGCCTGGCATTTACATCCAAGTCGAACATTTTTTCATTCTTTCCCACTGCGTTGATACGATGTGCAATGAGCACCCTAGAGGCCCCGCGAGCGACGCGTGCCACCGGTCATCGTAGACTGGAAACCTCGGGGCGTCGGCGCCATGCTCGCTTTCACCTCTTCAAGTTTCATCGGGCTTATGGAAGATGGATGTTCTGTGCTCAAGTATCCGTATAACCCTAACGACCGAGAATCGATGAATGCTCTGCAAGAAGAGGCCTTCCGCTACCGTTATCTTGGCCGACATGACAATCTAGTCACTTTCAAAGGTATAAGCAATGACGGACTTATTCTAGAGTACTGCGAAAAAGGAGCTTTGTGCGATGTGGTCAGCGACCTAAACCAAAGCCAGAAGATAGCTATTAGAGAACAGATAGCTCGAGTGCTCGTTCATCTTCACACTCAAAACTACATCCACGGCGATCTCAATACTCAGAATGTGTTCGTAACATCTGACTGGACAGCAAAAATCGGCGATCTGCAAGGACAGCTCAATGAYTCCGACGGAAACGTCAAGATCCCAGCGACGGCCGAAAACAATGCCAAGTCGCGCCTTCCAGGGCCGGGACCAGACGACGACTTCTCAATTCAGACGGACATATTTGCATTTGGAACGTTGTTATACCATGTCTGGTATGGTCATCCGCCATTTCCAGAGCTAGATGCTCTCCGCGATGGAGATGACATCCAGGCCAAATATAGCAGAGGGGAGTTTTCAATCGATGCAGACGCTGTTGGCTTGGAGAAGGTCATCTGGGGCTGCTGGAATTCGATATATGCCAGCGCAAGCGAGATCTTGGAGGATATTTGCTTCGTAGGCCATCTGGAGCTCCAGGGATCAGTCTCAGAGACAGCATGTTGTGCGGATGTAACATGATGTAAACATGGCATACGTTGAAAGGTTTTGACTGGAGAGGTAAACCCCATCGCATTTCATAACCAGCAAAAGTGGAGGAGAACACTCCAGWGGTATTAGGCGCGGACATCGTGGCTATATTGTTTTGATAATCAGCAAAAGTGGGAGAGGATACCCCGGCGATATGAAGCGCCGAAAATGCGAGCATCTTACACTGAGAATTCAGCCCGCGCAATATGCTCCTGAATGCTAGAATGAATCAATTGTGGCTCGCAGCTCGTTGATAGCTCTTTCAGATAGACTTGGTTGGGTTGAATCATGGCGGAAACACAGGAGTGGAGCTATCAAGGCGTAGAGGTATGACAAGAGAAAGAGAGTCCGGCATGAAGTATGGGGCGGTGTTTGGATATACTTCTGTCCGTGTCAATTGGACTGCACCATCGCACACAACAATCCCATCACGCCTATTGACAACGCAGCGGGACTCTACAGTTCGTTCAAGACGCTCAGCAACGTGAAATGACGATATATACGACATCTACAGCCTTGCTCAACGCCGTCGCCCCTTTAATCGCTACCCCAACACTAACCCTAATGCTGACACCAAAATCACTAGACACAACGCACCGATGAACACACACATGAGACAGCAACAGGACTTGCACATTGCGAATAGTAGAATGAAGATGTCATTCCGTCTCTCTATCTGATTATTAACAAATTACATCCCCAAAACCATCCAACTCTCCAAAAGCATTCAAGGAGCAGAGCAGAGAAGAGCATCACCATCCTATCAATCCAATTASCCATCGCCCCTACCTCACACCAAGACATTAAGAAGAAAGAAAAACTCACAAGAGGAAGAGTGCAGCAGTAAGCCGAAAGCCCAGATTTAGCGCAATTCTTCTCGAGTCCAGCAGCAGTGTGGACTTCAGCAGTTGCTACGAGAAAACGGTCAGCCTTTAAATAACAATTTCCCGTTGGATCGATCTGAGCTTACGAGCTGAGCATGTCAAGGCAAGAATGCCATCCGCGTCGAGTTGGCRACATTGAGGCGTGTCGAGGGAAGGGCAAACTTGGTGAGGACCACGCTTAGTCCGGAGATGGGCTGGAGTAGCGGCTACGAGGGCAGCGAAGGCGAGGATGAGGAATTGCATGTTGAAGATTTGGTGTGGTTTGGGGATTTGTTGGTTGAGATTGGAGGGAATGTAGTTGAGTGATTTGTTGGATGAGATGCGAAGACGGTTGTGATGTTGATGAGATCCCACAATATCGTAGTCCTCGAGGGACCTTATATGTGCTTTCTGTCTACCTCGAGACCATCTCATCTCCGTCATATTCCAATGTTCTTATCGGCGCAGTGATGGGCGATGCTGCCTGCTTATTCGCTTAGCAGGAGATGATCGGTTGCGGCAAGGAGATTCTGGCATCCGAGTATGTGAATAGCGTTCAAAAGAATGAAGCAGATCGATGATGTGGCTGCTCGTCTGAGTCGTCTTCAACTGGCAATCGCGTTGACAGAGTGCTAGTCGTTATTTGCGGTAGTCAGTATAGAAATGATCGCCGCAGCGTGTCCCGGAGATCTGCAATCTGATTTTGACATTTGGCCAGGAACGCTTGCTCCTGATACCGTGGCGATGGTAGCATTGTCCGCGATAGGTCATTTGCAAAAGCTTAATAGATGAAGAGTATACCTTGAAGCTTGAATTGCGTTCCACGAGATAGCAGAGAGTGGGCCTGTACCACCTCAGCTCCAAAGATCCGGCAAAGTTCTTGGAGGCTGCGCTGTGTGCGGAACATCCACGCTGGGAATCGATTGCATCGCAAGTGATGATGAGCGTTGTAGCGTTGGATCAATGGAAGACTCGAGCGATATCTGAAGATTGTGCACTCTGTTTCGAAGAAAGAAGCGATAGRGTTCCAAAAAAAAGAGATAGGGTTGTAAGGCGTGAAGCGATCACAGAACGGAAGCGATCTTCTCTCCGTCACGTCGAGCAGCAGCCACGAGAGTGCCAAACGGCCGCAAGGTAGTCATGTATCGCTCGCATGTCCAATTATCAGACTGCACCGGCCAGAAAAGACCGCATAGCAGCTAAGACAAGTTTGCGATTCGCCCAGCCGGTCATTCAAAGACGTACCTTTGGTACCTGTTCCAATAGAATGGAAAGCATGAACGGGGCTGCAACACTAGAGATAAGCTTGATGAAGCAGAGCGTAGCCGCAAGATTAAGCAAGCTTTCAAGATGCAAGATGCAGTCGATACTGGAGATAAGGAGCCGGGATGATCTGCGCCTTGGCGGGAGCTGTTCGAAGCACTGGCGGACAGCTTCGCGATAAGAGTAGAAAAGGTTCAATATTCGCCCGGGAACCGATTGCAACTCCATATGAATGGATGTTGATCATAACAAGTATGGTGCACAGACGAGAAGCCAGGTACGAGGCACGAACGATCTCGTTCGTCGGTAAGACGGACATGCGGTTGCAGGATGGTGTCATATCGCTCTGTCGAGCAGCACGAAAGGGATACATGCGGGGATTCCAGGGAAGCAAATGTTCAAATTCACATGCTGGATCACCCATACGCACGTACACGCCCACATCAAATGGCACAATTGTGAGGTCGCAGAAGATCGTGAATGTCACGGCTCCAGGGACGCACGTCACCTAGCGAGGCAAATCAGTACATGCATAATGCGGGCGAACCAGGGCAAGTTGTTCAAGGTGCATTGAGCCAATAGACTCTCTACCTTTGCTTTCTCCTGCTGGCTGCTTTACCACCGTTCGCCGCGGTTTGTGCGCCCATGATGCGCCGCATCATCAAGACTTCGTGCTTCGTGACAAAGACTCCATTGCCCATCGGTCCGCCATCCTGACCACCGGTTGTGCCGTCAGCCGCCACGCCATSCATTCCGTCCACGAAGTCCTTGACTTTACCRCCTTCCCAATCGCCCGAGTCGGTCGTCCAGAAGACCCTGCGGATTCCAACGGCATGCATAAAAGAGATGCAACGGTAACAGGGCCGGGAAGCGGAGACGGGCGATTTGATATGAGGAGCTTCGGTACCGCAGCAAGTAGTTTTGGCAGGCGAGGAAGGGTTGTTAGCCAAGTACTCCTCGTGTAGTGAGGCGTATGCTTCGGATGTTGAACTGCAGCTTGAGCTTGATGGACTGCTGCTGTCAGTAGAAGAGAGAGTCAGCGAGGAGAGGGAAGAGACGCTCTCAGACAGATCGCAGTCCACGCTCTCTGCGCGTGACATGGGTAAGTCCGTGGTGGCGACTGTGTTGACCGATTTCTTCTTCTTCTCTTTCCTCTCCGGCGTGCCAGACCAGCCAAGTCGCGTGACGTACAGGTCCGCGCCTTGCAAGCGTGGGTGTTTCTTGCGCTCTGCGACGCTGTAACCCGCTTCTCCTGCGCGTCCGGTAGGGAGCAGCATGTGCTGGTGCGCAGTCGGTGCAGCGTCCTGACGCATCTTGCTGGACTGCGAGACCATTTTAGCCTTGGTTTGTAATCTCTGTTGGTGACAATTACTCACTCGCTTGAGGTCTCTGCCGCGAGCAGTCTCAACACTGGAACTCAAGCTTGTCGTAACAACAGTCCCGTCATCGTCGTCATTATCATCACTTTTCGCTGAATCGCATCCTCGTATCACGTTCCCTCCAACCCTCTTACACGCAGAWGACCGCGGCTGTTGCTGTTGTCCATGTTCCGCCTCGTACTCGTACCGATGGTACTTTCCCTCGTACTGACTCTTTTTCTGATGATGTTTTCCCTTCCAGTTCTTCTTCCAGTGATGTTTCGCACCACTCACGCCTGCTTGAAACGCATTGTCCGTTTCCGCCAGCGCGGACCCATTCGCGTTCTCCTCCCCGTTGCTGTTGTTGTCGTCTTTGTACTCCGACCGCACTTGGTTGATATGTGGTTTCAAAACCGCACTCTTGAACCTGCAGCTGGCCTGAACGCATCTCCGTCTGGCAGACCTGGGCAACGTAGGCCCGGAGCACGTCGGCTCGTAGTCGGGATTTACGTTTATCACCACTCGGTAGTTTGAAGCACGGTTTTTCGCGCGAGAAGGCCGTGGAAGACAGGGTGGAGGATGCGGCAATGGCTGAGTGGATGGCCATCATCTCACTGTGCATCGACAGTGGCGTATTGGCATTTGGACCACCACCAGCTCCACCCCGRGACGTAGCCTCCACGGGGACAAAGCTGGACTGCTGCTGCGGCTGCGGATGGTCCTGCTGATTTTTGTCCTTTTGCTTCAAGGCCTTCATCTTGAGCTTTAAAGCGGCGATAGCTTCGCCGTCCAAGCCGCCGTTCGCGATGCGACCGTGCTTGAGCGCACCGCCATCGAAGCCAGGCTTGTAGCAGTTGTAGCCCGTGCCTATCACTTTCCCGCCGCGTACGACAATAGCGCCATGGCGGTAGTGGAGGGGAGACTTGGCAGCCTGCTCGAGGCACAGAGCGAGATAGTTATCAGTCTTCATGTTGTTGATTGTGGGTTCGTTTTTTGACGGAAGTGGCGGGAGTGGCTTGGAGGGCTGAGTGGAGCAGTTRTTAGAGTTGAAGCTGAGGGTGATGGCTAGTTGGTGCAGCTGGGATTGAGCGTGAGTGTTGAGTGTTGATTGTTGATTGTTAGTTGCTGTTGGAGGGGCTGTGGTTAGGAAGCGTAGAAGTGGAGGCATGTGAAAGCTAAGCCCTGCATAATTAGGGTCGATCGCGGTTCTGCAGTGCGTGCTCGCGATCTTGGAAGAACCCTGCGCATCAGGACTTCCCGGCAGCCGCTACCCACTGTACAATCAACACTGTCCCTCATCATGTTGAAATTTCGTGTCGCTAAGCAAATGACYGAACTGTTGGCCAATCCGGACTTTTGCCCGAGACAAGGAGCGCGGTTATCGTGTTCGAGAATACGACCTCAAGTACGCGATTCACACACGTCTGTCACTTCTTGACCTGCTCCATTGTGCAGGGTCCGTTGCGGCATGCCACGGGATGGTCGAACAACATCTGCCTCCCACATTATTCAGAGTTTACCACCGAAGCACGTCCTATTTCGACATTGTGGAACGTTCGAAACACCAGAGGAGTCCCTGCCCGCCTCACCTACGTATCTACCTACCTACTTTGCGGGACCTCGGACCCTGTTCTTCGCTTGGTGGCGACCTCAAAGTAACCTAATAAGATACCTCACCTACCTACATTGAGGGCGTGTGAGAATTTCAATTCGCCTCGCATTGTGTACAATAATGGGTTCCATGCACACGGATTGGCCGGCCACGGAAGAGGGCGTTGCGACTTTCACGAAACATGGAGCAATGCGCTTGAATATCAGAACAGCCGCGCTTGCTGCAGAAACGAGCACGCCTCCAGCGTCACCGTTGCCCTCCCCTCCATTGACCAAGAAGCGCGGAGCCCGCCGGGACCGAGAGTTCCGCAGATATGCAGAAGCCGTGGAGGACATTCAGGCCAACATCGAAGGGGAAGCGGCAACGAGTTCGCGTGATTTGAGTCTCACAGCCCTTGCGCAACTCGTGGCTCTTCGACTGAATGCCAAGCGTGCGTTGATATCGTTGTTCGACCGGGAGAGACAATATGTGATCGCAGAAGCAACTCGTACTCTGTCTCTTCAGGAAGATGTGGTACATGCCCCGAACGATGGTCTGTGCTTTGGTGCATCGGTCTGGACACGAGACCCGGACGACTTCTTCAGGTATGTCGTTGCTCTGATTGATTGGCTAAATATCGCTGATGTACAGCTTTCAGACGGGCGCTGAGGGCGCATAAGACGATCAGAGTAGGTGGTACGACGGAGCAGAGATGTTATGAAGCGAATGACTTGCTTAACGATGCACGCTTCGCAAATCACCGGTTTGTGGCCAACAAGCCATTTGCTCGTTCATTTGCAGGCGTCCCACTCCTTACCCCTAGTGGATACGCCATCGGGACAGTGTCGTTCCTTGACGACCGGCCTAGGGAATATCCGTTGACGGACGTGGAGATTGCGTTCATGGAAGACATAGCTAGCACCACCATGGCTCACATCGAGAAGACCCAGCTTATCGTTGCGCACACTCGTTCTATCCGCATGATACACGGACTGAGCCGCTTCATCGAAGGCAAGACCACCGCGGATGAACAACTAGACAGCTCCATCACCAACATGCGAGATCGTCAGAATGTTCAGACATCCCTGCTAGGAGCCTCCCGCCGCACCCATGCCATGAATGCTGCGTCAAACGCTGAGCGTATAGACGAGTATCGGCGTGCACCACCGCATGTGGGCTTCCCGAAGCGTCGGGCACTCAGTGGTACCAACTCGGAGGAATCCGACGAGCATCACGCACTGGGCAGCAGATCTCCAGAAGGATTCGCTGATTCCAAAGACCAGCCTCAAGACGATTCACTTGAGAGCGACATGCTGCGCAGGCCACAGCTAGTTCCTAGTAGCAATGAGAGTGTATCTGACAAATCTGGAACATTGCCGAAGTGCGCACCTGGTGATTTGCAAGAGGACTTGCTGTCCAAGGATGTCAGACACTCCTTTGAAAGAGCTGCTTCCATCATAAACTCAGCCATGGGTATGTACTGTAAATCCCAGATCGGTAGAGCTCACATGTACTTGAAAAACCAGTGGAGATTCAGTCGTCACGACATCAATGCCTTGGGCACGAGTTTTGCAATACCATACTGACCTTTCTACCACAATTCCAGGTCTAGCAGGAACCCTTTTTCTCGACGCAAGCGTGGGCGAATTCGGTCGCCTGCGCGATGACCAAGACAACCACGATACCAGCACCGAAAGCGACATGTCTCGATCAGAAGCAGATGTCGTCATATCTGAGAACGATGTATGCTCTACAGCGAGGAATCGAAACAAAAGCGTCCATGAACCTGCCTCGAAGGCGTGCCGAAGCCTCGCCTCTGCRTACGCAGTATCGCCTATCGCTGGTGGTAAATCGCAGGTCTTTCACCACCCCATTCCTGAACGATATCTGAAATCACTTCTGAGGAGGTTCCCATACGGCAAGCAGTGGAATTTTGACCCGTACGGAAACACATCATCCGATGAATTTTCGGACAGCAGTGCAACGACGGACGTCATCAACAAGGACGATCCAGATTATGTACCATCGCCACGTCAACGACGCAATCGTAATCGACGGCGAACAGACGGTCAAATACTGACCGAGCTGTTCCCTGGGGCCAGAAGTCTGGCGTTGATGCCAATGTACGATGCCCGTCGGGAGAGATTCTTCGCAGGCGCAATCGTTTGGAGCTATGACCCAATCCGCGTTCTCACCGTACAGGATGACTTGAACTACCTTGGAGCCTTTTGCGATGTGATCATGGCAGAGGTTGGCCGACTTGATGCACGGAACGAAGCGAATACCAAAGCCAGCTTCATCAGCTCCATGTCACACGAGCTTCGGACTCCCTTGGTGAGTACTCGCGATGCAGAAGATGGATTTTGGACTAATTTCCAACAGCACGGGATATTGGGCGGTGTTGAGTGCCTACAAGATGAGAACAATGCGGTCATGAAGGAGGACATGCTCCAGATGATTGAGTCCAGTGGGAGGAGCTTGCTTGACATCATCGATCATTTGCTAGAACACGCTCATTCTACAGGACCCAGCGAGCGGAAACCGGACGCGAAATCGAAATCGGCTCGAACCAATAACAAAATCTTCCGAAATAGGGAAGGTGATGTGCAGACGACGGCGAAGCACACCGCGGACACCAGCCACCTGACTCCCTGCGATTTGGCACAGCTGACCGAAGAGGTACTCAATACGAGCCTATGGGCCACGCCGAAGCCAAGTCTGCCTTCGGCAGTGGAGACGCGGAGCTCTACACTTGCGAATGGAACATCATCCGATTGCATCAAAGTCATCCTCGAAATTGACCCAAGTGCAACTGGCGAATTCCGTGTCAACTCTGGAGCATGGAGAAGAATTGTCCAGAACCTGGCCAATAACTCTATCAAATACTGTGATGAAGTCGGCTACTTCAAGGTATCATTGTCCGCTACTCCATACTCGAATGGTTCAGGCATAGCAAACACCAACATGTCGATGGTAGAGCTCGTCTGCCTGGATAGTGGAATAGGAATGTCCCAGCAATTCCTAAAGTTCGGCTTGTGGCAGGCATTCAGCCAAGAAAACTCTAGCTCCCAAGGCACAGGCCTCGGGCTGAGCCTAGTTCATGGTGTCGTGAAGGAGATGGGAGGTACAATCGATGTGCAGAGCAGCAAAGGTGTTGGCAGCGCTATAAGAGTTCGGATTCCGCTGCGGAAACGCCAAAAGGCAAGCAGCACCGGCGTGGATGCTCCGAGCATTGTCATACTGGAACAACTGAAATCCACCACATGCGCCATGCTTGGATTTGACGACGACGTCAGCGGCAATGAGCGCTCCTTGAAGGCCAATRCCGTTTTGAAGAAGTCACTTGTCTCCACATGCGGGCAATATGGAGTGCAGATCGTCCAGGACGAAAACAGTCACTGTGCTAACGGCCTGGAGGAACGACCAAGCCAGCAAGCGGACATTATAATCATCTCCGAGAAAAAGGCCTGCCAATTGGGCCAGTTCGGACCAGAAAATGACGCCGAGAAAAGAGTCTACACCACACCAACCATAGTACTTTGCAATTCCGTGGCATCAACACGAGTACTGCCAGATCTCGGAAGCACAATCGTGGCGGTATCCCAACCACTCGGTCCACGAAAGTTGCTGAGAGCTCTAACTTCCTGCCTCGAGAAAACCCGACCGGAAGTCATAACGACGCCAGATGATGACAAGAATGCGAAAAAGGACGCAGACCGGGCTGAATCACCCCTAGTCCTGACCGTCTATGCCCGACCCGAGCTCCTTCCTAGGAACTCTTACTTCGGCACAGACAGCGGCACGGGGAGTCAGAAAGCCGCTACCACACGTCCACAAATCCCACCATCCGGACTTACCACTCTTCTGGTAGACGACAACGACATCAACCTGACCCTTCTACGCGCTTACATGAATAAGCACAAGCACGCTTTCGTCTGTGCGGCCAACGGCCTGGAAGCCGTAAACGCGTACCGAGAGTCCTTTGAGGACCCCAATACTGATGTACCATCTCTGATATTAATGGATCTGACCATGCCGGTCATGTCCGGTCTAGAAGCTACAAGACAAATCCGCGCCTATGAGCGCTCCCATGCAATCAGGCCTGCGAGTATGATTATTGCGTTGACTGCCATGGGAAGTTCCGAGGCGAGGCAGGAGGCTTTTGGGTCTGGGGTGGATTTATTCCTCACTAAACCTGTGAAATTAAGCGCACTGGGAAAGACAATAGTAAAACACATGGAGGAGAGACGTATCGTGACTCCTCCGTCTTTGGAGTCCGACGATCGATAGATTCACTCGGTTCGTTCCGGAATGACTTGACGATGACACGAGAAATTGCTGTATGTATATATATGTATAGACCGAAGAACTACACCTTCGCTTGAGGTGCTGGCTTCTTCCCTCCATCATCAACAACCTTTGGTGGTGCTGGGATCTCCACCTCGGATAATGTCCACTCCATGCCAATATAACTGTCACTGAGGACATCGACTCTGACCATTCTCTCACCGTCGCCGGGTGGTAGTTTGATCATAGCCCTCGTGGTTGGCCGACTAGCATTGCCGCCCTTATTGGCAGGCTGCCAACCAACTCTCTTCAATGCCAAAATATCACCCTTTGCAGCATCGGAAACAAGCACAAAGTACCCTTCCGTTTGCGGTTTCGGGTAGCGAGGCGCATAGATTCTATGCTCGCGATCCATCGCTGGGTTCTGTCTTGTCAAATGGACGACGAGACCCAAAGCATTCAYATCTTGTGCTTCGACGCGTAGCTGCGGAAGTTGGGACAGCACTTTGAAGATCTTCGCGTGCGAGACGTTGGGAACACCAAGCGATCGCAACACCCCTTCTATGGCAGGACGAGGTCCAGAGCAAACCTCTACCAGATTCTTCAGCTGCGTATTTTCTCCGGCGATTCTCTTCTTCTCCTTCTCGACATCGACGCCAGGGAGAATTGCCATTGGTCCATCTTCGGGCCAGCGTGCAGACTTGACGCATTGCAGCAGAGCAATCATTTGCTTGACGCTCTGCAAATGTCCCATCTCAGTGAGGACATCTATGCTGGCTTGAACGATACGAATGGCCTGGTCCAACACTGAGTTTTGATCTCCCACGTAATCGCTGATTGGCAGGTCAATGCGGGAGAAATGTGCCTGGAGGAGCAATTGGGCTTTGATGTGAGGATCCCACATTGGTAGGTCTGGGAATGCAGTGTCGGCTTTCAATGGAAGGTTGTTGGAAAGTTCTGCATTGATCAGGTCCTCATTATGGCGAACAGGAAGCTCGTCATACTCAGTCGCTCGACTCATCCACGATAGAACGTCTTCGAATGTGGCGGTTGGCTTCGCATGCTGAACGAGGGAACGGATAGTCTTATGAGCGAGATAGTAGTAACTCATGATCTTACCCAGTGGAGTCGGATCCACGTCACCATTGGTGTGGATGGCGATGCACTTTGACTCCTCTAGCTCGGCCAGAGATTTGTCTACCATTTCGATCATGTAGTCGTTGGCAGCTTGCTGTGCCGCAATGGTGTTGTTCTCTTCGGCGGAGATCTGAAGACCGTAGTATGATGGATTCTTGTGCAAGCGCCGAAAGAAGAAGGTCCATGTAAGATAGTCCAAAGCATCCTGCTTGGTGGCGATGGTCTCTGCTGAGACTTCGGCACCCAAGTGGTTGTCCAAGACATTGTGCAGCGATGACTCGACTGGAAATCCTGTGTGCAGGAAGTGCTTGTAGAACGCCTTCTTTGCGTCTTGCGTGAAGATGCGAGCGATACCAGAAGTGTCGAACTGTGGTCTACCTGCTCGTCCCAGCATCTGCAGCACATCAGTCAGATCCATGTCCCGGTATCCCTCAATCTTGGCGTCGAAGAACTGTGTTCCCTTCACGACTACAAGATGTGCAGGCAAGTTGACACCCCAGGCCAGTGTACTCGTGGCGACGAGAATCTGTATCTTGTTGTTGGCGAACAGCTCCTCAGCGAGTGATCGATCGGATTCCACAAGACCGGCATGATGAAGCCCGATACCGAATGCGAGAGCCTCTTTCAGCGCGTCATCCTTAACACGGGCGAGATTAAGATTCAAGTCATCTTCCGACATTCTCATGAACCTTCTTGGGTTATCCTCCATTCCGCATAAGTTGATCAGATCTCTGGCAGTCAATCTTGTCTGTCTTCGACTGGCCACGAATACAATGACTGGCTTTTCCGGCGAATGTGCCTTGATTGCCAAAAAGGTAGGACGGTTCATGCTCTGCATCAAGGGACAGAACCCACGCTGATGCGGGAAACCATCAATAAAGATTTCCAGAGGAACGGGACGAACAGAGTGACGGAAGTTGAAGAGTCCCTCCTTCACACCTAGCCAATTCCCAAGATCCATGGCATTGGCGCAGGCCGTGGACATTCCCACAAGCCGAACGGAGCCCTTCTTCTGCGAGGCAATGTAGTTCATACGACTGACAATAATCTCCAGGATGGGACCGCGGTCTCCACCGAGCAGATGGATCTCGTCAATGATGACAAGACTGACCTGCTGGACGTAGCTTCTTGTTTGCCAGCTACGACTGATACCATCCCATTTCTCGGGCGTAGTGACGATGATGTCCGCATCTCTGATGGTCCTAGTATCAKGAGTGTTGTCACCTGTCAATTCCACAAGCTTCAAACCCATCTGTCTTGTCAAGCGCTTGGTCCAATCTTGCACTCGCTYTCGGACGAGTGCTTTCATCGGCGCGATATACACCACTTTACTGCCTGGCTTCTCGCGGAACGCCCACCACATTGCAAGCTCACAAGCAATAGTCTTGCCCGAACCTGTAGGCGAACCAAGCAGGACGTTCGCAGGCGTGTGGTACATGCAGTGGAAGAGCTGGGTCTGCATGGGGTTGAAGAATTGGAATCGCTGGCCATAGATTTCTTCGAGTAGAGGGTTCTTCAAAGCCTTGATCGGAAGCGGCTGCAAATTGAGCAAATCCGTATACACGCTCTCAGTGTCTGGTCGGATCAGGTGTTGGAAGGAGACGGGTGTTACGGTCTCAGCGCCCAGCCATCGATCACTGACCGCTCGAACATAAATCTGGCTAGGCAGAGGGTCTGAAAGTGGGATGGTGAAGTTGAGCTCATGGTCRTCGTAAAGCTTTCTTCTGCTGAGGATGAAGAATTCGTGGTGGTAAATCTCACTCGTCTCGGAGTTTTCAACCCAGATCCAGTAGCTCTCACTCTTTCCATGGTGGCGATCGTTCCATCTGAATTCAGGCGTGATGAAGAGCTTGACGCGAAGCACGTCTCGATTTAACGGAGCAATCTCAGCCTCGACGGCGACCGTGGGGAAGTTGTCAAGCAGCTTGCCGATGGTGCTTCCCATCTTTTGATTGTGGACCATGCTTCCGATTTCTGCTTGATCCATGTCCCGTAGCGATTCAATGCTACCAATGCTGCCCTTCTCGTCTAAATTGCGAAGAACAGCTTGCGGCAAGTCGAATTGATGGAATGGATGCTCGTACGCCCAAACGCGCTTTTCGATGCTCTTGCACATGCTGAGCAGAACCAAGCATTGGTAGCCCCAGTGCCGGTTAAGAGCGATCATAAACAGGGCCCGACATATGCGCGCAGCATTCTGTGCAACGTAGTTGGTGTCTGAGACGAGAGTGAAGTCCTCCAGWTTCGCCTTGCTGATGTAGGATTGAAGCAAGACATTGGTCTTGCCTTGCTGTGWCCCGATTCCACCTTCAATGTCACACGGCGCTGACTCTTCCTTCAATCGCATGAGCTCCCTCTCCTCACTCTCGCGACTGGTGATGTTGTCGAACTCCCCACTCATGCTGATCATCTTCAACACATCGGCCTCCGTTGCTCTTGGGCGCATCATGGTGTTGAATATCTCAATACTGGTTTGCAGCACGTAAAACTGACTGGCGATTCGTCCAACATCCTTTGCTCGCAATTCCTCGGTGCTCTCGTTGAAGATGATCATCTGGCTGGTTTGTAGAATCCTCGCAGCTTTGACGATGAGCTCACGCCTTCGCTGGACTAAGTTTGGGTCATTGGCGATCTCTGACCAGTCGATGCCGTACGCGATTGGGTTTTTCTTCATTCGCACAAACAAATAGGAGTATCCCAGCCATGTAATGGCGTCTGGAACGCTCGTCACAGTTCCCAGAGAGATCTCGGCGTTCAGATTATCAACCATCTTCTTGCTGAACTGGGACTCGATAGGCTGTTGTTGCGTGACAGCAGTGAGGAAGTGCTGCAACTTGTCCTGAGTGGTGATGATCATGCCAATACCAGTGTCTTGGAATTGCGGACGACCAGCGCGACCGAAGATCTGGAGGACATCAAGAATACCCAGATCGACAAACTTTCCTGCCTCCGCGCTATACAGCTGCGTGCCTTTGATGATGACCGCCGCGGCGGGCAAATTCACTCCCCATGCCAAAGTCGCCGTACAGCAGAGCACCTTGAGCACACCCTCGCCAAACATGCGTTCAATCATGTTACGATCCGACCGTGGCATACCGGCGTGATGGGTTCCCATGCCTTTCTGCACCAACTCTCGGATCTCGCGACCCTTGGATTGCTTGACATCTTTCAGTGCCTGGGTGTAGCCTTCATGGTGGCTTACATCAAAGAGATCAAGCATACCCTGCTCACCAGCCTGTTCATACAGCATGCGTGCAGTCTTGACGGTGTCTTTCCGGCTGTGCACGAAAACCATGACTTGATGCCCTAATTCAAGCATATCTTTGACCTTTTCAAAAGCAGTGTTGTCAATGTTCTCCCGACTGGCTTTGGTGCCGGGTTTGCCCCTGACTCCGAGAAAGTGCTGCTGCAGCGGAACAGGGCGGAAAGATTGGTCAAAGTAGAAAAGACCAGCCATGCGGTTGACCTTGAGGAAGTCTGCGACATCAACATAGTTTGGAAGAGTTGCACTTAGCCCAACGATGCGAATCAGAGATTGCGTGCTTTCGACTTGTCGCTCTGTTCTGGCGACCAGCGACTCCAGAACAGCGCCACGCTCGTCGTGAAGCATATGGACCTCATCGATGATCAGTAGACGGACTTTCTGCACTAGCTCGGTATCGCCAGTGGACTTGCGCGTGACCACATCCCACTTCTCTGGGGTGGTCACAATTATCTGAGTTTGAACGATCTCGGCCTTGGTGAGCTGCATATCTCCAGTCAACTCTCGAACTTGGATGCCTAGCCACGCCAGTCTTTTGCCGAGCTTGTCTGTGATTTCAGCTGCAAGAGCCTTCATTGGAGCCACATAAACGATCTTGAAGTCATCGGTGTGCACGGTGAAGTCGGTTGCATCTGGAAATTCGATCGGGTTGGGATGAATGTTCTTTGCGACGGTATTGAGAACAGTAAGCATAGCCGCGTCTGTCTTACCGGCACCAGTTGGAGCACATATGAGCATGTTCTCACTGGTGTTGTATGCCACGGGATATACCAGACTCTGCATACGATTCAGAGTCTTGTAGCCTCGGAAAGTGCGCTTGCAGAGACCGTCCATTTGGTTGATCTCAACAAGGCTTCGACCTTTCCCCAAAGTACCAACTGCAGCAGCTGGGATGCTGTATTCTTCGTACTTCTCTCGCTCCAAGCGCTGACTCCCCACCGGTAGAGAGTACTTGGAACCCGAAGCAGAAATTGTGTTCCCCGCGCCATGTGCACGGTAGACATGTGGGTATTCGGCAGCGGAGCGACTCTGCGCTGGTGCCAAGGAGGCCTTTTTATGATCTTGGTCTGCTTGTCGAAGCCTAGCATCTCGCTCAGCACGTGACAGCAAACCAGAAGGCCGAGCAGGAGCTTCAACGAGTATCGACTTGCGATGCTTCAGTATATCAGAGACCAGATCAAGCTCGTCGAAGCCGAGAATGTCTGCCAGCGTCATCTGGAGTTCGTCGTCGCCGCTGTCCGAGGCCAGAACGGCGACAATTTGCTCCTCGAGCGCTGCGGCATCCAATCCACCACCTGTGCTTCCAATCTGCGCACATCGCAGCTTCAGCCAGTCCCGCGACCCATCTTTTGCTTGTTCATCTACAGCTTGCGGAGCATTGGATGGACCGTCCAAGCTCTCCTCGCTGAACTCGTCCACGTCGTCGTCGCTGATCAAGTCCCAAATGTCATCGCTTCCAGAGCCGGGCGAAAGCTCGTCGTCGTCAATGTCCAAGTCGGTAGCCCATCCCGCATCATCACTTTCACCGCTGGTCGCCGATAGCTTCATGTCGGCAATGGCAGCGCGCATCGTCGCCAGCTGCTCCAGCCATTGCGATGCTGCATCCTCAGCGGAAGGCGACATCTTTGGCTTGGCTGAAATGTGTTGTTGGTAGATGAAGGCGAAGTGTGTGGCAATGATTCATCTCWCGGAGCGAAGTGGGGCCGTCACGTAGAAGGTACAGTAAGCATTTTCCACGCGACATCACGTCTTCCGACGCGACGACAACACCAATCAATATCGGAACGCCGAAATGGTACGCGAGAACTTAGATTGAAGTAATCAGACAGGAAGGTGCTGATATCAGTACCAGGAGAGCCCACATGAACATCAGCAGAGCCTTCTGCTCTCCCGCATCATCACAAACGTGGTAGGCACAAGACAGACTGTACCGACGTAGTACACCAGCTGACACTGCGCAGGAAAAGCTGAACGAGGCCATCATGGTCCTGAACAAGAATCTCCAAGTCTGTATCTTGAGAGCTCTTGTTGTGGTGTAGCATCGCTCCTGACGCGAAACATTAGGAAATCAATGTTCAGAACATGAATGTTGAGTTGGTGGCACAGATGTTCAAAAACTACCAGTCCAATGTGTTGTTCCATCTAGAAGGTCGGTCACGTTCGGTTGCTCTTTGCTAGACCTCTGCTGATATTCTCTTCAGCTACCGACAGCCTGAAAGAACCATCTTAGCTGTTGTTGCAGAGAGTTGGTCTGAAGCTGTGCACTCACTACGAATTGGAATGCCCGATATCCTAGGATGCGACGTTTGCAAGTGCTTTGGGAGATGAGAAATATTCTTCCCTGACGCTCAATGGATAGAACAGACCCATCGGCTTCGAAATGTAAATATCGATGCGAGACTTTGATGCGCTGGACCGAGAATCTGCACCATCTGGTCAGTCACCAGCTTGATGTTGCCAACCTCAAGTACGAACAGTCAGAACCTCGCACCCAGGTCTAATGTGGAAATACGAGATATGTGCCGCTGGACACGACCACCGACAAACAAGATAGAGATGCTCAAACGAAATGACTTTGGTGGAATAATTTGAAATCTAGTAAGAATCACGACCCCTGCTCATAGGCCCATCTCTTAAGAAGTATACTTCGCCACAAGTGACCCCCAGCTACCGCCATATCCATCATTGCTTCCATCCCCAAATCTGGTTCCGTCCGGCAGCCTCATCACATAGTGACCTCCATTCTCCCTCTTGTCGTCAGTGTGGTCACACAAGCCATAAAGACGAAGATTGCTAACAGCCTTGTTGATAACGTTCATAGAAGCCTGCAGTCCACCATAAAAGTTCCAGCTTCCGGAAGCATAGCTGTAGATGTTGCTGCCACMGTTGAAGTACTGAGCTGGACCCATGGGACACTGCACCTGGCCTGAGCAGTAAGAAAAGGTCGGGTCGGAGTCGGTGAGATCGTCATTGAACGGTCCTGGTGGCACGATGTCTGCCCGGCTTCCCTGGTGGTAGTTTGTTTCCGACTGGAAGAAAGAAACGAAAACGTTCTTGGCGTTGTTGTAGGCCAATTGGTAGAGCCAGAAGTGTTCGCTTCCTGTTGTACATGGTTAGTGTCTTACTATTTGAAAGAATGAATTGTCAGAAGCTTACCAAGACCCACGATCCAGGTGCCTTGAGTCGACTCTACAAGCACTCCACCTTTGACAGCAGCGCGGATGTCCTTGTTGCTGTTACCGTCGTCGTTATCGCTGTTGTGGTCTGCAACCCATGCCCAAACATTGTCAATGTAGGCCGAAGAGGTAGCGGTCAAATGCATGCCAAGATACGCTGCTTTGCACTGCGCCTCGGTCCCACAGTTCAGTGTAGTGTCACGGGTTCCGCCAATGGTGATCATGGAGTTGTGGATTGCCACATCGCCAGGGCTGTTGCCCTTCATGTTGACTTCGAGAACAATGGCTCCAGGCAGCTGCTCTGCAATGGTGAAACGCATATCTTGGATGTCGACCTTGCCAACATCTCCACTGTTTCCAATCTTGACAATGGGCTTARGGTTGCCAATGCTCTTGAAAAGATCACCTGCACCCGCAATCGTACTCCAGCCGTTGCCAACCAGCCGAGTGCYTGATGGAATGGTAATGGTCACTTCGGTTCTGTATGTACCGTAGGGCAGGTAAGCAATCTTGCCCTGGGAGGCCGCGGTGTTCAAGGCAATCTGGAGGCCGGGACCGTCGTTGGCTTGGCCGTTGCCAGCGATGGTCTGGCCACCGTTCTGGTTCTTGTCCTTCAGGTTAATCACGTCGTTGATAGTGGCGCTGGCGTATTGAGGAGCCGAAGAGACCGGGTATTTGCCACCCGGAGCCAGAATAGACGGCCTTGACAGGGCATCAATGGATGGGTTGTCTTGGTAGGTGGGGCTCGCGCCATATGTGTTACCATAGACGTAGGTTCCAACCTTAGTTTGCCCGCCAATCTTGGTGACTTTGTTCACTACGACCATTGGAGTATCGGTTGTGTCCTTGGAGATGTTCTCAAGCATGAAGTTGGGGTAACCGACATTGCTGGTGAAGAAAGTACCAGAGTTCTTGGAGACGGCATCAATGACCGATACCCAGGGAGCGCCTGAGTTGAAGACGATGGAGTTGCCAACAGTGTCGAAGGTAGGCGCAAAGATGCTAACAGTCTCTCCGCTGTCGATCAGAATTCCCGTGGAGCATCGCGAGAACTGCAAGTTCTTAAGAGACGCTTGCTGATGACCGGCATAGTGAAGTCCAACGGAGCCATACGAGAAGCGCACATCGCCAGCCTGGATCGTGGACCCTTGGCCCATCGATATACCAGTGTGTGCGCCTTGGGGCATATTAATCWGCATGTTRACTAGAGCTGAGTTCTGAGCAACTCTCCAGCTGAGTGCGCGAAAGTTCTTATTKCCAGCATTGGCAGTAGTGTCCAGGATCAAGTTCTTGATCATCAAGGAAAATTTCAGCTCGCCCTGTTCTCCCTTGGCGTAGCCATCGCCGCCAACTCCAGCAACGATGAACTCTTGCCCGTTGAAGTTTGATGATGCCTTGATGGTAGGAGGGTTGGCCGCATCACCGATGATCACGGTATCTGTGTCCATGTAAAGTGTCTCGCTCAGAGTGTATGTGCCAGGCGCGACGTAAATGGTGCGAGGCTGACCTGCAAGCCAGCCATTGTATCTCTGACCATTTGGCCCGTTGGAGTAGATTGCACTGCGGAGGCCTGCGGCGTCTGTCACGGCGATGTATGTGGGGTAGTCGTAGTCCGGGTTCATGCCAGTATACAAGTTTGGGACGTAGTCACGCACAGCGCCAGTGGAGTGATCGAGAGCCGCGTACCACCAGCTCGAAGAAGCTGCCTGAGTGGACAAAGTCCTGAAGGTGGAGTTGCGGTTTGAAGGCGAAGTGATCGGCTTCCCAGTCGATGGGTCGAGCGAAGATAACTTGCTCGGCGCAGAGTCCGAGGTAAGGGGCGCCGCGGCTGCGAGGCCCAGTAGAGGGAGCAAAGAGAGGAAATGCATGGTGATGAACAATGAGAAACAAGATGTGCAATGAGATGTGGTAGATCCTCGGCGGAGGGTCTTGTGGTGCTTGATATTTGAGCAAAGATGGGTAAGGCGTGKGATTTATATCTCGACACTCCTACTTTCATTCACCATGCTAGTCTCAGCCGAGTAGACCGAAGACAGCACGCCCTACAGCCACATCAATGTCAGGCTGCTAGCCAAGACTACGGTGTGCTGACGCATGACCGGCGAGAGTTGAAAGCAAAGCCTCTCACGTATGATTTTCTGTGTATTGGGTGCCTGATCATCGCCTTGCTGCTGGAGAGGACTTACAGTTGGAGGCCTKAGGGATCCAACATTGGTATCTTGCCGAAAGGGTGTAGCCTCATGCATGTGGCAGGCTAAGGACATGTCGATCTTGTATTAAAACGACTTGGTGTACATTCGGCGGATCCAGTAGCTCCTGGCCAAAGCCAAGTCTAGTTTGAGTGTGATTGGATCTTCGTAATAGAGTGCTCGCGGAGCTTCGWGTCGAGCTTAACCCAAATCCTTCGGTGCTGGACGCCTGACGTGGGAGATTTACTGGGCGCCTGAATCTTGAAATTTACCCAAACAGGTAAGTCGGTCTAGCAGCCGCAAGTGTAGATACGAAGAAAGAAGAAAATTTTGCAGCTGTGAGAAGTCAGGCACAGGGCGGTGGACAAGCGCCTAATGTATATGAATATGTGTACTGTCGCTTGATTTTGGCAGCTCGCTCTCGACACCACCATTCGGAGCATATCCCGGTTTAAAATCAGCAATCGCGTCGAGGGTTTAGATCGACGTCCAGACTTACGTTGATAGGACCGTCGACATGGGAAGAGGCAGGCAGTGGCAGAGAATGTAGAATAGAAGTCATCGCCGGCATGCCGGCAGTTCTGTGATAATCGGCGCCACCAATTAGTAGCCCGAAAAACTATGGTCGTGTCATCATGTGCGTATGGAAGAACCTGAAGTCATCGGCCTGTAGGAACGCATGTGCGGTCAATCTGTGGCATCCCAAGGCGTATTGACATTCTTGCTGAATCGCACGACTCGTCCATCCTTGTTCTGCAGCCCATGCTTGACACCTGGTCAATCAGCCGCATAATCTTTGAAAATAGCAAGAGGGAAGAAATCTGCCGTGCATGTTGTCTGCTATGTCTTTGATCTCAGATCTGTTGATTTCGCACGATTGTACTCTAATGGCGGACAGGAACGTCATCGCAACGGGGATCGAGGACATCGCATCCTATCGGGAAGGCGAACATCGAGTATTCTGGCGTGGCCATGCTTTATGCCGGAAGTCACCACCTGGGCGTATCTTGATGTCCTTTTGATGATGTTGGGAGGTAGGAGGTAGCAGCAATCCCAAGGTGAATCATCGCTTCTTGTTAGCGCTTCCATGAAAAAGCTTGTTACAAAGCAATTCACCGGCCGACCCGGGACCTCACCCCGCAGACACAATGCTACACAAGCTCTTGATGTGGTTTCCTCKATGGTCACACGTCTTGCAACTATCATTCGCTTCCGAATTCCATCAGTCGTTGCGTTGATTACTCGCAATCTCCCTCCAGCATCAGGAAGCTGCAGGACATTCACCGGCTTGCTTTCACAGACCACCACAAGATTCAACTCAAGTAGTTCATCACGACATCATAGAAGCCTCCGCCTTGAAACCGTCCCAATGGTTCAACGAGCTATGCACTTCACGCCAAAGGTCTTGTTGTCCGCTCCGAGGCGGTCGGCGGGTGTTCCGAACCCAGCGGGCACGCTGGTGCTTTATACGGTCTCGACCTACAGCTTCGAGTCTCACAGCAAGACCAATGATCTCAGAGTCCTGGATGTCAAGTTCGGAGAGAGCCATGAGCTGGCACACAATGACGATATCAGTGGTTTGAACTGGCTCGACGACGACAACTTTGCCTGCTTGCAAGCTGAGAAAGATGGCACCACCAGCGTTTACATCGCCAGCGTAAAGGAGGTGAGTCGACATTAATTGGGCATCTGTGTCAAATACTTACCAGTGAGGAAGGTGCTCAAGGAAACGAAATTTGGAACTTCTCATTACATCGCTGGAAAGATTCCCGGTCCAGCAGGAGACCTCAAAGTCAAACAACTAGATGGCGACAACTTCGCGATAGTTTTCTCTGCAGAAGCTGATGGCCATACTGGAGAGATTACCAACCCTGAGGTAGAGCAGAAACCGCACTCCAGTGCTAGACTCTACAATACACAATTCGTGCGCCACTGGGATTCATGGACCACGAACAAAACAAATTGTCTCTGGTACGCCAAACTTTCCAAGCAAGGCAAAGGCAGATTTAGCATGTCAGAGTATACGAACGCGCTACACGAGACAGGTCTTGAAAGCCCAATCCGCCCATTCGGCGGCACCGACAACTTTGACGTCAGTGCGCACGGCATTATCTTCGTTGCAAAGGATCCGAAGCTGAATCCTGCATTGAACACGAAAGAGAATGTGTATCTATTACACATAACAGATTGGGAAGGCAAGCATGCTCGCGTTCTGCAGGAGGTCGTAGTTCCCGGTTTCGAGGGCGCTGCGAGCTCACCAGTGTTTGCTCCAGATGGTGAAACGGCAGCCTTCTTGATGATGAATACCAACGGCTATGAAGCGGACAAAAATCAGATATTTGTCCTGCGCAACATTCGAGAGCCATCTCCCAAGCCGGAACAAGCATTCTCTGCCTCTTCCGAGGGTGGCTGGGATAGAAGCCCGGGATCGCTTGTGTGGACTGCAAATGGCAAAGACCTCCTCGCCACAGCCGAAGATATTGGAATCAGCAAACTCTACCGCATCCACGGCGATCTTCAACAAGATAAGCCCGAGGTACTGGTAAAAGACACCTTCGTCAGCGACGTCAGACCTCTCCCTGACGGTCAAATCTTCATCTCCGGCAGCTCACTAAGTGACAACTCAATCTACACCATCGTCGACCCACGCAACATCGCCACATGGACTCACTCCAACTCCGCAGAAGGCACCAAACTGGGAGGCCTCAAACCCTCACAAGTCTCCTCAATCTGGACACCCGCCAGTAATCCCAAAGTGAACAAGGAAGTCCACAGCTTCGTGATCAAGCCCAGCAACTTCGACAGCAGCAAGAAATATCCCGTCGCCTATCTAATCCACGGCGGACCCCAAGGTGCATGGGGAGACAGCTGGTCCACACGCTGGAACCCCATGATCTTCGCAGAGCAAGGCTACATCGTCATAACCCCCAACCCCACAGGAAGTACAGGCTACGGCCAAGGTTTCACAGATGCAATTCGAAGAAACTGGGGTGGAGATCCCTATCAAGACATCGTCAATGTCTTCGAATGGGCAGAGAAGAATATGCCAGAAGCAGATCACTCTCGCGCCGTAGCACTAGGAGCAAGCTACGGAGGTTACATGATGAACTGGTCCGTCCCCCTCCCTCCCTCCCTTCCACTCACCACGTCATTTCCGCAACTAACAGCACATACAAACAACAGGATCCAAGGCCATCCCCTCGGTCGCAAATTCTCCGCTCTAGTCTGCCACGACGGCATAACCTCCTTCAACGGCGCCATGCTCGGCACAGAAGAATTGTACTTTCCCCTCTACGATCTCGGCGGAACGCCCTGGTATGATCCAGGTTTCAAACCCGCTCCAGGAGACAAAAGCACCRCAGCTCATCAGACTCACGCAAACTTTGGAGCTTCCAGCGCTGCTGATTGGAGAAAGTGGGATCCTAGTGAACATTTCTCGAACTGGGCGACTCCACAACTTGTGATTCATTCTTCAAAGGATTATAGATTACCGATTGCCGAGGGTTTGGCTGCCTTTAATGTGCTGCAGGCGAGAGGGGTGGAGTCGAAGTTGTTGACTTTTCCTGACGAGGTTAGTTCACTCCCTATTTAGAAAGAGAAGATAATGAATGGCATGCTGACATTGAGGATAGAATCATTGGGTTCTCAAACCAGAGAACAGTCTTGTCTGGCACAAAGTCGTTTTGAACTGGATCAACCATTATGTGGGATTGCCGCTTTATGATGAGACGAAGGAGGACAGCGTTGATTTTCTGGGAGGTTTGAAGAAGGATGAGAAAGAAGGTAAAAGCACAGCGGAGGCATAGTTTCGCAGCATTTGTGATAGATCGATGGRGCATGTGTGTTCTGCACGATTTGGAACCAGTCCTACTTGGATGGCAGTAGTGTACACATTGGTCGTGTCTATCAAATGGGAGGCAGCGCCACTCGTTCCTCGCAATGCGGCGCTAGGAGCATCTAGTACAGTACAAATCTGTCCGTGGACTCTTATGCGTAGAAGTTGACAGTGTCCTGAATTGGAGGTTAGCATCATCAAACCGATTTCGGGCAGCATACTGCAACAACTTACCTTCTTCTTCGCCTGCACTTCAGCAATGGCATCCACATAGTGCTCGTGAGAGATCTTGCTGTGTCCATTTCTCAACGCGATCATACCGGCCTCGACACAGACCGCCTTCAACTGCGCACCACCAAACTCGTCTGTAGATCTTGCCAATTCGGGCCAGTTCACTCCCTCATCAACCGTCATCTTTCTGCTGTGAATTCTCAAAATCTGCGCTCTCGCCTCCTCGTTGGGAAGTGGGAACTCGATCTTTCGGTCCAGACGCCCTGATCGTAGAAGTGCAGGATCCAAGACATCTACTCTGTTTGTTGCGGCCAGAACCTTGACACGATCATCCGAGGCAAATCCATCGAGCTGGTTGAGCAGTTCCAGCATGGTTCGCTGAACTTCACGATCTCCAGACTTGTCAGAATCGAATCGCTTTGTACCCACAGCATCCAACTCATCAATGAAGATGATGGAGGGTGCCTTCTCTTTTGCCAGTGCGAAGCAGTCTCGGACGAGTTTGGCACCGTCGCCAATGAACATTTGCACAAGCTGCGGTCCGGCGAGTTTGAGGAATGTGGCTTCGGTTTGGGCGGCGCAGGCTCGGGCAAGGAGGGTCTTTCCGGTTCCGGGAGGTCCGTACATGAGCGCGCCTATCTAGAGGTTAGTATGGAGCCATCATACTGAATCTTGCCATGACTTACCTTTAGGCGCCTTGATGCCGATCTTCTTGAACCGCTCGGCCTCCTTCATTGGCCAAACAACAGCCTCCACGAGTTCCTCAATCTGCTTGTCCAAACCACCCACATCGGTGTACTTCTCCGTTGGCTTCCCGTCCACCTCCATGGCCTTGACTCTGCTGTCGTACTCTGCCGGCAATGTGTCCAAAATGAGGTATGAATCCTTATTCACACCAATCAGATCACCAGGCTTGAGTTTGTCGTGGTCCACAAGACCAATGAGTGGGAGGAAGATGGTTTGGCGGGTCGATGTCTTGATGACGGCGCTCTTGCCGACACGTGTAGCGTCTAGATCGATGTTGGCACCCTCCTCTGCAGCTTCAGCCTCGACACCTAGGTYGAGAATCTCCACTACATTTCCAACGAGATAGGGYAGTTGACTGTTCGCAATCGAAATTAGTTCAAGGTCTCAGCACAACGCAACACCACTAAGCGCATACCGGTTGTTGTCAATCTTATCCACGTTGTCCTTGATTCGGTCATTCATTGTCGTCTTCTCATGTGTCAATCGCTGGTATTCGCTCCGCATGATGCGCGTGTCGTTCTCCAGTAGTCGGCGGCGGGCGATGATGTCGCGTGTGCTGCTGTTGAGGATTTCCGTGTCGATGAGCTGTTCCTCCTCCTCGGCTGCCTTCTCACCACCATCATTCATCTCCGCATCTCCGCCGGCGTCGTTCTTCTTGTTCTTGTCGCCATCATTGTTCTCCTCCTTCTTGCCATCGCGCTCCAGATCATCAAGATCCTCGAGTGTCGACATTGTGTAGGTGGCGGATTGAAGAAGATGGCTGTTGAATGCGCGTGGCCTGAAGTATCCCTGGTGATGAGTGAGTGAAGATTGAGAATGTGGCAATGGAGTGGATGGTGTTGGTAGTGTTTGGTGGATGTGATGTCTACAGGTCTACGCACCTGCTGCTCGGAGCTCACTGCCTGCATGACCGCCCGGTGTTTAGGCGACACTTCCGACGCTAGCGGCGCTAGTAATGATCGCATCACCTACTGTCGAAGTTCGAACACTACTGCTTCCTCTCCCTCCGCACTGCTGACATTAACCTCATCGTCTACCTCTACGCTCATTGAAGGGTTAGAAAGCTCCACGCACTTCCGACACTCTGGAACGTTGCGTTGGGTCCTGACAACACACGACAAGTTATACAACCAAAATTGGGAGCACCGTACCGCAGGCGACTCCGACTGCAGCGTGGAAGGACTGTGAACGAGGAGGACATCTTCTCGCAATGCATAGCCGCAGGCAGTTTGGTGTACTCTCAGCATTCGGGAGCAGACTCAGGGAGAAGTTTGGGACTACATCTCCCATTCTCGGCGTACCATTCACACACTATACATGTACAATCCCTAACTCTTCGAAGACCTTCTGATCAATTGTCTCACAAGCATGTCCTATATATTAACCATCTCAGACAATGTCTTATACTCCACCCAACAAGCAAACCAGCCCAAAGTTTGCTCCTTTCCATTTCCCTAACAAACTCCCCTCCACCAAATAGACGAACCGTCATAACCACCATCAACATCACCATCCCACCACACAGCTCAAACACCACATCCCACGACAAAAACCATCCCTAAACCCCCACCTTACGAAAAAATCCACCGCATGACAAAAAAAAAGCCATGTCCTCAATCCTCTCAACCCTCCCCCTCCAAACTCTCCTACACATAACAATCTACATCCTCCTCACAACCCTCCTAATCCACTCCCTCCACAAAATCCACATCGTCCGTCCCCACCACCTCGCCAAATCCCTCAAAAGCGTGAGAACGGCAATGTATCTCTCAATTCGCTGCGAATTAGAATTCACGTAACTCTCTCTCTCTCCTATTTCCCTCTCCCCCTTCCCCCATATTTTACATCCTGCCTCCTTTTCTCTACGCATCCGCTCCACCAAATCTCCTCGCTAACATGATTTTGATAGCACAGCACAAGAGAAATTCACCCAACTGGCAAATTCAATTACAATGCTAGAGCAAGGTCAAGAGATTTTTAGAATGAGTCGAGGTGCGGATGTTTTGAAAGAGAAGAAGGCGGAATTGAAAGTCCGGGAGGGGGAATTGGAGGTTTTGTGTGGGGAATTGAGAGAGGCGATGAGAGTTGAGACGCAAGCAGTGGAGCTTTTGATGAGTGTTGGTTGAAGCTTGACTTTGGGACAAACGAGGAGATTTTTAGGTGTGTAACTTGGCGGAAACGAACTAGCCTGGGGAAAGAGAGAAAAGGGTATGTGATGCAGTTCAGATGAATGTCGTTGCGATGGTGAGGTCTGATGATGAAGACTAGTAGGATTAGGTGATCTCCGTCCTTGTTAGCTACATTCAGAAAAGATGCGTTGCCACCCACTTGCACCAATTCTCCAGTTGCTGTCCAGCCACACCTTTACAGCTCCTTCTTACCCTCCACCTTCTCGCTGACAGCCCTCTCAATGAACCCCTGACCAACTTTTACGCTATCCCTCCAACCTCTCTGCCTATTCCAGAACTTCTCAGTAGGCGTAGCGCTGTGCAAACTGCCCTGTCTCGCCTCCTCTTCCAGACTTTCCCTAGTGATCGGCTTCTCGTCCATCTCATCATGCTGCGCCGCAGCATTCTGCATCCCCTTGACTCTCTCCAATGAGTCTCCCACGAGTTTCTGCCTCGTCAGGTAGCGGTCTCGTCTCTCCTTTTGCCGWCCAGGAGAGTCAAACTTCGCAATAGCGGCCGCAACCAGGCCATGGACAAACAAATACAGATGCTCGCTCAGGAAGATGCTCAACAACAAACCCCAGAACTTGATCTCTGATGGACTGCCATCAGGACCGACACCATCATTCGAGAACATATAGCACAGAGCCGCGATGCTCAAACTTCCCAACCAAGTCAAGAAGCTGAGAGCATCCAACCATGGTCCAATAGTGTCTGCACGCCATGGTGTGGGACGCTGCATTTCAACACAAATCTTGACAGCATCGGCGCGAAGTTCGAACCAGTTGTTCACGAGGTAACTTGCCGGTACCAAAGGCCAGACGACGGAGAAGAGTGAAAGATAGCCAAACTGGATAATCATCTCGCGGAGGTCGGTATAGACGTCGTAACTTGGGAGCTCAGCCTCGCTTCGAACACGGTCAAGGAACTCCTTCTCTTCTGGGGCATCGTCCGCAGCAGCGGAAGGCGTAAGTCCAGAGTTGGTGCGCTTGGCACGCATTTCCTTGAACTTGAGGAACCCCTGGCGTTTGAGGTATGGAACCACGACTTCCATGGCGAAGTTGACGATCTGAGCTGTCACAGCAAAGTAGATGACTTGTTTGCGAAGACGATCGGGATTGATGGAGTATGAAGTTGTGCTCAGCTCGCTCTTATGCGATGAAAAGATGCGAGCGAAAACGTTGAGGTGGGGAATTAGTACGCTTCCGAAAGGAACGTAGACGAAAGCTGTCAGGATAATACCCATGTAGGAGGTGATAAAGTCCAAAACGAAGAGCTTGCCCGTGTAGGAACGGTCATAGTGGGAGTCCGTTTCGTAGTTCTCATAATCGTTGAGACGCTTGGCCATTGAGGAGAGCGCACCGGTAAGTAATGGCAGACAGGTGGTCAAGATGACGGTAGGGGTGAATGCGAGGATGGACTGTCCCGGTCCGTTGTAGATTTCTCCAATAAAGATCTCAATGGCGAAGCAGGTGAAGATGAGACTACCAAGAACCAGGATCGCAACCATTGCGAATGGAAGCTGCAGCGCCTGTCGCTTGAGTCGCTCTGTGGCAGGGAAGATTCTTTGTGTCTCGCCTGTGGCCGGATCTTCGACTTCTTGCGTGGCTTGGAAGTCGTGTCGTTTGCTTTCGATATTGCTCACACCACGAACACCCCATCGAATGGCGAGGTCCCGCTCCTGATGCTTCCACCATTCGACGAAGATGACCGACCAGAGTGAAATGCCAACAGCATAGATCGGGCTGAAGCCACCGAGGAAGAGCCAGGAAATCAGACCGAATCCAGCCGGAAACAGCAAAAAGTTGAAGTAGGTCTGCTCGAACGCAAAGTAGAACGCGACCTTTTCTCCAAACTTGTTGCGGATCTCATCCAAGTCCTCTAGCTTGACACTATAACTTGTGGCCCACTTCTGAATCCAGTATTTGTTGAACGTGTGGTCGTGTAGAGCAAAGATATTGTCCACGTACTCCCATTCTTTGGACTTTGGCCGGATCCCAGCACCACCATCGCTTTCGTAGTTTGTGATGAGTTGATAGATGATGCGGAGTCTTTCAGCATCGGTTAATGGATCGTTCTCCAGAGATGCTTGTGTGTCTTGAGCGGGTTCTCCCGATCGCACGCCGTGAATCCAGTCCTTGACGCGGCTGCGATAGATTTCGGCGAACATGTGCTCCTCATTGGCGACCTTGACAAATAACAGAACTGAATTGTCTTCGCCATTGCGAGCTTCTGACGCCAGGCCCACGGATGCTAGCTTTTTGACCAGTTGCTCAAAGTTGGCAGCAGCCTTGACCTTTTCTGATGATGTCTGTCAGCATCCCCATGAAAGACCGGCTCAGATGCCTATGCTTACCTTCGGGTGGGAATTTGAAGACGACGACATAGTCGACGCCCATGTTGGTGTGCAGGGCCTGGCTTTTAGCCATGTTGCCGGGCACGAGCTGGGAGGTGACTAGTTCGCTGATGGTGCGTGGAAAGGTGGATCGTTTCTGCAAAGGTACAATGCCCGTGTCGGGTTTCTCGCTCGACATTCAAGGGGAGAAAAGGCCCACAGAGGAGCAGCGGGGAAGGAGGAGTACAGTAGTGCAGGTAAGGTAGGTATAGGTGGGATTTCTCCGCAGTTGGTCCAGCCAAGTCTGCAGGTCTTGTGTGCGAGATGATGTGGTGTGTTGATTGAAGCCCTGTTTTCGATGGGAAAGTGCCCCGGAAATGTGTCGTCACCGGCGGAAGCAGCTCCGGTGGCAGTCTAGATCGTAAGTAGGTACTTACATGTTAATGCCGATGGTTGGTAAGGTACTTTAGTAATAGCGATGATTGGTAAGGCTGATGAGGTGTAGACTGATCATGCATCATGTACTCGTCAATATATCATTGGAACATCTCCTCCCAATGCCAAACCAAAACATTGATACAACAGCAAAATGGCAATCAATAGAGTGGCCGCCGTGACCGGAGCCAACAAGGGCATTGGACTCGCGATTGGTACGTTAGGCTGGACGCGTGCCTGTGAGAGCCATTCTACAGACTGATCCATGTGCAACAGTCCGCAATCTTGCATTGACATACCCATCTTCACCGCTGAAATCAGGCCCATTCACCATCTACCTCACCGCCCGCTCCGACTCCCGCGGCGCCGACGCCGTAGCTAGCCTCAACGCCGACCCACAGCTCAAAGCCGCCAAAGCCCTCGTCCAAGATGGTGGTGACACGACCATCAGGTTCCAGACGCTGGACATTTCTGATGCATCAAGCGTGAAGAAATTCGCCGCCTTCCTCTCCTCGGAACATCCCGATGGCATTGACGTGGTCGTCAACAATGCAGGAATCGCCCTGGATGGGTTTGACAGCAATGTCGTGCGGAAGACTCTGGAGACCAACTACTATTCCCTGCTGAACACCAGCAAAGCATTGCTACCTACCATCCGTGAGGGTGGCAGAATGGTCAACGTCACGTCCAGTGTGGGCAAGCTCGACAAGTACTCGGAGGAGATCACGGCTGCGTTCCAAGATGCGGCCAAGACGAGCACCGATGCCGTGACCAAGGTCATGCAGCGCTTCCAGAGTGCAAGCGAGAGTGACGAAGACGCGGAGAAGGGCGTCAAGGCCGCGGGATTCCCTTCTGCGGCTTATGCCACAAGCAAGGCAGGCGCCAATGCCGTCACCATGGCTCTTGCTGTGGAGGAGAGAGCAAAGGGTCGAGGTGTACTTGTCAATGCATGCTGTCCTGGATTTGTGAACACCGAAATGACAAAGGGGCGAGGAAAGAGGACGGTCGACGAGGGCGCCAAGACACCCGTCTTCGTAGCTCTGAGTGACATAGGCGGCAAGAGCGGCGAATTCTGGTACAACGAGGAGGTTACTCCATGGCAATAGTGGGAAGAGTGGAGGATCCACCCATTCATCCCATAAAGTTTACCGACCAGCACAGAATTTGACTCATGAGAGGTTAGTCCCAGAGTTCATACCATCCACCACTCGACAATGTGAGAACCACGAGTGTCATAGCACATCATTCTCTTAACTTGGTCATCTTGCTGGACCGCGCTCTTACATTGTTAATGTCACGAAGAAGGATGACATCAACTTCGTTGGTCTACTTTCCCCAACGAATCAATATGAAGGTCTACAGAGCCTTCAAGATATCTAATGGTCACTTCGATTCCGTCTTCGAGCCATTCACGTTCCACACAACAAATCGTCTCGCCTGATCAACATGCGCTACTCCTCCTTCCGATGACTATGCCCGTCACATCATATAGATGGAGTTATAGCGCACATGGGGCAAACTTCACAGCGACGCCATACACCCATCCGACCACATCACCTGTTCTTCCAGCCTTGGGTAGTCTCTCTGAAATTTCGCGCTACCTGTAGCATGCCCTGTAAAGATATGTAAACTCCCTCAGCGTCATCTCTATTTCGTTTCCCTCATCAAAGTCTCATCATCAACACTACCACCAGCTACATCATTTCCAAACGCTCATCATTCAAGAACGCTCTTCAAGACCTTCACTATCATCACTGAACTTCTCAGCGTCGCAGCTTCCGCTGCCCCTGCCATCGAGAAGAGGCAACTCGGCGTCCCTGCGAAAGACTGCAAAGACCTAAAGGCGTTCGAGAACGGTGTCTCTGCCAACCCTGCTGCGTGCTACGGGCCTCTCCCAGTAGGACAAGCTACTTGGTACATTCCCACCGTTGTGCTTGAAGGCACTCCAGACTGACACTCCGATAGCGCCGCGTTCTGCAACCCCTGCTGCGACGGTGAAGGTGTTGGGTGCGCTTATATCCCGCACCGAGATCCCGAGGGGGAATAGATGCCTTCCATCAGGCTTGAAGACGACCGCATAGCCAACCAGCTCCACTCATAATTTCCCCATAAGAGAACACCTCACATCATGATTCAACACCCCTCCAATTCCATACGCAGGAATAATCCTCACCGCCCTCGTCACACTAATCGGAATCCACGTCCTCCCAATCATCCTCACCCGTTCCAGTATAGAAACCTTCCTCTCATACAAATCCAATCCCAGAACATGCAAAGGCGTAGCGAGAAATTGACTCGCAGCAGGCGCAAGAACTTGCGCGACCGATAACCTCCCTACAACCTTTTCAATCTCTTCAGGCATCTTCGGCGCAATTTTCGCCGGAAGGTTAAAACTCGCGAAAAGCGTGATTCCATCTCTGAGAAGTAGTGGCGCAWAACTAATCACCGGAAACGCTCTTGTAGGCGTCGTGCCGAATGTCCTGGCGAAAGAAGCATCTTTGTAAAGAGCCAGTCCAACATTAACAGTTGTGACAGCTGCGAATTTCGTATTTGAGCTGGTTGTAGAATTTGCCGGTAAGTCTTGTTGAGAAGAGTAAAAAGTATCGCAGATATTGGCTGTTAGGTATGTAGCGCTATAGAGCATTAACATTGCTCTCAGGGGCTTGGAAGTCAGGAATAGTAGGGGATGTTGCATGATTGATTTTGTGGTGGATTTTATGGAGGAGGGGATTGTGGATGTTCCGGCTGCTTTCTCGACTACTGCTCTGTTTATCATGTTGGTTAGTAGGTGGATGATGCTGTCAGGGTAGGGCGCTGGATGTACTTACCTATCGATCACAACCATTATGGGGGAGATGAAGAGTGTGGATATCATAGCCGTCACCCCATCGACTGCTAATCTTTTGGAGAGGCTACTCCGTTGCTTGCTGTTACTCATCTGAGCTGCCTTGGTCGGGTGGTCCAACACGAGCGACATTTTGAGAACTCGGTATCTTGCTCCTCCGGCTACACCCTCGCGATGATTGTAACCTCATCTTACATACAAGACTACTCTATCTTTTCGGAACTCATAGCTTGCATTCAGGGAAAGACTAGTCGCTTATTGGAGACACATGCCGCCAAGCTTCCCCTTTAGGCAATAAAGCCCGTGGTCGGATTGAACATCCGGTGTGGGAGATAACTGACCTTGACGGATATTTGGCCGCTCTTTTTGGTTCCTTGATCTCGAGAGGGTGTACATGCCTTGTCGAGAGCCGTTGATGCTGTCCATTTTGAGCAATCGCTTCGATAAAGGGCTTAGCCGCCGATGCGTGATCTGACATATTTCCCGGTAATCGGGACAACAGGTTTTGGCTGTCAGAATGAGTTCCTCTCTCCTTGCGTGGGTCATTCCCTCACCAATTGAAGAGCCCTTCTGTCGCATTTTGTTCAAGAACAGTCCTAGCAAGACTCGGGACAAATTCTCACCAGCCAGCAGTAAAGGGTTAAACATCCCATCAATTCGTATCTCATCACAATCAATCTATCAAACCGACCGGCCACCCAATCTCACCATACTCCTCCTCTTCAACTCCCTCCAATTCGCAGCCATCCCATCCTTCATCCTCTCAACTCCACCACTATTCTCCACCGCCCTTCGAATCAGATACTGCATACACTCCTGCAGACTCCCCCACGTCAAACACTTGTACACAGCCGGTACAACTCCCTTAACTCCAGCTGCGGCATTCTCCTTCGTAACGTCTTCACATCGCTGAACGATTTTACAGCCCAATTCATCAGCCATACCCTGCAGTTGTCCGAAATCCGGCAGGACTTTCAATTGTCCCGTCGCGGAGAGCTGTTGGACTAGTTCCCATGCACGGTCGACACTTTCGGGATTATGACCTGCGAGGAAGAGTTGCATGCGTGGGAAATTCAGAGGTTCGAAGCCGAGATTCGTGCCTGAGAGGAGATCTCGCACGAGGCCGTTATATGAATCATCAGTATCTTGCTTAGTGTCATGGATCAACTCCCTCTTATCATTCGCAATGTAGGCTCCTCGAACGAGTTTGATGCCTAATGTCCAGCCTTCTTTATCGGCCAAGGAAAGTTGATGCTTTAGTTTTTCCCGCGAGGATTTGAGGTAGGCTTGGTTCGTATTGTAAACCAATGCTTTACCATTACGGTTGTGCTTTCGCATGAAATCAATGGTCCATCGATCGATTGCGGCTTGCATGACTTGTTGTTCGGCATCCACCCAGATTCTGCAGTTCTGATCTCTGGCTTTGTGACAGATTGCGTCCATGGCATCGACGAATTGCTGGGGTGGATCCTCGTTGTTCATCAGAGCAGTTGCGATGCCAGGTCCTGCACCAGTGAGTCTGTACTTGTCAGAAAACATCCACTCATTTGAACACGATCACAACTTACTTCATCCCAACCCAATCGCCCTCTCCAATCATGTCAAGAGTTTCCAGATTCCCTTTCTTCCACATGTCAATCTCAACACTCTGATCGGTATTCCCAGCTCCAGTAGAATGAATCTCATTACTCGCTCCCGAAACTTGAATTTCTTTCCCATAGCAAAGAATAACTCCAGCGAAACCCATCCGCTGTATTTCGCTTCTCGTAACTCCAATCTCATACTGATTGGTTCCAGCACAGAACTGATCGTAAACCAACGGCTTGATGATCGCTCGTAACAGAGGATTGGAATCCGGGTTCAAGAATCTCGAACGAGAGTTGGCGATATATCCCATAGCTCCAAAACCAATCTTGAAAAGTATCGGTGACGTGAAAGCTGCACCCAGGATCAAGTTCCGCCATAGACATAATGTTGAAAGGCGTTCGAGGCCCGAGGGTTGCGGGATCTTTTGTAAGTTGCTGCTTGTTTTGGTCTCTGCGACTCTAGCTGTATAGTCTGTGTAATGTCGCCTGAAAGAATGGGTTACTGCATTGATTGCTGGCTTGTGGACATGAAGAAGCAGCAGTACTGAAATCTGCTGTGGACTCCGCACAGCCATGGCAGCGAATACTTGCGATATAGACACTCTAGAAAAGAAAAAAGACAAAAGACTCCGTAGCACTATTATTTAATGCCCGTAATCAGTAGTCATCATCATGATAGCGCTGCAGGCGTATCACGCGCCCATCGGGATGAATGTCCGGGGAGGGCAAAATTCCTCTCGGGAAACAATTTTGTGTAGTACAAGCAAGGACCACAGGAAGTTTGATCTCGTGCTCTCTTGCTGTGTCCAACTCCTATAGTTTTCGGGGTTTGGATGGAGGAAATCTCCGCAAGGAGCAAAAGGACCCAGGCTGCGTACCAGGGGCTTCCCAAGCTTGGCCGATAGCTCTGCAAAGCAAGCTCTACGGGAGCTCCCTTATCTGACGGAYATCGTCGGCAGATTGCGAGGCCATCCTGGACAAACATAAACCCTGTGGATTGACGCATGGAAATGATACAGCGGCATTGGAGGTGTCTCGCTTAATTTTTTGATGATGTTGACGTGTCCAGAAGTTCACATGTGACGGCTTGGCGGCCTGCCACATGGATCCAGAACAGCTCATAAAGTCAGCCATATCRCAAGAATATAGCGTTGAGTAAAGTAGTATCGATCACTTAGAGCTCATACCAAACGGTCGCTCAATATCGTCAGAGACCAGCCTGTCCAGCTGATTGAAACACACAAAGAGTTTGCAACCGCCAATAAATGTTCGCCGCTGAAGCCATCCTCGGAATTCCACTCGCTTGTTACTGTATTGGCAGTGTAGAGCCTTCGGGTAAAAGACTAGCTAGCGGCAGTGCAGTGATATGATTATGGGTGATTTAATTGAGAACAGCGATTTCTGCGGTGAAAAGATGACTGAATTGCTTGACTGTCTACCGAGTGAATGGCTCTCCTTGAATACCCTGTGAATCACATGCTAGAGACGACCATCTAGATCTCTGATTACAAATTCAAGTGAGTGAATGCATGCAAGTGAATGTTCCAAAATCTTTAACATGCGGCAAACGAGTTCTTGATGTACCACAGAGCATCCCGCGATTGTTTTGCGCTGAAGCGGCTCTGGTAAACGTCCAAGTAGATGCATATATTTACACTCTCCCGCTTCTGGAAAAGAGTAGCGCGTAATCGGCGGTGTAAACACGAAGGAGGCAAGGAGGCCAAAAGGGCATGCACGAGAGAAAAAAAAACGGGATGAAGAGGACTCCAAGTCTTCTCACGAACAGATGTTGTCTACAGCTCAAGAAGACAGCAATGAAACTCAGCTTGGCATTACCCCTTTCCACCCCCTTCTAGCTAACACAACTCCCCCTCACATATTACTAGGATAAAGCACCTCATCAAGTTTATTATACTCCTCCTTCAAAGTCCTCGGACAAGTAAACCGCATCAAAAGATTCGAACTGCCCGCTTTATCACAAGTCCCACTAGACCTCGACCCACCAAACGACTGCTGCCCAATAACCGCCGCCGTAATTTTACAATTGATATAGAAATTCCCAGCCGAGTATCGGAGTTTATTCTCAGCCTTTCGAATGGCCAATTGATCATTGGAGAAAATATTGCCGGTCAAAGCAAATCCCCCGCCTTGTTTGTCAATGATATCAAGCACGGAATCGAATTCGGCGTCTGGGTAGATGTGTGCGGCTAGGACGGGTCCGAAAAGTTCGTTGGAGAAGAGGGGGTGGTTTGGGGATTTGGTGGCGTAGATTGTTGGGTTGATGTAGTATCCCACGCTACCATCATACGTGCCACCGATGATGGTCTCCAAACGGTCATCTTTGTTCGCTTCGTCGATGGCGGAGGTAACGCGTTGGAAAGCTTTCTCATCAATGACCGGTCCTGTGAAAGATTTCCAATCTTCTGGAGCTCCCACTTTCGTTCGAGCCAATTCCTTCTTCATCTGGTCGAAAAAGAGGGGTGCTTGGCTTTCAGGAACATAGATTCGGGAGCACGCAGAGCATTTCTGCCCAGCATACTCGAATGAAGCGCGAACGGTATGTTTCGCCGCCTCAACAATATCTGCTGAAGGGTGAATCAAGTGGAAGTTCTTCCCAGAAGTCTCGCCCACCATGCGTGGGAAGTCTCGATATTTCTTCTTGCCGACCCCGTCTGCGGCTTTGGCGTAAAGAGACCTGAAGACGTCGGAGGATCCGATGAAAGTGAGAGCCGAGAATTCCGGATGGTCGTAAACTACATTGGAGATCATTTCAGCGTCACCATTGACGAGCTGCACGACACCTTCCGGCAGACCAGCTTCGAGAAGAATCTGGTGGATTAAATGGCTGACATATGCAGTCATAGGAGCCGGTTTCCAAACAACTACATTCCCCATAATCGCAGGTGCGGAAATTAAATTCCCGCCAATGGCTGTGAAGTTGAATGGGGAAACGGCATAGACAAAGCCCTCCAAAGGTCTCCAATCGGTACGACCATGATGGCCCTGGGAATTGACCGTCGGTTGCTTATCGTAGATTTCCTGGGCGAAAGAGACATTGTAGCGGAAGAAATCTGCCAGTTCGGCTGCGGCGTCGATTTCAGCTTGCCATGCATTCTTTCCCTGACCTAGTATTGTAGCGGCTAGAAGTTGGAATCGATATTTGCCAGAAATAAGCTCGGCTGCTCGTAGGAATATCGAAGCTCGGTCGGTGAAGGGCATTTCCTGCCACACTTTTCTCGCTGCGAGAGCTGTGGTGATGCTGTTCTCAACATCTGATTTGGATGCCGAAGCATATTGTTGGAAAGGTGTCTTGTGGTCGGACGGATGTCCAAGTGTCGTGAGCTTTTGGCTTGAAGTGATTTTTTTTGCATTTCGGCCACCGGTAGCTGGAACTTTTAATGGAAGTTGGGCTTTGAGTACTGATAGGGCTGCTGTTAGTTCTTTCCGCTCCGGTGAGCCGGGCTCGAAATGGATCTATAAGCAGATTAGAATAATCGTGAGTGCAATTTGAAGAAGGACATACATACGTTTGGTTCATTGAATGCTTTTGGTGTTCTGTAGTTTCCAGACGTAAGTGACCTGGTAGCAACGATCAATTGTAACCACGCTGCTTGTCTCGTTGAGCGAGATTTGACATGTCCTACAATCGGACGTAGTCTGGAGGATTTCATCTTCGATATGTTCTTCCAACTCAGAGATTGAAAGTTGATGAGAGCAAGTCGAGAGCAAAGACGTCAAAGATCAAAGACGTCCCGGGATTTCCGGCCAGCTCTGCAATATTTTAGAAGCAAGGCCTGCAGCGGCGCTCTGACAAGCATGTGAGCATGCAACATGTTGATTCGCGGTAAAACTTCCCGACGTTCGTGTGGGAAAAATTGCCTAAAGCGGTAATCAGCTGAGATGGGTACCACTGCAGCCACATGATCCCAAAGCACACAGCACGGTCTATCTACTTACCCGACATATGGCATGTAGCCGTCAGTAGTAATAATAATAATAATTCTTACGACCGCTCATGGTAGTCGCCCACAACAACTCCACTCAGCACAATGATCAGCAAAGACTCACCCATAGCAATAGCAGGCAGCGGAGCCTGGGGTCTCTCCACAGCCCTGCACCTCCTCAACGCAGGCTACACAAACATCACAGTCTTCGACCGAGCAGAAACCATTCCCTCCCCCTACTCAGCAGCCAACGATCTCAACAAAATCGTCCGACCAGAGTACGAAGACCCCTTCTACACCAACCTCGCCTTACAAGCCATCAAAGCCTGGCAAACCCCCCTCTTCGGCCCTTACTACCACCACACAGGCTACGTAGTAGCAGCCACAGGTTCCGCGCCTGTCAAAGCCGTAGAACATCTCGAAGCGGCCCTCTCATCAATCCAATCCCACCCCGAATTATCCCCTGGAATTCGTAGATTAGATTCGCCTGAAGATTTCAAGACTTATACCTGGCAATATTCCGGTCCCCTTACAGGTTTCAAAGGGTATTTCAACCCCACCGCAGGCTATGCTCATTCCGCCGATGCCTTGCATGGAATTTGGCTCCATTGCGCTTCCCGCGGCGTGCGGTTTATTCTGGGAGACTCCATAGGAAAAGTCTCCGCAATCATCTACTCCGGCTCCCGAGCGACGGGCCTTGTGACAGCAGATGGACGCAGACATCTCGCGGATCTCGTCATCGTAGCTCTAGGCGCACACGCCGCATCTCTGATCCCTTCAGTTGGGAAATTTGCCACGGCGAGGGCTTGGTCAGTCGCACACATTCAACTTTCGCCCTCGGAAACGAATTTCCTACGTGGAATTCCCACGACGAATATTCGAGATTTGGGTTTCTTCTTCGAACCGGACCCGGCGACGAATCTTTTCAAACTGTGTCCTTTGGGGGTAGGGTATACCAATACCTCTCCCAGCACGGGAATCTCTTTGCCGCCCATGGATATCCTTCCACCGCCTCAGGACTTCATTCCCTGGGAAGATGAAGTCAAATTGAGAAGGTTATTGCGGGAGACGTTTCCTTGGATGGCAGATCGTCCGTTTGTAGATAAGAAACTCTGTTGGTTTTCGGATACTGAGGATTCGGATTACCTCGTCGATTTCGTACCCGATACTGAATCTTCGGTGATTTGTCTTTCTGGAGATTCGGGACATGGATTTAAAATGATGCCGGTCTTTGGGGAGTGGGTTGTAGATCTTATCAGAAAAGGGAAACAGAATGAAGGTAGATGGAAATGGAAAAATGTAGATCTTACGGGGAAGAATTGGGGAGAGGGGGTGAGTTGGAGGATTGGAAAGGGGAGTGAGTTGAAGGAATTACTGGCTGCAAAGGACAAGTTGGTGAAGGCGAGGCTGTAGATTGGCTGTCAGTAGTGAGCGGCAGGGAAAGCTTGCTGGATACCAGATGAATATACAATACAAGTCCTTTTCGTCGTGCAGTAATACTCCCGTAAGATGGATATTTTCTCATACCCTCCCAGCACCAACCCAACCCCCTAAACCCCTCACACCACCAACAAGCATGACCAGTCTCTTCCTCTCCTCCTCAAGCACCGTAGCATATTCCCGCACCGCATTTCTGACTTCTCCATCATTAATGACAACATCTCCATGCACCTTCAGAAACACGCCCATCCAAGCCTGCACGAGTTCGAAATCCTTCCTCGTCTGCAACCTCTCGATCAGCGCTCTGACAAAAACTTCAAACTCCCCTCCATTGCCCATTTCCTCCCCCGCATGACTCAGAGATCGAATCTCAATATCCGCGGCAGCAGGAGACAATGTTTTGAGATGGTCGATGAAAGATTCCAATTGTTGAGCACGAAGCAGACGGGTGAATTCCGAGACGAGACCTTGTCGACTGAGAGCCAAGACGCGGGAACGTTCTTTTTCAATATCAGTTGCGTCGTCTGAGGTGCTGGGTTGGGTGGAGGCAACCAATCCCTTTTCCACAWCTCGAAGGGAAGGGAGGAAGAAAGGTGCCTTTTCGGGCTTCTTGGGTGCTTCGAGGGGTTTGTTGCGTTGGCGAATGAGGTCTATGTGGAGGAGATTTTGCCAGCGGGAGCGAGGGACTAGGGAGAGAGTTATTAAGGAGGAGGAGAGTTGTTCGAGATCTGAGTCGACGTCTGGGAGGTCGAGGTCTCCGTCGGTCTCCGAGTTATCTTCGTTTGCAGCGATGAGGTTCAAGCCGCCTTCGCCAGAAGATGTAGGTGCTTGAGTGGAGGTTGCGGAGAGGATGGTGAGGAGTTCCGGGGCAGGGATGTGGCGGGTTGGTACATGGGTGAAGATACTGCGGTTTGTCCAGATGTCTACGCCAAAGGAGTCTGTGGTTGCCGTTGCGAGGTATTCGCCTGTCGGGGAGAAGGCGAGGGTTGTACAGGTGGCGCGGAGTTTGAATGCGTCTACGAGATGGCCCGTGGGTAGGTCCCAGAGGAAGACGAATTGGTCTGCGCAAGCTGCGATCCAGTGGCCGTCTGTAGAGAATACAAAGTCCGAGTATTGAAGGTCTTGAAGTTGAGGGATTGGAGTGCGTGCTGGCCAGAGCTCACGGATGAGCTTTTGTGTGGCAATGTCCACGACACGGATGCAGCCATCTGTACATGCGAATGCTGCAAGGTCTGAGCCGCGGTGGAAGCGCATGCTGATGATCCCAGTGGATGCAGACCAGTCGATTTGGTCTTGAAGAAGGCCAGAATTGAAGCTCCAGAACTTGACCTTGCCGTCGGCGCCTGCGGAGACGACAGTCCGGTTGAGGGCGTCCACTGCGAGACCTATGACAGCAACAGCGTGCTTGCCTTGACCGCGATAGAACTTCTTCTTTCCCTCGCCTTCTTCGATCAGACCATGCTTGGCAGCATCCAATTTCAGCTGCTTCGCTTGTACAGGGGTTAGCCTCGCGGGAAAGCGTTGGCGATGAAGTCCAGATTGCATGTTGAACATGTCTACACCGCCATTCTCYGAACCAACCAGTCCAAAGGTGCCACAAGGTGACATGGCGATGGAAGAGACATTGCCCCCGTCTCCCGTCTCGAATGCCCATCGTCCGGCACGCTTTCGACCCCAGAACCAGGTTCTCGCTTTCTTGTCATTCTCATGAGCAGTAAGCACACTCTCCCAGCCAGTGGCAGCGCTGACCTCAGCACCGACTTGCTTAACTTTTGCGCCTTGCTGCCAGATGGGGTGTTTGCCTGGAATGGCGCCAATTCCACCATCTCTGTTCAGACTGCATGCCAAGCTCGTGATGGGGGGACATTTCAAATCTTCAAACGGATCGCGAGTKCCGGATAGCAGACCTTGCTTCTTCGCCTTGGATTGCACCGCACCTTGACTGAGTTCGGTGCTTTGACCATCTCGGCGGAGGGACCATCCCCACAGACTACGATCTTTGCTTCCAGACAGTAGCCATTTGCCGGTGTCATCAGAACCGTCGGAAGATGTGGGGAGAAAGTGTAGTTTCGTGACGGGAGCACCATGCCCGCGCCTTTCATGCAGTCGGCGGGGTACGGGATTGAATGGAGTTTCGTCGAAGATCCACGTTTTGAGACTGTTRTCCAGCCCGCTGCTGACCAGAATGCTCTGACCCGAGAGGAACTCCATCCCGCTCGTTCCTCCTGGAGTTGCCGCTGATGGTTGGGCGTGTGCTGCACGGAGGACRGCAGATCGGCGACCACCATTGTTCAGATCCCACAGAGTAATGTCGCCCGATGAGGTGGATGCGGTGGCCATGACGCCAGCCATCTGGCCGTCATCGCCCGCCCCGAGGCCATCGGTGCGGAATGAGATGGAAGTAATGGGAGCACCGGCGGGAGTGCTGAGGTGGATGAGGGTCTGGTCGGCCTTGACGTCGTGGATCACCAAGGGGCCCTTTTCGAACGCCAGGGCGACGAGAGAAAGGGCGGGAGTGGGCTGAATGGCCGTGACCGCGCCGTATGCGGTCGAGGGAGGCAGGATGGTGTAGACCAGCTTCCCGCTCGACACGTTCCAAATCTCCGCGCTTCCATCCCGTCTGCCCACGATGATTTTGTTGARGAAGGTGGGCAGACTGGCAACGCACGGGGTGAAGTGGACGGGTGAGACGCCTCTCAGGATGGTGTACAGCGAATAATCCCCGCTCTTCCACACCACCAGCTGTGATGCGCACACGCCGATGATCCAACACCCAAACACACAGAATCCCACCACATTCTCCTCACATGCAGCAGGAAAGTCCAATTCGCCCACTTTCTTGCCCCGTTTGAACACCCACACGCCTCGAGCGGCCTGGCTCCCATCCTTTGCCTCATTCCCCCATGCCGCCAGCAATTTGTCCTTCCATGCCGCACTCGCAGTGATGATTTCCGGCGTCTGAGGGCGTGTGATGAAGACGAGATTCAACCCGCGACGCAGATCGTAGGTTTGCAATGCTTTTCCCACCGACGTCGTCAATTGAAAGGTCGTCTTGCCTAGAGGAGTGCTAGTGAAGGGAACATTGGTCGGCGAGACGAGTCCAACGGTGCGATATGGCGCAAACACTCGGGATGCTCCGGAGGAATGCGATGGTCGGGATGTGCCATTTACCAGCTTCTGGCGTTTGGCGATGCGTCCTTCACCCATTTCCATGACTGGCGAAGAAAACGGACTTTGCGATGCGTTCTCCGCAGCTTCAGGAAAAATCTCGAGGTTTCGCAGATAAGGTTTATGCATGTTTTACAGGGATCTCCAACACCAAGGAAAGGCACCTCCGCGGCGTTTCGAAGCCAGGTCCATCTCTCTCTCGACTATGCATGAACATGTGGTGGACTCCGTACCTTATGTACCATTGAATTTATCGAGCTTCCAATGCCTGCATTACTGAGGTTGGACGGATTTTACTGACCGACAGTGTCGTGGCATGAAGGGATGAGCATTTGATTCAAGTTACAAGCATTCCATCAAATATTGATTACATCCAGGTCAATGTCAACCAAATCCAGGGGAATTGCTTGGTTGGGCCGTGAAGATCGGTGCTAGAAGATTTATGCACAAGTTCTACCAGGATCAACATACATTACCTCACATCTGCGCGTGCGGGGCAGGGATGGCAATGCACGGCCAAAGCAAAATAATAAAACGTTAACATCAAACGCACGAAAAGGGCGTAATAAGTGACGAGTTGCGTCCATTCTGCCCGCCTTCTTTTGCAGTGCCACGGTCACGGTGAACGGCTCATTAACCTGGTGAATGACGAAATCTACGAGACATTCTCTCCCAACGGCCGACGATACTTACGACAGAAAGGATGGAGGCATTGTCCCGCACCTGCTCCTCGGAGTCGACGCGCTCCACCACTCGCCGCTCCAACTCCAATTCCTCGGCGGGACATGCTMTAGCCGGGGCATCGGGAGCGACCCGTAAGAGCAGAGTCGCCGATATGGACACTCATCGCGGAGAAGTGCGGACCGCTAGTATATCGATGCCGCAACCGGGACATCCGTCGAACACGTTGAACAATCCTCGCTACCAAACTAGCAACACCTCCCGACGTTCCTCCCGCATTGCAGAAGGCTTAATCACCAGGACTGCTTCCTCCGCACAACAATCACAACAACAATCGCAAGCGCAATCACAATCGCACTCCCAACTATTGGCCGACGAGAGCCAGCTGGCCAACGGCAGTGCCACGATGGTCGAGCAGGGTGCTGGTCAGGAAGAAGGCAGGAAGAAGGCTCCTTCCTTCACTTCAATACCAGGAGGGGGATACATTTCCGACGCTGCCGTCCGACGACCCGAACCTGACCTCGAGTCCAATCGATTGTCCTTTTCCTACGGCCCGGGCAACAACAGGCAAATATTTGTGTCCGGCGCAACGAGTTCGTCAGGAGGCGACGAGAGTGACGGTTTGGGCTACGGCTACGGCTCGTTGGCCTCACTTGACGCTGACGGAGAGACAGCAGGCAAGACGGACGCGGGATCTGCCACCACCGCCACGCAAAACCTCTCCGTCACCACGCAGAGCCAGAACGGAGCCCTGTCCCCCTCCCTTGGTGCCCCTCTCCAGCAGCATCCTTCCAGCCAATCCGTCGCATCCGTCTCATCCTTCATGTCTCCGACATCTCCCGTGCAGACTCCCCAGCCACAACCAACACAACAAGGACCGGGCCGATCGAGAACACTTCGAGGCCGCGATCCTGCCAGCGCCCGCCGTGCATCTGCGAGTGGAAGCAACAGTGCCTCGCAGTCTGTAGAGCGATCCGGGTCCAACAGAGGTCCCAATTGGATCGGCACGATTGGTATCTGCGCGTTGGACTCCAAAGCGAGAAGCAAGCCTTCTAGGAATATCTTGAACCGTCTCGTGGGCAAGGAAAACGAATTTGAAGTCATCATCTTCGGAGACAAGGTGATCCTCGATGAGCAGGTGGAGAATTGGCCCGTCTGCGACTTTCTCATCAGCTTCTTCAGCGATGGCTTTCCATTGGAAAAGGCCATTGCTTATGCCAAATTGAGGAAGCCATTCTGCGTAAACGACCTCCCCATGCAAACTATCCTGTGGGACCGTCGAATGTGTTTGACGATATTGACCAAACTGGGGGTCCCTACTCCACCCCGCCTGGAGGTCAATCGAGATGGCGGTCCCGTGGCCCTTAGTACGGACATCGCACAGCGGATGAAGCAGCTTACTGGTGTTGAGCTCATAGGCTCGGACGATGGAAGAGGTGGTGGACTCCCAAAACCCGTGGATGTTCACATGGAGGATGACAATGACACCTTGGTGGTGGATGGTAAGAAGCTCCGTAAACCTTTTGTCGAGAAGCCTACAAGTGGCGAGGACCACAACATCAACATCTACTATCCAAAATCGCAAGGYGGTGGAGGTCGCAAACTCTTCCGAAAAGTCAACAACAAGTCCAGTGAAAAGGACGAAAATCTCATCATTCCTCTGGCCATCACAGAACCGAATGGATCTTACATTTACGAACAGTTTCTCAAAGTGGAGAATGCGGAAGATGTCAAGGCATATACTGTTGGACCCGACTTTTGTCACGCGGAAACTCGTAAATCCCCCGTCGTGGACGGGCTTGTTAAACGCAATCCCAACGGAAAAGAGATTCGCTATGTGACGAAGCTTTCCAAGGTGGAACAAGAAATGGCCGCCAAGATCGCCACTGGTTTCGGGCAGAAAGTCTGTGGATTCGATCTATTGCGAGTGGAGAACGGAAAGARTATCGAAAGCTATGTCATTGATGTCAATGGCTGGAGCTTTGTCAAAGATAACAACGACTACTACGATAACGCTGCCAAGATCCTCAAAGCAATGTTCATCCGGGAGAAGATGCGCTGGGAACAGAGCAAAGCAGCCAGTACCCCCACGGAGACGGATGAAAACGACAAGAAGGACCTTTTACCTCCACCTGCATCCGAACGCGAGCCAATGTATAAAAAGTCCAACCTTAGCAGGGATAGGGATATCGGTGGCCATCGCAATGCGCTCGCCGMTCACGTGGGCAATGTCTTCTCAGGACGAAGTAGGAGTGCGTCCTTGCGAGAGAAAGCGGAGCATGCCAGGAGTCTCTCGCATCTGCGGGACAAGGTTGAAAGTGCTGCGCACAAAGTTGGACATCCCACGCAGTCTAGGAGCCCGAGTGGAACTTCCAGCCCATTGTCGCCTACAAGTCTTGAGCGTACTCCAGAGCTGCACCGACGACCACCGACATCAGCGCCGGTAATGACTGAAATGCTGCCTCCACCGGCAGTTCCAACTTCCCAGTCGGAACAAAGTCGTCCTGGCAGCTCGTCTGCTGATGTTGTGAGTATCGCTCCTTCTGAAGCGCCCTCTCTTCTCCCAGCACCGGCACCCAAGAGTCAGTGGAAGCTGAAGGGAATGGTGGCCGTGATTCGTCATGCGGATCGTACTCCCAAGCAAAAGTTCAAATTTACGTTTCATACCAAGCCTTTTGCGGATTTGCTCAAGGGGCACCAGGAAGAGGTGTTGCTTGTGGGTGAAGCCGCGCTGTTTAGTGTGCAGCAGGCCGTGCGACAGGCTATGGCGGAAGGTATTGAGGACATGGTCAAGCTGAGGACGTTGAGTAATGCGTTGGCGAAGAAGGGCCCGTGGCCAGGTACGAAAGTGCAGATCAAGCCCATGTTCAAGAAGCCAAAAAAGGACAAGAAGGGTACTGCTGATGATGCCGCTGCTGTTGCACCACTCACTGCGGAAGAACCCAAGACGTTTGCCGATGATGCCGCTGGACATGCACGAGCACCGAACCGATCCGACTCGCTTGGGGAAATCACCATGTCGCGCGCCACGGCTGCGGATGAGAATCTTGTCCTGGACAAATTACAACTTGTCATGAAGTGGGGTGGTGAACCTACGCATTCTGCTCGCTATCAAGCTACTGACTTGGGTGAAAATATGCGCAATGATCTACTCTTGACCAACCGTCGCGTGCTGGACAATGTCTCGATTTACACCTCGAGCGAGCGCCGCGTTACGACTTCCGCGCAGATATTCGCGGCAGCATTTCTTGACCAGAAAGAGGTCGGACAGGATGAAATTCTCGTACGGAAGGACCTGCTGGATGACTCCAACGCTGCCAAGGACGAGATGGACAAGGTGAAGAAAAAGCTGAAGGGATTGTTGCGTGAGGGACATCAAGCGCCCGAGCAATTCGCCTGGCCGAAAGATGGCACTCCGGAGCCATATGTTGTTGTACGTCGTGTTGTGGAGCTGATGAAATTCCACCGGAGAGTTATGCGGAACAACTTCTCCAAGCTGCAAGGCTCGGAAGCTGTCTCGAGCTTGGAGAAGTTGCAGAAAGTTCCCGTGGATCCTGCGGCTTTAGCAAATGGTATTTCTGCAACGGAGAGCCAGACCAAGGAGATTCAACCACGATGGTGCACGGGTGAAGATGCGGATCTCTTCAAGGAGCGATGGGAGAAGCTCTTCAATGAATTCACCGACGCGGAGAAGGTTGATCCTAGTAAGATCAGCGAACTCTACGACACGATGAAGTTTGATGCCTTGCACAACCGACAGTTTCTGGAATGGGTCTTTACTCCTTCAAAGAGCATCCTAGCGGAAGGGTTGGATCCTCAACTTGAGGGATCCGCGTTGAAGAGAACCGAGAGCCAGATTGCGCGAGAGGAGTTTGAACACACGCATGACGGTTTAGCGCCATCTAGCGGACCCAACGGAGAAGGCATGGAGACTTTGAGCTTGCCGCCGCCGAAACGTACGGATACCATGGACACTTCTGCTTCAAGCTCTGCACCAGAGTCGAAAAAGGACAAGGAAAACAAGCCAAGCTTCTCCGAACGATTGGGTTTCCGTCGCAAATCTGGGGATCTGTTGCAGTCCAAGCTACAACCATCAACAACTCCACCTGCAGACCCTTCGCAGTCGTACTTTAGCCTCTACAAGAGTACCCTTCCAACCGCGCAGAACAAAGTCAAAACCGACCAACGATTGGAGAAGTTGAATGAAATGTACAACCTCAGCAAAGTCCTGTTTGACTTTATCGGACCTCAAGAATATGGCATTACAGATGCGGAGAAGTTGGAGATTGGTCTGTTGACTAGTTTGCCGCTGTTGAAGGAGATTGTCAAAGACTTGGAAGAAGTCCAAGCTTCGGACGACGCCAAATCCTTCATCTACTTCACCAAGGAATCCCACATCTACACCCTCCTCAACTGTATTCTGGAGGGCGGCGTATCGACGAAGATCGCCCGCAACGCCATCCCTGAACTCGACTACCTCTCCCAAATCTGCTTTGAATTGTACGAATCCGCAAACGCAGCGGCGGATGTCGAGGATCAGGGAGAGTACAACTATTCGATTCGGATCACGATATCACCGGGTTGTCATACGTTTGACCCGTTGGATGTGGTGTTGGATAGTAAACATTGTATTGGATGTGCGCCGCGAAGGAGTTTGACGAGTCATGGTGAGTGGTTGGGAGTGATTGAGGGGTTGAGGAAGAGGTTTCATACTGTGAGGTTACCGAAGAGTTTTATTGCTGTTGATTTGAGGGAGAGGTTTAGTGTTGGGGAGGAGTTGCTGAGTGTTGAGCCAGGTGTAGCTGCTGAGGGGGTGGTGGGTGGTGGGGAGGTAGTGAATGGTGGTGGGGATGAGAAGGCTGAGGAGGAGGGTGTTGTGGAGGGGCCAGGTGGTGAAGTTCCGGTCGTTTGAAGATGAATGGCTGTTCTGCATTGGAGCATTGTTGGATGGTTCTGATCAGGGCGGGTTAGCTTGAGCATTACGGGTGTTCGTTTCTTGGTCTTTCGTGTAGGAAGCATTGGTGTTATGGAGAGGAGGTCTTTTGGTCTGTGCAAGCTAGCATTTGGTCGGAGGTTGGTTGTGATGCATCATCATTGTTTGGGCGAGTGCGATTTGGGGTTTCTTGATGGTCCCTTCGTAGTGTTGGGACGTTGTAGCGTTGTATACATACATGCATTGAAAGCCAGCGATTATTACACTGCGTCTTTCACTTTCCCGTGTCGATTATGTCCTCACTCCATCATCCCCACTGTTGGAGACACGGTGCAAGTGAGGTATATGGCCATTGCATGTCATTCTCGCCTTCACAGATGACCATCGGAATAGCTAGCGGAGTTGTTCACTGTTTCATTATCCTAGGTAAGGTATCCACGTCGAGCTCCCAATCATTCCAAGCGAGCGAGCGAAGAATAATCATATTCTCTATCTGCCTATTCTCATCAATCTTATTACTTCATCTCAAAATTCGAGAGATCAAATCAAATTCAATCAATCATTCATGCTCTTGGTATACTTGACAGCATTCCGCACGGTACTCGCAATCCCCGGTCGTACATGAGCGTCTAAATGTACGATTGAATTGAGTGTGATTCCTGCCGGGGTGGACATTGCGGACTTGACGGACTCGGGAGTCATGCCGCCTTTGTTTGTCGTCATCAAGGCGCTGCAACTTTGGAGACATTGGGCTGTTAGGGCTAGAGCTGCTGCGCGGGGCATTCCTAGAATGTGATAATCATCGTCAGGGTCGGCGTTTTGGGAGGATTGGAGATGTTGGGGAGGAAGGGTTGTTTACATACCATCTGCCACACTAGCGTCCACGGCACTGTCTACCGCTACAATCGCCAGAGCGTGTACTGCTGCGTTTATTGCCGTGGCGGTGTCCATGCTTTTTTCAGGAACATGATGCACCGAACCAATACGCTTGAAGACGGCTGCGACGGTGGGAATCGCTGCTGAAGGGGTAGGAGTTTCCGCTATCAGAGTCACGCTCTCCCCGATTTTGGCTCCAAGAGTCGGAATAGTCCTCGCGATGTCGAATTGGTCTTGACGACTGCCTGGAGTGGCGGATACTAGTTTTGCAAGAAGTTGAGAGGTTGATATGCCGGCGAGCATGCTGATGATAATCTTGCCGCGTAAGTGAGAGGCGAAGTTATCTGTGCTGAGCACGGTGTCGAGGTCTCCGGGAACGAAACCTAGCAGGACTATATCGGCGGATGATACGGCTTCTGTGAGTTGAGAATCGCCGTGAGTGAAGGTTATGGCGCTGGAGTGGGCTGAGAAGGTTTGCTTTAAGAGCTCCATTGAGGCTGAGGAATGAACGTGAGCGGTGTATTGGAGTTTGTTGGAGGGTTCATCAGTCGCGTCATGTTGTAATAGTCCTTGGAGGATTGCGGAGCCCATGAAGCCTAGAGAGAGGGGATGGGGATCAGTATGCTGGGGAGGTCTTTGATGGGTGGGATTTACGCACCGCAGCCGATGATGGCAAGTCTTGGGGTATGTTCTGCCATGTCGTTGATGAGAGTGGCGACGGATTTGGAGATGCAGCAAGGGATTGATGTATGATTGAAAGGTGGATTTTGAAGGAAAGAGATGTATCAGATACAGCACGGATTATCATGAGCCTACCAGACCTGCAGTTGAGTAACTTACCCACGGAATTGATGCCGAAATCAATCAAAGTCAACCGGCATTGCATGCCGACATTCGGTATCAACTTGCATGATCCAATGATTCTTCTTCAAGATAACAATGGGTGCCACGACACCTCGAACTTTGCTTGTAGGCCGAAAGGTCGAAGATGGATGAAGAAGGTGGCTATCGTGACAGGAAGGAAAGAACGGGCATCCGGAATGGGTTCAATTTTACCGTCTTTACCTTAGTCAGCCATCGAGAACATCCACCCTAACGTGACGCAAGGCAAGGACGAAGGAAGGACATGATCAACGACCGAATCCCCGAAAGCTTACACAATCATCAGAGGACCTCATTCCGCCAGCCCGTCACACCAAACATAGATAATAAATCGTTTCGAGACTCTCCCATCATAGAACATACCATCTACTGTACTCTTTGAGCTCCATCTGTCCGGCGGTGATTGAAGCACTCTGTTCTCATTGGAAACATCAAAGCTTGACACCCTCTTCCTCCCCCTTTCCTTCACCAACAAAACATGGCCTCAGCAACTCGCAAACCAATCCTCATATCCGGAGCAGGCCTAGCATCTCTCCTTCTAGCACGAAGTCTCCTCCGCAACTCCATCCCCTTCCTCGTCTTCGAGCGTGATCAATCTCTTTCCTTCCGCGGTCAAGGGTACAGATTACGCCTATCAGCCCAGGGACTAGATGCCATTGAAGATGTCCTAGGTCCCGGTCCTGAAGGCTTCCCCAAATTCTGGGATAAATGTGGGAAAACCGGCGGAAGTAAAGGCGTCAGCGACATCAACCCAGTCACCGGAGAGGATATTGAGGAGGCTCCCAAAGATGAAACTACGAAAGCCGAGGAATCTAGTGCCCTGCGTCCATCGAAGGAAGCTCTGGCTTCAAGAGATGGAAAGACGGTGGGCATTGCTCGAGGCGATATGCGCGCTCTGTTCATGGAAGGATGCGAGCCATATGTGCAATGGGGACAGCAAGTCACTGGCTACGAATTAACACCCGAAGGAGTCAAGGCGGTTTTCCAAGACGGCTCGAAATCCGTCGAAGGCGAGATGTTGGTCGGAGGAGAAGGCATCTACTCCAAAATCGCCAAGCAAGTCTCGCAAGGAAAAATCAAGACGTACGACACCGGAGCCAGGGGAATCCACGGGCAAGCTCCCACAACTGCCTTCAAAGCTCTCGGCGAAGGAGTCTGGATGCTCAAAGATAAAACTAATCCGGACGGCCACGTCTTCGCAATCACAAACGTTCGTCCGGGAGATATGGATGATCCCAACATCCAATTCGGCTGGACAATGGGTGGACAACCCGGCGTCATCAAACCTCCCAATGATAACTTTTCCATCATCGGCAAACCAGCTGCTGATATTGCGAAATCATTGACAGCGAATTGGCATCCGCGTGTGAGGTCTCTATTCGAGCAAATGGATGAAAAGGAAGCGGCGTTTTGGAAAATCACTTGTTCTTCCCCATCTGGTGTCCCGGAATGGCCCAATGACCCTCGAGTCACGGTGATTGGGGATGCGGTGCACAGCATGACGCCTGCGGGAGGTATTGGAGCGAACACGGCGTGTCGAGATTCGGCTTTGCTGGGGAAATTGTTGGGGGAAGCTGGAGGGTGGAAAGAGGGTGTCACGGCCGCGTATGAGAAGGAGATGAGAGTGTAAGTTGTACTGATGTTCTATATACGAGGGTCTGTTGCTAACTGTTACGCAGGTATGGAAGCGAAGCCGTCGCGACGAGCTATGGTATGGCCACTCACACGTTCGGCATCAATATCGACGAGGCGACGACTCCTACTGTTGGATGAAGGCGGGCATCTGACGTTCAACATGTTCCCTTTTGTTTAGTCTTAGCTGCCAGCAGAAGGGACACAGCATATCGACAGACGGCATACATCAGAGAGGCGTTACATGATTCACGATATTGGAGTTTGGTGTACACATTACAGGCGTAGGCGCGAGGAGATTGCAGCACCTCGTTCCATTTCTTAGATCCTCCCCCCAACCAGAATATTGTCCAAATGCCCTTGGCTCGATAATCCTCTCCTGCTCCATCCAATTTTCGACCGTCTCACCAACCTGTAAGTCGTCCATTCCACATGGTCCTTTTCTGACTAAAGATGAGCTCCGCACGCCAACAGTTGCTCGAGTCATTCGCTGTTAGAGTCCCTAGCTGAACTCTACACAACATAATACATACTGCTATCCATTGTACATCTCATTCGCATGCTCGGATTGGGTGCAATCAGAGACACGCCATACCCATCTTCTCCCACAACATTCGATTACATCCCTCGAACTTGGTAGAATAAATTTATGGCGGTTTCGAAGCGTACGAGTGGAGTCGAGTCGAATTTGCTGATGAAGTGTAGAAACTTGTTCTCGTCGTAGTAGATACCCAGCGCTTCGACTCTGATCTCTTTGCATGTCGCCAGGATACAACCACCATTACGGCTGTACCCAGAGGCCGTGACGTGAATCAGGTCCTGCTCAATGAGCACGAAGCGATAAATGGCATTCTTCATTTCAGCCGGCAACTTGCAAAGCCTGGATCTCTGCAAAATCGGCCCGGAAGTGAAGGTGAGTCGCTTGTAGTCTTCGGGGTGAGGATCGGACTCATTCTCTTGCGCGTTCGAAGATGCAGATTTGCTGTCTTTAGACTCGGTATAAGGAACTTCCTCGAAAACTTGGTGCGACTGGTGCGCGATGGGAACGTCTCTCATGATTTTCTTGGAAGTGGTTGAAGTGTTTGTTGCTGGCGTCGTGATGTTGTTGATCCGGATCGTAGCGGAAACGAGTGTTGCATTCGGGGCCGGGGGATGTGTGATGGATTGTCTGATATTCAGATTGAAGCCGCATTAAGCGTGCCAAATTGAGTTTGAGTTCATTCACTCCCAAAGATTTTGCATGGGCATGTCATTCCCATCGGTTGACTTCACTTCGCCAGTACCATATTGCACTCTCGTGCATTGCGGCATCCGCGAGTTGATCTGATAATGAATCAGCAGTACAGTGTCTTACAGGCATGATAGTCGTTATATCGGGCCCATCCTCCTCATCTGAACGCATTCCAAACACAAAGTCCCACGACCCACAGTCCTGCGATCCCACTCATAGGCAGCATACCACTCGCAGCTCCCTCAGTAGCGGATTTACCATTGCAAATCGTACCAAACCCTGAGGTCACGTTGAGGATGTTGTTTACACATCTGCCGAAGGAATCTTCATTTATTGGTTGGCAGTAATAGAAGCATCCACTGTACAATTGCACGGTATCTTGTACGCAGCATGCTGGAGCAAGAGAATTGAATCAGCGTTCTAAGTACATCACATCGCGGGTCATCGAAAATACTGACAGGTGAGGTTGGAAGTGTACAACTGTTGTTGAGCATTGAAACCGCAGAGCGCTGTAGGATTCTTCTTCCACCAGTCTGACTCGGTAACGTAGGTTGAGTTATAGGACGAAGAGCTTGGTGGACAGGTTCCTGTTGATTTCAACGAGTGTGCTTTTCGACTCGCCGACTGTATCTCACGTACCAGGATCTACTTGAGCCATTTCGAAATGCTTGGTCAGTCAAGTCGAGAGAAAGTAGGTCAGGAACTTCCGCAGAATCTCGCCTTCTTAACGATGAGATTGAATCCTCGCCGAGGTGAAAACATTGATGCCCTTCACGATGGCTCCTTCGAAGGATTGCAGAGGATGCGGGCCGGAGGTCATGCTGCTAGCGAGGCTTGGCGAGATGGTCCAGAATGCAAGGCTGAAAATATGAAGAATGTCAAACTCGGCGCCTCATTCCTCTCACATGCCTGTGTTTGCAAACACCCACAATGTCCGTTGCTCGACCTCAGCTATGCGATCGGCTGCAAAGGTATTGAAGGATGCTTCAGCTTCGAGGCGCAGCTCCATATCATGCAATCCTTTTGAACATCTGGGCGCATGCGGATGCTAGCGGGGGCAGTGAAAGGCTGTGCAGGAAGCTCTTTCATCTTGAAGTGTAGCAGCCTTGATTGCGTGGGGTGGGCTGTGTCTTGGGAGGAATTGCGGCCGACTCCACGAAAGGATCTACGACTGCTCCGCCATCTCACCGGCCGAAACCGCTCCTTCCGCTTCTTTCGTCCCCTCTTTCTTGCCGCTCTTGTTCTTCTTCTTCGTCGCCATCTTCTTGGGCGAACCCAGCACAACGCGTCGTTGAAGAAGACCTCCCGACTGGCGCTCAAACATCTTCTTGTTTTTATCCACAACTGGTGGTGTGACAAGCCTCCCTGAGTCATCCAACGCCCCATACCTGAAAATCTGCACTCTTGTGCCCTCTTCCCTAGGCTTTCGAACCAATCCATATGTCGAGCCCTTCTCCCGACTCAGCTTATAGTCCGCCCTCTCTCGAAGACCCATTGCTCCATCCTCACTCCTATACTCTTCTCTTCGCTCCGTCCGAGTCTTGTACCCTGCGATTCCATCCCCCTGTTCCCAATGCCAGTTTTTAACAGCACCACACGTAGCTCTGCTGAGGCTACGGTTGAGGCTATTCCTCCATTCGATGAACCTGTTCAACTGATACTTGGGCACCATCTCGGCTGTCATGAGCTTCTGAATGCAACCAATCATCTGTGTGGCAAATCTCATCGCTTCCTCCTCTTGACGTCTCATCTCGGATCCGGTGCGATGCATCATGTCATTGCGGCCTTCCTCTGGATTTCCCTCGCCCTTCTCCTGCCCGGGGATTCGAGCCACGATCTGCGGCAAGAACACATCAATCGCATCCAAAGCACCGCAAATATTGTGGCCCGAATCTGTAGTCATCGCGAGGCTCAGAAAAGCCTCTAAAGTTGGCACATCTACATCATCCAGCCGCTTGCCCATGTCCTGCACAATCCTCAACGCGTTTCCCATGATGCTGGGATTCTTGTGATCCCTAGCGCAGACTGCAAGAGCATCCCGGTAAGTGTAGCCTGTTGGATGCACGCTTCCTCCCTCGGGTGAGTGCATCAGCTCGACAAGCGCGGCGGCTTTGGCGGAAGATCGGTTGAGTCGGAAGAGTCGGAGCAGCGATTGGTAGTTTTTGAGATCTGGAGTGACGGAGTGTGGAGGTGAGGTGATGAGTTCCCAATAGGCGATTGCCGTTTTGGGAATGCGCATCGTTATGCATGCTTGGATTAGAAGTTYAAGGATCGGGTTGCCTGCCAGGACCCATATTGGGCTACTGAAGGTCTTGGTGGTAGGAACGTTATGGAACGCTTTGCTTGCCGGCGTTGGAACAAATCCATCTTGCTCTTCTTCTGCTGTAGGAGTACTCTGAACCACATCGTCGCCGATTAGCGTCTCTTGGGGGACATGGCCGATTCGTCGGTCGGGATGGTCGAGAGGGACAATCTGGCGTGGTATGCGTGTAGTTTGCTCCACGAGAGAAAAAACATCGTCCCAGTCTTCCATCCTGTTTGATATCAACAGCAGGGTGCCCATTTGACAGACCAATTCCGCATCAATGACTAGATCTCCGCTCCTCCATCTCTGAATACACTCCATCCATATCCGTCTACCTTCGTTCACGGCGCCTTGCCGCTTTCCACCTACTTGTTCCAGGTATACCCCGTCCTCGTCTACTGCCCCCATCGCTCCCCAGCGTATGGCAGAGAGGAGAATGGTATAGGTCACAGTATCCGCACTTCCCGGTCCACGCTCCGGGATTCTTGCTGCAACACCCCACAAAGCATCCATATCCCCGGCCAACGTACACACCCTCAATACAGCATTTGTGTGTATGATCGACGGTCTGACGCGACTCGTAGGCGTTAGCATTGAATAGTAAATATTCGTGGCCTTGGCCACCGTTGCCTCGTCCACTTTCTTCCCATCCGTGGGCAAAAARCTGCGGAAAAGAAGGGTGTATGTGTGTGCATCGGGAAAGACACCTCGCTTCTTCATCTCATTGTAGATTTTCAAGGCTTCCGTCACGCGACCCGAGCGCATGTGCCAGTCCACACAGTGATTCCACGCCACGACAACATCACTGGATGATGCTGTCGATTTGGATGCCATACGCGCAAGATCCAAGGCTTTTGCTGGGTCATTCTGCCGGAGGACGTAGTGGATGTGTGAGGCGAGTTTGAGCGGGTCTGTAAGATACTWGAGCTCGGCTTGGAGCGCTCGAACAGTACTTGAAGAGGTCAATTGTGTGGATTCTTCCTTCGGGTTGGTGCGTCCCGATGGAAGATAGCTGTTCGAGAGCGCATCTTGCGGTGCTGGCGTGGAGGTGGTGGTCAGGTTGCGGCGGGTGTTGGTTCGGGCAGAGATTCGGGGAGTCAGGAYCAATGCGCCATTGATGGGAGATGCGCCATCGGCAGCAATGGCACGAACACAGCGCAGGACGCATGCGCGGCATTCAAGCATCGTTGCGGTAAAATTTGGAGAGGCGAGAAAGCTTTAATTCACTTTACAGGTCTGCTTGAGAGATCGTGTTCTAGCGCGACTTTTCGGGGCGCTAGTGGGTTGACCTGGCCTAAAACACCAAACGCTGGATACTATATACTGGTGCATGCATAACAGGACCATGATCAAGGAACGAATTTGCTGCCACTATAGAACTTCTGAGAGTTTTTGTTCTTGCATACTTGGGTACGATTTTTTTCTTGGTGGAATTGCTTGCCATAAAGCGGCCGTCGAAAAATGAGAAATTCCATGGAGAACTCAGCAGCGTGTATCTTCACCTGAGAAACGACATGAGCATGAAGCGTCAGAGTCGGTTTGGAAGAGATGCTCTTCGTATACCTGTGTCGTATACCTGTATCATCGAATACTATCCTGCTATGCTGTTTTGCTACCCCAACCCTAACCCTACAAAACAGCGACACGATTACATATGAATGGGACGGCTACGATGAAAGCACTGTGCCTCCAAAGTTGCATTTCTAGGGTTATCGAGTGTAAATTACGAGATAGACTCTCTATCTCGCAGTTTCTGACATTAATTGGTCTGGCATGTTCGTTGCAGTCTGCAGAACTGCAAGAATCGACTGGAAGAACGCTGATACACACTGGACGTGCCATCTCTCTCACCATCGGCATCTTAACATCAATGTTGTCCTGGACTTGCCCTCTCTCTCAACATCGGCATCTTAACATTGATGTAGTCCTGGACTTGCCCTCTCTTTCGATATCGGCATCCTACCATTGATGCAGTCGACTGATTGGAGGGCCAGAGTCTTCTCAAACGGCTCAAGAAGGATATGGGTGCTTGYATTGCGCAAGCTCGACCTTTCCCTCACTGACGAAGCATTCCAGACATGGTCCTTTGATCTCATCAATGATCCTCCTACTGATATCTTGGAATTCCTTGATGGAGGGCGGGTGTCCGAAGTTGCTGCACAAAGAGCTAGCGAGCTGGCACTTGGTAGTGCTGCAGGATTTGGTGGTATTTGTCGGATTACTGGCCTTCACGGCCTTGAACCCGTTCAGGCTGTGCTGGAGGGAGTGGGCACGGATACGAGAGGTTGGCCACACTCCCAAGAACACGAGATTCTCCATCAGCGTCATTGTGAACTCTCCCGCGTAGTTACAACTCGGGGTGCAGACTGCTACTCCCGGCACTCTGCGGAGGAGCAAGCATCTCTGGATCTCTGACTCCACAAGGTCGGCGAGCTGTGATTGAAACTTGAGTCTTTCCTGCTCCAAGACAACTGAAGACRTCAGCGGTGATTCCACACGGGTCAATACATTCGGACTTACCCAGAACATCACGAATAGGCTCCAGATGAGGCTGTGAAATGGGCGCGGTGATTTCGAAGGCGCAGTCGAGTAATAGTCTCCTGCCAAACTCCTTGAAGCCCTTGGCGTTACGAAACAGATAAGAGGCAGCAAGCATGAGATGGCCCCCCACGGCACCGGGATACCAGCCGCTGGCTGGTGGAGAGTTCAGCTTTGCTAGCGAGTTGTTGTTCAGCCACATTCCTGAAACTAGCTTCAGTGCTCTGATGAAGTCGTATTTGTCCGCAATGAGAGCAATTCGCAGCACCCACGTTGGCGACAGTATATTTGTGGCAGCAAAGCTGGAGTTCCGGAGATGAATGATGTCGCAGATGACTTCCATTGCCTGTGGATCATCGTCTCCCAGTTCAATCTCCAGTGGGCTTGCGGAGGTGGCCTGGAGCAGATCGGTACCCTCCTTGAATCTAGGGCTGAGCATGGCTTGGAAGACCTTGGAGCTCAGGTTGAGAACCGCGGAAGAGACGCGGATCTTGAGACTAGATGCATCAAGTGAGTCAGTGCAGGTCCATGGGAACGTGGAGTATTGACGAGCAAAYTTACATTCGTTCGTCTTCGATGTTGGTGCCGCAGACCAGGTAAATATCACCGCGCGGGTAGACATCTTTCACGATGGGCACCCTCACTGTGGCAGGCACTGCAATTGCGGTAGGCGCCTCGGTCGCCATGTTGAGTCGAGCGTGGTGCAGGATGTCTAGATGCAGAGGGCGAAAGGCTTAGCGATGCCTCAACAACTAGCGCGGGAAGATCAACTTTCTGCTGGTCTCTCGACCTGGAAAGCTCACAAATCTCCCTGTTCTTGATATCTCTCAGCGCTTAGAAATGCTGGAGCGAAGTGAAGTGAAGTGAAGTAATGTAATGACCGGAAAGAATATCGAAGACGCGAGGATACCTAGGAAGTACATGTTTATGAGAGTCGCAATGGGAGTAGCAAATACACATGATATGAAAAGGTTGCAGCCGTCTGCTCGAAAAGCCAATTCGCTGCTGTCTCTCACCCTAAGGGTATCAATCCATGCAATTGGCAGATGATATGCCATTGCCTGACTTATCCTGCCCTTATAGCGGTCAACCAACGGAAACATACATCTCGCGGAGGGGAAAGGTTATTCTGTGAGGTAGGGGCAGACGACYGTATGAAATGAACCATCAAACTGGAAGCAAGTCATGAGACGTAGAAAGCTAGAACTTACGTGGACATCTACGGTTCCTTTACTCGGCCTTGTAATACATGTGAATAGTCAGGACTCACCGTGACAAAGCTCTCGAGTCTTTGCTCGAGCCTTTGTTCGTCGAGGGGCAAGTGCTGTAAGACAAGAACGTGTTGCAGAGAAGAAAGTCGCCCAGAGTCAGGGAGAGCAGTGAGCGTTGGCCAGACACTACACCAACGAGACCGCTCTCACACATGGGAAAGGCTCATCATTGTCCATGTAGTGCAATACATGTAGCCTGAGTTCGACCGAGACGTCACACTCCCGCAGCGCCGCTTTTGTGCTCTAGTCTAACAATCTTTGATAAGGTTTTGCTCTGCCTAGCGCGACTTCCAAATTTTGAAAACCCTTCTTTATTTTCTCTCGCTTCGCTCCTCCCTCTCATCTCCTACATCAACCTCACAAACCCTTCACGCTCTCTCATCTCACCGCGTCCCTCAAAACAACACCAGTATTTGAAGCACGCACAGCAGAGACACATAATTCCACACACGACTTCGACCACTCTGAGAGAAGAAAAGAACACAGCCTCAGTCATGTCTTACGGCGGCTACGGCGGTGGAGGCGGAGGAGGTCGCGGTGGCGGCTATGGCGGCGGTGGTGGTGGATACTCCAACGGGTACGACAATTATGGTGGTGGAAACTTCTCTGTCGCTCCTCGGGACCGCAACGATGATCGCTCTTCTCATTCATTTGGGTAAGCCTGAATCGGCGCGCCTGCAGGCCGTCGGGAAAGTTCAATATCTCTACTACCCCCACCATCAAACATTTCAATTCAATCATGTGCTAACATTTCCACAGCGGCGGTGGCGGCTACGGAGGTGGCAGCAACGGCTACTCAGGAGGCGGAGGCGGCTACGGAGGTGGCGGCGGCGGCGGTGGATTTGGCGGCGCAGGCGGCGACCGCATGTCCAACCTCGGCGCTGGTCTCAAGACACAGCAGTGGGACTTGGCTACCATGCCAAAGTTCGAGAAGTCCTTCTACAAGGAAGACCCAGCAGTCGCAGCCCGCACTCAGGCTGAGGTCGACGAGTTCCGCAAAAAGGCGCAAATCACAATCCAGGGACGCGACGTGCCCAAGCCAGTCGAGACTTTCGACGAGGCCGGTTTCCCCAACTATGTCATGAGCGAAGTCAAGGCTCAGGGCTTCGACAAGCCAACTGCCATTCAGTCTCAGGGCTGGCCGATGTCCCTCTCAGGTCGGGACGTCGTCGGTGTCGCCGAGACCGGTTCCGGAAAGACGCTCACATACACCCTTCCCGCCATTGTTCACATCAACGCTCAACCTCTCCTCGCCCAAGGCGACGGCCCGATTGTGCTCATTCTTGCACCAACTCGTGAGCTCGCGGTCCAGATTCAAGAGGAGGTTAGCAAGTTCGGCAAGTCCTCGCGCATTCGTAACACGTGTGTCTACGGCGGTGTGCCCAAGGGTGGCCAAATCCGYGACCTTAGCAGGGGCGTGGAGGTCGTCATCGCGACACCTGGTCGTCTCATCGACATGCTCGAGACCGGCAAGACCAACCTTCGCCGCGTCACCTACCTCGTCCTCGACGAGGCTGATCGCATGTTGGACATGGGTTTCGAGCCTCAAATTCGCAAGATCATCGGACAAATTCGCCCGGACCGTCAGACTTGCATGTGGTCTGCTACATGGCCCAAGGAAGTCCGCCAGCTGGCCGCCGACTACCAGACCAACTTCATCCAGGTCAACATTGGCTCGCACGAGCTGTCCGCCAACCACCGCATTCACCAGATTGTTGAGGTCGTCTCAGACTTTGAGAAGCGCGACAAGATGTTGAAGCACCTCGAGGCCATCATGGAGGACAAGGCCCACAAGATCCTGATCTTCACCTCCACAAAGCGTGTCGCCGACGACATCACCCGACTTCTCCGCCAGGACGGCTGGCCAGCACTTTCCATTCACGGTGACAAGCAACAGAACGAGCGTGACTGGGTGCTCAACGAATTCAAGACTGGAAAGAGCCCAATTATGGTTGCCACCGACGTGGCTTCCCGTGGTATCGGTATGCTTGCTATCCATCATTCCCCCCCTTCCCCTTCCCTCCCATTAGTAAGTGGGATCTGTCCCGCCGAGCCCGCGCTTCCGCGCCCTCGGCGTGCACACATAACCATCGCGTCTAGGGCTGTATGTGTTCCTTTGTTCTTCTCAAAGGTTCCTTGGAGACTTTTGTATGGTGAAGCCCTTTTCGAGCTTCATCGTGCCTGTCCGTCCTCTCTCTCTGCTTCGCATTGTCATCAGTTGAGAAGCGAGACCACGGAGTCTTTCAATGTTGCGTTGGTGTCAAAGCTGCGCGCGTCCAAGGAACCCCCATTTTGGAGAATATGCACGGCCCGTGACATGTGTGGTGTAAATGTGTGACTGCGTGCGTATGCCATTCCTGGCGTTCGCTCYAGCGTCCAGTGTCATATCGACACAAGGACGCGGTGTTTGCATATATGCGCACCCTGACAGATTCCGCATCCTTTCAAGGATTGCTATTGCTCGCCTTCACTCACCTCGTTGCTCCGCAGCATCTCACTAACATTTTGCGCGTTCAAAGACGTCAAGGACATCACTCACGTGTTCAACTATGACTACCCGAACAACTCTGAGGACTACGTTCATCGTATTGGACGTACCGGACGTGCCGGCCGCACTGGAACTGCCATCACTCTTTTCACCACTGACAGTGAGTATTCCCTTCGCATGTTGACGACGTTGCAGCAAACACTAACAACCACACAGACTCAAAGCAGGCTCGTGACCTTGTCGGTCTCCTCACCGAGGCCAAGCAGCAAATCGATCCTCGCCTCGCCGAGATGGCTCGCTACGGTGGCGGTGGTGGCGGTGGTGGTCGTTACCACGGAGGTGGCCGCGGTCGTGGCGGTGGACGCGGTGGTGGACGCGGTGGCTGGACCGGTGGGAATAACGCTCCTCTCGGTGGCGGCGGCAGTCGCTGGTAGATGTTGGCTTTGGTCAATTTCTGTTGCCACTGTTCTCATCGATACGACTCATCCCACAGATTAGCGGGGATGATATTTCATGGATCCGGAGTTTTCTATGGGAAGGGAATTTTCATTACGGCGTTTCAAGGCTACAGCAGATGCATGCCCGCGGAATTTGAAGGGTTGCACTTCCCTCCGGCGTGAGGGAAGCGAGATGCCAAAAGCATGAGATAGAATGTGCTACTACTAGATCATGAAATCAAGTGCATGTTTGTACTGTTCGAAAATTTGTTGCTCTTGAGATTTTGCAAGCTTGTGAACCACCTCACTTTGTAATGGGTTTGGATTCTTGCCTTCATGTTCACCTCCCATTCAGATCCATTGCCACACGACCAAGGCCTCAAAACCACCTGGCCAATCCGGTCAATGACGCCGTTTCCGCTTCTGATGAATTTCTGTGAGTGCCTCATTCCGTGGCAGAATTTCATCAATCGATGGTCAAAGAAAATGGCCATTCTTGCTTGTGCCACCTATTCTTGCTTGCGGCCGAGTCGGATGCTGGATTGGAGCGGATGCTCACTCACCTCTGGGAGAATTCAAACTTTCCAAAACTTTTACACGAGTACCAAATGTTTCTTACACAACAAACGCGGAATGAGTTTTTTTTTTTTTCTTCTTCTTGCTTTCTGCCGTGGGTAGAGGGTCTTCAACTTCCACACTTTTATCCTAGGATCGTGGACAGCCACATCACGCTGTAGCATCTGAGGACAGAGGTGTCCTTGATGGTATATTCGAGAGTCTGGAAGTTCATGATAAAGTTTCCGGTACCGAATCTTTGATGAATGAATAGAAACAAAGGGTCCAACAACAGCATAGGGCATAGATCTGACCCCTTAATTCAACGACAGACCCGCCGGCGCCTGCTGCTGGCTCCCGAACACTACCGGATGCTCATGGTCGATTATTAATGAATGATATCGTCTTCGTATAAGATCCGTATGTGGAGATTTCCAAGCAAAATTTATGGGTGAGAACCACGTGTTTCCGATGCGTGACTGAATAGAGTGAAGTGAATGAAAGACAAGTGTATCACCCGCCGATTGCAGAGCTGGTTCGCATAGTAGCGGTGTCTCCAAATGTCCAAATGTCCATAGGAGTCGAGAGTTGAGAGACATGGAGACCTTCGTCTTCATGCGGTCCGGTCAGGAGTTTAATTAGCGTGAAAATTGACCAATGAATTTGAATGAGATGAATGTGTGTAGCTTGGCTCTTGATGGTGATTGGTACACTTTGCAGAAAAGAGGCATCTGACGAATTTGTGTTTCTTATATGAGGGACCATTCTCTCGTTGAGGATGGCAGGGAAGTGTAATAAAAAGATGATGAACTTGCGAAAGATTCCGCATCTGCAACGTAGGCATGGCCGCCAACCGTCTTTATTTTGGGAGCCAGTCTTTTTTCCGGACGGGACCGGAATGTCGATAGCTAACGAAGATGTGCATCATGACATGGCTGTGCCAAAGTGATGTAGGAGTAAAGCCTCGGTCGGATGCGAGCGATGTGAATTTTCGCTGAAGCCGTCTGGGAGGACCTGACAATAACACAACTGGTCTGGAATTTAGCATGTGACATACTCTGCTSAAGCTGGTAGTATGGTCATGCAAATCGTTATGCCAAACGATGTAGAGACTTGGAGCTGGTAGTGAAATGTGTTACTGAATTTGCTTCAATACAGGTAGCCACCCGGTACGAGGCGAACACATCCTTTCAGAATTTGTGCGGTGCCGTCGACGTATGTCGTGATGCTGCGTCACCTTTCTTGCGGGGGTGCCTCGAAGCCTCAGTCTTTGTTCCCTACGTCCGATTCGCTTCCCCTTTGATGTTTTCAGGGCTCGCAGTGACTCCCACATCGGGTGGCAATCATGGGCAGATTGCCGGATCCTGCACCGTGGGTCAAACGATGTAGGAGACAATAATTAGCTGTCGATGTGTCAAGCTGACTCGTTCAAGACAAATGAGTGATCGTGGAGATGGCTCTGGGAGTCTGGAGACTTCCCCAAGACTTTTGGACCAGCAAATCGTAGCTTTCCTTTGATTCCTTCACCTTTCGAAAGGAGATACGCGAACGATCTCCTCTGGTTTGCTGTGTAAACCTTGTCGCCCGGCTTAGCACCATGTTGGGTCGTTGATCGCTGATCACTCGGAGCACGGCACAATTTCAGATTTTCTCCTCAATTCTGCCTGGGTACCAAGCATCCCTTCATGTCGACTCGAGTGGTTCCCACTGCCTAGTGATCGCCATCTTGATTTGAGATAGAAGGATTGGAGAGTAGTACGCCAACATRTGAGGAAGTCTAATAAAGCCACATACCAAGTTCAACCGCCTTACAGACTTCGTATAACGTCGCCTCCTGATTCTTGAATCCTGGAGTAGCTCCAAGGGCAGACGGTATGTGGAGATGAACATGAGCTCACCTTCCCAATTCGTAGATAACCAACACCCTGACCGAGGAGAAGCCGATTCAATTGGAGCACGCGTGACAGAAGCTTTCCGAATCACGTCTTTTAGAATCGAAGAGTGCATGAGCAATATGTGGGTGTGGGCCACATATTTTGTGTGATGCGTTCTTGCGTGCCCCTCAGCATGCGGAGCTAGCTGTGTCAAGGAGTCAGAGACGTCCCACCAACAAGTAGTTCGGAACATAGCTCCGGCAGTTTTTAGTTGGTGTGCTCCGATCGGGTGAACAGAGCACTAGTAGTTCGCTAGCATGCTGCAGGAGCAGTGACCAGTAGTTGCATGTGCATTCCATTTCCGTGATATGTGAGCTGCAGCCCATTTTCTGCACCGACGTAGGATGTAGGGTCAGTAGGTTGAAGGTTCCAGTAGACTGAAGCTTCAATGAAGGCTATTGCATTCTTGCAGTCTTCCACTTTGGTGATCCGCTGCTTGAAGAATTAATCAAGATCGAAGCCAGATGGGCCTGAGGTTGGCCCAATTCCTACGGGCTACGTGGGTGATCGCCGCTCAAGCCACGTTCTCAATGCTCATGTACGTCAACGTTGTCATGCACCATATTGATTTACTCCCGCTGCGTCGTCGAAGGGTTGGCCATTGTGATGCCATAACGTAAGAAGTCTACGAGGCGCAGTAGACCTCTCGACGCACGACAAATTGCTTCAAGGTTCTCTGTGTTTGCTTCTTCAGGCGTCCAAGCATGCAGGCCTGAAGGTTGGGGCAGATCAAGATCCTTGCGAATGGTCTGGCCAGAACTACACGCGTGTGGGCCAAAATTTGAGAGTGGGCTGCTTGTTTCCCTGCCTAGTCAGCGCTCGTATCTCGCGTAGAATCAGAGCATTGTCCACATCGGTACGTACACTCGTACTGATCGCAGCGCACCGGTAGCTCTGATTCAGTGGCTGAATTATTTGTGAAAACTACTCTCGAGTGAGCCAGTAAAGAACAACCGAGCCGCGGAGACAGGATGTCGATCACACGTTGACGGAAGGCTGGTCCGCATGTGATAGACGAGGCTGTGCAGAAAGCAACGCGAGTCGCGTTGGACAATCCGTCAATGCTCGGCCTCGCATATTCGAAGCTCCATCTGGTTGGGCCTTTAAGCAGTAAGCTTTATGGCAATGTAACGTGCTGGTGCACGCTGCACTCGTCGAAATGGATACTCGAGAATGGGTGTGCTCCTGCGACGACATTTTCGCAACGCTCCGAGGAGTTGCGCATCTATAGCATTGTGTCTTAGGTTGACCACTGGTAGGCATCAATGAGTACCCAGATGTTCGGATGCTTCGACGTGCTCGTGTCATAAACGGGAAAGGTACAGGGMAGAGATGCCACATGTGGCTATTGCGCGGTTTCCGTCGTTGGGAGCTTCAATGTCCAGGTCATGCAATGCAACAGTAAGGAGAGGCTCAGAGTGTGGCTTACTGCCGTCCGCCAGTCCCCATAATCACCTGGGATTGATGCGTTTGTTGACGATCCGACAGCTCCAAGACCCTGATGAGATGTGCATCTCCGCAGCATGCTGGGATTGCTTGAATGCGTGGTATGGACGCTTTAATGTCGAGCAATCATCCGACGTATTCTTGAGCGCCCCTCGAGAAACGGACAATCACAGTCCCGTTGAAGACCTACAGATACTAGTCGCGACTTCGTGAAGAAAGTTTAAACCTTTAGTTGTTCCACCCATATAGTAGGAGCAGGCATCGACGTCAAGAGTGTGGACATACCTGCGAATTTGTGATGCGACTTGGAAGTTGTTGGCGAAGTCGACCTCGGTGCTTGATGAGACACTTCAAACTTGACAGCCCGGAGGTGTTTAGTGGTTCAGCCAATCAACGTCGTGCCGGAGTGAGTGGGGACCACGAAGCGAAGCTCGTCAAATTGCAGCAGTCTAATGCCGGCTCATTTTGAGCTGCGGAGTTGTCTGATTCGGCGTCGATTATGTGATGAAGCCCCCATGCGTGCAGAGCGGCTGCCAATGATTTGTGGAGCGCCAGGGCCCACGTCGTCACYGTCACATACGGACAGGTTCTGCTGCATGATGTCGGCGATTGAACATTCGGTTGGCAAAACGAAGCTGGGAGGGAACGGGGGGTTTGCGTAGAGGTCGACTGATACACCGTCGCGTTTATCGCYGTGTACAAAGGGACTCCCACGCTTCTGTAGATCTCCGATGCTGTGCGAACACTTCGCTGTCGTCAACATAAGAACTGGCTAAGGGCGGGAGCTATATCTCCCATCTGGTTGGATCTGGTGGTGTGAAGGCTACCACCAGAAACTTCAGACTACTCCCCATCCTCGTCCCTGCGATTGCTCGTCTGCTTGGTCGCATGGTGGATGCCTTGTGGTTCCCAACATTAATATTCCACGTACAATAAACATGTTTCTTTGCCTGCAAATCTCGGGCAAGCAGGTGTGTCATTTTGGACTGTCACCATGGATGCTGCATACGCAGGCGAGAGATGCCTCTCAAGGCCGGCATGCTGCCACATGCGGAGGTCTGGCGAGAACCCTGTCACTGCGCATAAGACCTGGCGGACGAGTTGACGCGATGTTCTGCCAGCGGTTTTGTCCACTACTCCGACCGGATTAATCTCGATATCTGCGGGCAAAAAGAGCCGCCTATCGCATACACAGGTCATGCGGTGATCTAGGATTGCAGGATCGCCATGCCGGGAATCTTGCACTCCATGCTAAAATGAGTGCATCCCACGCCGCGACATGGTATGCGCAATTCGYAAGTGAGGACGAGCACCAAGTGGCGCAATCAAAATAATGATTGAGTCCGGTAGGTATGGCCCATGGGAGCGCATCGGCGTCCCGGAGCCGTGTTGGAGCCGGATTGATGATGGCTAGCGATATTTCGTACCTCCAAGTACTGTGCATGTATGTGTGATGGTCCAATCAGCTGTGAATGATTAATAGTACATCTCGCGGATGAAAGTCTTCTCGCGCGAATCTAGCACATGCTCGACTTGTGCAATACATGTGCATGTCGCGATTCCATCGCCTCCCGGCGGAGGAGTCGAGGCATGCGCAAAGATGACGATCGCATTCCTTCCCACCACTTCTACAGCCGGCTCTCACATGTGGCCCCGTGTTTCTCTGGCCGCTTGCCCCCATCTCTCCTAGTTCATCCGCACACTAGCAACATCGCAAGCTCATCCACGTGAAGAGCCGACTTCACTAGCACTCAAGGCGCGGGAACCACCATCCTACAGCAGCCGCTGTTGCACGTGGAATTCCACCGCAGACGCGACGGTCCAGTGTCGCCAGCRCAGGAGCGCGACCGACGTGTGTGCGGACAATCTTCGTCACCGCCTTTTGGACGGCCATCCCACCCTCAAGAAATCGCCGCTCGTCTAAACCCTCAACTGCCGCGCTCAGACGACGCGTCGAGCTAGCGCCACGAGACGGACATCGGATCTCAGTCCAAAGCCATCACATCTCCGTCGCTCAAAGGACAGCAACAACAAATCCCTGCGTGTTCCTCGGCGTCGTCATCCGTCCTTCAGCCGCCAAATTCAGCCCTCGCTCGCCGTGGTGCTCTTTCGCCCCGCCAGTAAGATAACGGGGTTTCTGGTCTGTGCGCGGACCACGGTTACAGAAAACTCTATTCCACTCGCAGGACAGGTTACCCAGCAGAAACACTCAGGCAGCCACGCGAGCGGCAACCCCCAGCTGCCAGAAAGGTCGCCCACCCTGCGATCGGTCGAATTCTTAAACTGCGTCAGAGCCTACCGACGCTAGTCAGAGCAGAATCTCGACTGTTTCTCGTCGTCCGCTCGTGGACCTTGTCTCTAGCGCGCCGTTCTTGACTGCGCGATCGACCGGCACAATCTGTTTGCCACTTAGCCGTCGGCGCTACTCAACAACCTGAGCACCATACCAATCTCGTCTAGACTGCCGCTACCTCGGGTCTACACTCAAAAAGCTTGAGAAACTTTCGGCCCTGAGACTGAAGGCTAGCTCCTGGGGTTCCCGAACAACGCTCTTAGGTAGTTAGTTCCGTTGGTCGCCCTTCTCCGTCCAAAAAGCAGAGAGAGCCGAGAAACGCGCTACCGCTACCAATTCCTTTCTGTGTCTCAACTGCGGGAACTACTTCATCGACGGCGTCGCCCACTTCATACGMTACTACCATACCACCAACCAACCAACCGCTGTACATCCATCCGAATTACGCATCTGCATACGCATCTGCATACGCATCTACAAGGCGCTTAATCGTTGCATATGGATGAAGCAGCAGCTGTGCAATATCAGCAGCCAAGTCAAGACTACAAGCCGTCACACTACCCGTCTTCGGCGACAGCAACACCAGACTCAAGCTACCCTCAATCGGCGCGTTCGGGCAGTTTTCCAGACTACATCCGTTCATACGAGGGTCAGCACAACCGTTACCCTGCAGGCACACAGCAGAGCGGTATGGCGCAAACATCAAGTCCGTCTCCATCTTCCGATGATGGAAATCAAACCAACGGCCACGCGCCCAACATCGCAAAGTCTGACCCAGAAATTCCAATAGATCCATCCATCGCTCAATCGAGCCCGACATACCCCCCTCCGCATAACTACTCGCCCTACCCGCCGCAACATGAGATTCCGCAGTACGCTGGACAGCAGATGACATCGTACGGCCGCCCCGAATGGGCTGGACAGTACGGGCAGCAGCAGCAGAGCCCCATGGGATATCACTCACCCGCAACAACAGGCGGTGCTGCACCGAACATGGTAGCGCACGCCATTCCAAGACCACCTGCGGTAGGTTATATGGGTGCCCATCCTGCTGTTTATCATTCTAACGTGACGCAGGGAGGGCACCCATTGTCCACAGTGTACTCATTCGTGCCTATTCCAGGCGCCCAGCAGCACAAAAGGCCGCRCAGACGTTACGAGGAGATCGAGCGCATGTACAAATGCGGATGGAATGGTTGCGAAAAGGCCTATGGCACTCTAAACCATTTGAACGCGCATGTCACCATGCAGTCGCACGGTACAAAAAGGACTCCAGAGGGTATGTCGACAAACAACTTTTATTTTGCGCCACGTGATGTTGCTTCAGGCTCAAAGCAGTGCCTCTGTTTTGATTAGTCTTGGTCAAGGTGTGCATCGTTTGAGGCCATGACGCTAGCTTCCGCGTCGCTAGCCTCCTTTGTTCCTGGGATTACCCATGCGTTCCCGGAGCGATATCTTTGAGAACCTTTTACTGACCCACGGTGATCAACAGAATTCAAAGAGATCCGCAAAGAATGGAAGGCGAAGAAAAAGGAAGAGGAGAACTCCCGCAAAGCCGAAGAGGAACGGCAGCGTCAAGAAGCTGCCCGCTCTGRTCAAGACTCGGCCCAGTCTCAAGGACAACCTGGCCAATACGCCCAGCAGCACATGATGGCTCAACAGATTGGCGGCCCCCAGCTTCCTCCAATCGGCTATCAACCTGCCGGCGGCCAGCCAGGCCAGTACGCACAGCCTCAGCAAGTTGACGGTGCTCAGCAGTACGGTTATGGCGCTCAGGGCTATCCACAGAGCCCCTACGGTCAAGGTGGACTCCCATACCAACAGCAGCAATGATTCTCCAGCATTTCACAGATTGTCAAGCATGCATAGCGGGAAGCACCGGCGTTGTGGAGATGTATATTCTGATCCCTGCATTGCATGAAAGTCCATGCATATGATTACGACGGCGGTACGTCGATTCAATTAGCGAATCGTCGAGGAGTCAGGGCGACACACTTCTTCTTCATTGGCGTTCTGGGATGATTAGATTCGAGGGCTGCATGCGCGGCATAACGAGTGTGTTTGGCGGAGGAGACGTGTGGCTGCTTGGATGCAGGCCTGAAAGAACAGCATACCTACGTGTGGCATTTTCGACGGTGTAAATACATTTCACAGTCCATTTCGAACAGAAGTTATCAGCACAGGCGATGTTCGTGAACGCTCGTCCATGGTACGGTACTTGCATGGCCCGTTGCCGCCTCGCCAGATGCTATCTTAGTAGCGTGATTCCAAGACGATCCTTCCACCACGCCGGTCGCACGCGTGAAGAAACGGCGTCTGTTGCTAACCCTGGCGACGGGGGTTGCGCGAACGGCAGCTAATCTATCAAGCTTAAACATACCACCAGCGCTTACTCACAAAGTCGCGAACCCCTACGTGGGTAGCGAGGTTTGAGAGTTCCACGACGTGCGTAGCTTGGATGCCGCCACCTGTTAGCGGCGGCAGGCTCGAGTAGACAACGTTTGCTGACCTTCCTCCGCCGAAGATCTGTGACTCCAAGACAGTGGAATCTTGCAACTCCACTGCTGTGGAGTTCTTCACGGCATATCACTGCAATCAGCATCTCGGTCGATGGAGGTGGAATGCGTAACTGCAGCCCAGCAAAGCTATGGCAGGATTCGCTTGGGAGAGGCGTGGCAAATGTCAACTCGTTCTTCAGTGATTCCTACTCCGGTGCATGGAGAGCTTGTACAGGCGCAACGATTGGTATGCCCCAATGATGGATGCTCTTCGTTCCAAGACAGCGATACAATAGCTGTCCTCCTAGTGTGCCTGACTACAAATCCCAGCCAACGGCAACCCAATCTACACAACACAAGCCTCATCCCGACAGACAGGACTCTAATGCGAAGGCGATCACAGCCCGCCTCATGCATGGCACTTCTAGAGCGAAACGCCAGAAGCCATGGAAGGCGGGATCACAGCCGCCGCGTGGTCGCGCGAGATGCGGCTGAAAAAAAGAACATCGGCACGCCGTGGTGGCATGCCGAAACTTGGACATGAATTGCGGAGCCGCCACTAAGATTGTCTAACTGTCTTGGTGTTGCATCTACCTAGGAGTGCAGGAAAGTGCAGAGCAAAACCGCGACTACCCTTGGATGGTGAAACACACTTTGCTTGATGCGATTTGTCGCCGCAATTCTTCTTCGCTGTGCCGCACTACCTGGTATAAGATAAGCGTGAAGTGTAGGTAAGGTAGTAGGTACCTCTTATGTGGCAAATTTGGTACCACCTTTGCTTTTTTCCCCGTTTCGTTCCTGCAGACTACTCCCGTCGCCACACCATACAGGCCTCTGGGTCTACAAAATCGCGACCATGTTCGCAAGCGGGATCTCCAGGCCGGCAACCTTACGGGCCGACTATCCATCTACAGTAATAAAGACGGCAGCGCACCAAAGTTCCGTAGGGCTGTAAAGCTTCGTCGATACCACAGACCCACTTCACCGAAGAACTGCGTCTTCAGGACTGGTAGGCTGTCCGATATCGATACCACCGAAACCTCACTGTACTGCAGAGATGACAGAACAGTTTCTATCAGCATCGGAGGCACCAGTCTGGTGTTGGAGTCGGCTGCTCCCGCAAGACTCGATTGTCCGCCTCTGTCACTGTTATGATCGGTGCAGACGTTCATGTAAAATCGTAATTCTTCTGATCAAGCAACAGGATGCGGACCTCTCCGCTGCTGACATCACGTTTTCAGAGCAGCGTGAGGGMGAGCAGTGTATACGCATGTGCAAGTTAACATGCTTGATGGCGATATTTAGCTTGCTACCTTTTCCATTGATCGCATCAGCTCTTCTTCCGATTTTACTACACACATCGACGCTACGTTTCCCGCGTCACGTCACATCACTCTCGAATACTCGCATCAATCCCGACAACCATGGCAGGCACACGAATCGACGAGGTGRAATRTCCCGTCCTCGACTGGGAGATTGAATTCTCAAGCAACAACTTCAACGAGATCTTCAACAAGCCAGATTGGGAAAGCTGGTGTAACACGCACATTGCGAACGACAGACTGCAGCTTGCAATGAACCAAGCCCAAACATGCGGGATGATTGAAATTGGACGATATCAAGAAGCCGTCCAGGCTGCAAAACAACAAGGAATGAAGGAGAAGGTAGATTTCCACGTCGAATCGCCAACTTCATACCTGGTCATGGGCCAGAGTGACAGGTTTATGCTTTACGATAAAGACCGCCGTGAACGCCTTATGACGTTGCTTGCCCAGGCGAGAGAGCAGAAGTTGGCGAGGGAGCAGCTGCAACGGCTTATGAAGAGTCATGCTCTAAAGGAGGCGAAGAAGAAGAGGCAGGCAAGTTCTTGATGTCGATCTCTGAGGCTATTTGCAAGCGGAGGTATCGATTGCGTTTCTTGGGGGAACTTGAAGATCAAGGTCTCCCTGTCCGAGTTTTCWCTCGAGTCAACGCACTCCTATAAGGRGAATTGGTCGGCAGCAACGAGAACCCAGTGGGTCGGGTCTTCTCAGCAAACAGTGTCTAGGGAGGCCCGGCTCTGGCTGCGGGCAGGTAGGGAGAAAGGCCAGAAGCAGGACCTCAAATGCGATGCAATCACGGAAGCGTCGCAGAKACATTGAACATGACACAAGTTGCAAGCAGGAGATGTCAATTGTATGTATGCATGCATTCCAGTCAGTATATGTGTACTGTGGCTATGCTCAAACGCGCCGGGGTATCACAAGTTTCAAAGACCTTCCACCAAGCCCCAATGGCTGCCAGAATTTGACGATCCCAATGATCCAAATGTTGAGATGATCCAATCGCTCAACTTGCCTCCATGCTATCATGCAAACCAGAGTCTACAACCAGACAACATTTCAAGAAAGACGATGCCCCAACTAGAAATTTCCATGCTTGAACTTTCCACCAGCCTTGATGAACATGGTGAAGAGTAAGGCCATGCTGACCAAGTAGGCAAAGGTTCTAGCCTTGGCCTTTWGCRGGGTGTCGCTCCGAATGTACAGGTAGGAGTACGCGATTCTCGACAGCAAATAGCTGATAGCGAGCATGTTGTGGACAGCCGGGTCGACTTTTGCGGCGCTGCCTGCGATACAGGCGGCGGCGAATGGGCCGAAATTCTCGAACGAGTTGGCGACTGCGGCTTCTGCGCGGCGAAGGCGACCCTTGCCGATGACGTCGAGGGAGGCGTGGTTCTCAATGGTCTTGACGAAATCGCGAGGCATGCGCGAGTCCATCTTCTCGCTTGTCCTGGACTCGAACTGGAAGTTTGTTAGCATGTGACTCGAGCAGAATGCAGACCTGGCAGTGTTCCTCGGCCTTTCAACAAGGTCTTGGGTTCTTTCAGTCGAGGAATACTTACGGCGCTCGCGGCCCAGAAGCGGGGAGCGACGGCAATCATCTGCGCGCAAGTTAGATTAGGAAATATTTCGAGTGCCAAGGTGACATACCCAGAAAACGGGAATGAGATACAGGGAGATGTTGACCTCGCAGAGGTCTGGCAGATAGGAAGCCATCGTAGAGGGAGAGAGATGGTGATGATGTTTTGAAGGATGTCTTGGAGAAGTTTGGGGCTGAAGTTGGAACGCTTTTAAAGTTGCTTGAGCGTGCGCGGAAGGACGGATCAGGAACGCGGAGTGAATGGAATCGAGGCGTACAAAGAGAAGGCTACTTATACTGCCGCCGCATCCTCAGACGACGCAGAGGACCACAGTCTGGAGCCACAAGTCTCCATAGGATGGTGTATGTACTGCTGATCAATTCGATAATGCCATGCGGGTGATGCAGTCTGACCCCAGCCAGAGCCAATGGTGGCGTGTTGGAAGCGACTGAAGCGGCAGCACCTGAGGTTGAAGGTGGACTCACCGACAAGGTTTCGCTCGAGCTAAAGGAAAATAGTGGGGAACGCGGGTCCAACACGCCAGCGCGTCTGCAGGTGCCACAGCCGACAATGAACGAGAACACAACATTGAAACCGCTTCTTATTTCCGACAACACGCGCCATGTCCAGAGCAGATGGACCATCCGATGGCGGATATGGCAATAAGCACCGTGCATTCCTGCAAGCGCTTTTCTCCCGACAGACCATCATCCTGGACGAAGCGAAGCCAATAATCGCCAATATTGAGACCTGCGAGAATCCTGACCGGCCGATAGCCAGCGAGGATGTCGACCAGACGGATTTTGAGAACTACATATACTCCATCAACAACGAGATCTCACCCTTCGATTACGAAATCCGCAGCTCAATCCACCAAACCTCCAGGGAGCGAGTTTACGCGCTCATCAATACCACTAGCGATGCTCTCACTCAGATGTCGACAATACACACTGCAGATGAGATTGCTTTCGTAAAGAGGGTGCTGGATGCCATGTTTGACACGCACAATACCCCCCGAGCAGAAGTCATGGCCGTTACCAGCATGCAGGCGCTGAAGCTCTCAAAAGATCCTCATCGGAGGGAAACGCAGACACAATCCGCACAGGGTGGCCTCACAATGTCCCAGGCCGAAAAGGTCCTGGCGGATATGGTGCTGGAGGGATGGTTCGAACAGAGTGAGAATGGATATTACAGCCTTTCACCTCGTGCGTTGATGGAGCTGCGGAGCTGGCTTGTTCACACGTACAATGAGGCGCCGGAGGACGTTGACGAGGGTGATGAGGAACCTCACGAGAGGGTCAAAAGCTGCGAGCTGTGTCAGGACATTGTCACAGTCGGRCAGCGCTGTCCGAACCTGCCGTGCAATGCCCGTTTGCACAACCACTGTGTGAGGAATATGTTTCGCGCGCAAAGAGAAAGTGAGAAGTGCCCGACCTGCAGTACGAACTGGAAAGACGCTCCGCCTGTAGGAGAAGAGGCGGCACCCAGAGGCAGTGGCGGCGCGAGAAGACCGGTAAATGGCACAGGGCCTCGAAGATCTACGAACGAACCTGCAGTTCGGAGGAGCGCAGTCATAGAGATGGAAGACGATGAGGATGAGAGCGACGCTGGTATTGAGTCGGAATGATTCGGATTCGTGATCTTGTACATTGTCAAACTTAGCAAGCGAGGCGTAAGGCGTACAAATCGGAACATSGCAAAATCAAGGTCATGAGTGCATTCAGTCCACACGTGTCTTTGATTTCATCTAGCTGCAGTGCTAGAGCCCGACGCAAATGCTCTGCCGCTGCGCATTACAGCGCACATGAAGCAGCGTCTCCGTATGCGCCCAAAGCCATGCTGAAACCCAGTAACCACTCCAGCCCAATTGCTTTTCCTTGCACCGTTTATCGGTAAGACTTCTGGTATCTGGCGCGTGCACCTGGACCGCCGAACTTCTTGGGTTCGCACCGTCTGTTGTCGGCGACGAGGAGGGTACGGTCGTAGGCGACGAGTGCCTGCTTCAGCTGGTTCTTGGAGTGCTCGTCGATGTACTTCTGGTAGTATGCAATCTGCATCATGGATTAGTATACGCTCGAGCTCGGGATAGGCTGCTCCGGATTCGAGGAGATCGAGTGGCCGGATTTAGGAGACATACGATGCTCTTGGCAATGGCTTGACGGATAGCATAGACCTGGGAGGTGTGACCACCGCCACGAACGCGGACGCGGATGTCGACATCGGCTGTAATAAAATTGTCAGCTGTCATTCTTGCTGACCATGTCTCCAGCCCCAAAGTGCGCGTGTGATATCCTCCGCTCCCGTTCTCCATCATTTTCCCTTTGCGCAGCCGCGCGCGCCTGATCCCACTCTCCATCCCATCACACTGCTCACATTCCCATCCTTCCACACTTCCAGATTTTGGCGCAACGTACCGAACTTGTCGAGGCCGAGGATGAGAACTGGCTCGTAGACCTTGAAGCGAAGGATCTGAGGCTCAACGAGCGAGAGAGGCTTGCCGTTGACGCGGATGAGGCCCTTGCCCTGCTYGCAGTGGGCGACAGCGGTGGCGGTCTTCTTCTTGCCGAAGCATTGAACAGACTGGACGGCCGACATGATGGGTGGTTGTGTGGTGATCCTGAAAGTTAGTGGGCTGAATACGTTGAAGTGGAAGTTCGAGGTGTCGAAAATTGGCGTGCTGCTGGCCTGTGCTTTTCCGCCAAGCATCAACTTCACTTCAGTACAGCAGTCAAAGATGTTGTACTTTCTGCACCAAAAACGACGCGACTAGGACGACACCATTTGATGAGACGTCTCAACCCTCGCACGGCTACTATTCTCTGTGTTTTTAGCTGCCTGTTTCAGAGCGTTGTCGTCGATTCGCTAACAGGAGAGTCGGCAAACTTCAGTCTCACCGGCCCTTGTATCCCCATTTCGTTGCCACTGCGCCTCGCTTCGCGCCTTTCCATGGCATCAAACGTGGAGTGCAGAGCTCAACTCTTCGCATTTGGTTCCAATGGGTCTGGTCAATTGGGAATAGGCCATACCGAGGACGTATCTGTTCCCCACCCAGTGTTGGGATGTTTGGACGTGCAGCAAATAGCATGCGGCGGCAACCATACAATAGTTACAGGTAAGCACGGACTGGCGACTTCAGGAGAAAACAGCGATGGGCGATGCTTCACGGCGAGCGATTCATCCACAAACAACTCTCTATTCTTACATTCCGACAAGTACCCTGAAGCTATGGTCGCGGCGACTTGGTCCGCTTCCTTCATCTGTTCCGCTGGATCTGTTCATGCCTGTGGAGCTGGCAATGCGGGGGAACTTGGACTTGGACCAGGAGTACAACTGGTAGGGACACCACAGGCCATTGCCAACTTCCCTCCCGTTGGGACCAAGATCGTAAAGATTGCTGCATGCATGGCCCATGTGGTAGTAGTACTTACTAATGGTGAGGTATGGGGATGGGGCAAAGGTCGCAAAGGTCAACTAGACGAGCCTGCGGCCACAGTCTGGAGCCCGAGGAAATTCAAAAACATTGGCTTCTTTGCGGTAGACGCTGTATGCGGAAAAGACTTTACATGCATCTTTGGTAGTCCATCTACTGGAGAGCTCTTCGTTACAGGCCCGAACAGCAATGACCGCTTCGGCGTCAAGACCAATGCGCCCGCRAACGTCAGAGGCTGGAAGAAAGTTGCAGCATCGTGGGGAAGCGTATTTGTTCTTTCGGAATCTGGAGATGTCACCGCGTGGGGACGAAATGACCACGGTCAGCTACCCCCGGTGGGTCTACCGCCTCTGTCATCCATCGTTGCTGGAAGCGAGCATTGTCTCGGCCTTACCGAAGCTGGCAAAGTCTTAGCATGGGGCTGGGGAGAGCATGGTAATTGCGGCGATCCTACCGATGCAAAAGGCGATGTTAAGAATGGGTGGAATGAGATTGCTCTTTCTCGGCCAGCGTCGGCCATCTTCGCTGGATGCGCCACCAGCTTTGTGGTGGCAGATTGAATCATCATCGACATAGCCCGGTCCTCATCAATCAAACATGCCCTGCAGCTGCAAGTTTGTTAGCAGAAAACAGAAATCTGGCATACACTGTGACCATAGGACTTACCTGGGAAAGGCGTTGAGTCGGTGCCACGCCGTCCTGACTTGACTGGGCACTCTCGCGAGTGCTCTCGGACGCCCTTGCCGGCCTGGTTAGGTCTCTGACCGTGGGACGCATAGTCGCACTAAGGTCGTCATTGCTCGCATCCCAGCCGAGCATCTCTTCTTCATCGTCTCGCTCGTAGTTGGGCGGATCCCACGTTCGATCGTCATCGGCACCATCCTGCGGCATGAATAAACTTTCTGGATCAGGATCAACAATAGGAGTTGTTCGATCCTGCCCATGGAACGAGCGACCTTTGGATTGGCTGGAGAGAGGCTTGATGATGTTTGGTCGAGCAGGCGGTGGCATCTGCGTCGACAGACTGCCGACGCTTTGCGCAGGGATTGCAGACGACTGCCTCGACATGCTTCTAGTGGAGACGAAATTAGGGTTAGGGGCTGAGGACACTCCACGGCCGTCTCCCATAGTCATCAGCGTGAATTCACAGTGCATGCCGTGGTTCTGATAGCTGAATTGCAAGGGGCGAGTGGGCTGCGAGTACTGGGCTGAGATTGGTCCTTTCAGCGTCTCAGCATGGGTGACAATGGCTCGAAAGTCTTTGACGCTAATGGTGATGTGAATGCCCTCCTGCATGTGGAAGTCTTCAAAGTCCGAGGTATGTATGCTGATGGAAGTCTCAAGTGGTTGCTTGAGTATTACTGGAGCATGGGGTCAGTGCTGTCTCCATTTTCGGCCTGCCTTGCACACTCACGCTTCCCATCATCGACTTTTTCGGTGAAGCTTGTGAATACTGCTTTCCCATTTTCCGCATACAAGTCAAGCTGTTCAGCTTTTGGGGCGAAGTACTCCACGTACTCCCGCAGAACGCGAGAGGAGATCTTCCAGCCCTGTGTGGCAGAAGTTCTGTCGAAGAGAGCATGCATGACCTCAACGGACTCATACGTTAAGCGGTATGTCTTGGTCATGCCTTGGGATACCATCAGCTTTTGTGGAATATGCAGTCTGTAATGGYGATGTATATGTACCGTGCTTTGATTTCATTTTCACAATGAGTCGGCATTCGGTCTTGTCTGGCTGGTCTTGAATGCTGACATCGCATCTCTCAATGGCTGTCTCCCGCCCACGAGAATCTGTCGTCCGACCTTTGAACACAGATTGAAGGGCCTAGCTCTAGGTCAATCCAGTTGTGTCTTGCGGTGAGAAGGAGGCACTAACCTTGTTGAACAATTGACAGGTAAAACGATCGCCACCACTCGACGCATGGCGAAGATCAAAGTCGTAGTTGTTGAAGAACGATTTTGCATCTAGAGCGAACGAGGCATAGGCAGTTCTCGATGAGTTCAGGGCTGTGAGCGTGAGTTTCTCGCTTCTGGCCTCTATCGAGACGGCATCTCCAAATTTTGCGAGACATGTGAGTAATTCGTATATCCGACCAGTTGAATCGGGCCCGAGGGAGAATTCGAGGACGGCCATCGTTGGTCGCGAGTGTGGCGAATCCGATGTGGTGGTGTTTTGAAAGTCGCGTCGATCGCGTCTCGTCTCATCTTCGTGGTTCGGATGACCTCAGATCTTTAGAACTTCCATCAACATCAACACCTTCACGACAAACACACTATCAGCTCACTTTCATCCACAATTAATCTCAGCTTTTCGGTCAAAGCATGACCTTACAGGGCATTCAAGCACTTCCTGTCGATTTCTACCACCTGCTTGCAGCAGAGCTTTCGGATCGCCTCGACTACTCGACACTGTACAACTGTATCGTCAGCAGCAGGACTCKGGCAAGCTCTGGAGCTGTCAATGCACTTTATCGGTTGGTCCAATGTCGACGAAGATGGTTATTTGTCTAACACTGAACAGGATAAGCCATTTGTCTCCCATCAAAGGCGGCAATGATGGTCTCTCGTTAGCAGAGCAAGAACTGACGACTCAGAGATGGTCCATCCTCTGGAGAAGTATTGTTCTTTCCACCTGTGACCAAACATTGTTCCCATACTCGCGCTTCTTGCGTGCCCTAGACCTCCGGGACCTGGAATCGTTGATAGAGGACGAAAGGTTTCGCGGCACGATCCAAAAGAACTTCTTCTCGGGAAAGCTTGAAGAATTTCACTTCACCCAGCTTATACGCGGCAAGAACCGACCGAGGGGGTACACCAGACTGGACACCAGGAAAATCGTGCTTGCATTGGGCAATAGGATCACCCACCATGCTCCCCTTCTGGACTCGCTGTCTGAATCCGCAAACGTTGATATCCTGGCCGAGGCATTATTGAACTGGGCTCCGCGATTATCGTGCCTCAGATCTCTAGAATTTGGAGATGGCAAGGCACTTGCTGACGAGACTATTCGGAACCTTTTGCTTGCGCATTGTCCACATCTGAGCACTCTTCGGATATTTATTTGTTCTAACGAGGTATGTGCAGTGATGAAACGATGACAAGGTCCAGTATTGACTTCATGCCAGGATGCCGACCACTCGGTGGCAACATTCATAAGCACAATGCCAGAGAACAGCTTGGCCTACTTCGAGACCATCAGTCACTGCCGCGTTGGGCCAGAGACTTGCCTGGCATTGAACAGACATGGCAAAAGTCTGCTGTCGCTCAAGCTCGGGTCTCTGGATGACGCTGGTGTTCGATCCCTTGGACTGTTGCAGGACTGCACCGCCATCGAGACTCTGGAACTGTCATCCTCAACGGCATCTCCAGACCTAAAGGCGACGCAGAACGATACGTATCTCGAAATCATCTCTTGGTTACAGACCTGCAACGCACTTCAGGATATCAGCATCGGAGACTTCATCTCTGCGCCCGACCTCCTTCTGCCTGTTCTGCAGAACAAGAATGTAAAGCTGCAGAAGCTGGAGATCAGCGCAAAGCACGGCGAGTACATTGCGAAAGACCATCACGACTTCCACAAGGCCTTGACTGAACAACCAAGTCTCCGCAGCCTTGTGCTCAGAGCAGATCCAGAGGATACTGTCAGAGACGATATAGATGTGCTAATGAACGCCTTTCGCTCTCTGAAAAACTTACGACAGCTTCGTCTCTACCGCATCTCGGACTTCTTCTCGGACGAGCAAGTAGTGTCACTCGCCGAGGGTCTTAGCAATCTCGAAGACCTAGACATTTCTGGCTATAGTGTGAGCGATTCGATTTGGTCAAGCCTCGCCAAGTTGCCGTTGAAAGTGGTCAATTTTGGTGGCATCACGACATTCACCGAAGACGGAATACTAGACTTTATTGAGCGGCTCGATCCTAGGCGAAACTGGGGTCTCGAGCTCTCAGTGACCAATGCCGATCCGGATGCGGCCATCGGACAGGACAGTCTCGATCTCGTGCGAGAAGTACTTGCTACAAAGCTGGACGGAAGGTTTGATTATGTGCTCCTCAGAGGTTTGCGTCTTCCTTGTCGTTTCGATAGAACCTCGCTAACCATGATCAGATCCAAATGCGTGGGAAGGCGATTCCGAGGAGGACTCAGATTGATTAATCATTCGATCCTTTGGCCAGTGCTAGCAGCCTGCCACCGGCACGGAGCTGACGATGGGATGAGAGTGGTGGGCAYTGCTATCGCTTGGCGGATTTTGTGATACTTGAAGGTGCCCTCGTTGGAAACGGCCTTCCGCGATGATAGCAACTGGATTGAAGAGTATCGCACCAGCGCAATTCGCCTCGGTCGTTCGCCAGCATGTCACAGGTTGTATCCTCCGTACAACTCACATCAACCACCAAAAATGAATTTGGCGGTTGTACATGACGTAAGCCATGTTTGTTTTCTCAGCAACAACAAGTCAACTTCATTTCAGTTGCAGTTGACAACTTCCATCTCAGAATTGACAACCGAAATGAAACGCATTTTGGTAGTCGCGGGATCTGACAGCTCCGGTGGAGCGTAAGTGTTCTGCTTCACAAAAATGACATTCACGCTGACGCGAGGATTCCAGAGGGCTCGAAGCCGACCAGAAAGTGATTGCCGCCCATGGCTGTTATGCTATGACCGCGACCGCTGCATTGACTGCACAAAATACGCAGGGTGTCTATGCCATCCATGAAGTACCGTCAGCTTTTGTTCAGAAACAGATCGATGCTTGCTACGACGATGTGGGCGTTGATGTACTCAAATCGGTAAACCATACAGACCGGGTTTGAGTGAATGAGCTATAGGCTGATTACACAGGGCATGCTTGCTTCCTTGCAGACCGTGCTGGTCTTGGCCAATGCTATGAGGCAGCATAAGATTCCCGTTTCAGTTGTAGATCCTGTACGAGGCATCTCGCATTCTCGACCCGTTGCGATTCGCTGATCCTCAAAGGTCATGGTTTCAACTAGTGGAGCTCAGCTTCTCCCCGAGAAAGCTGTAAAAGTGCTCTGTGCTGAGGTCTTACCTTTGACAACGATATGCACTCCCAACATCCCAGAGGCGAACCTCATGCTACAGAAATGCGGCAAGCGGCCAATCGATATTCGAGACCTAGACGATATCAAGACGCTTGCAGCAGAAGTACACTCTCTGGGATCTCAATATGTTCTACTAAAAGGTGGCCATCTTCCATTGACCGCAGATTACAAGGTCGCGCAAACAGAAGCCGAGAAGAAGATTGTCACCAATGTCTTGTTTGGGGGAGACTCCGTGGATGTGATAGAGTTTCCATACCAGAAAACAAAACACACCCACGGCACAGGCTGCTCACTTGCTTGTAGGTAATTGATCAGACAAGTAACTTAGATGCTGACAATCCCGCAGCTGCTCTTGCTTGCAATCTTGCTCTCGGCCTCGACATGCTTSAGTCTGTTGTTGCTGCCAGCCGCTATGTGGACGCTGGAATCAAGAACGCTGTCAAGATTGGGTGTGGCTCTGGTCCGATCAATCACTTTCACTCTCTTCAAATCATGCCGTTCGCGCCGTGAGTGTGATACTAGTCCATCCCAAGCTGATGCTCAATGTTACTGATACGATTTCAGGGGAGGTTTTGTCGACTACGTACTGGACCGATACGACGTACAGCCCGTCTGGCAGGAGTACACGCACCACGAGTTTGTCCAGAGAATGGGAGACGGTACGCTGCCTCAACATCTATACGCACAATACATGATACAGGACTACCACTACCTCGTAGGTGCAAAACGTGAGCACACCGGTCAAATGCATGCTGACTTCTTCGAGGTCCAATTCGCTAGAGCCAACTCTCTCGCTGGATACAAGGCAAAGAACATCGATGACATCGTAGCGGTAAGCATGAACAACTCCCACCGGCTTGCAAGCCTAATTGTTTACAGGCCGCTCAAATTGTCACACACATTCGAAATGAAATGGACCTCCACATCAATGAGTGCAAGGGGCTCGGTATGACTCGTGAGATGATGGATCAGTGCGAAGAGAGCCAAGGTACAAATCAAGAGCCTGTGTGATCTCACAACACGACACTGACTTTATCCTCAAGCATGTACTGCCTACTCACGATACGTCCTTGACATTGGCCAGTCAGAAGACTGGCTCGCACTTCAAATAAGCTTACTGCCGTGCCTTCTTGGGTATGGTATGATTGCACGACGATTGAAAGAACAACAGAGGACCAACCCTCCGAAGAATCGCAACAGGTATCTTACATGGATCGAGAACTACGTAGGGGACGACTACACCAGCGCTGTGAAAACTGGTTGCGGTATGTTTGCATTCCTCCTTGTGCTTCATGAATCGACCGGTGCTGATCTTACATAGCACTCATCGAAACACACGCTTCCAAGCAATCGCCACACAGAATCGAAGAGCTGGTCAAGATCTTCATTCATGCAACGAAGATGGAGACGGGATTCTGGAATATGGCAGCACGGCCTGAGTGGAGTACCTTGCCGCAGAAATAAGCAGACATAATGGGTAATGCCCCGTGGGTTTCATTATTAAACCTGTGTCACATCACGATTACAGCAAGAAAGGTCTCTCGACTCCGCGGTAGCACACAAATGTCCAGAAACCTTGTTCACGGTAGGGTTCGTACGCTTAGTAGCGGAGAGGTGTCAGTCAACTGTTGTACCTCCAAGGCGGCAGCAGCGGGTTGATCATCGGTTTGGCTGGGAGGCTGATATCCCTATGAGGTGAATCAAGTAAGAGTAGAACCCGTTCAGTATCAGAGCCAGTTACAAGAGAGCCGTTCACTTTTCGATTCTCACAGTGCTATGGCCGACGCACCTCTCTATATTGATGTTGCCGCCCACGATGGTATTCCACAGTTGTATGTTGACCCATCTCATACCACAATCCTTCCAACGCCTGCTAATGCTTCAAATACCGTCATCAATCCGTAGCTACTTCGTGAACTGTTCACATGATGGTGCAGCAGCTGTTCTGCTTCTTGGCCGACTGGTAGAACATTTTGCTCTGCGCACTCAAGCCGTCGGACTTCGCAACGAGGGTATCTATCTTCTCGCCACGCTCCAGTACGGATTCGATGGTTTTGTGCAGAACAATCTTGGTCTCGTCAAGCTCCTTCTGGATCTGTGGTCCACAGTATTAGCCAGCTGTCGGTTCCCTCCCAGTGCAGTCCTTTGTTACCTTCATGATACTGWCCGCCTGTTGCGGATCCTGGTATTTCTTGATGTACTCCTGTAGTTGCGGGAAAGGAACGCCAGAACTGCTGTTTGCCCATGCACTGCGTGGGTTCTTGCTCAGGAACTCGTCCAGGACCTTGCTCAAGAGTTGATGTGCCACTAGACCCGGATACTCGTGGTCGGTGATGATAATTCCGGCAACGCCTTCGGAGCGTGCGTAGGCGTGGAAGGTATATTGCTGCTCCTCGACGTCTTGCCGCTGGCCTGCCTTGGTGCGCTCCGCGACAGTTTTGGCGAACATGGACAGGAACTCCGCGATGCTGCCCCGGGTGAAGCGCGAGAAAGAGGAGAGCTCGGTTTCGGCGCTGAGCTCGATGGCGGGCTTCTCTTCATTTTTGAGGACTCCAATGTAGAGGATCTTCATATTGGCGAATGTGTTGTGGGTGTAGGGAGGCAAGGGGACAGAAGGCGGTAGGAAATGTGGAAGTCTGCTTGATGAGCGGATCGGAAACGTGACTTGCATCACATGGTAGCTTCAAGATGGATGTACCTCCAACCTGTACCTGTGTACCTCGAGATCTTTGAGACTTTCCAACATCACACACGACACGACAAGACACGACACGCCTTGCCTAGCAAACGATGGCTCCCATCACGACGGCCTCCAACGAGGAGACGCACGCCGCTCTGCTCGATTCCCTCGACATGCACAAGATCCACAAACCCTTTCGCAATCCAAACTGGAAGCCACCGCAGCGTCGCAACAAGAACCTCAAGCAGATCTTGTCCGAAGCACATCGCGCACAGCAGAGCATCATCAACACGCAACAAAACTCCGGGGCCAACACACCAGCACCGAACGCTGACGACAGCAAAACACCGTCTCTCAATCCCAATGCAGAGGCCTCGAACCTCGATCTTGGCCGACTGGTGCTAGAGAAGAACGCGAAGCACAACAATGGAGTCGCGCCGCAGACTGGGAGCATTCCAAGCGTGACCTATACGAGCATTGCCGCAGCACYAAGCTTCAAGCCCAAGAAGAAGTACTGTGATATTACAGGTCTGCCGGCCAAGTACAAAGATCCCAAGTCAGGCCTGTACTATTACAACGCGGAGATATATGCTGTGGTGAAGGGACTGAGCACGACGCAAGTGCAAGAATATCTCGCGGCGAGAGGAGCAAACACGGTGCTCAAATGAGCTTGCATCGTGGAAGTGAGCACGTGGTCTAGTATCATGTGCCATTGCATGATTATTGTCGAGTCAGCGACCCACTGAAGAGGCTCCCACCCACATGATCGCGTATGCCGCTGAGAAGATGGTGTCTTGTGTTAGCCCGAGGCCGATACCGCAGGCGACTCACGCGAACCCGAACATACGCCGAATAAGCAAAAGTTGTGGAGCGGAAGGGTCTTTACAGAGCTGGAGAAGGGTCTGCAATTGCCTCCACGCGATAGCGGCGCGGCATTGGTTGCAATTGCTCGTTCCGAACGTGGGCGGAAGTCAAGGAGATAGACTTGTGCTGTTTCCTGCAATCGTATCCACTGCCGACCGACCTGGACTCCTTCGACCCACTCAACGGACATTGAATTCACGCCGTCAAAAACGGGCCCGGAAATTGGGATATGAGCTTGGTGTTCTAATATCTATCCATCATAGGATCCGAGGATCTCTGTCTTGAAATCCATCACTACTCCCTAATCACAAATCACATCACCATGGACCAACAGTACACGGCCGCCGACAGGTACGAGGCTTACCACGACACATGCGAAACGCAATGTCCTAATAAATCACTGCAGAGTGCTCGCTATTCCTGAACTGCTAGAGGCCATCCTGCTTCAATGTGGCAACTCCACCGACTCTTCCTGGAAGCAACTCTTCGTTCTCAAACGTGTCAGTTCAACATTCGATGCCGTGATTCAGCAATCACCTTTGATACGGCGTGCTATGCACCTAGAGAGAAGACAATCTCTGTCCGTGCCACGACGAGAACTCCCTCCACCGCCTCCGGGAAACTCTCTCGTCCCAGACCCTAAGAAGCCTCTCCTCCTGGAAGGGTATCGCAAATTCTTCTATAACTTCGAAAGCCTGCTCTATCCTTTCTGGTGCCATCTACGGATAAGTCCCGGCCCCGATTCGACCTTGATTCTTGCAATGAACGTCTCGCTGTTCTGGTCAGAGGAAGTTCCTGGTGTCGCATCCGGTCGAGCACCTAGTACGCTGGACGGAAGCACTCCGGTCGAAAAGCCGAATTCATGGCGCAACATCCTGGTTCCGTACCATCCTGATTACCCGGTGCAGGTGCAGTGTTGCGGCAGCCGAATTATTGAGGTTTGCGGTTCCAACTCGACGCTCGGAGATTTGGCGGATGAGGCTATTCGCGCGGGCCGAGGACATTTGAGCGGTGTGAAGCAAGTCACGTATCACGGTTGAGGTCGACGACGGTACCATTGTGGCGGAGTTATAAGCGGCATTAGGAAATGGAGTTTGGAGCGTTGCCCATTGGATAGGACTTGTTTATATTCCGAGTTTAGTCTTTCAGCGGCATGGCGAGTTTCTTTGATGGTGTTGGGGCGGGCTGGGAGATTTGGGGCGAATGATCAAGCATCAGCGAGAGCGACAGTTGAAGGGCATGGTAATCTGATATGAATGAACGACCATCGACCTATGACTAGATTGAGTGCTAGACAGCAATCGACACATCAAATCGGTATCATTGGCGCTGTTTCGAGGTCACCTCGCAGGCAATTCCTTCAACGGTGAGAACTAAAGTGAAATCTATGTTGTTAAGTTGGACTTTTGGTTTTGGGTTTCTTCCGTGCGATCAAGGCGTCGGTACGTATTCTCAGCTATTTCCATTCTAGGTCCCTGCAGGTGATCCCTTTAATATGGCCGGCCGAAGACGCGAATTTCGTCTTGATGTTCTCTCGATGGTGCCCAGCTTTCCGGAAGGTTGGACCACCAATCATGGAGGAATGCCTGACCTGTATAAGACTGCGCACTCCGGCCATATAGGCAAGGAGGGGGAAGGTCGAGGTACCGCAAGACAAGAAAACGAAAGCTTCGAGATTCGCAGCTCCGCTGTCCTACTTTGCTCTGATTTCCCTACATCGCGGTGCATGCTGGTCGCAAGATTCAAGCGCCAATTGTAAAAGCCGTGCATTTCTTGAGATGATCCCCATTGGAAGTTCGCAGTGATAAACGCCTGAACTCCTCGCTTCTCCTTTCGCGTAGAAATCAAAATGGTCGCCGCTCGAGTGATGTGTTTCTGTGAAAGGAAAGCGGGCGTTCATCGGTTGTTGGTCTTGATAATGTCGCGCTCGGCTGGGTTGTATCTGTTGCGCGCATAAGATGTCAGTTCATGCTTTCTGTGCAGGCTTCCCTTCGCGTCCTTGCACAATCTCACGCACCTCAGCAGCTTCTCAATCAGATCGACGTGTGTGAGCATCATGCGACGGCAGCAGTAGCGGCTMAGACCGAGCTGGTCCATGGCATCTCCGTCTGATGTGGTGTCGCCGTCTTCCTTGACCGTTCCAATAAGCTCAACATAACGCTCGTATAGATCTGCGATCACTTTGCCGCAAGAGAAGCAGCGGATTGGGATGATCATGGCGGCGGTGTGGGTTTGCAAGTGATGTTAATGTTGAGGTGATTCTTGAACGCGGAAAATGAATCTGAGATTCAGAAGACGCGGTCTGTGCACGGGACTTTCGAATTTTTGTTCTACCTTACAACTTTAACCATTCTCCAACTCTACGTACCTCCGAGACATTCACTTTCAGAACAATGGTCAAGGACACGGAACGTAAGCGAAAGCTGGAGCTGGAGCAAGCAGATGTCACACCGAAGCGATTGAAGCCGTCCAGCAGCGACTCGACTGGGAAAAAGGCGAATGGCAGCAAGGCAAAGTCGACTCCACAAGCGGTTGATGCCAGTCCGCAAGTGTTGGCCAAAAAGTCCAAGGATGCAGCYCCTGGAGCACAACAATCAGCGGTGGTAGCAAAGGAAGAGGGACAATCCCGAAAAGAACGCAAGGAACAGAGAGAGGCGAATCTCGACAAGTCGGCCACTCCCAAACACGAAAAGGCGAAGCCGGGTGCCGAAAAATTCGTGAAGAAGAAGAAGAAGCCTACTACACCAAAGGAGCCAAAAGAAAAAAGCATTCCTGCTCCCCAGGACGTCAAAGAGACAAAGTCAAAGGACGGCAGGGCGGAAAAGCAGTTACAGAAGAGGCCCTCCAAGGGCAGCATCTTCGACGCAAGTGAGAATGGGTCTGCACAGCCACCGCAGCGCACAATTGAGAAAAAGGAAAGACGAAAGACGGAGCGGGAGATGCGAGCTGGTTTGCGTCCGGATGAGAGCAAGACGCTGCCGAATGAACATGGCTGGTGGCTCACTCCACCCGCCGCTGGCCGCTACCTTGATCACGACCCCATATTCGTCCGCGATGAGCAGATGGAGGGATGTTTAATTGCTGCCTCGGTACGAGAGGTCCAGCTGCTCTCCCTCGAAAATTCCTTGGTCGTCCGTTCTCACATAGTTCCGGACGGACGTAGTGTTGCATGTTACTCACTAAGTCCCAATGCCCAGGATTGCGTTGATATCGCTTACGACAACGGAACGAAAGTGCAATGGAATTGGGTAACTTCCGAGCTGGTCAAGGGCAATCTCCCTAGCCAAGACACCATTGTTGCAATGACTATCTCTTCAACGCCGTCTGCGGCGTGGGATACATTCTATGTGACCCACTCTACCAGCGACCGCGAATATAGCATTGTGGGGGATGGCAAACGCCTCTACACCACGTCTCGGTGCCTCCGCAGCATTCAAGTTCTGAACGGAGCATCCTACATTGTTTGCGTCTCGCCCAACGCTGTTGTTATCGGCGCGYGCAAATCTCAAAAAGCAAACTCGGACTACATCTGGATGGAAATACCTGTTGCCGAGCCGATAAACTGTGCAGATGCTCGCCTGATTCAGGGCAAGAAACAGGGCAATCAACGTCCTGGCCTCGCTCTTGCTGTTGGTAATGCAGAGGGACAGATTCATCTCTACTCCAACCTCACCGCACTTTTTGCGACTACCCCAGACGCAGCTCGTATCCCGCCACCTCAGATACTCCACTGGCATCGCAACTCCGTTTCTGCCCTCAAGTTCTCCCACGATGGCAACTATCTTATTTCGGGTGGCAAAGAGACTGTGCTCGTGCTGTGGCAGCTGGAAACTGGCAAGCAGCAGTTCCTGCCTCATCTGACCTCAGAGATAGAGCGAATCGTTGTCTCTCCCAACGGAGCTCAGTATGCTCTTCAAATGGGCGACAACAGTCTGATGGTGATAAGCACTACAGAGCTCAAGCCCGTTGCAAACTTTGCAGGCCTACAGCTTCCTATTCGTTTGGAGACTGCAGATGACCATATCATGCTTCCTCAAACAACTGCTATAATAGACCCTGCGAACCCCAACCACCTACTCCTGGCTGTACCTTCCTCTCAACCCAAGACTTCTGCAGACATCGCCACGCGGCCGTTCCTCCAGACCTTCGACATTCGCACCTCGCGACATGTATCAAGACAGGCTTTAGCGAGGAATAACGTAACGGACTTCAGCCTCGGTCCGGAGCAAACAACCATCACACCTCCCGACGTCAACCTTCTAGCCATCAGCGCCGATGGCAAATGGATGGCCAGCGTGGATGAGTGGATTCCTCCCGCTACTGATCTCTCTCACACCGTAGGCCGTACTACCGGCGAAGGGAGAGATGTGCATGATCTCCTCGAGGCAAAGCAACAGCAAGAACTCCGCAGAGAAGTGTATCTGAAGTTCTGGCGCTGGGATGCCCATCAGGAGTTGTGGACTCTGTCTACACGCGCTGATGCCCCTCATGCCAGATCTGCGGGTGCCGATGCGGGAAGTGGAGCAGGTAGGGTCTTGGCTCTCAAGGCAGACTCGGCCAGTGGTTGTTTTGCGACCCTTGGTGAGGATGGAGTAGTGAAGTTTTGGCGAATGAGGACACGAATGAGGCAGGGAGTTCCGATCAAGGACGAGCAGGGCCAGGTGGTTGTTGAGTGGACCTGCAAACACTCCGTTCCGATGCACATCTCCGTGGAGATTCCCGGGGGAAGAGCCGACTCTGCTTTGGAGTTCGATGGGGATGAGGAGGAGAAAGACGTAGAAGCTGACGCGATGGACATTGAGCAAGCGCAGGATGTCGTGCCATTCGTCCCCACTCGCTTGTGTGAGCAGGATCAATCGCCCTACGTCCTCGATGCGTCCCTCTCTTTCTCGCCGGATGGATCGCTCCTTGCCGTTGGCACTGTGTCGGGCGCCGCTTCCGAGTCTAGTACTCTCATACACTTCCTCTCCACAACGACAGGTGAGGTCTCGGCGACGAAAACCGGACTCTTGGCYCCCGATGAGGAATTGCTCGCCACGGCTTTCTTGGACAGATATTTCATCGCCCTTTCCCAGCATTCACTTCGTGTCTGGAATCTTATCGATGACAGTCACCACTATACACTTGCGCTGCCGTCCGGTGGGACAGAGGAAGAAGACGACGCAATGCTTGCTGTTAATGACTTCGATGAGACGTTTGCTGTTGTGAGCAGCAGAGTTGACGAGGGCACCCACAGGTTGGAGATGTATTCCGTTACTCAGCCTCAGTGCCTGTTCGCAGCCGAGTTCGAGACAAAACCTGCGGCGATCTTGGCTGCCAAGGGTACGAAGGGATTTGTCGTCATTTTCGAAGACGGCTCGATAAGAAAGGTCGTATCTAGCTCAACAGGCTCACGCAGCGCGATTGCCGAGCTAGTTGGGAAAGATGAGGACGATGCTGCGTTTGCAGTGGCTGCGGTCCCTACGGTAATTGAGACTGCAGTGTCACTGCTTCAATCCTCTGATGGGAATGACGAAGAAGAGGACGTGTCGAGCGGCCTTTTGGGACTGGAACTGGGAGATGAAGAGGACGATCGACCTGTTGTAAGGCCAGAGCAGCTTGCGGGCATCTTCGACACGGGTCTGCCGCCTGTGGGAGACATGTTCCGCGCTGTTGTTGGACTTTACGGTCGGAAACCGAGAGCGATAAATGTTTAGAACGAAAATGTACAACAGGAATGGAGATGTGTGGAATTCGACCAAGATGTGCTCTGATGTTGCCTCTCTCGCATACCAGTCCATGCGGGCAGGCGCAGCAACTGTTTCGTCCGGACCTCTCGGTGGGTGTATTTCAACATTGTCACCGGGTTAGGGTTGGGGTATCCACAAACAGCAACTTCAAAATGTTCACGTCTTCTCCAGGAACCGCCGATACTGACTCCAAACGGCTGACAAACGAGCACTCTATCACGCTGACAAACGAATGATCGATGTGGAGTTGTATATATATTGAAGAGTCATCACTAAAATGGGGTCCTCAAGCCACAGCTGTGCGTTTGTAATCCGAGTTGGAAATCCAGAACAAAGTTTTCCGAGGCGCATCCTTTATCAGTCATCAAAGACAAAGTTCACCTTCGCATTGGAAATTGACATGTGACTGTGAGTACTCGGGAGGATACCACTCGGATGGCACCGACCAGGGCGCAAGGAAGATCATCTGCAAGACATACATATGCTCGGCGTGATTCAAAAGAAGCTGTCATCGACAGCTCGGTGACGGATGAACTCGCACTGCGATACGAAGCGCGACACGGGTCCTCGCGTTTTCTGGCCAAGTCGGACAAACGGTCGTGTTTTCGGCCGACAGTGCGAAATGCGAGATGCGTCTTCCCGCTCGGAGTTTACGTCGCTCCGCTCTGCAATTGTGGGGTTTACCAGCTTGTGTACTCTCTACTTCCGGCCGCAGTCGGTGGTAGGAATAGGATATGCGGTTCCGACATGGAGAAGAATGAATGTCCCCTTCACCGCATTCTCAGCTCGCGTAGGTAGAGTAGCATAATATTAATGCCGGTGCCTGAGAGCGGCGCGAAGGACGGCATGATTGTCATCTAAAACAGCACAGCGGCCCAGTCACGAGCGGTCAAGTGGCGTGGAATTATTGGCATCCATCCTTCCAAGTGTGATGACAGGTCTCGCAGGCTCATCAGCTCGCTGTCGCCGTWCAAACAAGGCTTCACCGGAACGCGAGGTCGCCGGCAAGCCTAATTTCCTGAAGCGTCTGTATACGCGACTGCCAAGTTGATGCGAATGCGAATGCCTAGAGCTTCGTCTCCACCATGCATCGCGGCTTGTGAGGCTGCAACAAGCCACGCTGCGTCACCCACAGCAACAACACCTCTCAGATTCCCAATAATTCTGATGCCTGAATGCTAGATTGGGCACGCGTTGCGAAGTCCCCGGCCGACTTCGAGACAGCGCAAGGGGCGAGGGGAGATTGGGGTTTCCAGCACATTGTGTTCACTCATCTCATCAATCAATAATGCGGGGCAGTCATCAAGTCGTATCGCATGATTATTGACTCATAGACGGGCAATGGAGGACCGCAATTCCCGTGAACAAATCGAGGGTGTGCAGGATCCAAAAGGGCAGGGCTTATGAGAGCGGAGCGCGGATCCAGCGGATCTAAGCAGCGTGCTTTACAAAGCGCCGGGGCTGATCAACCCTTGACGAAGCTCGGACGCCATGGATGAAGTTTCACGGGCTTTGTGGTTGCTACGGCCGTTCATGTGCCCGAGCTGAGCGAAGGAAGTCTTATACAACGTGGCTCGCTCCCCTCAGGTCGGATACCACAGACACCAATCCAAATATTCAACCACCACAAGCAACTACATCTCACCACACAAAGACTTCGATCCATTCCAGGTCATTCATCAAAGTGTTTTCCATACTGGACCCGTCTCCCAAGCTACCGAACAGTCAACCTTAAAGAAAAGTGACTCAACGACTTGTCGCCATTGGGGCCCCGACTCACGCACTCTATTAGTCACTCTTGACTACTATATCCAAGATGTCTTCCCATCTCAGAATGCAATCAACATTCGAACACCCCATAGCCACCGGCACTTACCAAATATCGTCAACCCTGCCTCAACCAGCAAAGAAGCAAAAGATGTCTCTCACTCAATCATACTACATTGCCTCCACAGCTCGAACCAAGCTCGGTCACGAAGCTGGAAAGTCCGACCACAACTTGAGACTCCTCGTTGGCCACGCCAACCTCCTCGACACTCTTATGGTAGAGCTTGCCGATGCTGAACGAGAGCAAGAAGCTTGGTTCCACAACTCCGTCCAGAAGGCTTCACCCGCACAAGAGCAATCAAGACATATCTCATGGGCCAYTGATGAGGATATGGAGGACGACGACTCTGATATCAGCGACGATGACTCAGACATCTACGACGAAGACGATGATGCGCTATTCAACCTCCCACTCCGCAAAATCCACTCTCCACCAATCCAGCTCTTCTCCCAAGAGATTGATGAAGAGGGCGACTATACCGACGAGGACGAGGATCTCGAGGACGATGAAGAATACCAGAGCCTCACTCTTCAACGTGTGGCATCACAACACTCTCCACCAGAACTCCTCCTCGATAACGATGAGTCAGAATCTGACGATGATTCCATGCCATCGTCACCCGAACTCGCATCATTCGACATCATGGAGAAGGATCGACAAGCTATCAAAACAACGACAACAAATTTCTACACAATGGATGCTGTGATGCAACAACAAAGGCAACAGCCGATGATTGCAGCATGTTGATCGTCTTATGGTATACAGTGATTCTACAGCGTCGAGCGTCTAGCGGGCGAGCAGTGTTTTTCAGCGAGGAGTTAAGCGGATTCAGGGAACAGATATCTCAGCTCATGATATGAAAGAAATGGCAGTTCTCCCTCGACACAGTCGATAGGTCGAGAACGTCTCTTGATAATTTCAATGAAAATAAACTCATTCAACCACTCATCTCTCCTTCCTCTTGCTTTTACTTTCTCAGCCAACATCATCAACAACATTCGCATTCATCTCGCTTCTCTGTTTGGAAAATGCAGATTCGGCTCACAAGGAATGTCCGCCAATACCAAACGCCAACCACGGTAGTACAAACGTTGTACCCAATTTCACTCACCGGCGACAAACACCCGCGCAGTCCGAAAGATGTGCATCCGTGCACGCGACTAGCGTTGTCGCCTTGCATAACAGACCCTTTTTCTCTCACGAGGCAAAGATTAATGCACCATTCGGCGAAAGGAATTTTCTCATCGGCCGTAACTTTGACGTTGATGGAGGAGCGGATTATGTTCTTCATGACGTGGAAGGAACATGATCAAAACTTCATGCCTTCGTCAATCCCGCCCTCTTCCGTAGACGTCATGGTGTCGCCGGATCGTGCGAATATGCTCTTGCCCACACGTGCGCGATCGTCAGCCAGGGCTGAATGACATCCCTGTCAACTCAAACGGGCCAGGCCCGGCAAGAGATGATCATCAGATAATAATTTGCTTCGCACAGCTCGTTCCTCTGTGCTTATCTTACGAACCATGCGAGCAATCCCGTTCCAGGACCCCACGCACTGCTGACCTTGCGTGGTTGCAAGCCCAATATGAAGGGACGCAAATCGCAGCAAAGCGGATACAGCGGATGTGCAACCATCGACCACGAAATGCACGGTCATACAGGAGACACCGCCGCAATCGAAATTGTGTTGTACAGAAGGGTATAAGGCACGAAACAATAAGCATGATACTGTACGACGGACTTTCAGATCTCATGCACCCAGACCTCCATCTTTCCCATATCAGCCATATCCTTCGCAGCCGCAGCTTTACATGTTCCCATCGCCATGTCAAGATCGTCTTGATCTGCCATAGTGACCATGTCGCCATCCTCATCCTTTATCTTCAGTTTGAAGCCGGTCTTGAATCCGAATTTAACTCGAATCTGTTCGAAGAGTTCCTCATAACTGACGGTTGGCGCTGTCATGACATATCGCATGTCCTCGGCATGCACTTTAACGCGCACTTTTCGTACATCTGGTGCACGACGTGATTGCGACCGATGTCGTGGATAGTTGGAATGCTTTGGAGGAAGGATTTCAAAAGCAAGAGGCTGCTCCAAAGGAGACAAGGTCTCCTCGTCGTCTTCTTCTTCTTCTTCCTCGATGGAGAATGGCTGGCTATGATGAGCACTTGACCTAGATCGCTGATGTAGTGGAGCCTGCTGCTGGTATGCCTGTTCGCTATACGCTTCTATCGGGTCGTCTTTAATCCGAACCTCCGGGACATCGCGATAGCTCGATCGGTGCTCTCTCCGCCTACTGTCGGCCGTTTTGGACGGTGCGTTGGACGGCTCCCTTCTCATCGCAGGCCGTTCCGATTCGGATCGCTTGGGCTGCAAGCGAGGTCGATCCGTGTGTGACTTGTGCTCAAAAGCTGCAACACCAAGCTCAAGTCGTAACGGCTTCGCGCCAGGCCGGGATTGTTGCAAGCTGGATCGTTCCGAGTTTGTGCTGTCTGTCGACCGCCGTTTGCCATGTGCAGATTCCGGTCTTTCAAGCTCCGGCGGCGGTGTGGGAGGAAACACCTGGCGATGCCGCGGCGGTTCAGATTGTTGTCTATTAGCACGGCTTCGGAGATCCGGTCTCACCAAGTTCAACGCTGCATAAGAGAGCTTTTCTCCTGGCCGGTCGTCAACACCCAGTGCCGCGAGTGCTGCTTGCCGTCGAGGGTCGACCATGAGCTGCTGATCAAATGATGCGACCAATCTTGCCTTCCCGAGGTAGTCCTGCTTCTTCAAGTTCTTGACCTTGGCTTCGTTGGGTCGATAGACCACGCCGACGGGGATTGAGAACACAGTGTAACCTTCTGCCTCTTCCCGTATGGCTTCATCGATGACATCGTGATCGGGAACAACCTTCTCCTTCAGAGCAAAGACCAAATCCTGCATTCCAGGATCCTTTTGCTGGAGGTATATATAGCAAAGTCCACGGTTGAAGAGCACTTCGCAAGAGTATAGTTTGAACTTCAATCCCAACTGCTCGTAGTCGATGTTGTTATTCCCACGTAGGTATAGCAGAGTGTCGTTGAAATTGGCAAGCGCCTCCTCAAAGTCGCCCATGAGGAAGTTGCTCACTCCTTGTTGGAAGTAGGCGATGGCGAGGTACTGGTCGAGATGGGTAGCTCGTTGATAGCACTCCACAGCTCGCGTGTGTTCGCCCAAGGTCGCGTGAATCACACCACAGTTGAATAGGATCTTGGACGTATCCGCGATCTGCTCGAAGCATCGGATTGCACTGTCGAACTCGTTGTTGTCGTACGCGGCCAGCGCAGTAACCCACGTCTCTATCTCTTGCTTGAGCGACATCTCGAAGTCGCTACGGGGATTGGAAAGTCAGGGAACAGCGCGACGGATACAGCGTAGGTCGAGGTGTTCGAGATCCACTCCACTGCACTCCACACCACAGTGCACGACCGTAGATGAGGTTACACGCAGAATCGCAAGGTCCTTCTTAGCATTSCAGATCAAACTCGCTTCAAGTGACCAGATTGGTAGCTGGTAAAAGAGAAACAGACTCACATCCGAAGAGCATGATGAGGCGACGGGGTAAAGTAAATAGACCTCCAAATAGATGGATACCCTGCGCGCGTAGGGAGTGGCCGAAGCAGCTTGTGGCTGTCTCCGTCACAGCAGAGAACGTGGGTGAGGGGCTCAAGGGCTCTAGCCAGATCGCACGGGGCACAGGGCACAGGGACGAAGCCCCAGCCAAGCGGGAGCGAGGGGAGAGAAAGCGCTTAACCAGACGACTGGATTCGACACCATAGGAACATGCCGTACATTGACCACAGTACTGCGAGCACATAAAGTCTAGCTCATCAAACCACATGCCGTGGCTTGCATCAATCCAAGTCATTGACGGCTTCGAGCCTTGGAGTCTTTGAGCCAAGCAACTAATTCATCTCACCGACGGTGATGCGTGCAGTAAAGCCATGGCGTCTCACGTCTGGGCGCCTTCACAGGCTCAGCGACGAGGTGGACCTCCATGGAAAGTCGCTGAAAGTGAACGTCGTCCAGGCCCAGATTGGCGAAAACGCCATGTGCTTTGCTCTGAGCAATGTGACTGAAGTCAATCGAGATTGCACAGAGTGTGAACAAAGCTCGCTCGGTGATCGTATTGTCGTTGTCGTAATGTACAATTGTTATCATTCAATAGAGCGTCGTGCCATTCGACCGCATATAACAACGCCGTGCAATGCACCTTCATATCTGAACCATTTTGAGGAATCCGTGGCAAACATGCCATGCCTTTCAATCGATGAAGAAAGTAAAAAGAAAGGTCGAATCGCTAGTATGTAACAAATGCAGAAAAAATCAATCGGTCTCGTCCGAACGTGCCCAATGGAAGGCCATCGCGAGACTCAAAAGCAGCATAGGGCCCAGGTAGTGCGCCGCTGCTAGTCATAATATGCGACAAGAGTTGCTTTGATACCTGACGACTGGTGTCAGTCTTCGTCTTCATCCGATTCTGATTGCCTTCGGGCCAGTCAGTCAGCGCGAGTCCAACGAGCAGGAAACATGCAAAGCGCTGGCTGTGACGTAAAGCGGAAATGTACAAGACAGAATCAAGCCGGGTGTACTCACCATCGTTGCGACTCAATTCTGCGAATCCACGTCGCAGTGATCTTCAGTCGTTCTCGAACAGTACGCGTGCCCATCAATTTATACTTTTCCTCCTCGCTGATGGGCAATACACTGGCAAACCAGTATGGGAATAGAGCAGCCTCCTCGGGTGGTTCTCCGTTGATGTCCAGTACTCTTTGCTGTAGCCAATTCGCGCTCCTCGACTGCATCTTGATGACGAAGTCTTTGCTCACCGTGAACAAGTCTTGCGTCGACATGCGATTGATCTGGGACGCCACATCGTCGCCAGTGGAAGCAACGGCAGACGTCTCCTCCGCTTCGATGCGCTCCTCCTCAGCGAGGTTTACATCATCTAGGCGCTCCACCTGTCCAACCAGATATCCATCAAGCAGATCATGCGACTTGACACGGAATCGATAGAGCCCAGTAGTTTCTATAAGACTCGTTCCATCAGACATTGCCTGAATGTGGACAATGTGTAGCATTGTTCCGTAATGGTAGAAGTGGACGTTGCCAAGCGCRCCCTGAGGCTCGTTGTATCGGTTGTACATTAGCATACCAAACTCCCGATTCCCTTCCATCGCGCGTCGAATCATGAGTTTGTATCGTGGTTCGAAGATTCTCAGGAAGGTAGGCTGATGGGGAAATCCGAGAGTACAGACGAAAAGCGGAACACTGGATGGCCCATGTCCTCCCCGTTCCTCCTCCTCACTCGCTTCGGCTCGTGCAGCGACCATTTCGGGGCACAGTCCGTTCAGGAGGTTCACCAATGTTTTGTTGCTGGGCTGGCTTGCCAACAAAGGAGGCATGGCAAGATCCCTTCGACATACGGGGCAGTGGAGGGAATGATCGAGGACCCGTGCCATACATTTTCGGCATAGAGTATGGCCACAGAAAGTAGTGACGGGGTCTAATAGGAGGCTATAACAGACTTGGCAATCGACCTCCTTTTGAGTGTTTTGAAGCAAGGCTTGGAGAAGATTGTAGTCGGCATCACGACTGTGTTGATTGTGCTGAAATCCGTGGGGGTATTCGAGGTCGCTAGCACGAGGAAGTTGACCTTGTCGGGCCAGAYCGTAAATTGTTCTCAGCCTGCCACTAACCAGCTCCCCCATCTTATGCTCTTCATTTGGATTCCAGGTTGGGTCCTCGCCGTTACGCATCGGGGTATCCACCATCTTTTGTTGTGGAACTAATGCCAGAACCTCCTCTGTCGACTCCATAAGCTTGGTCAGGGTGACATCGACGTTGCAGTCATCTGCAGGGTGCTGTACGCCGCATGTCGCAAATGGACATTTGAAGCCTTGTTTCCGCCCGGGAAGGTCGGGATACGATATGTGCTCGCGTTCTTCCGGCTCTGGAAGACAGTCTCGGCACAGGGAGTTTCCACAGGGTAGGGTGACCGGGTTCCGAAATGGCCTCGAGCATTCGGTGCATTGCACCAAGCGCACCAATTGTCTAGCGTCGCCAAAAGCCGTCAGGGCGGCGGAGTCGTCATTATTCCCTGTTGCCTCTGCGTCTTCAAGCATGAAGGCCGTTGGGGGTGGTAGTGCCAGGCCGAAGGACTGGCCTTTAGGCGCGGGGGGATGCGTGATATCCAGCTTTGCGCTTCTGACGACTTCATGCGCAGTTTCTCCCTTTATCTTCCATCAAACACGGTATCTGTCTTGTCCGGTGCCCAGCCTAGGAGGTGAAATGTTTTCTTGTACTGTCGGACTACTTTTTCCCAGCGGGACGGTATGTCAAAGCTACGATGACGTAGACGAGTGATGGGCGAGAAGGATTGCGGTAGCAATATGCGCAGGATAGTGGTTGCGGATGGTGGTTCGTGTGAGTCTAGGTGCCCTTGAAAATCTAGGCGTCATTCAAACGGCGTGAGTGGGAATGGAGATGCTGCGGTGTTGGTGTTGGTCGAAAGAAGGGTTGTCCTGCCCAGGCGTGAGCAAACAATACCTTAGTCAACAAAGTCCAGTCGTCCCTCATCCCGCCGACTAGGCTGTCATGCTTGTCGAATGAGCAGGGATCGGCAATGGCCGTCTCAATTCGCCTCCCGATCAACGATTGGGACACAGGGAAAGCACTCGCACCGCTTCGGCGTCGCACACGAGTGGCCACGCTCAACCAACTTCCGGACAGGTTTCGAGTCTTTTGACCGGCGAGGCCAGATGACATGCAGCTGAACAGCCGTTTTAGACGCTCTAGTGTGGTTTGCCGGAGCGACGATGCTTGATCGTTGGCGCTGCGGGCGATGCGCACTCCCCGCCACGACTGACCATCTGGCACGAGGATCGGAATCCCGCGGGCACCACATCGGCCAACCCCCAGATGTATCCATGTAGAGTAATGACGACCTTGACTGATGGCATTGTCTCGGAGTTTTCTGCGAGTTGTCCTTCTTGGCGACGGATGTAGGTCTGCAGACCAACATCCGAGATGTAGAAGAGACTTGTGTTGCATTCGAGATCGAGATGGAAAGGAAGGGGAAGCGCCAAGGCAGGGCAAGAAATCGACCATTTCTCCAACCATTTACCTTACGTGACAACGATGGAGCACATCGAACGTGAACTACACTACATTGTCGAGTCAAGTAGATGGTAAGGGAAAAGCGTCTATAGCAGCCTTACCGCCCACATCATCTCGCAGAGAGAAGCCACCCCGGAGTCTACTCGAGGAAGGGTTTTGATGAATACAAGCGAGTGAATGTGTACAGATCTGCAAGTCTTCTACAACTTCGCCTTGGGCCCAACCAATGGATCATACACATTCAGGCCGAGAGTGTCACTCGGCACGCTCGTGGTGTGCATACTCAGTCCGCGAGTATCAATGAACTCCGGTCCAAGCTGATCCACGCTGTTACATCCAATCAACCGCATGTTCATCTCCATCTCGTCCTTCAGCAACTGCATAGCTCGATCCACACCGGGCAGTCCGTATGCGCTCATGGCGTACAAGAACGGGCGACCGATGCCAACACCCTTGGCACCCAGGCAGAGCGCCTTGATGATGTCTGTGGCACGCCGGATACCTCCGTCGATGTACACCTCAATTCTGTTTTCAAGACCAAGGCGGCGGAGTTCAGGCATCACTTCAGCGAGAACCTCGACGCCGGATCGTGCGAAATCGAGTTGGCGACCTCCGTGATTGGAAAGGACAACACCGTGAACACCCGCTGCAATCGCTCGAATTACATCCTCGACTCGTTGCACACCCTTGAGGATGATGGGCATTTTGGTAATTGATAAGAACCATGGGATATCACTCCACTGCAATGCTGGATCGATGAACGATGAAATTGCTCGTGCGGCACCTTGTGATCGATCCACGGAATCGCCGCCAGAGTTCTGAACATTCGATCCCACATCTGAGAACTTGGAACGCATGTCCTTCTCTCGTCGTCCAAGCTGTGGTGCATCGACTGTGATGAAAAGACCCTTGCAGCCACGCTTCTCTGCGTGCTCGACAATCTTCTTGGTGATCTCGCGGTTCTTGTTGACGTAGAGTTGAAGCCATTGGACCTGGTCGCCTTCTCTTGCGTCTACAATCTCATCAAAGGAGCACGACGCCAGAGTTGGGATCATCTGAATGACATTGTGCTTCTTTGCGCCTCGTGTGAGCACCACTTCTCCTTCGGGATTCCCTAGCTTTCCAAGTGCGGTGGCTGTGACGTAGAATGGTATGTCGACTTTCGTTCCCAGCATTGTTGTGGAATAGTCAATGTGCTCAACGTCGTGTAGGATCCTCGGCCGGAACCAGATCTTGTGGAATGCCGAGTGGTTCTCTCTCATTGTCTATAATGCATGATCAGCGAGTTGTCCGAGACCATGAACCCAAGATGTATTGCCTTACGATCTCATCGTCGGCACCACTTGAATAGTATGCCCACGCAGTCTTCTTCATGACCCTTCTCGCCACAGCTTCGAAGTCCATCAAGTTATAACATTGCTCGAGAATTGGCATGCTCTTGATGCGTTCCTGTCTCTCAACCTCATCTGGGTCCTCGTCCTTCTCCTCCTTCTCCACTGTTTGCATGTTGACTTCTCCCAAATGCTTGCTCTTATCAAGGTATTTGTCGAGCGTATCCGGCGGGTGAATAGGCTCGTACTCCTCAGTGGCATCTTTACCAGCATACTTCAGGATGATCTTGGGACCACCAGGATGCTCTGGCATAACTAGAAAAGGGACATCTAGTTAGCCAAACCATATCCCTTCAACAAATATTGTGCACCATACATTCAGTGACATCGTATGCCTTTCCATGGATAATTACCCAGCATGATTCCGTGGTATTGTGCTTCGCGATCTCTTCTCCCGAAAGCTGCTTCGCCTGTGTGTTGTTGCTATCGCGGTTCATCTTGCTACAATGGTGTGGATTGGAGACGCAAAAACGGTAGAAATAAGGGAACGACCTTAATACGACGAACCTCAAGGCGGATCGCTAACGACAAGCATCTGGTCCAGCCCTCGTGGGCATCGTCGCAAATCCGCGGTTACAAGGCAGAGCAGGACCTCTCTCCACTCGCCCGAGCCACGAGCCGTCCCTACAGACTTGCGGAGACCAATCATATGCGGAAGATTTGACGCTCTCTGTTTTCTACGCCGCAGTATCCGCTCCGCTATCAGCAGCCGAAGATGTGTTGATATCTGCGAGGCTGCGAGGGTCGCCGCAGCAGCCGCATTTCCGAAAGAGTCGGGCGCCTTTGTTGACCGTAATAATATGAGACGGCTTCGCATTTGTAACACTTCGCTTGGAACTTCCACTGATTTGCCCCCACAGCGAAGTGACGAAATATTAATGATCGTGATAGTTACAATATCTTTGGCATCTAATGTAGTACTGTTTCATTGACCCTCAGGTAAACTGCAGCGCCCTTTTCATCTGCAATTTGCACTGCAACGAACACACACCCGACTTCCCAAATGCTTGCTGGGTATAATATGACACGAGTAACAAACAAAAACCGATTGAAATCTCCTCTATTCAAAAAGCCTGACCTTCCTTTCCCTCCAACACCAGTGCTTCACTGGCGGTGACATACGTCTCCAGAGGTGGTCTCTCCGTCTTCGCGTCGCTCTCAAAACTGAAGTCGCCGATGGCTGGTGGTGGCGACATTGCAGAAGCAGTGGCACTGCCCATTGTTCTCTCGTTTGAAGACTTGTCAGGTCCCGAGTGAGCTCTCAGCGAAGACTGCCTTGGTCCTTCCACGCCAGGGGGATTCCTCACATCCTTTGGGGGCGGAGCAGGTCGGAATGTGCCAGTGCTGTCAGCCTGCAGAGGAATAGGGCGTGGAGCCGGTTTAGCAGGCGGTGTAGCGTTACCAACTGGAGGGGGTTGCGCGCTGACGTCTGGAGCCCGGGTGTCTGGAGCCCGGGTGTCTGGGGCCCGGGTTTCTGGAGCTCGGCTGGCTGGCGGTGCAACTTTGGCATCGTAGACTACATGCCTCATTTTGAACGGAGCTGCGGACGGAACCGTTGCAGGTGTAGCAGCAGCCACTGCCGCCGCAGGCTCCGTTTCAGCGGGAGCTCTAGCGTCGTAGACCGGATTCCGCACCTTGAAAAAGGGCTGTCCGCCACCTGTATCAACTGGGCTGGTAGTTGTCGCTGCCGCAGTCTGACTCTCGCTCGTTGGTGCAGGCGGAGCACGCCAGCTGAAAGCACTAAGAGGCATACCGTCTGCTCCTAGATTGCCCAGTCTCGAATCTCGAATCTGCTTTTGGCWCTTGCTGTTGTAAGGAATTGATGTCGTCGAGCTGGATGCGTCAAAAGCTCTGGTTCCCTCGATTGGCGATATGGGCGTATTCGGGTCCGAAGGCACAGGATTATCAAAGTCAGCAGTATCCAGGTTTCGGATGTACTGCAAAGCTGGGGAGTTTGAAGGAATAGAGACAGGACGATCTCGCCCAGAGGTTGGAGAAGTGGTAGTAGCGTGTGCGTCTTCTGTAGCTTCGGTGATCGGCGGTGGGCCCGATATGAGCCCGGTCGCATTTCCCTGCGCTACTTGCTTCAAATCGGTGGGTAGCTCGACGGGGGCCGCGAAGATCCCACCGTTCGGAATGGAGCTTTCTCTATTCTGCCTAATTGGGAAAGGTTGAATCTCTTCCACTCCATTATTGAGGCTGTCAAGTGTCACGGTGGACGGATTTGGAGACGCCTGTCTTCCAATTTCACCAGCAGCATCGGGGCGCAACTTGAAAGGATATGCAGATATTCCGTTGTGCGGCCGCGAGCTCTCCGGGTCTAGAAAGGTGTTTGCTGATCCAGGGACTCGAAGGGCGGGTTCTTGCCTAGTCTCTGATAYGGTAGGTGGTGCTCGAGGAGGGCTCTTAGGAGATTGTTGCGTCTGCTCCATCGAGACTTTGGCACTGCCAGACCGCCTCGCTGTGAGGGCAGGAGAGGTGACGTTGCTTCTGTTGTCAAAACTAGGACTGCCCTTCAGCTGGCTCTTGGCTTTGCCTTTGTTGACCCTCTTCGTTTCAAGGCCAGACGCAAGCTTGAACGCTGCATAGGCATCGTTGTCCTTCTCCGCTTTGGACGATGTCTTCGAGAACACTGTTCCACCGGAGCGTCTGCGTTGCATCTTCAAGTCTATGTCCGCGTGGCTTCCAGTGGCACCCATATTTCTTCCGTTAGGTGCATCCCGGTGTCGATTTGCCTCATTGGTAGTAATGGCAGGAGCAAGCCTGCTGACAGGCCTACTCTCACTTTGCTCCTGCTCCTGCTCCTGCTCCTGCTGCTGACTCTCCACTCTCTCGATGGTGTTCTCATCGTGAGAGCTACCCCAGCCGGTCCACATGGCCAGACCCCATGATTTGCCCTTCTTCTTCTCGCCCTCGACCACACCTTTTCTCCGTCGGCTGACTAGAGCGGTGTAAGGAGGGGATTCGCCAGGCTCCATACGATCATAGCCGTTCTTCTCTTCCTTGGCTCGCTTTTTGGCAATTTTCTTATAATCGCTTGCGTATTTCAGCTCGCTCTGTGCGCGTCTCGCCAGCCACTTTTGAACAGGTCCAGCTTTGATGGCGCCAATGCTGATAGGATCCATATTCAGAGCACTGATTTCTGATGGCAGTGGCAGTGGGAAGATGAGTCCATGGCCGTCTATTCGCTGGCGAATCATGTGATCGCGGAATGGAGGCAACTCGTCTCCGGCTTTACCCACCGTGCCGATTGATTGTAGGTTGTTTTGAGGCGGCGGGACCGCGAATGAGTCCTCCTTATGTATGCTGTTGCGTGTGGACGGTCGATCATCCACGTCGGTCTCTGAGCCGTCGCTGACGACRCTCGCGGCATCATCAGGGATATCGATGCCCTTTTGCTGCGCTCGGGACAAAGCCCAGGCACCGAATTGAGCGACCGAGCGATACATGTATTTTGCCGGCCGTGTAAAGGACAGAGTATGGGGAACGTGGCAAAGATCATCCCAAACCTGCAACTGTACGTCGGTGGGTGGGTACTGGTTGAGCGTCGTGCGTTGAGGATCCCACTCGGCCATGATAGCTTCGCTGGGCGGATACCTGCGCGGATTCGCGGCCTTGTGCGCAATGTAGATCTGCTCATCGCGTAAGAGCTCACCGCCGCCAGTCTGGATCAGCATAGGTGGTAAGCCACCCAAAGACGGCTGCTGCACAGGGGATACGAGTGGATGAGTGAGTAGTGCGTTCCTCGTGTAGAGTTGAATCTGTTCGCGCAGAACCACGAGTTTGTCGTCAATTGTAATTTCCAGTCGAGGACCCATGCCGGGGATTTGATTGACCGGGATGATAGGCTTCCTCTTCGACGACTCTGGAATACGCACATCATCACGACTGGATTTACGGCTTATCATACCGTCGTCAATAGTCGCGGGGAGTTCGACCACGTCAAACGGTTGTTCTACGGGTTGAGTGAACTTTCGAGCCGCCGTTGCATGCTTGCCCTCGTCTTCACCAGGAGGCGGTGGCCATATCATCGAAGGTTTGTGGTGAAAGCCGTGCGACGGAATGTAATCAAGCGAACCCTCGGCCGCTGTCGAGGGGAACGAATGTGTGAGGTCGACCCATGGAGAGAGGAGAATGGTTCCAGCTGGCAACGGGCAACCTTGATCCCGTAATGTGACCAGCATACTCAACACCATGCCTCCGCCGGCGGAGTCTCCCGCAAACAAAATCTGATTCGGTTCAAAGTGTTCTAGCAGGTAGAAGTAGGTGGCGATGCAGTCGTGCAGACCACATGGGAAAGGAAACTGGGGTGCCAGGCGGTACCTCGGGGTGAGGACCCGCGCCTTGAGCTTCCTTGCATGCCGTTGCATTTGATAGCGGTGCTCGTCCACACTGCCGAAGTAGTACGCACCGCCATGCACGTACAGGATGACACGGTCACACTTGGTGCCTGCGCGTTTCCGCTCGTTGAAGTCCTTCTTCATCTCGATCCATTCCGCGTGCAGGGGCTTCTCGGGACGCCTCCACTGCCACCACTTATCGCCGCCGACCTTTTCCACATTGCGAAGCTGATTCTTGAGGCAATTGGCGGATCGGTTCAAGAACTGCGGCGGCACTTCGACGTCGACGGTGCGGACCCAGGTGGGCACCGGGACCCATTGTGCAGTGAAGTTCTGGAGGTCTTCGACGGGGTGCTTGGAGCTGTAGTCGAGGAATTGACGGATCAGTCGCAGACCCTCATGGTAGGAAATGTGTGCCGTGGGCTTTTGCTTGTTCGGACTCCTGTTGAGGTAGTGGGAGAAGTAGGTCTCGATGACCGACGGCGTCACTGCACTCGCGACTCCGAGTGTGTTGAAGGGCATTGCTGCGTGGGAGCTGTGAGTCGTGTCCCTCGCGGTGGGAAGGACGCGTTTGAGGGCGGTGGTCGGGTGTTGTGTGTCTCAAACTGCTGCCCTCACTTCCATGGATGCTGATGATGATGCCATGCAGCCCGTGGTGTTGTGAGGTTCGACGCGGGTGATTTGAGACGAGACAATTTAATCTGCTCGCAACAAAGGCAAAGGACGGTGCGAGTCGAAGGGGCTCGAGGGGAAACACCGCAGCTGTTGATCGGTATGCGTCGATCAGGCCGCTCGTGTTGCCAAAAGGGACAAGTCTTGAACGTTAATATAGTCGGGCATTTCCGCCTTGGGCCTTGATGAGACGGTGAACTTGAGCTTCCACCACGCCGATTTCGAAAATGTATCGACAAGAGTTAATTACATGATGGTACCTGACTGACATCACACGGCACCCGGGACTTGGAGATCTCTTGAATGAATAAGGTAGTCAATGACTAGCCTGGGCAATCCCGGTCGCATTTCAAGCTCCCCAGAATCCCAAGATCCATCCCCGCATTGGGCTTGGAACGATCCGCGATGGAAATTTTGGAGGCGCATTATTCACCTCGCACTCCGTCAGTCTCTTAACTTATTTTTTGACCTCTCTTCGCAATGGCAGCTACACAACAAGCTGCTGGCTCCGGCCCTACACCGACACCCACGACGACCGGACAAGTTACGCCCGAACAACTGCAAACGGCCTTTGATAACAGCGTCTGGTATCTGCTCTCGTTATGGCACCCACTGCATGTTGCGGTCACAAACGGATGGGGTGGACCCACCTCTGAAGACAAGCGCGACTGGTTCGCAGGACACGTCTCGGAGCMCATGTCCACCCTTCCTTCAGATCCCGCTCAGCTTTCCTCCACAGACGCCGAGGATCTAGAGTGCATTCTACTGCAAATTATGCAGGACGAATTTGACTGCAATGTCGAGGACGAGAGTGAAGTCGCAGTGGCGCGAGACATCTTTGTTGTGAGAAAGCGGATGCTGGAGGAGAGGAGTTTAGATGCGGCGCGGGGTGTGGAGGAGCGATGGAGAATTCGGGGAATGATGWAGGGCAGTGTGGCTGTTCGCGAGATTGAGCCCGAAGAAGGCGATGAAGATGCGGAAGAGTGGGACGGCCTTGATGAAGATCAAGAGATGCGTGAAGCACCGCAGCTCGTTCCTGCACAGCCGAAGGAGAAGGCTCAGCCTGAAGTCGACGACGATGGCTTCACCAAGGTCATAGGCAAAAAAAAGAGGTGAACGGCTTGAAAAATGGGAAGTGCTATGCTACTCTTGATAGAGAGACCGCAGCATCGACTACCAGTCACGACACTGTGGTGGCACACAGCAAGACCACGCTACATCATGGAGCTAGGCCAATCGTTCTGGATTGAACAACTCAAGCCTTCTCGATTCGTGGAGGAATCTGTGGGTGGTGACCGGGGGGAGCCAACCAGCGACCTGTAGGCTGTAGATGGTGTGGCCACGGTGAGCGTGCAAAGGCGGGAATAGTGACGATGTTGCACGAATTTCCGCTTGCATGGTCCCTATCTCTCAGTGCAGAGTTTGCTCTATTCGTAAAAACCTGCGATCTAACAGACAGGACGAAAAGACTACATGCACCATGGCCTCCATACGATCATCTCATTAATCGGTCTTCAAATCAAGGGTACTCACCCCAGCGAAATGCCTCTACACCTTTCTCCTCCTCCTCGAGTGCAGTCTCAAAGTCCACCAGAAACAACCACCGAATCTTCTCGCCAATCCCCTTCTCATACCAATCGTTCAACGCCTTGGGATAGAAATCAAAACATGCCGGATCAACCACAGCATCATCATGCGCCATCAACATCAAAACATTTCCCTGCCCATCAAACTCCCCCAGTCCATCAATAGTCCAATCCGCCACCTTCTTATCATGGGCGAAACTCTGCGTCACGTAGAAGAAAGGCTTGTCCGCTTCACCATGAGGATGCATGTCTTGCAGGAGATGTCCCGGACATACTGGTCCTCTACGCTTCATTGGTGATGGAAAGATCTCTTTTGGCAGAGGTAAGTATTCCGTAGGTCGGAACTCACCGCCGTGGTGAGAGGCATCTCCGCCCATGAAGATGAAAGTGTCTGGGTTTGAGGATGTCCTTGCGAGACCGCACATGTGGCCGATGGAATGGCCGGGAGTGTCGAGGAGGTAGAAGGATCCATCGTTGAAGTAGTCGTATGCATTGAACCTACCGATCTTCATACCCTTCCCTTCATCCTYGATGTCAACTTCTCGAACTTGACGACCTTCAAAATCAGTCTCTAGGAGCGTGGAATCTTTCTTCTTCGGGTACCCTGGAAGATACGCGGCTTTGAAGCCAGGTCCTACAACTAGCTCTGTGGAATGTGGGAACAGAGCAGGATTCCCGACGTGGTCCCAGTGGTGATGAGACCAGATGATAGATTGGATTGCYCCACCGGAAACATCGACGCCATTCTCGGTGAGGATTTCAGAGACATCCTTCTCGACATTGATGTACCAGTTGTTGTTTACAAATCTGGAGTAGGATGGTAATGCATCCCAGTCTTTGCGTACGCCTAGGTCGAAGAGAATGGGTTTGAAAGATGGGTGTTCGATAAGGAACGAGAACGAAGGGCCGCATAGTTCGGGATGACCAGTATATTCAGGCTGCAGGAAGTTGGAGATTCCGAGACGGAAGCGAGCTGTGCTGATGGGACGTTATGGATGTGTACGGGTTTTTGATGAAGCATTACTCCTACCTATCAATACAAGAGACCTTGACTATGTTGGCAGATTTGGGGAAGTGAAGATCTGGAGCAGATTTTGGAGGTGCGAGATACTTGTCTGCCATCTTTCGTATGTTACAAAGTGTTGCCAGGTTTGGCCAACAATGAACTGACGGGAGATCAGATACCCTGGTGGATTCATCGTTAGCGTGATTACGTGAGACGAAATATAGGTGCATCAAGATGAAAGCTCTTTTCACCACTTCATCTRGATTTGATCACCAACAATCTCAAGTCAACGACCCAGCAGCTCAAAAGCGGCAGCATGGTCGCAACGTGGACTGGGAATGCAATGCTGGAATGGTAGGTAGCTCGTCCGAAACCGCCTTGACAACAGATTGGAAAAGCATCTGTAACTGTCTGCTGTATCCTTCAGCCTACGGTACTCGTCAATAGGCGTAGAATGATCAAACGATCACAAATAAGCCGGAGCGTCTTCTAACCTATAGAATGGGCTTGTGCAATGTGCATATCTGACATATCATGAGCGTTCACTTGTGGTCATCTCACATCCGAGAGTGTGTCCGCAAGACGATTCATTCTTCCGAGGAGTGCGATTTGGCTGCGTATAACGCTTTGGCATCTGAACGGCTAGGATCAGGCGAAAAGACTGCAGCAGTGTTTCTGTGCCTTCTGCCTTATTTTGTGCGGCATCCACCTCCATATAGATCCCACTGAGCTGATTCCATACTTCATTTCCGTAGAAGCATTCATTCGTATAGCTGTTTGCAGTACCACATCGCGTCATCGAGACGCTGCTCTAGCACTTTCGCTTTCACTCTTGCGCACGCACAGCGGCATAGTGCAAGAAGCTCTAGCCACCGGCATCATCACCCCCATGGTGCTCAAACCGTCCTTCGATCAGACATGACCCGCACGATGCTGCCTGGTCCAGCCAACTCCACAAGCTTTTCGTGCCAGCTCAGCAGCACACTCATTGCCTGACCACCTCCCTCACCACCACCGAAATTCCGCCCTGATGCCTGTGTGAATCCCGTGCCCTGCGGCGTGACACTCTTTCCCCCGGATTTCTCTGAAGGCGCAACCATTCCCATTCCTTTGTAGAGATACTTCATCAAGGTATCACAAATCTCGCTGCCACCTTCTGAGGAATATATCCGCTGGAGAATTGGTGTCATTTCGGCTTGCCGTATGGACTGTAGGATCTCGATGACTGTGTTCACGTGGATTGCCTACAATAGGGCAGCTACTCATCAGCACTGCGCAACCCATGTTGAGCATTGTTGTCTACGAACCTTTCCAGACTCGTCCGCGCCGTATGGCGGGTTCTCCAGAGCTCCAACCAGTGCGCCTTCTGCATTGCCTCCTCGTAATAGTTGGCGGATCTGACCCGCAAGAGTTTGTACATCTGCGGTGGAGACTGGTTGTACGGCGGGGGTGAGAGATGTGAGGTCGAAGTTGTAGGACGATTCGGGATCCAGTGCGTCAATGTTGATCGTTCTCCAGTTAATGGCTGCCATGTTGTATTATTTGCGAGTGTCGCGGGTTGTAGGACTTGCGAACAAGAAAGTTGAATCCGTCGGAGTGGTTGTGATTCGCGAACGCGGGCTCCATCGCAACGAGGGCTACCTTACCAACTCACCTTACTCTCAGCAGCCTCAGGCACCCTGTGGCGTAAGCGCGTGAAATGCCGAGACTACGGAGCACGTCGCGTCACCTCGAATCAACAACGAACTACTTACATTTACTCCAATCAATTTACGACGCGCTTGGCCTGTGATGACCCATTGAAGACACCGTTGTTCAGTGTACTTTTGGCGTATGCGGATTTTCAGACCCAATTCTTCCCGTTCGTCTGAAACGGAAACATTTGCAATCATCCATACAACAAACCTGATGCGCGAGAGTCATGGACCGGGATCCCGTACATAACGACGACGCTTCGAATCAGCCCAGTGTCGGATACGACGACGCYCTGAAACATCTCAATGCCGGACCTGGGCCAGACTGGTCAGGAAACTATCCGGACACAGAGGACGAGACGGACGAGTTTGGCGCGAAGCTCGCCGCGTATGAAAAGAAGCGCCTCGCGCTAGAGACGACCGGGTCGGAGAGCAGGAATAAAAGGCGTCCGAAGACCCCGCCCAGCCCGCGACAAGTGGCGTGGGACGAAGCCGTTACGAGGCATTGGGCGGATAAGAGAGGGGAGGAGGCGGAGGAGAAGACGAGGGAGGAGCAGGCGGAGGGGAAGGGGAGGGAGAAGCCGTTGCGTGATCGATTGGAGCGAAAGCCAGAGGGCAGTAAGCCCAGAGAACCCTTCTGGAGAGCAAAAGAACGGCACGCAGATAGGACTGTCGCGAAGGAGAGCGATGCAACGCGACCAAAACAGCATGTGCGTGCGGTGAGCGACGGATACCCGCCCGCCGATCCGCCGGTGAATGTTCCCCAAGGGTGGGGCCACAGGAATAGGCACCGCGCTAGCTGGTTACACAGATCTACCACGGAAGGCGAAGCGTTGGGTTTAATACACAGCGTGAAGCGTGTGGACGAGGACACGGTCCTTTTACACAAGACTTCCTTCACCGGCGACGACATTCTAGCAGCTGGGCAGGACTCGCCCATGTCCGCGCGACGTCTACGGCAATTCTCATCGCCTTCATCGCTACATCACATGAACACGACCATCCCATCAGCGGAGCAAGACGTAGACGATCTGGAGTTCAACGATGATTCCGTTCTGGTCTCTACTCCGGCGGTGAACACTCGCAATCGCAAGATCGATGAGCTCATGAAGGGGGAAACTGTAGATGTAGAGAGGCATGGCGTCACGACGCAAAGACAAAGCCGCTTTGCTCTGAGCAGCGCGACAGACGACCGCCCGGTGAGCGCTCCTGAGGGCGAGAACAGGCCATTTCCACGGCGAAGGCGTGGCGCAAAAGACAAGGAGGAGGCTGTGATTGATGAGAATGTCGGGGGGCCCACACCTTTGCTAAACGTCACATCCAAGAAAGAGGGCTCGCAGGAAAATGGACGCAACGATTCAATAGACTTGTTGAGAAGGCTTGCCCGGGCTTCCAGTCTGTCACCTACTCCTGCGTCTGACAAGGTGGTGCGCGAGTATCCGGACACGAAGAAAGTTATCGAAGAGAAACAGAAGACCAAGGAAGACGATTGGGACGCCAGTGATATTCCGACCTTGCGGCAGCGCGGAAGGGACAAGAGAACGGCGGTCGACAATATCTTCGCTAACGTACCTGCGAAGCCGGATAACAACAGTCAAAAGACACGAGCTGTTTTCTCAAAACTGGCGGAACGAGACCCTCGACGAATCAATAGCGAACCTTTGCAGCCAAAGTCCGCACTAGATGCTATCGTGCAAGAGGCCAAGGCCAAGCATGACTCAAATATTGGCGACAGCACTATGGCTTCTCTTGAAGACATTGTAAATCCAAACACCGACAATTCCTCGATAAACCTTGATACGGACAAGAAAATAACGGTAGAGGATACCATCGAAAAAGGCGAGGCTGTCTCCTCCTCAGAAGAAACTCGCCGCAGAGAAGTGCGGGAATTTGAAGAAGCAAACAAGCGCCTTCGCGTGGCTAGGACGTCTATAAAGGACGCGGACCGTGGGCTAAGAAGGTTGGAAAACCAACTCGAAGCTACAGAAACTGAGCCAACTAAAACCCGCCCTGAGGCCAAGAAAGGTACAGACACCGAGGCAACCAAAGTTTCTCCTGGAATCAACAAGAGTAACAAAGCGTCAAACACTGGCAACGTGCAGATCCGCTATGCTGACCATCTGCGAGAGTTCACACCCTACACCGATCATAACGGGCGTACAAGGTGCAAACACTGTGGCGGTTGCTATTTGTCTGTTTGGCGTGGCATGTGGGTCGAATTCCGAGAACTTTTCTATACCTGGGGTCCAGAAGAAGATGGCGCTCCCCTAAAGATGACGTGGCTAGGGACCATGTTTGCCATATGGTGGGCATGGATCATCGCCGAGATCGCAATGTCCACGCTCTTCAACCCATGGCTCTATGATGCGAGGTTTCCCTTTGTAACAATCACTCTGATATATCGAATTGTCCGCGAGCCTCTGGAGACCGCGGAATGGGTCATTGATGTTGTTGGCAATCTTGTCTTTGGAGACAGTGCTGAGGTGGTGGAGCCGTTGACAAGTACTGCTGGGGCTTGGATAAGGAACTCTACGCCTACGCCGATACATGAGCGAGCCGTGAGGGGGAATGATGGGGATTGGGTAGCGGCTGCTGCGGCTGCTACTGGCGCTGCTACGAGGATGGTAGTGAGGAGTGCCATGGATGCTGTGGATGAGGCGGGGTCGATGTGGGACGATGATTATTTGAATCTGTGAGTTGGGACGGGCAATACAGAACCGAGATCTGGATTATTGGATTGAGGTTGATGATTCGATTGGCGTGGAGTTCTATACCCTTGCAACTGTTTGGTCTGGTTGGTACATGGCCTTGAATATGGCCAGTTGAGATGGGAACGTTTGTCGTATGAAAACCAGCAACATACACCTTGCATTCCACCTCTGTCGTGATGGAGATTTTAAGCCGCGAGAGCACTTCGACCCAATCGTTGTTCACTCTCGAAAGTGTAGCGGTAGACCACGACCTCACTGACTGAATCCGTTCACTTTGATGCGACGCTCGATTAGGTCAAATGGATTGTGATGTGTAGATTTGTGGGGCGTGCAGTAGCAGACCGAGCTTGACGGACGATGCTCGAGACACACACAGTCACGCCCTATCATGTTTCATAGCATATTGTTGTGGAGAATGAACGAAAACCAAGACCGGCCCCAAACTTTATGAAAGTCATTCACTCACTCTTCGGCGGGCCGCACCTTTGCCGCAGACGAACCCAATTTAACCCTGCGGTAGGGGCTGCAATAAGGCTGCAGGTAGAGTTATGTGCATCACAGATTCAAAGATAATCACCATTCAAATAGTGATACAGAGACCATGATGCTTGAAAAGACTCTAATCTTCCTTTGCCCAAGCGTCCAACCATCTCACGGCCTGGAAATAAGCGGACTCCTGCGCAAACGCCTTCTTCTTGTCCGTAAGGTTAGTCCGAACGGCAAAGCCATGTTCAGCCCCGGCATAGAGAGACGTCTGGTAGGTCTTGTTCGTCGCAATGAAGATCGATTCGATGGTCGTTCGATTGTCAGGGGTGTTTGAACCATCCAGCTCACCAAAGGCAATGCTGATAGGCTTGGTGACAGCGCCCCACTCTTCAGCAAGAACAGCTGAGGGATGAGCTGTGAAGCCAGCATCAAGACCTTTGCCCTCAGCCAAGAAGCGAGCTACGTACTTGCCGCCTGGAGTCTAATCAGTACATGCCTCGGAATTTGCTACCTAGGGGTACTCACCAAAACAGTAGCCAACAGATCCAATTCGAGATGCGTTGAACTCCGTACGAATCGAGCTGATTGCAGACTCGATGATCGACTCAACCGCAGCTTGGGGATGTCTGCTTCGCCACGCAGTCATGTTGAAGGTCGAGTTTGGGTCACTCAAAGCATCGGCTGGGACTGGATCGCCCTTGAAGAGATCTGGAAACGGACACATCAATGATCAGACCTGCAGATGGCGTGCCAGAATACCTACCTGGTGCAACTACAAGATAGCCAGCTTTCGCCAGACTGTCGGCGAGTCTGTACTTCATGTGAGCTCACTCTCCCAATCTCAACTTTGTGTTTTTGACCTACAGCCTATTGTTGACCAATTGCACGCCGAAAATGTCCGTAAGGTATAGGATGGCGGTGTCGGTCTTATTCGTCTTGCTATGATGAGGCGGATAAGCCAGGTACAAGCTCTCTGTTGAATCATCAGATTGAGTCCGGAAATCAAGACAGGAAAGCATTTACCTCCGCCAATGGTCTTCGTCACGCCAGTCGAAGCATTGCCATGCAAAACACCGCTGAGACAACTCCCGCCGCCATGCACATTCTTGAAGACTTCTCCCGCGTGCTCATACTTCAAATCTGGTTCGCCATGGGCCAAGCCAAGCGAGGCACTAGCAAGCAGCGCCGCCGTCCATGTGAATGCGTTTCTCATTTTTGGTTTGAGTTGCGGTGAGACTTCAGCTGGGTGTGGGTTGTGGAGGTGAGTGTAAGCACTCGTACTTGATAACCGACCGCGCCATCACCATATGCAGTCGCTGTCGATCAATGCTGATGCTGATAAAGCATCGATGACGCTGGAATGAAACTAAGCCTACAGATTCGATGCCCGGATAGCCAAGAGCAGCTTTTAGGCTGCACGCAAGACTTGGCATGCGTAGCGAATCGTAGGTGACGTCGGATGAACGTTTTGTGGTGAACAACATTTATGCTACATAGATGGATTGACTCGAGACAGAGACTGATCTACTATGAAGTGCCATACTAAGGTCATTGGGATGGGAAATTTAACGTTATGTCTCCTTCAGAAGGTGGTTGAGTTTCTGTGCGTGAAGAGGTCAAAGAGTTGATGTCCATCGACTGATACACATTTGCATCTATTTCTCTACTTTTCCTGGTAAATTTCAAAGGCGCTTACATATTCGAAGAAGCTCGCCTTGTAGTACTGCAATGGCGAATTAGCACACTTCCCTTGAGAGCTATCGATGGCTAGTTACGCGGGTTGATGACTTACCCTAGGCAACGCAGGATCCGAAAAGTTCACATATTGTATTCCGAAGGTGGCGGCGAAGCCTTGGGCCCATTCGAAATTGTCATAGAGGGACCACGCGAGACACCCTACGACGTTGACGCCCTCGCTCATGGCTGCAAGAATCCCTCTCATGTAGTCGTGGTAATAGCTGACACGCACCGGATCATACAGAATGTCCTGGAGTAGGGTCTTCCTGGACTCGCCAGGTTCAGCGAACCCGAACTCGGTGACCGCTATACCACCCGCAGGCTTCCAGGTATCTTGGATGTAATGGAGGAACGCAGGGACCCAATCAGTAGCTTTATGCAACCACGGCGCGCGGGCATCTGCAGCAGGTCCAATTACCCAGCCGCCATCCTCGGCCGAGTAAGTATAGCTGGTGTTCGCACTGCTTCATGTTAGCGACGGACACTGCTAAACGGCCATGAGGATTCCAACAACGCACCATGTTGGATAGAGTGGGTTCGAGGCGTTGCCCACGCACGCCTCGATGCCGTCATCAGGGGCAAAGTAGAACTGAGCAGTGTACGCATCGTGAGCGTAGAAATCAGCAGACCCATTGAGGGCTTGCTTCTGTTCTTCCGTAAAGTCCGGCAAGAAGTCCGAAACATACTCCTTGAGTGAAGCGGGATAGTCTCCGGTCAAAAAGGTCGGATCAGAAAACCAGCCCTCGTTGAAGTCCCACGCTCGCTGWACTGCTTCAGCATCCGCAGTCGAATTGGTCAATGGGACCTTGTAGCCACCATTGTGCTTGAGAGTGATGAGAGAATCTGGCATCATCGATTTCCCGAGCCGGTATGCCTGCGAATGTGCCAAAAGGACATTATGCCCGCAGTGAAACTTTTGCTGGATGTCCGGGATCGTCACATTCTTGAAGTTTTCGGCTGGTAGAGGATAGAAGCTACAAAAGACTATAGGCTCGTTCACAGTGAACCAATGTGTGACACGGTCTCCGAAAGCAGCATAGGCGATGCGGGCATACTCCACAAAGTCGGTTACGATGTCCTCGCTCAGCCACCCGCCGTAGGTATCCTGAAGGAGTAATGGCAGATCCCAATGGTATAGAGTAATCTGAGGAGTGACTCCGTATTCCAGGCAAGTATCAATCACATCACTGTAGTGTGCAAGCGCTTCCTGATTGACAGCACCTCGTCCAAAAGGCAATATTCTAGACCATGAGAGCGTAAAGGAGTAGGTTCTGACACCCATCGCGGCAATTCTAGCGATGTCCTGTTTGTWCAAGTAGTAGTTGTTGTCGGCAATGTCTGCGGTGTCGTTATTGGCAACATATCCCTTGGCGTTGTGAGACAAGGCATCCCATATCGACGGTCCTCGTCCATCGGCTTTGACGGCACCTTCGATTTGGTAGGATGCTCCGGCGACTCCCCACCAGAAGTCCTTGGGGAAGGACCACGATTCGTTCTTCTGTTGACCAAAGACCTGTTGTCCAGTAGGAAAAGAGGAGTAGTAGAGTGGCGGCGGAGGTACGAGGGAGCTAGATGGAACAGCCGTCGCCGAGACTGTCGTAGTAGTGGCTGCAGATGACACAGGGCCAATCAGGAGGTTCCAGACATCATCGACATTGAGGTTCAGAGTCGTGGAAAAGGTTGGAGTTGCTGTTGTGGATGTGGTACTTTGAGCGAAAGCAACGCCTGCAAGAGCGACCACAAGCACGTACATGGTCTGAATCGTATAAGAGGTGATCGCGATGCTGGAAACACACAAACCTTTCCAAATCYACATGTAACATTCATTTATACAGTGTCCAGGGCGGGGTACGACAATAGCCGGAGTAGCACGGAAACCAGCGTCCGTGCAGGGGTATGCTGGCCTTCGCGTGGCTGAAATGTGGAAGATCGATGTTGGTAAGGATGTGAGTGAGTGAACCTAAGGAGTGGATTATGTTATGGGCCCGTGAGGGGAAGTGGAGCTCAACTCCGCAATAGTCCTGTAGTTTATGGGGGTGTCAAAAGGCAACCAAATACAAGCAACTGAAGCCTGGAGTACTCACGATAAGCGATAATTGGCCTGATGCGCGACGCATAGTACGTATCTGTCGGATCAGTTAAATGCTCTATTTCGTTAAGATACGCGAGATGTATCGCTTTGTCGTCTTTTCACGACGGAAGAAAAAGCCGCTGGTTTATCCGCACAAGCCAGAAGTAAGTAGAAAATTCTGTACAATATGCCAGGTATGGTGGTTGCCTCGCGCTCGCGCTTCGCCCTGAACGCCGTCCTAAACCCTTCTGCCTACCTGGCGGGTATCCGTTCATTCATGATCCTCCCTGCCAAGAACGGGAAACATGCTGCGTCTCGGCATCGGTCTTCGTAAATGCTACTTGTTCCATGCTCACTCACACTGCTTGATTTAGCAGCAGTTCTTTCCCAGTCCGCCCGCAGCGGCACCGGTTCCAACTTGTACTCCAGATCCGGCATTCTGGGCTTGTGGCTGTTGAGTGTCGACAATACGCTTCTTGWTATCGCCCGCGAGGCTAAAGAAAGCCTTTTCGACGTTGATGTTGCTCTTGGCAGAGACCTCCATAAACGGAATCCCAAGCTCGTCGGCGAGTGCCTGACCTTGCTCGGTGGAAACGGCACGTTTCTCTTCCCAGTCGCACTTGTTGCCTATGAGAATCTTGTTGACACCTTCCGTCGCGTGTTGTTCGACGTTGGAGAACCAGGTTCGAATATCTGCACGTCGAACACGTTAGTTGGTTTGCTCCTGTCCACTCCTCACCGCCACTCCTCATGGCCTCGTCCGTAATGGAGGCGACTTACTGTTAAAGCTGCGCTCGTCTGTGACATCGTATACCAACAGGATGCCCATGGCTCCTCTGTAGTAGGCGGTTGTGATCGTCCGGAAACGCTCCTGGCCAGCAGTATCCCAGATCTGCAGCTTCACCCGCTTTCCGTCCAATTCAATCGTTCTGATCTTGAAGTCGATGCCGATCGTTGTGATGAACGAGGGTGTGAAGGAGTCCTCGCTGAAGCGCAAGAGGCAGCATGACTTTCCTACGCCGGAGTCGCCGATAAGGAGCAATTTGATCTGTACACCGCTGGTCAGCCTTACATTCCCCAGCACTTGTCCCCGTCAACACGCCCATCCAACCGCAGAACGACATGATGACGATGAACGTCTTTGTCGAGCCACAGCGTGGGTCTGTTCGGAGTGATACTCCCGCCTGCTGCCTGCACCGCGGGAAACACGAGCAGCGGCATGGGCAACACGTACCAGAAAGTCATAGTTGCGAGTGCCGGCCATTTTGGAGAGGTTGTTGGTGTTGCTTCGGATGTGCAGTGGGTCCGGCTGTCGTGCTAGTCTGGGTGCTCCTTTGTTGATGCGGTAGGTGGTGGTTCCGTGAGCCGCGGTGTTTTGAGGGTGCCGTGCAGTGCTGTACAAAGGCCGTCTGAGACAATGCGCTTTACGCTCGTGATTGCGCGGAGGATCTGCGATGTAGTAGGTCACGTAACTTGCGGTCAGTGGCGAGGCTGGAATCGAATCTTGTTTTGTCGTGACGGGGCTTGAAATGTCATGAGATGCACCCTCGCACGTGGAGATGATGGAGGCTAGCGCCCCTCAAAGCGCTGCTCCACAAGATACGGGCTGGGGACACACCTTTCACATGAACATGACGATTGCTACACTTATGACAGAGTACATGTGTGGGAATGGCCTTGGAGTGGTAAACCCTTCTTTGCGTAAATCTACCGCTCTGCTACTCATTTCATGAACGGACGGACAGTTCTGCATTTACGCCCTCATGTCTTGATATATACTGTCAGTACGGAAGGATGCTTTATGTCAACCATCTCGCATACGCCCATCGAATGCGATGAGCAACTTTCGTCTGCCTCTCGATTCCCATTCTTACGTCCGTCAACTCCTCCGCCTCTTCGCTGAACTCCTTGTAGATTTGGGTAGGCATGCTCTGTTGCGCCGCCTGCCGCAGCACATGAACCTCGCACAGCAACAGACCTTGGTCCTTGTAGAGCAACTCGCCGTATTCGGTTGGCGTGCTTCCTGTTAGAATACGATCAATGTTGCGCAGCTGACGAAGCATCATGCCTTGCTTTTGCGCGGCCTTGAAACCTCTCTTCTGCAAGAGACTTGATCTGATGTAGCGGTTCAGACCGTAGGCCACCAAAAGCCCCGGCGTGAGACTAATGAATCCTATCAACAGCTCTTGGGACTTCAGCAGGGAGTCGATACCGCCGATAGCGACCTCGACGTCCACCTTGGTCTTTTGGATCTGGATCAGCAGGGCACGTATCAAGTTGCCGCGAACAGCACCCATCAATGGTGATGTGAGATCCTTCTCGTAGGCTTTGAGAACTGGCGTGAGATCGCCTTCTCTAATTTTGGAGCGGAGAGCGGCAATATCGGTCTCGGTGAGACTTGCGCCGGATCCGGTGATGTTGGCAGGATTGTCCACAGCGAAATCGACTACCATGCGTTCCAGGCTTTCTCGATCGCCCTCGAGAGAGCGCTTCGACATGATACTGATCTCASTGCCCTCGTCATGTCGGATCGTCCCAATGAGTTTCCGTGTCGGTTCTACCACCCAGTTGTGCCAAAAGTCAACAACCGTGGTACCCAAGTCTTGTATCCATTGCACGATCTCGGCCTGGCGGTTGACCAGAATCCTCAAAATGGTGCTAGAAGAGAGTATACCAACAGTAATGGCGGGCCACCAGCGTATGATTCGTGATGGCTTGCCGTGCTCTTGCTTGATGTTCTTCGTAGCGGCCGCGTACTGACCAAGACCCAGGACTAGAACTCTTGAAAGGCGCTCGGCAACATCCTGCGGTGGTAGTGCCACGCCCTCCATGTCCATCGAGTACAACGGGTCGTCGTCCGTCAACTCGGCAATCACGCTGTCAAATTTGTCCAACGGAGTCTCTAGATCGTTAATCTTTGCCAACACTGCCTCCATCAACGCGACGTTTCTAGCCACTGACGTCTTCCACTTTTGCTGAACATCCTGCGTGCTCGGTGTTGCGAGGCCATCGCCGTGTGCACTCTCATTGGCCAAACCCTCACCCAGCAGGACTCCAAGTGCATTGGCATTCCGAAGCCGGATTTTCTTCAATGTCGCCTGCTTCTGCCCGACCTCGCTGCGAATCCTGGTCACCGGGCTCAGTATCTGTTTGTGGACTTCCCTCACGCTCTTTTCCCGTACAACCTGCCTTACGAGCCCATAGAACTGCTTCCACCGCTCTGTGATACTATCTGATGCATCATGGCTGGCCCCTTTTATGCTGAAGTTCCCACCTCGTGCCTTGACATCCGCCCATACCACATTGGACCAATTCCAAAATCGTAGCGGAGATGTCTGCAAACTGTACAGTGCCGTGCGTCTTTGAGTCCCCAAAACTTCGTCCCAGTACCACAGGTCATCGGAGAGAGCCACAGCCTCGTCTAGGATGTTATGGAGGACGTGCCCATAGACTTGAGTGGTCGCTTTCGATACAAGCAGCCATTCCAATTCCGTCTCAAATTCGTCCTTCTCGCTCGATCCGTCGACTTCTACAGCTGCTGAAGCTTCCGGTCGGTCAGAGAGTGTTGACAGCAAGCTCTGAATTTGCGATGGCTTGAGCAAGGATTTACTGTGTGAGCTGCTCGGAGACAATCCTCGTATTGCGCCTTGGAGCGCAAGTAATCTCGCAGGCGGTTTGATATCCTGGTCGTGTGGGAGATTAATCGCGGCGCGCTCGAGCGTCGGAGAGCTGGGGGAGGATATGGCTCCGAGCTGAAGTCTGTCCAGCTGAGCGTCTATCCGCCGCGTCAGATCGACCACGAAGCTCATCCTGGCTGTCTGTACCGCCTAAGATACTCGCAGTAGGTTCTTCATGTCGACTGTGCGATTTCGAAGCTAGGTTTGGTAGGAAATCAGGAACGACTGGAGGCTAGAACTAGAGGCGGATTGAAAGTGACGTGGACCGACATGTCACCCTGGATGTACAATGTCAACTGTCCGCCAATCTTCCATCATCCGTTTGTGCCATCACTGCTAAATCGGAGACATTTCAAACTCCAGAAGCACATTGAAATTTGGAGGCAGAGCATCTACAACTCACTATGATGATGGCCTTGGGGCTTTGAAAGCTGTACCGCAACAATGACTGATCTCAAATGCTCTTGTAGGAGACACATCCCATAGGCTGTTTATTTTCGCTGCTTCTGAATGTGCTATACTACATGCGTTCTTGTACCTTTCATTCCGCGCCTCGCGGCTGGTAATCGCTATCCCAACGCCTATGACAGCTGCTCGGTGCAGTTGCAAACACTCAATCTATACGCTGTTCGCTCCAAATTTCGTGACCACCCATTACATTGCCTTCTTCAGCTTGGCCATCTTGGCCTCTCGTCTCCTCTTCGAAGCCTCTGGTCCACTCTCGGTGTCCATGACGTAGTCCCACCATCTGAAGGAACTTGAGTAGTTGCCAATGAACTTCTCGTGATGCACGTCATGGTGCTCTGCACCTGCCCAGAACGGCAGAAAGTGGTGGAGACTCCAGGGAAATTCATATCCGGAGTGTGCGTCGATGGCCTGGAACACACGGCAAACGATCCAAATGTACATGGTCAGGATGTGCAAGTCTTTGGTGATCGCGCACCACAGAATTGGAGATCCAACAGTTCCCAGTCCCAAGACCATGACTTCAATCGGAGAGGCATATTCGGCAGCAAGACCGAATGGGGCGGAGTATTGGTGGTGAATCTTGTGGATGTTCTTGTAAAGTGGGCCCCAGTGCATGGCACGGTGCATCCAGTAGTGCCAGGTATCCTCCATGACGAAGAAAATCGCGATTTGGTATGCCATGGTCAAGAGGGATGGAAACGGCACGCTTGTGGCCAGTCCAAAGTATTGTGCCATTGGGTGGAAAAGCCAGATCTGGGGAAGTTCGACGGTGAAGTGACTGAGGAGAACGAGCATCGCGCAATCCCACTGTTCCTTCGCTGAGGGTAGTTTTTGCTGAGCGACCTGTTAGCATGTGATGTTCCTCAACCCTATGAAGCGGTATTACACACGTTCTGGATCTTGTACTTGTTGAAGGCGGGTATTTTGTCGATGATCATCCATGGCAAACTCCTTCCAAAGTAGAATGCCYCATGCATGACGAAGCTCATTATCCCAGTCGCCAGCACATCATTGCCAATGTATGCGTACCACGCGGCCCATAATCGCTCAAAGTAGTTTAAAGATACATTGTATTTGGAGATCTCCTCGAATTCGTGCCAGTAGGTGTTGTTCGTGTGCGGCAGCATAGCGTCTGCGAGCGCTGTGTAGGTCGCATTGTTACTAGAAGAAAGCAAATTGATCAGCTGCCGTGTTCTCTCCTGGTGAATGGTATGCTGCATGGCTTTGGGTGAGAAGCGAAGAGTGGCGCGTCGATGCCGGCAGCAGAGCAAATGGAGCGAGGCGACTCACAAAAAATCCATCCCGAGCGTTAGMGACATGATTCGTGCGGTCCTCGCCGGGCTGTGTGTGGATGTAGAGCGGGCACGATGGAGGTGTTGTTAAGAACGACCTTAAATGTGGGAATGTAGACCGATGAAATTGATCGTATGATCTTTACAATTCACTAGGGTTCAAAGACGCTAAGGTCGAGGCCCTTGCCAGGGCTTTTGAGAGTTGACTCTAGCGCCTTCGAATCTGGGATCCGTTCCGGGTTGCCACCAAGCTTTTGGCAGATCTCCCACCGATCCAGTGGTTTGTACATAATCTGTAGAACAGAGGGGGTTTGATATCGCTGCGCACATGCACCTGCTTGCATGCCGTCCTCCGTATGAACTTTCAGCACCTCACCTAGTCTTCGCAAACATTGAAGACCATTGTCAGGACACAGCCGAAGAACAAAGCACAGCGATCTTCAGGAGATGACAGACCCTTGTAAATCAGATCTGCAAGTCCCTGAAGGAGCCATCTTCACGTCAAAGCAATTGGCTGAGAACTCGTCACGCAAGCCGCTCATGTTGGAATGCACGCTGTAACATACCAGGTCATAGAGAACTACACACCATTACTCCCCGCGCTACATTGAAAATGGGTAATGATTGAACGTGATGAAGTCATCGATGTATACTCTGCCGTCTCGTCTGTTCGTCTGTCCACCTCTCTGTCCCCTTCACAGATCAGCCAAACGCAGCGTTCGACAACCACAGCTGCGAAAAGCCCGGGCCGTGAGAACGCAGTGAAAGCAGCAGCAGCATCGGCCGTCCAGTTTGGGACCTTTTGTGCTACTCTGTTGTGCGGAATTAAAGATTGGAAGAGGGCGCGAGACGTCTCGAGAAGGATGCGAGTAAAGGAGGGACCGCGCTGTGTGCATATAGACATCTCGTGGTTTTTTCATCTGCGTACCGCTCAGAGTAGCAGTGAGCGAGGGGAAGCTAAGGGTAAAGGGTGGGAGGCAGGTCGTCGTGGCAGTCTCGTGATGAGATTCGTCTTCGTTTTCTGGCGGCATTTGGCCAGAGAAGAAGATGGTCGTCGGCATCTGGCGACAGAAGCAGGTCGATCGATGTCCTGTTCTGTTGACGCCCTTCCTCGAGAAAGATAACGAAGAGAGGGAAACTACCGGCCGCTCTTTTTGATTTCTGAACTCCACCCGTCTATCCCTTCCCCTTTGCTGCCGACTGAGATGTCCAGCCGCACCGGATCCATACCCCGAGTGCCGTCCAGGAACGGATGATTTGCCATTCCACCAGCATTCGCGCGCTCCGCCGGTTGTAGCTCCAGCATGGGCAACAGGAAGTCCCCTATCCGTTTTGCCTCCTCAACTGAAAAGTGGTACTTTTCGCGAAGCACATCCGGTAACGCCCAATGTCTCAGTCGGTGGATGTTTCGCAACTCGCCTTTGCGGTTGAAAATCTCTTGCGACCACTTGCCAGAAATGCAAAGACTTTTGGGGAATGTGCCGAGTAGTTCGATGATTTGTGCGATGTGGTCATCATCTTTGCCATATTTTGTCCCGGATTGTGGGTCAAAAAGGTAATCGCCAGTGATGAGTTCAAATGTCTACAGAATGTTAGTAGCCGCCTCGGAACAATCCATAGAGCCACTCACCATTGCTGCCATACTCCACACATCCGTGCTGGCGCCCCATTTCGCGCCCAGAATAACTTCGGGAGAGCGATACTGTCTTGTTTGAATGTCGTTTGTAAAGTGATGGCCGACCCAGCACGCGTTGCCCAGATCGGCAATCTTCACGGAAATCACTTCGAGACCTTCTTCTGGCTTCTCCGCCTCCTTGGGTTTCACGGCGTGGGATTTGCCAAGGTCCATGTCCGAGACGTTGTTCGCGAGGATGTCACTGCGCCTTTCATCAGTCACACCGGCAATTTCTCACAATGATGTTGAAGTCAGACTTACGCCGTCTTTTCCCGGTCTTTCTGAGGATCCCTCCCCTCTGGTAAAGTTCCCTCTGCATCACCTTTGATTCCGAGACTCTCTAGCATGGATTTTTGCGGAGTGGATGACTGTCCTAAAGCACCGCTCATCTCAGCAACCCCATCGTTGGACGTCGGCGATGTGCCGCTGATGGAAGGATTACCTTTGGTGTCGCTCATGACCTTGTTCAAGCTTTGGGTGCTGCCCGGGAAGTTGACCATGTCGTGTGAAAAATTGGCGTTGAGAGGACTCGGAAGAGGTTGGCTACCAGTGATGAGCGTCCGCCTCCTACGGCGGCCGTTGCGGTGGTCTTTGTCCTCTTTGCTGTTCTCCTCCTTGACGTATGTCTTCACAATCTGCTCGACATCGCCAATCTCAATGAGAACGTTCTCGGGTTTGAGATCCGTGTGGATGATGCCGCATTCCCGGTGGAGATAATCTAGACCGAGGAGGACTTGCTTTGTGATCTGCTTGACCAGTGGCATTGGAATACCGCGGTGATTCCATCGCTTGATCAATCCAAGCAAGTTCTCGCCCAACACCTCAAAAACCATACATACGTGCATTCCGTGAGGGCCCTTGTGGTTGAATGAGTCCAGCAGGCTCACAACGTGCGCACGACCCGGGTGATCCTTGTTCGCGTCGACCACCTTGTTGAGCAGCTTGATTTCGTCGAGCGCGGTTTCGGTGTAGTGCGCAGCGGAGCGGACAACTTTGAGCGCGACATGCTTGCCGGTGGTGTTGTCCTTGGAGAGCCACACGGTCGAAAAGTGTCCCCAGCCGAGCTTGCGCACTATGGTGTACTTTCCATCCTTGTACTGCTCGCCTACTTGCACAGGGTGATATCCACCCTTGCAGTAGTCCTCGGAGTCCTCCTCGTCCGCCGTGTTTTCGGGTGCCTCGTCGCCGGAGGACTCGGAGTCTGTTGGAGAGGTGTGTGTGTCCTGGCCGTACTGGGCCTTTTGGTGATTGAGCGGGGACTGCTGCTGGGCGCTGTGGGGATCGGGAGTCAGCATGATGAGGACAACGCGCGGTGCATGGTGAAGGTGAAGTGAATATGCGTGCAGGGCGTTGTTGATGTCAGAGCGACGCCATGTGGTGGTCGGGAGGCGCGATTCATGTGTGAGGTCGCTGCAACGGCGGGGTTCGCGGCGCTCCTCCGCGCCCCGGTCGCTGATAGCTTTGGTGGCCCATTCATGGACATGGGGAGAAGTACGCACCTGTTGGAATTTGRGTCCGCGGTTATGATGGGTTTGAGCTCGTTCTTCCGACGCTTCTTCCCGTTCGTGTCGGACGAGGCCAGTGACTTTGCTTTGTTAATTGCTGCCTTTGCTCCGTTGGACGCCATGTCGTCGGCAGGCGGTGAGCAGGCTGCTGCTTGGCCCGCGGCTAGGTTCCAGGTAGTATCCCACTTGCGATGCGCTGTGTGCTGGCGGGGACGCACAACTGCTCTCCGCGGGGCGTCTTCTCGGTCTTGGAAGAGGATACTGCGCGCATGAAATCAGAGCCCGCTGCGCGAAGACGATGTTGCTAGCAAAAGCGCACCGGATCCAAAAAGTGACCTACTTGCTTGCAGTAACAGCTCCACTGGTCGATGACGGCGCAGTCTTGCAGGACCAAATCAAGTCTTGCTTCCGGACTGAGACGGCAGCTGTCACTTCCAGGCACAGGTACACCACGGGCAAGACACTCCACGACTCAAACAAACGGCAGCAAATGCGCCAGACTCGAGGGCTCTAGATTAGAAAAATCTCTCCTGCACCAACACCACCCACACGCTCTGTCTCTCGCGCGTGCTGATCTCAAATCAACCAATGACAATCGCGTTGCTAGGCTGGCGGGGTCCGTTTTGCCTTCGACTTTTGCATCTGCCGTTTGTGCATCTGACTCCTGGTGAGCAACACCTAGAGCCATGTCCTCGGCCTATCGATTCTTGGGCTTGTCTACATCCAAACGCATTGTTCTACTATGTCATATTGKACTATGCCGGACAAGTGGCGTAACGCACTGTGCGCGCTGCGCAACTGGGAAGGTCTGCGCTGCGCAACTGGGAAGGTCTGTCGAGGCGTTGTCGCGCCCAATGGGGCAAAAAATGCGGCCATCGCACGGGTACCCAGCCACGCCATCGTCTCTTCGCGGAGATGTGCATAGACTTCATGCACGGATACCGTTCATGTGCCACTGGCAACGCAGGTACACGCCCTTGAGCGAGGGACTCGCCGGATTTATTCGCTGCAATGTCCTGTTCGCTCAACCAGCCATTGCATTGTTCCCAAGCCCAACCCCCGATCGTGAACCTAACCCAATATCTCCCAGCCATGATGAGGTCAGATTGGGGTGTGATACATGAGGCGTGGACGGAACTACCGTCTTGATCATCATGGACTTTACCGCTACCCATGGGCATCGACGTTTGGCTAAGACTAGACGCAAGTACTGTCCTATACGAACCTACATCTACCTTATTCAACTCCAGGTCTGTGACCAACGGCAAGACAAGCCAGCATCGCAATGGGATGCTCAGCGCGATTTTCAGGCATATCCTACAAACGGCTTATTTCTGACATGCTCAACTGATTCCAGCCTATCGTGATGAGATGGCCGCCATCCACTGCTGCTCAGTTTTATCGTCAAAATGTAACAACTGCTTCAGCACGGGCACATACTGCAGCTGATGCTTCTTCTCGCTCAGTTTCATGAAAGCAAGCAGCGCTTCTCTCAGATAGCCCAGGTCGGGGTTGCCTGCAGGCGAGCCATTGCTAGCCTTTGGATCAGGAGACATGACTCTAGACGATTCCCTCGACGAGCGTGAGGACTGTACACTGTTGCTACTCTGCTTCGTGCGAGCAAGTCGGAGGTCTTCGACCATCGTTTTGTGTGATTTCTGAAGCTTCTCCAATTTCGCCTCCTTCTCCTGGATGGTCTTCAGCACCTCAACATTGTCCCTCTCCACCTCAAGACGGCGACGTTCGCTCTCATCCAATGACTCGGTGAGCTGGGCAATGGCGGTGCTCGTCTCCCCTGCCTCCTGCTGTGCCTTCTCGAGTTGGCGCACGGTGTCGTCCTGTCTTGACTTGAAGTCTTTCTCTCTACGCTCCGCTTCGTTCTTAGCTTCAATTGCTCGGGTAACCTCTGCTTCGGCAGCTCGAAGCTTTGATTTCATCTCTTCTAAGTCGCGAGCCTTCCGACGCCCAATGGTACTGGCTTCATCCTCGGCCCGATCGCGTTCTTGTACCGCAAGGTCCATTTGCTCCCGCATCTCTTTTACTTTTGATTCGGCACGACCCTCCACATCAGCCAGCAGTCTACGCATCGTCTCGCCTTCGCGGCCGCGTTCTGAAAGAAGCCTTTGAGCATCAGCCAATTCCTCTTTGAGACTCTCATTCTGCTCCTTGATCTCCTTCATCTGCGTGGCGATCTCGCGCGTCTGTTCCTGCATGCTGTCCATGGTGCTTTGTACATTGGCCTGCTGAGCAGACTTGAATTGAAGCTCATCACGAAGGTTGTTGGCTTCGTCGGAGAACTTCTTGACCTGCTTCTCCAAGTCATCCAGAGACGATTTTGACGTCTTGAGCTCGTCCTGGACCTTCTTCAAGTCAGTCTGCAGCTTGTCGCGTGAGTCAATAGCCTCGTTCCGAGTGCTTTCGCTCTTCTCCAAGTCTCTGCGTGCTGTTTCGTACGATTCCTCCAGAACAGTGCTTCTCTCTTCGCTCTTCTTGGCCCTTTCCTTGAGTGCTCGCAGTTCACCATCCTTTCCAGTAGCCTGAGATTTGTACTCTGCAATCTCTGAACGAAGGTCCTTCTCCTTGCTCTCCAGCCTCTTAAGGCTAGAAGTGCTCTTATCAAGCTCCGCCTTGGTGGCCTGCAATTCAGCAGATTCCTCCCTCAGTTTCTTCAATTCTGGTTGCAACTTGCTGTGCACATCTTTCAGAGCTGAAAGATCCTTGAATCTCGTCCTTGCGAGCTGTTCTGCTGACTCAACCTCTTTCTGCGTGGTCGCAAGCTTCTCTCGTTGCGCCTCGAGATCCTCGGTCAAAGAGGCGACTTTGGTGGCCAATTCAGCACTGTCCACACCGTGCTTCGCCTTCAACTCCTCCAGCTCCTTCTCGCTTGCCGACTTCGCAGCCCGCATTTCTGCCAATTCTCGTTCTGCACCTTCGTCCTGTTCAATGTTCGTGGCCGCGGTCTTCAACTCTGCAGTCTCTTCCTCCAAAGTGTTGCATTTCGCGGCCAGAGACTGGTTCTTCTCTTCCGCAACTTTCAGCTCCTTGCCTCGCTTGTCGCTTTCCTTCTGCAATGCATCAAATTCGCTTTGGAGCGCATCGTGACGCACTCTCAGCTCTTTCAGCTCGTGTTTAGCGTCAGCTGCAGCCTTGCCATTCTCCAGCAAGCTCTCTTGGAAAGTCTCGTTCTCCTCTTTGAGGTTCTCGATCTGCTCATTAAGAAGAGCCTCGCCCTTGAGCCTGTCTTGCAGTCTTCCGGTCTCGAGGTCTTTCTCGGATATCTGGCTTTGCAAAGTTGAGATCTCGCCCTTTAGCGTCTCAATCTCCTTGTCCTTCTGGAGGACAATCTCGTACGACGGGGCGTCTTCTTTACTGGCTCTTAATGCCTCCAGCTCGTCGTTTTTGGCTCGCAATATCTGAGCATTGTCGGCGATTGTCTGCTCATGCCGTTCGATAATGCCCTCATGGTGTGAGAGGAGGCTAGCGTGATCCATGTCTTGGCTCTCGTTCCTTGACTGCATGGTCTGCACAAAGTTCTTGAGTAATGGAATCATGGGATTGTCTCCGAACTTGTTGTGGAGCAAGGCGCCGGAGGCCACATCTGGGTTGCGCAGAAGCTCGTCGACAGTGATTGAAGGGGGGAGCTGTACCGAGGATTCAGATTCAGTCGGAGCATCACTATCTGCAGCCTTCTTTTTGTTCTTCTTCGGCTTCTTCTTCTGCTTCTTCTTCTTTGCATCTGTCAGCGTGGCTGGTTCGTCAGGGGTACCTGGTGTCGCATCTTCATCGGTTGGTAGAGTACTGGTACCCGTCGCGTCGGAGCCAAGATGGGATCTGGAGTCCGGGGTGCTGCCTCCGGCTGTGCTGATGCTGTCTCCGACAGCTACTTCAAGATGCTTCTCCTTCTCTCTGTCTGGAGAATCACACCTACCACAATCAACGATGATTTGATACGCGGCGTCACGATCCTTTTCAGCACGCTTCAGCAGACTACGCAGATTCGCCACGGAAGCCTCGTGACCAGCCTTGGAGTCTACGAGCTTCAGCGCATCGTCACGCTCCTTCTCTGCCACCGTCAGCTTCTTCTTCAAGCTTTCGATGTCCGCTCCACGGGAAGTGAGCCTGGATAATTGTGTCCGGAGATCATCCTTGATTTCGCCGGACACACGTACTTCACTCTCCAGCATTTTGAGGTGCATCTTGTAATCCTCAACCTGGTTCTCTACCGATTGCTTCGACTCCTCCGCAGTCTTGACCTGGCTTTGTAGTGTATTGACTAGATCCTGGAGGATCTTGAAGCGCTTCTCCTCGCGCTGGGCATAGACACCATTCTTGAGATTCTCAGCGTGTTCGCTCTCGTACCTTTTCAGGTTCGCCTCAGCAGACGCTGCTTTCTCTTGCAGTTCCTTATTACTCTGATCTAGACTCTGCTGAGTCTCTTTGATACGGCGCGTAAGGTCCATGAGCTCGCTTTCAGTCCGTGCGGAGTGCGCCGCAGCTTCCAATTCCTGCTCCTGAGCAACTTCCCGCTGGCGAGCGTTGACCTCGAGATCAGCTTTGAGCTGGACAATCTCGGCGTCCCTTGATTGGATGGTCTGCTTCATTGACTCGAGGTCGAGACGAGCGACGTCTAGGTCCTTCTGCAAGATAGCAACCTCTGTGGAAAGTGCGTCGTTGCGCTTCTGCAGCCGAATTGTCTCGTTTGCCAATCCAGAAGAGGCATTAGACTCTTGCTTTTCACCCTCTGCATTCGCCTGGGAGACCTCGCTGTCGTATGAGAAGAAATCGTCGCTAGCCGGCGCATCGGCTGTCTCATGCTGTTGCTTGGTGACAGTCGCCTTTGCAGATTTTAGCGCTTCATTCTCCTTTCGTACGTCTGCAGCATCATCGCGTGCATCTTTGGCTTCCTTCTCTGCTGCTTCAAGCTTGCTCTTCAACTCGTCCCGCTCCTTCAGGACACTGCCATGTTCGACACTAACACGTTTCAGCTCCTCCATCACCATCGAACTCTGTACGCTACGCTGATTCAGGAACTCAACGAGTGCACTTGGGTCGCCAATAGAAGTTAGTGGGGTGTGCTCTTTCAGGACTGCCTCGAAGGGCTCAATGGAGGCATTGAGCTCATGAGCAGTTCTATAATTACGCAGCAAATCTACACACGTCGAATTCTGTGAGTAAAACAGAAGATGCCAGTCACGGTGAAGGGAGTATCTCCCACTGGTGAACATACCCTGATACTTGGCCGTGAACTTATCCAGCTTCGCAAGCTTTTGCTGGACTTCGAGCGGCAAAGCCTTGCTACTGTCGTCCACAATAGGCTGGCCCATACTCTTAATTTCCTTGCCTTTACCCTTGTCATCGTCGGCTTGTGTCTCCTTTGCGTTGATCGCATCATCGGCCGCTCCTCCGGTCTTGGACATGATGGATGCGGTATCGGATTGGTCGTCGCCAATCACAAAATCGTCCGGATCTGGGCTTCTGCCTGCAGGCGATCCATCTCGCCCGTCCGCCACGCGAAGTCGGCTTCCTGCCCTCTTGCTGCTGCTGCTGCCTCCACGCCCTCGGCCGGCATTGCTGGGTGTGCGCTTCGCACGCCCTGATTGTCCCTGCTGTTGCAGCTGCTTCTGCTTTTCCTGCTCCTCGGCTATCTTATTGTCCAGGAAGTCAAGGTTGAGCCCCTTCTGCAGGCGCTGGAACATTGCGAAGCTCCTGATGGCACGAGCGCGAGACTCGTTCGCATTGTTGGAAAGCGTCGACTGATTTTTTGCACCGTGTCGTACAGTCACGCGCGTAGCACCAAGCGTCTGAGCCACGAGCGCGAGCAGTGCGGCAATCCAGGACGTACTCAAGTCAACCTGTAATTATTGGATCGTCAGGATGCACCCCGAGAGTGAACGCATATGCGGGTGGTCGGTAAACCTGCCGCGCTTGAAAACGTGGAGAGTTCGCGATTTTCGAGCTTTAATTTTCCTGGGAAGCATCGCATCACAAACAATTGTTCAAGATGCCTACTGAGCTTGAGGAAGTGRGTGTTGCATGGATCAGTTTCGATCAAATCTAACGACATAATACAGCTTGTTGAGTTCCTCCATCATGGCAACACGCAAATCCGACAAATTGGTATAATCCCCCCATTCGAGCAACCACTGCACATCATATCGATGCGCTGACTCTTCATACACAGCTGCCGAGAACTTAGTTGGATACTCCACGGCACAACCATCTCTCTTCAAATACAATCAATTGGAGCCCATCAAAGACTTGAAACTCCTCATCAAAGACTATCCGACAATAGCCAAGAATGCTCTCACAATCCTCGTCAATGTCTCGGACGATGTCGAAGTCCTTGACAAGCTATCGACGGATGATGGCTTTCTGAAAGCGTTGCTCAAGAAAGTGACCGTATGTCTTTGCCTCTCTTGCAAAATTACTTTCATGCTGACCACGTTTGGGTTACAGGACAAGAACGAACCCAATGCCAACGAATTGTGTATGCTCCTCGCAAACATGGCCAAAGCAGACAACATTACCAAGCTTTTAAGTCTGGAGCGGGAGGTCCCCAGACCACTGTCCACCTCACCTATCGCAATCGATCAGCTTCTGGACTGTTTCGTCAAGGGTGCCAGCAATTCCTACAACAAAGACGCCGACTTTGACTACCTTTGCTACCTCTTCGCAGACCTAGCCAAACACGAGGAAGGTCGGAAACACTTTCTCACACCACGTGGAGAAGGTGACGGCGAACACACTGAGATGGTCATCCCACTCACCAAGCTTGTCGTCTTCACAGAGCATAACGCTGCCATTCGTCGCCGAGGCGTAGCCAGCACAATCAAGAACGTCTGCTTTGACATTCCCGCACATACCACACTTCTCGATGCTTCTGGTGTGAATCTGCTTCCMTATATCCTTCTTCCTCTGATGGGCTCGGAGGAATACGCAGACGAGGACACGGATGGTATGCTCGACGAATGCCAACTACTCGATCCGGATAAGGAGCGAGAGAAACTACCTGATATCATTTGCATCCACCTTGAGACTCTGCTGCTTTTGACAACTACTGCTGAGGGGCGGAAACGATTGAGAGAGGTCAAGGTGTATCCTATAGTAAGAGAACTGCATTTGCATGTTGAGGATAGCGGTGTTAGGGAAGCATGTGATCGGCTGGTGCAGGTCTTGGCGAGAGGAGAAGAAGGAGATGAAGGATATGATGCGCCGCAGCCGCCCAGCGGTCCAGTGGTCGATGCTGGAATTGGCGCTGAGGATGACGAAGATGAGCAGATTGTGGATGTCTTATGATTTGATGATTTGTACGAATGTGTACGATCATGTTCGGCACAACGCTCATGCTGCCGTGCAGCTGACATCTCTTCACTGATAACGTAAACGAGTCTGACAGTGCCAACGTCCTCTTGGAGTCAACATGCTCGTACAGTCTTTCATCGGCCTCCTTTTCGCGTATACATTTACCTCAATCATCTGAGAGCACGCTCTCCGCTGCACCCATAGCCGTGCTCTCGGCCTGAGCTTCAGCCTTCTTACGGCGAAAGTCATCAAGGTAAGCCTGTGCTGCATTACCCGAAATTGCAGCAAAGTTGCCGCCTGCGCTCTTCTTACGGCGAGAGCCGCTGGCTGATCCCAGTGTTGGGAATGCGTCCTGATCGCCAACGTTCAATGGGCTGGTGCTATTGCTCTTCATGGGTGTCATCGAGCGCGGCGAATCGGTCGCTCCATTGGGTTTGTGCGWCGTCTGCCCGCCAGCCTTGCCACTCAAGATAGGAAGCGTCTGCTGGGTAGGAGATCTGACCTGCTTCTGGGAGACAGCCTGTGCTTGCAGAGTGGCAGGCTTCGGCRAGGGGCTGTGTCCTTCTTTGTGGTGTTGCGGTGCAGCTCCCATGGGACGATTATCCCCAGCTGTACCCGTATCTGTCGAGTCGCGGCTGGCTTGTGTTTCGTTGACCAGAGGCTCTGCTTCGATGAGCTGATCGAAAAGACCCCCTTCGTTGGAGGGGTATCCGTTCCCAACGGTTTGTAGAATTCTGTAGGCACGACGGAATTCATCTCGAATAGCCACGATACCGTTATGGGTGACAGTTCTCGCGACATTGTGGGTGAGCTCGAAAGGATCTTCAATGCAGAAAAGGTAGCGATGCTGAATCTTCTTGCTTTCACCTTCCTCGGTCACTGCCTTGACCCATCCCTTGGCGTCTTTCGATATGATACCCCGGTTTGTGCGGAGCGAGAGAACCTGTTGAGTCCAACGGAACTGCGGTCCTTGGCCCATGGATGAGTAGTACTGGAAGAAACCAGCTAACAAGGCACCAAGAGAATCTGTGTTGGAGCTCATCTGGCGTTTGCGGACTGCTGAGAGAATTTCGTTCTCATTGCGCCAAAAGTCAACCTTGTGCCCATCGACTTCTGTTGCGGTCGCACCTGCAGGAGTGCAGCCATGCGGACGCCATTCCATCTGCAAATTTGGCAGCACTGGCGGCTGTGCGACATTCATGAGGTAGTGCAGGACCATTAGAACAAACCCATATGAGGAGAGTGTGCCAGAGTACGAGCTGTTGATCTTGCGTTGCTTCACCCACGATTTCACAAACAGAACCATGGGACGGACACGTGGGTCACAAAGCGAGTAGCATCGAAGCAACTGCGTATTGTGAAGACCCAGTGGATTGAAGAAGTTGATGTCGCATTGAATGCCAACACCTTCACTTGGAAAGTCGAGCGGTCCGGGTTTACGCTCGCGCGTCCAAGTCTTGGACTGATCGCGCTTGGATTGGAGATTTGCCTGCGTATTTGAGACACCTTTGTCGGCCGACTGTTTGTTGTCTGTGGTGCCGATTTGATGGGATGAATCGCCAGCCTTAACTGTAGCGATCTCGGCAGTGATAGTGTTGGTGGGCTGAGCGGAKCTTGACATCTCGGTCTCTTGGTTCTTGACGACAGGCGCGGGCGCAGCTTCATCCTCGATTGCTGGATCCTGATGCAAGTGGGGATACTTCGTCTCTTCCGGCAGCATATCCCACTTCTCGCGCTCTTCGCGAAGCTTTCCGAGCAGACTTGGTGGCGGTGCCTGACAGACCTTGATGATAGGTACTCTGGTTCGCGTCAACAGGCGTGCACCAAATCCTTCTTGCAGAAATTTCTTCTCCAGTGCTCGCGGGAGATCCTCCTCGAGTAGACTGAATAGTGTCGACGGCGCGGTCTTGTTCTGCACGACAATCACCAAATCCATGTCAGAGTTGGCACTCGCAAAGCCAGATTGGAAGCTGCCGAAGCACTCGAGCGACACCTTTGGTAGAGTAGAGTCGGCTGCACATACTTCGTAACACACCTTCTCGAGGGCGAGTCGAAAATCCTCTTTCGCTCTCCTCTCATCCTGAGTCATGTCGACTTTGGGGATCTCCACACTTGCTAGGTTTTCAAGGTATTGTGCTTGTCTTTCACGAACGTTGGACTGCTGGAAACTTTGGCGAGGGCCACGCGCATTGGGATCAAATAGGCCACGTGCCCCTTGGCCTGGGTGCCCAGAAGTCTTGCGAAATGCTGCTGGGTCTAGCGGTATCTGCTGGCGGTGTTGCTGCTGCTGGCGAGGGACATTGCCATTTCCCTGTGGTGCGCCGTTGGGACTTTGCCTATGTGGGAGCGGTCCACGAACTTGTTGACCGGGTGGATCATGTGCAACCGAGTGATTCCCATTTGAGGAAAGCTGCTGGCGGTGCTGCAGTCTGATGTGAGGAGGCTGAAACTGTGAAGAATAGGAGATTTGGTCATTCTGATGTTGCAGAGGGACCTGACCCTTTTGAGGACGCTGCTGCTGTGAGGAGTCTTGGCGATGCGGATGGCCTTGATGCTGCCGCGGATCTTGACGAATGTGATGGTCTTGACTGTTTTGATATCTCATGACCGGTGGAAACCCTTGGTTATGCGGAGATGCAGGCGATGCTGGACTGCTCATGTGCCAAGTTGGGTTCTGTGGAAACTGCCCATTCTGTATGTGATTGACTGGGCTACGATTCGGCCCAGATGGACCATCCGGGATCGATCCATTGAGTAGGATCATTCTGCGTAGCCGGTCCTCCAACTCGTTGCTTTGGTCTGGTTGGGTCTCCATGGCGGACGGCAGAAAATGTTCAATGACGGCCAGTCTTGGTAAGGGAATTTGCGCCGGATGCTATTCCATCTCGCCGCCAATCTTGATCACACTCGCCGCCTTCTCCAATGTGCGACTCTCCTCTGTTCACAGTAACAATCAAACCTTCGCAGAACTGACTGTGAGCGAGGGAAGTAGAAGCTGATGAAAGTTGAAGAGCGATCACCCTCAAGTGGGGAATGTCGTGCCGGACCGGACTCCGGCTCTAGCGCGATCCACCCGCCCTCGCGTGTGTCTAACTTCGGGCTCCTCTCTTTCTGGCAGAGACAAAGACAACACCTTCCACGCGTGGCCGCAAACATCCTCGACAATCGCGCCACCAGAAAGTCTACGTTTCGAATATCACTCGRACTAATTCGAACGATTGCTAAGGGTGCAGCACGTCACACGCCTCGAATTGCTCTTCTCGCATCAGCTGTGCTCCTGCCTGGTCGACTCACCTCTCGATACGATGAGTGCATCCCCTGCGCAGGTCCCGTCAGGGCCCAGTTCCGCTACACCAACTGGCGGGCCACCCAAAACGATCAAGAGGAAGAAGGCGCCAGTCAGCGTGTTCCACAACAAGAAGAAGCCTGTCGCGAAGGTCGCCAACCCAACCCAGCGCCAACCTGTCCCGACTATCGCTGCACGCTCAAAAACTACTCAACAGGCTCCTCAGCAGTCTAGCAATGGAGCMGCGAATGACGCAAACCAGTATCCACCCAACACCGACGAGTACGGCAGCTACGCGGAGTATCCTATATTCGTCAACAAGCATATAATCGATCAAGGCATGCGGTATCATGCGGCCAAGCTGCATAGCAAAGCTGTCGACGATCAAAGCGCGGCTGTTGATCCATACGATGAGAATCAATTCGTGCGGCCACTGCGTCTTCACAGGCGCTATGCGCGTGACAAGATGGAGACTGCAGATGCCGAGGATCTTGCTTCGGGGATGGACGACAAGGAGCGCGAGCAAATGACTGCAAGGCGCGCTGAACGCCAAGCAGAGCGTGAGGAGAACCAGAAATTGATTGCACCAACGGGAGGCGAGACTACGAAATCTACCAAGAAGAAGATGTCGAAGAAGGCAGAGGAAGGCCGTGATAACAGCGATCCCGCGCGTCAAAAGCGAATGCAGCTGCGCTACGAAGAGGCTCGGCCCTGGCACCTTGAAGACTTTGAAGGCAAGAACATTTGGATTGGCAGCTATGAGCAGGCGCTTTCCGAGCACAGCACATTACTCACCGTTGACGATGGAGGATTCAGAATGGTCCCTGTTGAAAAATGGTACCGGTTTATTCAGACGAACAAAGTCAACACCATGGACTCGGAGGAAGTGGAGAAGCACATGAACAAGAAGTTTACGCTACCCAGGTGGGCAATGGGCACTCAACTTGAGAACGAGGTCGTTCGGAGAGAACAACAGCAAATGAAGGTCCAGGCATTCAAGTCCCGCCCACGCGATGAAGATGAGGTGAAGCGTGAGGACGGAAATGGTGAATTTGAAGCCGATCGGGACATGCTTGATCTGGATCTGCAGGACGAATTCCAGGACGATGATGAGGGAATGCTCTTCCAAGGCGACGACGCTGAAGACGGAGACGATATCGCCAAGCGAATTTACCTGGAAATGAGGGAAGCCGGTCTGGGCGGTACAGGCGTCAAGAATGAGGATGTGGATGTAGAGGAGGAAGAGCGGAAGAAGCAAATCGCGGAGCGCGAGGAGAGGAAGAAGAGCAAACGCCTGCGGAAGCAGCTCAGGAAGAAGGAACACCAGTATCAGTACGGATCCGATTCAGACTCGGACCCTTACGCAAGCTCGAGCGACTCTGTCGACTCCGATGAGGAGGCGGAGAAGGCTGCAGAGGAGCGCAAGAAGGAGGAAGAGGCTCGCAAATCCAGTCAGATCAATAGCGATAAGTCTGGCGCTTCTACGATGGGAAACAACACTCCCAGTGGCCGATCTGAGAAACGAGACCGGTTGGGCTCCAAGCGACCTGGCGACGATTCGGATCTTAGTGGGAACGAGTCCAGTCGTAAGAGAGCAAAGGTTACCAACGGAAGCGCATTGTCCAGACTGGCCTCAGGGAGTGGCCGATCGACGTCCCGTAAGTCGTGCAGCCTGCTGCTTACCGCTAGAAAATTACTGACATACTCCCAGCCGATGCTGTCAAGGCCAAGCTTTCTCGTACCGCCGCAGGCGGCTCAGGCTCTGGTAGTGACACTGACACCTCTCGAGCCGGCCGTCCAAAGCTCAAGTTCAAGAACAGCGCGCCCGGCTCACCATCCTCGGGTTCTCAGGTGGGCTCACGCGCTGCATCACCGTCCGCGCGTAGTCCACTTTCTGCGAGCAAGTTGGACTTCCCGACACTGCAAGAGGTCAAGGATGCAATCCCGCCGGACGGAATCGAGATCAAAAAGCTGGTGGCGCACTTCAAGAGCAGACTTGCTGGTCGCAGTGGAGAGTTCATAACATTGGTCAAGGCTGCGGGGACTCAAGACAAGGTCACACAGAAGATCAAGCCGAAGGCAGTGTAGAGGCATTCCTTTTGTGGGTTTGATATCGACATTCCTACACGCGAAGCCTCCGCTCATGCGCAGCGAGTGTCGTTTGCGTCAGGGCCCCATCTGAAACAGTGTGCCATCAGGGTTACGCTCACTTCTGCCCGGAAAGCCTGCAGGACAGCTTTACGCCGCTGATGATGCTTCGAAAATGGCATGCGGTGCGCACGGCAAAGCGGGCAATTTGCCAAGTCCATTAATAGACTAATGCTTGTCTCAACATGACCTWATCAGTGCGACTCATCATCTTGTTAGTAGGTTCTGCTCCCTCTTGTGATATTCTGAGTCCAAGTCTGAAGCACTTCCCTTCYCTTTCTCCTATCAGGAAAGAGACGAGAGAGCACGATGTTTGGCAGCCTCGCCCTTCGTCCAGCACCTAAACCTCGCGCTGATAAGAATTCCAATCCCGATTGACGAGGGCAACTGTTGGGTCGGCTGCAAAATTAAAGGCAGAGAGAGTCAAGGTCGGCGGGCAGAAAATGCACTACGATAACCTAGGTGTTGGGAGCACCATTGTCTCCGCCAATGTGTACATGGTAACACTGTTCAGGGGTTTCGAAACATAAGCCCCGCGAAGCTCATGCAGTAAGCTTCGCCCTGAATGCTTGCTTATGCAGTATAGTATGCTCACTGCATTCTGCCGCATGACGACGAGGCTATCTTGGTAGCTTAATTGGGGAACACTTTCTGCAGATAACTCCGAGACACCATCTGATCCTGTCCCGGACATACCGAATCTTCTGTCGGGAGCTGAACGTCTTTCAGGTTGGATTAGACATGCGTTCTGTGGTCTTCTCGAAGAACAGCCAGTCTACCTATCTTGCCTTTCTAGGCATGGACTCTATTGCGAGGCATCCATCCTGTGACCGGCCGACTCGGAGGCACAGGATCTTAGGTTTTGCGTTGGGATATGAGTCCTTGTTCTCGCAAAATCTCACCTCTCCCGGCAGCGGCTTGCCAGCATCAACCGATCTTAACCAGCGCTGTGACTTTCCCTTGAATTTCCCTCTTGATTGAAAGTTGAGTCCCGTGGGACGCGAGCGCCACAAACAAGAGGTAGTGCCTACGCACCTGCAACATGGGTGATCGCAACAGATGTGAGCGTAATATGAGCCCGAGATTGCTCAGCCACATCTTCTCTCCTGCTTGTGGACCTTTCAGACTGCATTGGTACGCTCACTCAGGCACGATGGCCTGAAATCGTTGCACATGACATGCAAGCACGAGCAGACGCGTACGCCCGGTACGACCTCTTCTACAACCTCACGGCCTACATATCCGTTCTCTGCAGTGTCCTTCTAGAATACTACCAGAGACTTGGAAGACAGTGACCGAGTGCAGTTCATATTGGAATGCAACCTGGAATCCACTCGGTTGCCATCTCTGAGACGCAAGCCTGGTTCTTTCAACGAGGCTTTGACATTCAAGCGTGAATATCGTACATACGCGCGTCGTCTGACTACGAACTATCACCTACGAGGAATTGGTATTCGTGCTGCGGCGAAAAGTCCATTCGCGTGGGGACCCGATAGGGTCGACCGATACACTGCAGCTGAGWAGGATGACTTCCCCTGTCCTATGTTCCGGTCATAAATTTATTGGATCAGTCATCAGCAGTGCCGATGTCACGAACAGGTGTCGTGAATGATATAAGATTCTCTCGTTGCGCCCAGTAATTGCCTGTGGCATGCACGCATCTCAAAATTCAATTGCACTGCAATAAAGTAGCTCGTCCAGACCTGGTATGTTCATCAGCCACATGCTTTAGTTCGCTCTCTGACCAAGATTACAACAAAGCCTCAACAAGTCCGTCCCTACTTCTACGGTTGAATCATGTACATTATCGTATGGACCATCATAGCGACAATGCTCCACCTCCACGCCTCCCTGACACTGGCCTCCCCCCTCGAAGCCAGGGCCCCAGCTACCGTTTACGAATACATGAAAGCAACTGCCATACCCATGCCATCAGCGACCATCGTCGCCAGCTGTCCGGACTCCACAGTTTCAGACGCCAATGATTGTCCACAGGGATGCACTGCAGCTCCAATAGGCGGTATGCTAGGCGTTGCCACTGCAAAATTTTCCTGCGCAGTTCCTAGGCCCGTCACTTCCTACACCAGTCACTTGGCCACCAGTACCTGCGACGTTGGATCTGTTGTCACGACATATTCGCTATGGGATGGGGATCGTCCACTGGGGTGTCACGCGACTAATTAGAGTCAATATGGTGTAGACTTCAAGGACGTGATGATGCCAAGCCGTGTGGCGCGTCTGAACGCAAAAAGACATAGAGGACCTGCATGTTGAGCACACCAAAGGTAGTTTCGAAAAGCACTCCGACTCGACAGAATTTAGTAGCACTTTTCGCATTGCGTAGCACTGTCAGAGAGTATAAACYCATCGCGTGTAGAAACATCACCAATATCAGCCAAACACTTCTTTCTAACCTCAACTCAGCTCGTCGTGTCCAGCACCTTGACTAGCATGTTCAGCGGGCAGCCGATCCCTGAGCCATCTAAGCGTTGCTTCTGTCCCCTTGTCGAGAATACGGTAGTTTGGTACGCGGAACGCATTTGAGGCTACCTCGAAGTTCCGCAGACCCTCATCCCACAAGAGACCGACCTCAGCTGGTAGCTGTTGGATGTCATTGCTGGAAAGATTGACGGTATTCATGCCCTGCAAAGCATCAAAGCTGATTGAGGTGAACTTGTTGTCCGTCGCAAATAACGTCGATAGCATGGGGTACGTGCTTCGAAGAGCAGGCAGATCTCCCGACAAGCGRTTGACGTTGACGTTGAGCACTTGGAGTTTCGGGGCGTGCATGAAGCGCACCAGGGGCTCGAAAGACCGGATTCCACACTTGCTGATGTTCAGCTCCTGTAGAGACGGGAGGTCCATATCATCTGAGAGGTAGTATGCGCTCATTGTGTTTCCCGACAGGTCGATAGATCGAAGATTCGCGCCCAGAAATAGTCCCGGAGGGATGCAGGTGAGCTTGTTGTACTGCAAATGGACCTGTCTGACATCATTGTTGTTCAGGAACGTTCCAAGAATATTGACCAGATCTTCGTCGCACAATCCTTGCGCTGCCAAGTCAAGTAAACCGTTGCCCTTGAGTGTCCAAATAGATGGCGGCTCCTCTGCGCCGWCCACTGTAACTGGACTTCCGGGGCATTCTGAGTCCGTATCTTCCGGATCTGGCGCGAGTCTTGCTTTCAGATCTCGCTTGATATCCGCGGCGCTCATGGTCAGGAACTTTTTCTCTCGCAATGGGTTCGCCGTGAGTACAAATGACTCGAGGCCATCCATTCTGCAGATTTCGGGGTTGAGAAGACGAATGTCATTGCTATTAAAGTTGACATTGCGTAGTTTGCGTAACGAGGTGAATCCGTGCGGAAGGTCTGTAATCTTGTTGTCTCCGCAAGCAAGAGTTATGAGGTCTGTCCAGCTCGCGACTGACGGTAGAACAGTCATGTGGTTATTTGTTAGATTCAGACTCCGCAGTCGAGGAAGAGCCAGTGTCTCCGAGAAGGTCAACGCGGCGATGGAATTATTCGCCACAGAAAGAGTTTGAAGTGTCGGATGCCCATCTACGCCACCGAGCGGAAACAACGAGCCGATCAGAGCATTGCTGCTGGCATCAAGTTCTATGAGAGGTATGTGTTGTAGTGCCTCCATTGGTAGTGCTGTGAGTTGATTGCCCGATACATTCAGCACTCTCAGTCCCACAAGTTCGCGCAAAGCTTCTGGTAATCCCAGCAGGCGATTGGACTGCAGATCTAAGACTTCCAGACTTGGCAATTCGCATACAGCGGTCGGCAGATTGCCGCTGATGTTATTGTGTCCAAGCCGAAGTTCCTTCAATGAGCGTATCTGAGCGATGACATCAAATGCGGCGTTGTCTAGCTTGTTGTGARAAACGTTCAAGCTTGTCAATCTCCCCAGCTGCCTCAGCCCCATAGGCAGTGTGTGTAGCGAATTGCCGTGTAGGTCGAGATATTCGAGCCCTCCGAACTGGTTCCCCTCCGCCGAATCATCTGCCGCCAACTCATTCGAGGTCCGGTCTGGGAACACTGCGTCGTCAAACTCTTCGATTTCGTTGTCGGCAGCGATGAATTTCGTAAGATCAACGACCTCCGCCCAATTGACATTACTCTCAATCATGGATGCAGAATCGTACATCTTGAGAACTTCTTCGGGTACGGCTTTGAGATTCATTGCCGCGATGTTGAGCTTGCCATCCATGCGTGCAATGTTTATTCTGTTTCGCAATATGTGCTTGTCGTCCTTTGGCGCCTGATTGAACGGGTCGGCATGCACGTCCATATCGAAAGACGCTGAATTCGCTGTTGAGAATCCCTGGGGTGAGTCGTGCTTCGGTGCTTGTGTCTTTCGCGCCGCCGCTTTGGCCGCAGCAATCTGTTGGCGTAGTGCAGCAGACGAGTTAGACACAAGGCGCTTCGGTTCTGATGCGATCTCGGATACATCTGTAGGCGTATGGACGGCATCATCRACAACACTGTTAACAGCGATTTCGATGGGTTGTCTTGCGGGAGGCTTCGCAGCAGGCTTCGTTACAGGCCTCGCTACAGGCTTTGTCACGGGTTTCGGTGCAAATGCGTTGCCAAGCCCGGGGGGTTTGAGTGAACGCGGCGTGCCAGATGTGCCGATTTTGCTGACAGGCGGTTTGATGCCAGTGGTGGGCGGCTTCATGGTGTTCCCTACTGGCTTGATATGGCTACCAGGCGGTTTGATGGCACTTCCTRGTGGTTTGAGACTGCCTGCAAGCGGCTTGAGACTTTTTACAGGAGTTGGTCTAGCGAGAGCCGGCTTCGCCGGTGGACCAGCGCGCTGCGGAGTAGATGTCTTGGCTTCTTGCAATCTACTAGAGAGGCCGCTACTCACGCTGCGTTGACTCGAAGCAGTAGAGCTGATGCTAGCAGTTCTGCCCGTTGTCCGCGCTGCGGGCCTCGCACTGGCAGATATGTTTCTTGTCGGAATCGCGGGACTGCTCAACAAGTTTGCAAAGGAGCCGTCACTCGTCACAGGTCTGCTGCCATTACTGCTTCCAGCGCGGCTCAGACTAGATCCCGGCCGTGGCGGAGGTCCCATGGGACTCTCTACTGGATTGAAAAAGCTGGATCGTCGACGGTCTTTGGGTGTTGAGGGTACTGATTGTAGGCTCTCGATTGTTCTGTCAGACAGCGACGGTCGGGATGTCTTCCGCACGTGGATAGGCTCGGGCACGGCATAGTCCTCTGGATCTTCCTCTGGATCGTCTTCAAATCCTTGACGTGAGCTGGATCTAAAGCTATCCAGAGAGCTCAGCTGGTCATGGTTCTCTTCATCCTCGGTTGCGACTGGCTTAGTAGAGAACGATGGTAAACGCTGCTGTGACTTGGCCCGTGAAGGTGGAACCAACGTCCTGGCACCAGACCGCGTGCCAGCTGGGAAGTTCGTCGATGGAGCAACCCGCTTCGGCACTGCAGGCCCAGCAGTGGACTCCCTTGTCAGTGTCGACGTTGCCGTTATCTGAGACGGACGGACCAGAGAACTCGCCGATGCACGCTTCTGCAGACGCGGGACTGCATTGATCTCCTTGATGGGACTGGGTCCTCGAATGGATCTCTGGGGTGGTGCTGGCAATCCAGTCCGTGGCAACTTTGATGATGCACGTGGAAGTGGGAGTCCTGTTGACCTGGTCGAATCCAWGCTTGCCAATCGGATGCGAATGTGCTCTTCTCTCCGTCTTCTGCTCACTCTCTCTCCGGTGCCGGCTTATCGCTCTGCTACTCGATTAACTTTCCGGCATAACAACACTTTGCATCTTCCAGAGTCATCTGAAGTGTCAATGGAAGGTGTTCAGGGATGGCCAAGTGGTCCGCAAGGGTCTTGTGGGGCCGCAGCGGCTCGCTTGCCAGTTGCCGGTGACAACGTTCTGTCGATCCCAGCCCCTCCCGACACTTCRCTTGCAAGCCACGGACATTCGAGGTTGCTTCCAGTTTGCGCCCGTCCTGATATACCAGCCATCGCTATCRCTGCGCCCTCGAGCAACTCYTGGCTGCATACGCACAATATCATACCATTGCTGCAAATCGACAGCAACGGTCGCGCGAACCACCTCGTACCCACAGCGCACCCTTCCCATCGGACGGAGACATTCGAATATCAAAACGCAAACCATAAATCCTGCTTGATCGTTGGGACGACGATCGTGGATTTGACGGAACATGGACTCCTCGTTCTCCCAAGACAGCACTCGTGGCCTCATGGTTCCACCAGTAACGTCCGGTCCAACCACACCGGAACTGTCGCATGTGCCGCTACCTGCCGGCGCATCGAAACCGCTCAGCAGCATGACTCCACCACCTTCAACGCAGCTGCCATCATCTTCGAGCCATGTAAAGACGCGCACGCCGACTCCGGCTGCATCCCATATCTCGACACCTCCGCCGACGATCGAGCTGGCAGGGCAGTCGCAGAGCAGTCGCATGAGCAGCGGCATATCCGGGCTGGAGCATGCTTCTTCGGAACAGCTCAAAGCCAAGATTGCGGAACTTCAAACCTCATGTCGCGAGGCAAACATGTCTGCAGCACACCATAAACTACAATACCAGATGCTAGCTCAAGAAAGTGCGGCAGCAATCGAGCGCTTGGCTGTGGAAGCGCGCATGGCTCAATCCGAGAACGAGGTGCTATATCATGCCGAACATACCAAGACCGTGGCGACTCCAGTCTCGTCGACTACACAAGCGGGATTCATGCCCATTGAGAAGGAGTTGTACCATCGCATGTGCCGTGAGATCCAGCTGCTCGGAGAAGCGAACCAAGGTCTCGATGCGGAATGTCGGAGACAGAACAGGATCATTGAGCATCAGGAGACCGAGATCGCAAGCTTGAGTGACAAAGTCACTCTGATGCGTGAGCGTATCAGGGAAAGTAGAGAGCACATGCACAAACTCCGCAGAGTCCAAGCGCCGGTCCAGATGGATGCAACGCCTCGTTCCGCGTACAACACCCCTCACCGTGGTCCGGCAAGATCACACCAGCAACCCCAGCGGTTTGAAGCCCTACTCCAAGCCTCGGAAATTGCCAGCCAGGAGTCTGCTCGTGCTGGTCCGCCTGGCAGAAAGGGGCATCAGAGAAACATTCACAGCATGTCAAGCCTGCCATCCACACCACATAGAATGCCTCCTCCATCTTACCACACACCACACGGCCGGCAAGCTCCAGCGAGAATGCCAGCGACCGCGCCTATGCCTCGCATCCCCGGTGCTCTGCGTACCCCCGACATCTACAATCACCAGTCTCTACCAGTCCCACACGAGGAAGGCCCACAATCTGATGGGACTGTCTCTGCTTCGGATAACGAAGATGACAGTGAGGCAGAGACCGACATCATCGAGCCAGAGGATGACGTCGGGGAATCGTTCGCTTCTCGGGCTGCGACACAAATGCTGCGTCCCACCAAGGAGCAAGCCAAGCGTGATAGCTTCAAGGGAAGTGGTATGCTTCAGTCGAACCCAGAGAGACCATTGAAACAAACAAAGCTATTTGGGGCTGTGCGGAAGGCCAATGTTGACAGGGTTGACGAACGTCCTGCCAAGCGTCCGAGGGCGGATGACATCCAGGAGCCTGCGCCTGTGGGTCTTGGTATCGCAGGAGTGAGACATTGAAGATGCTTGCACTTGAGAAAAACGATGCTTGCATATACGGTTCACTGATCGATACGGACGTTTGGGTGAAAGGTATTGATGAAATGACGTGGCAGGCTAGTGATGATGGTTGAGGATTGATGAAATACTACAATGCGCAACTTGATTCTCAACAACGCTGTCCTCGCAACACTCAAATACGCGAAAACTTGGCAAGGCCTGTCAACAAATGCTGTTGCCTGCTCAACACTGCTCTCTCTTCACTCACATCTCCACCCGGATCTTTCTTACGCGCTTCACCCAAATGGGCTAAAAACATGCGCCTCGAGTAAGTGAATGGGTGAAGTTTCCAGTCACTGGACCAGWTCGCTACGTCAGCCTTAGGCTCGGACCAACAATGAGACATGTTCTTATCTTCAGGTGAGGTTGCGGGAGAAGCACCATGCTTCACCGGGTCCCTCAGTGCATTCACATGGACTGCCACCTAATGACCATTTCTCTTTTGTACCGACCAAAATGTCTCCCTGCGTCCTGTATCGCTCACTGATAGCATCAAAATGGCTATCATCAAGCGTGCTGCTGGCGATGGGTTGGAGAGAGACATCCATGCAAAGGTGGGTTCTTGTTCAGCAGTGCCGACAATCAAGACTTACTCACTCCCCTACAGAAACTTTGTATTGTTCCATCGGACAAATCAATGCCGATTCGATGCATCACACCGCACGCCCAACCTGCGAAGAGACAATGCGAAGTTCCACGCTCTCACGGCATGGTAACACGCGCCATCAGCACCAGGCATTCGACTACAGCAGTCCTTGCTACCTACGAGCTGCTCGAAGCTATTCTCATCGAGCTTCCCATGTCGCAATTGCTCGAGGTTCGCAGAGTCAGCAAGACTTGGGAATTGCTCATCACGCAGTCAAAGCCGCTTCGTACCAAACTCTTCCTGGACCCAGAGCTCAGCAAGTGTCTCTGGAGTCTGGATCGGAAATCTCTCGAGCTCATACCATATGAGTCAGGTGACAGGGAGCGCCTGGGCGAGGAGTGGATCCATTCTCAAGCCTTGTCGCGTCCTTCAACCGTCAACCCACTTCTGTTTGCGCACGACGCCAAACTCAGAGGTCCGCTCAAGATCCGTGCTATGTCTTGCGAGAACCTGTACTTCACAGCTTCTCCGGACCTGGCTAAGCGTCATTCGGTTGTCCACGAGGTTTGTCGTTCCTCTGCCAGATATGATGCAGTAGCTAACAATGAATAGATGTATGTGACGCAGCCGCCCGTTAGTGTGGTTCAGTTCGCCTTCTACTTCCACGCAACCAAGGAACCCGGCAGGCGCTTCCGCCGCGCTGATGGGTGCAGAACTGTAAAGGTGACGAATAGGGATGGCGTCAAGCTGGGCCACGTGCTGCAGGCTTTCAGGATCGAGGCCAGCAGAACCCCAGAGTATCGACTGAGCTCCAGGCTGTCGATCAAGGTTCATTCGAGCTCTCCCGGTTGTAAGAGCGTGGTCTGGATGTTGGGAGCTATCTTTGTCAATGATGAGGAGAAGGAGGGTGTGGAGAAACTTAGGAAGAAGACTGTTGACMGTGCTGAAGAACCAGGATGGGTGGGAAATGTTCTACGAATGGAAGGATGATGGCGGGATGCTCTGGTGTTCAGAAAACTGATGGTTGGCGTTGGGATTGTTCAGAAGGTGTGGTCGCTCGCCAATGGCAAGCATTGTTGGGCAGGCTGTGTTGAGATCGAGTTGTGTCGCGGATAGCGAGTAATGTTTAGAGCAATGCCCTAAAGACGAGACAGTCAAGCGAGATGCACATACCACGAACGAGCTGAAATGACTAGTCTGATGATTGGCAGATGTTGCTTGCTAAGTAGTTCGAGGACAGCGTCGGGTTGAGCATGTCAGGAAGAGTATCTGTAGGTTTTGTTCAACAAGAGTAACGTCCACTCCGAAAGAATACCATGGAATAAAATACGTTTGACACCTGCCAAAATATCCACATAAAATACTGCGCATTACCTCGAGTATACATTAAAGATGTGACAACCCGACAACCCGCTCAACGAAGTTGATGCTACCCCAACCCTAACTCTAATATTTGAATTCATCGACAGACTTGCCGTCGACGCGGAGTTGTCCATCATGACCCAGTCCGACGATGAGATCAAGGAGCGGCGAGGTGAGGGAGAGATCCAAGGATCTGAATATAGTGGAAGTTCGAGAAATCAGACCTCGTGCTAGGCTTTCTGTGATGATACCCATCGTACGCGCGCAGTGAGACGATGCATTGTGCATCAATATGCTGCTAGAGCACCCTTCGTGGGAATGATCCCACTGCATGATCTAAGGAACGAACACGCCATCCAGGTGAATTCCAACGCCTGCCCATCCTCCAATGCCGGGTTTCGCAGAACGGCTTTCACTCAAGTCTCAGGCCCATCGCACCGAGGAACCAACCGTCTGCATCGTTCTTCTGTACCTTTGAATCTAATTGTTGGGGTGAAAGAAGAACCGAACCATACAGCCTCGCCGTTGGGTCATACCAACAAGTGACATCTGTACTCAAATGTGTTCATCGGGCACTCCGCGCCTCACGGCACGGTGTTGGCACCAATGCCCTCGTCCGCAACCTTCTGCTGGGCGGCCAAGCGGTCATGCTCATCGATGTCGGTAGCCTCCCCTAAAATTATGTCAGCACTTATCAAGTCCAGATTCCTTGAAGAACATACAAGGATAGCAGATCCACACGTCTTGGGTGGTCAGCGCGGCTAGATAGCGGTTCTCCTCCATCATGTCACTTGGCAGAGTGCCGCGCTTCTTCTTGTCTTTGTTGTGTAGCACGAAAATGGAGAATTTTGTGCTCTCACTGGTTCGGCCCAGCTGCTTCGCTGCAGTCTCGACGTCCTTCTGCAGCTCCTTCACCGCGTACTCGAGAGTTGTCCGGGTATCATCCACCTCGTCAACGATAAGCACGTTGCGGCCGATGAGGTTTGACATCTCCAAGCTGCTGAGATCGAGCCATTGAGTCCGAGTTACTGGGTCACGCTTTGATTAGCAGGACCTTGGAGGCATTGACAGGGAACCAGCCTAACCTTTGGTGCCGGGCTTCTCCACCTCGTCGCCACCGAGAGATTCGTAGAGGGAGAGGCCGATGGCCTGAATGGGAACGTTTGGGTTGCCCGGACCTTCCTTGAGGAACGAACGGAGAATGCGCGCCGGTACATATCCACCACCTCCAATCGCAATGATCAGACTGGGCTTGAAGTCCGCAAGGATGCGAGGAGCAGCATTCTGACAAAGCTTGTGCACCTGCAATAGAACACTTTGTTAGCTCGTGCATGCCGTGCGAAAGAAGATCTCGAGTTCCTCCAAACTATCTTTCATGTGACAATTCTGATGCTACATACATGGTTGTACGTAACCTGCGCGACGTTAGCTGTTGTGTTACGAATGGGATATGCGGTCTGCGATCATGCTCACGTAGACTTTCTCGACTTCGGACATGGTGGCGGATGATGTGATATGTTTAGGAGTGAAGTATGTTGTGTCGAGGTTTATATGTATCTTGCCCAATATTTTTCTTCTCGTGGCTAGGTGATCGGACCCCGCCGAGATCTGCACACCGCTTAATAATTTAGCCGGAGCCAAGTGAAGACAAAACTCGACTTCACACGCTAAATGTATCAAGACGATGTCCACAAATGCAAGTAGCATGATGCTGCAAATAGCATCTGATTCACGTTGTCATCAGTCTACGTCGATCTCCGCAAATACATGGCACAATTCCTCCACTACCACATGAAAATTTGGGGAACTACAAGGCGTTGCAAGTACCCAGAGCCCAATTGAGAGAACAGTGTTGGCACATGAGATGGTAACGTATGCGAGAACCTTGTGGACAATCTTCGACTCCTTACTCCCTCGAGAAAGACCATCACCAAGGCCAAAATTGTCCACCAGAACTGGACATGGCACGCATATGCCAAGGTAACAAGCAATGTGGATAAGTCGCGAGAACAGCTACCTTGTGGACAAAGTTCGTCCCTTTACTCCCTCATGGAAGACCATCGCCGAGGCGAAAACTCTCCACAAGAGATGGGAAACCGACGCATCGGCCAAGGTGTTAAGACAGATGGGCGCTGGAGTCTCGGCCGAGAACAGCGACTTCGTACTCTGTGGACAGAGTCCATATGATCGGTCTTCCTGGACATGGAGTTGTGTCTGCCAATTTTGTTCACACCATTCAAACACGTCATGGAGGACCGATGGACATGTATGGTTTCTGCAGGAAAAACGGCAATGTCGAATAATATCGGTTGCCCGTTGAGAAAGTGTGGCGGATGAAGCTTTGCTAACATGCCATGAAGCAAGCGCAGTTTGTCCACGTCAGCACCACGAACCATCGTGGAGGAGGGATTGGGGCGACGATATGTACCGCATTCCCTTGATACTCCACATCACAGTTGATCGAATTCCAACCATCTTTTGAATGCGTCCTTCTCCGCAGCCTTCAGCATATTCAGAGGCATTGACACCGCAGGATATTCACTCAAGGAGTCAAGACCGGTGCGAGTCCAACCGCCCTACGAGGCCAACTCAATCTTGCTCGTGCTCCACGAATACAAATACCGAGTCTTCCAAGCCGCTGCTGGGTGTCTACATTAGGTGCCACAGCCTCGTATCGACAATGTACTTTYGGGTGCGCGAAATTTGCGAAATGCAATATGAGCTGGAACATGCTTGCGGACAGACCTTGATCTCCTTGCCATGATCACCCCATCGTGTCCATCTCAGTCGGACCCGCGCGGATGGTCTGAAAAGTACGGAGTACAAGCCTGTCAGCGGGACGAACAGGAGGTTGTGACTGCTGAACGGAGTGGGGCTTAAGTTTGGGGCCTCCAGGYAGTGCTGAACTTGTTGCCGCACCAAGCTAGGAGCAGGAATCGGAGATCATACGATGGTGAGTCTTCATCTTTGACCTGATGTTCGATCGGGGATCTGTACCTTGGTGGTGCCACCTCAAAGTCCACGGATGATGCTGGATCTCGGATCATCCCGGGATAGCATGGTACAGAAAGTTATGACTTGCCGCGCAAAGCGCAGCTCATCTGGCAAAGCTGAGTTGTTTCTGCGGTCAACCCTGAGAACACTGTTTGATGCAAGTCTTGTTGTACCAGCTGAAACCTCGAAGTTGATCGGACTTCGTCTTCGCTTAGACTGGGCTGCTACAGGAGTCCAGGAGTCGAAACTCAGTTGGCACACGCAACGAAGGTTCGATCATCAGCCGGCGGCAAGGTGAGTGTACCGAAAGCCTGGGACCTGGGACCTCGCTGCAGGACAGCTATGCAAGCATCGAAGGGCACTCTATCACCATCAGTAGCGGGAGCGCCGGGAGCGTCTCATCCCAGCTATTCGGTGCAAGCCGTGTGGTATTGGTTATGTACATCGGGCAAGATCATGAAAGCCGATGATCCGTACAGCTTGCAACTGGCTTGCCCGTGTGGCATCTTGGGTTTGTGGTGCAATGACACGCAAAGCAGGCTTTAGTCACAATCAATGTGAGCTGTTGCCTCCTTATCGATACGATGTATGCTCTGGCAGTCCGCCACGTACGCCGTATACTTCTGGCATTTGCACGCAATGAGCGCGTCTGGCCGGGTCTTGTGGCTTCGACTACAACACTCCAAGGCGTCGGAATCGAAAAAGATATGGCGTTATCAATCATCCGATCTTGCCAACACCGTGGTTCAGAATCAGCGAGCCTCGCCTGTTCGAGGCTTGTGTTAGTTCCAGACAAAACCTCCAAAGGCCACGGCCTGTGGCTTCCATGCGGCGGCCTGGCTTAGACGGTAGATGCCAGCACTCAGGGAGGCAGCGCATTTCGCCGCTCGGCGATAATGACCGTCCATACTCCGTGTTCGACCAAATACCACGCGAGGCGCACGMGGCTGCAAAGCTTACTTTGCATCGTGCTTGGTATATACTCTTTGCTGGTCTGGCTGGGGAGTTGAAGCGCTCGTACTTCATTCAATGATAGCCGCAGACTACAAACACCTACCGTCCAAGGTGTACCCCAATCTCAGAGAATGACGGGCCAGGTGGCGAGTGGTCGAGTGTGAGATTGTGCGACTGGCGATACGCCAGCTCCTGCGCCAAATGTACATTCTTTGTTGATTACGGCGGTCGGATTGGCCAGACCGTCGGCTAGACCGTCGTCTCAGACTCGACTGCCGTCGTTGACGCGTGCTCTGAACAAGAAACATGCAGAGAACAGTTTGCAGCGGTCGATGCTTCGAATGCTGAGTCAACTTGCACGTTTGTTGGACCTGACACTTTTAGCTGCGWTAATGGTGTGTACAGCGACCAGGATCCCAGCCATTGCCTCTCACACACTACCATGTCACTCTCGTTGCTGGAAAAACATGCGCGAGTCGTCGATAGGTTGGCAGAAGCTCGACGTAGACGCGCCGCAAGAAACAGTGGTTGGGATGGCTACCACCTGCATCGATGGCGTGGCTGTTGTGCCGCATAACCTCTCCACTGGACCCGGTCAGGAGTCAGGACATCTTCGCAACCGCTGCTGCACAGCTGTGCCTCAGGCCACTTGGCAACAGGAGGACACCTTGTCAAGTGAGCTGCGGCTAGACCTTCTCGCGATTGATTGGCGAGCGGTGAATCGTCTGCACTAAAACTTATACARGGAATCGATCGTAAGGTGCCTCGAACAAGTAAGCGCTTCGTGATCCGGGAGGCCGTGCGGGACTGGCTGGTAAAAGTCTCCAAGCCCAAGAGCGCGCTACTGCAAGGAATCGTGTCAAGGACAAAGTTAGACGGGCCCACCCAAGACGCTACTCGCGGCCATTTTCGCGCCAGGCCTCGTGGTCTGAGCTGCAAATTTGGTTGTGTCCACACGTCGCAGCGGGTCCTCTGACGTGGCTGATCATCAATTTGGTGCGGCGAATTGCATCACCGAACCCAATTGGCTGACGACCCTGCGTCTAAAGGAAGAGTGGCACAGCGCTGACGAGCCAACACTTTGCGAGTACATCTGATTAGCACGTGACTCGGTTTCGATCCAACGGACATTCTCCTTCGGGGATTCTTACAGCCTGGTCCGGGTGATAGACGGTGAAACGACGTCTCACTGTGTTGTCGTGACGGGATATTCGACCCCGGCATCGAGCAGCTGAGACAAACAGCTGGTAGACGGGCCTACTGACATCGAAAATTTCTGCCAGTATCATTGATTGCAGGCTGCAACGCATGATCTTCGCGAGGCTTATGCGAATAATTTAATTGCAGAATGTGTATGCTGCAGGCATCCAATGAAATCAGACTACGGAGCATGTACGACCGCGAATCTGCCAGAAGCTTTGGGGCTATCCCTAACATGACGGGACGCACGCCTCGCCGTTTCTCACAACCTTCGTCTCACCTGGAGCACATCGCTGGAAGCGAACACTGAAGGATCCCTCGGAGCGGGAAATCCCTTGTTGCCTGCAGATGCGAAACGCCAGCACGAGGCTGGACTGTTTGCGCACTCGCGGATGATCTTTGCTCCATACCCGCTGGAGATGTGTAGCTTGTACCTACAGTYGAAGGACATCACGATCACCATGTGATGAGGAGCATCATCGTCGTCAGCAGCAGCGACGTTGATGTTGGTACGTCGGCAGCGAATTAGACGACCGACAACAGCCAATCACCAAAGTAAGAAAAAATGCCAGGAGAAGTTTAAGTTGGCCGCTGCGGAATCGCCAAGTGCTCTAGGTAGAACCTAGAAGCGGCGGAGCCAATCTTCCTCTGACTCGTTTTCATGGTAGGGTTGCGGGAAGCGATCTTCTGGAACTCCGTTGTGAGGAAACGTGAAAAGCTGGTGTGATGGAGGGATGCTTTGCCGGAGCACAAGTCCACGTAACGTCAAGGCGCTTGTGCAGCGCAGTTGTTGCTGGTATCCGCTCTTCATTTGCCACCGGTGATTGGAGTGCTGATCGTATTGCTCTGGGAGGAGGCCTCCTACCTGCGGCCGGACAACAGCCAATCGTTGCCCAAGTCCAACACTTGCGCGGCAACTCATGCATTCGATTGTGCTGTGAAAATCTGCACGAAGCCGCTGTACGAGGAACTCTCGACGTGACCAGCAAATACTGGCGACCAACGATGCCTCCGAGCATGCCGCTCGGGCTCGCGTTTTGCGAGGCTAGGCAGGCGTCAAGCCTTGCTCGCCTCTGGTGAACGTCGCAACGGCAGCTCAACCACCGGTCATCCGTGCGCCCAACAGAGAAACAGACGCATGCGGGTCATGGCGTCTCCCTGAGCCAATGATGGGTGGTTGGGCCCGGAGGTACAGGGATAGCTCCATCCGCTTGCCTGCACTGACACTAAACACGGGTGTGCACGGCCTGCTAGCTGCATGCGTCAAGCCACCGCGCTACCGTGAGCGAGCCATGTAGCGCAAGGATATTTGCGCTAGTAATGGAAGCTTTGGGAGGGAAATGTGTCGACTTGAAAGGCGAGCTACAAGACTCATCCATGAGAGTTGACCACCTCCCAAAGATTGTCTGCGGATATATGCACCTTGATCCATCCAGCCTATCGTCCATGACAGTCTTCTTCTAAACCAATCCTCTTTCGCTACACAACACCATCACATTTGGACTAGGGTCCGTGGTCGTTTATCTTTGGGATCTTGCCATACGATTGTTGTTTCCATACATCAAACCAGGACATCCAGTCTCACGGCACTCTAACAATCCCCTTCAACACTCTCTTGGATTGACATTAATATTACGTCCTGCAAAGATTGAACGATTTATTGTTCAATCAATCGTTCAAGCCTACCGAAACACCATCAGTTGGAGCCTTGATTGCATGCGTGTCTTCATCCACTGAAGGTCATCCGGATTCCTTCAATCAAAGCAACCATGCTTCCAACTCCACCTGCATCTCCAAAGCCCTCGGGACTATGCCATCCAGAGGACAGGATCGGTCTGGTTATAGCTGATGGCATTCAGCTGACTGGAATCCTTGGMGTTGGTGCATATGGAACCGTGTATGAGGCTTGCCAGCTGGGCACTGGAATCCGATATGCTGTCAAAGTTTTGAACAAGTTGGGACTGGATCCACGACAGCAGGAATTCCAAAACCGCGAGATCGTGCTCCACTATGCTGCCAGTCAACATCCTAATGTTGCATCCTTGGTGAAGATCATGGACAGCCCTGAGTGCACGTATGTTGTGATCGAATACTGCCCCGAGGGTGACTTGTTCTCGAAGATCACCGAGGAAGGCCACTACATTGGAAACGATTTCAAGGCCAAGCATGTGTTTTTGCAGATTCTTGCCGCTGTCCAGCATTGCCATTCCAAAGGAATTTATCACCGGGACCTCAAACCAGAGAACGTTCTCGTTATGGACGATGGTTGGACAGCCAAGCTCGCGGATTTCGGTCTTGCTACTCGCGAGCGAGTCACCTCGGATTTCGGTTGCGGCTCAACATTTTACATGTCACCAGGTTTGTATTCCCTGCTCAATCTCATGGACCAACATGCTGATAATCTCAACAGAGTGCCAAAACCCCAACCCCAGCCCTTATTCGTGTTATGCCTCGGGTCCAAACGATGTGTGGGCATTGGGCGTCATTCTGGTCAACCTGACATGTGGCCGGAACCCATGGAAGCGTGCTGCCATGGACGATTCCACTTTCCGAGCGTTCATGAAAGACCGCAACTTTTTGCAGACCATCCTCCCAATCTCGGATGAGTTCAATGGTCTTCTCCAAAGAATCTTCGAGGTTAACCCGCATCGTCGGATAACGCTCGACGAGCTTCGTGAAGGACTCATCAGGTGCAGCCATCTCACCACTCAGGACTCATCAGCTCCTTCCACCGCACCACCTACTCCTCCGTACAGTCCTGTGGAGGTGCCTTTAGACTCACCATCTGTGGTGAAGAATGAATCATTCGAGACTGTTCCGCATTTGGATCTTTCGGCTCCTCACTATTCTCCCAATACACCGCAAGGTCACTACTACACTCCCCCTCCTTCGGGACCTAGCAGTCAGCAGCAGACGATCTACAATACCCGGTCCAAGGCTGTTCAGCCCTCCTGCACTGGCCCTTTCATGGCAAACTTCCCGGACTTTCGTCGATGCGGAAACCTACTTTCGTCCTTCAMCATACCACACCCTGCGTGGGCAGTGTCATACTAAGGAATCTCCTGCCTTGGGGGATCTTACCTTGTATTTTTGACCTATTTCGATTCATTCGATTCAAACGCCAATTTCTGATTTAGCGTTGACGACGACACGAAAATTTGGTTTCGAGCGACTGGAGCTTTCATCTTACTGTTTGGCGGCGTCCTCAGAAAAGAAATGTACTTGATACCCCTGCTTTGCTTCAGCTATTTATTGGAGGACATTCTCCATCTTCACGTGTGAAAGGTTAGTGAGCCGCAGATAGGCCACTTTGCTCGACAGAGCCATAGACGGGAAGGACAAAATTGTTGTACATATTTTACTAGATGATGACGAGATATGAAAGCCATTGTATAACAAAATCACAGGCTTCAACATTCAAGTCTCTCCCTCACGTCTCGCCTTCTGTTCGTACCGACATTGCGATTCATGCCCAATCTTTACGCTAGAAAGGCGTCCTGGCAACAAATGGATATCAGCGCTTGAGGGCCAAGTACCCAAGGTGAGAGGCAGTTGATCATCATCCTAGCTACTCAGCGCGCTGGAGCCTGGATGACAACGGAATGTCGTTGATGGTAAATTCCGATTCCTCGAAACACCCCACCGTGCTACCATTGKGGTTTTAACCTCACCCGCCCACGGCGCGCTGCAGCTCGTGTCCGACTCTGACGCACACCCTACCCTGCCAGAGTCGAGGTAGCCAACAAATCATCGTGCGCTACTTTGATCCACCACAAGCAGTCAGGGGCGCTCACCTAACGCCGGGCTGGRACTGGGACAGGCAAGAAGCACGTGGAGTTTCCGCAGCAGACTCCACCACTTGTCCGACCCTTGCGTCGGTTGATTATGGTGAAATCGACTGCCGAAGTCTTGGACACGACTCCGTCAACTTGATCGTCAAGTCATTAAATTCGCAGACCCTGTCGTAAAATCCGTGGAGTGATGACTACGCTCGATTCGTCCACACCTCCGTTGGCTACCCAGGCTCCAGAGGGCACATCCAGAGGGCATTTCCCATAGGGCAGCTCCCAGCCCAGAGCTGATGAGAGGACTGCTGTTAATCATGTGATGGATTGCATTCCTTGGGGATTCATCGTGATCGTTGTTTTCCGCAGTGGGCCGGCGGCGGTGGCGAGCGCATCCGTTGTGCCACTCGCTCCTCCAGCTGCCGTGACCTGACATCTCGCATGGGCTTCGTAAACAGCCTCCACGGTGGTACGACTGCCCATCGAACATCGATCACTGCAGCACTCACCTCCGTTTGCAGCCGCCACTGCAGCCACTGTTGGCTGGAAGATGGAAATCTTCCGATGGGGAGCTGTCGTGTTTCTGTCAGACGCTGCTCCACTGCTAACGTTAACGCATGTGTCTTGAGCAACCATGGCGTGCGGAAGGCAGCATGCTACTCCCATTGTGTCACATCACACGCCTCACGAACTCGAAACGCGAAAATGCTCTTCGCCTCTTCAAGCGCAAGAGGTTCTCCATGCAGAAATTCGAAAAGTAGTACATGAGCGACGTGAACATCACCGTCGCGATCAGCAGGGCCTGTCGAGTGGAACGGCACTGTTACGGAGACGCGAACGCACACCCTGCCTTATCGAAAGCGTTCCAAAGGCTCGTGGTGTCTCATGTATCTCCCAAAGGCCTCATACTCAAGACCCGATGGGAGGCGAGCCACTCGTTCCCATGTACAATCCTGCAACGAGCAAGCGGCGCAGCACACCCTTCGACCTTTGGAAGTGGTAGGGTTGCCGCCGGTAAGAACTCCAATCGCATCTACCTGCCACGATACCAGCGCCCGTTGACAGCCTTCCCAGTGTTCGAGTCCCTAGCTGCATGTCTCGCGGTTCCACCTCCAGCATGCCGCTTTTTGTATCGCGGAGGTCGGAACTATCAACCCGCATCAGCTCCAGAGATCTCGAGCCAAGTTATCGAATCTCAGCACTACTGTACAGAGGTACATCACTCTACTTGACGGCGCGGCGTCCCAATCAGCGCCTCTCTTCACACACCACGCAGGAAAAAAGGCCAGACCAAATCGCGGGGCTGAGGCCGATCTCTTGCTGCAGCTCGACGTTTTTACCTTTGCCCGCAGCTCCACAGAAACACAGCCTGCGTGCTTTCATGCCGAGTAGTGTTAGTGGAACCAGTCCGCAATCAGCATGAGAGAAGCTACACTATGTACTTACTACTGKTCCCGCAGACGCAACAACCCGTCGGGCCTGCAGCACCACTATCATCATCATCATCTTCATCACAAATCTATCAGCGTCGAGCATGCAAGCCTGGGCACGCCTCTGACGACACGGCAACAAGTCCGTTCATGTATGCTCATTGCTCGGCGTGCTTGTCCTGCAGTATCCCCTCGATGGAGCCCTTCATCGATCAGGTTGATCACTCGCGGCCTCATCTGTCGCAACGCCACTTTGCTACGCGACAGAGCCACGAGGCACAGAGTGAGAAGAGGCCGCGCTGACGAGGCCATTTCATGCTCCTACCCGGCTCGATCATCATCATGGCCCGAAATAACAACTGACGATCTAGTAGGCTGGCCACTTGTCAGCAGTTGCGAGCTCGTCATTCCTTTCATCTGGGCTGTCTTTCGATCGACGCTGCACGAAGATACACTTGTCCTGGTCCACTGTGAGAACCACAACGACCATTGCCCAGACTGTCACACGTCGACTCGGAATCTGCCAATCAAAGTTCGGCCGACGCCAAATATCATGGCAATGCTTTCCACAGTACCTACAGGCCCTCTAAACTTTCCACAAAACGATGCAAATGCGAATGCAAATGCCGACTCCACATGGTGCTCCAGTCATGAATAAAGTCTGCTCCGATAATAGATGAAAACTTGCTCGAGAAGGCCCCCCTCTGACAGACTTTAAGCCCGCGTGAGAGATCGTCGCTGCACGTCACAACTCTCGCGGGGCTCAACTGTCCAGCTGTAGGAGCAGGCTGGGAGAACACGCGTGAAGCTGACTCTGGCAAGCACTCCGAGTCAACTTGCGCTCCAACTTCCAACTCCCAACAAGTGTTGTGCTGAAGCGCACCAATAGTAGTTTGGATGCATCGCCGAGATGAGACCTCCAAATTTTAGAACTTCTGCCCCACAAACTCTCACTTGCGCGAAACATGCAGCTCAACCGTCTCCATTCTGTTATACACGAATCACAGTGATGAAGAAGAAGCAAACATGGTCCATGATGCATTTATGATGATGCAGCTTTTGCTAACCACCCGAGATCAGCAAAAACATCTAGCTTTGGTGCTTCGACTCCGAGCCAACTCCACATGCTGAACGCAGGCTCTACGCGCCAAATACTTACGCGAGCTCCTCCCTCATGTGGAGCAAATTTCCACCCATTTTCTCACGCGGGCTTGGCCTACCCATTTCCGCACACCGCTTGTGTGCCTGCTTGCCGTGCTCATATCTAGTGCAATGGAAAGAGAGCGAACATGATGGTTTACTTCACCTCAACACCACCGATCTCGCCAGTATCTCCACCTCCATCCCCATCGCCATCCATCACCACATCCAAAACTTCGTCAATCTTGGTGCCTTCGCTCTCAGTTCTGTTAGAGGCCTTCTGCCTCTCGCAACCTTCTAATTGCCGTGGAACCATGCCCGCACCAGGATTCTATCCCAAAGTCGTAGGACGAAACAATGGCGTTGTGGCACCAATGCCAACCTTGCCCTTGGTCTCCTTAATGGAGCCTCGAATGAAGGGATGCTTGAGCGCATCATTCGGCTTGATGCGCTTTTCCGGATCCAGCTGCAAACACTTATCCAACAGGTCGACGAAGAGATGATGTTCCTTGAGCTGTGCCGGGGCCATCCTACTCAAGCTGCCGTTAAGTCTCGACTTGAGATCTTTGCCCGTGACGCCTTGACCGAAGTGTGTAGGTCGTAGAACCGTATTTCCAGTCACCCTGTCCCGCTCGAGCGCATGGAACGTGAACGTGTCATCAAAGTACTTGTTTGCCAATTGCGCACGCTTGATGAGGCGATTGGGCAGTTTGCCTCGACATTCTTGAATCACGCGGAGCATGTTATTGTTGTCCGAGCCGTTGAAGAGGATTCTGCCAACGTACAGTTCGTACAGTGTGCATCCAATAGCCCACATGTCGATGGCGTAATCAAATTCCATTSCCAGAATGACCTCCGGCGCGCGGTAGAATCGAGATACGAGATAAGGAGTGAGTTCGGTGTCTCCCTTCAGCGTTGCAGTTCCGAAATCACAAATTTTGATCATCGTTCGCTTCTCGTTAACGAGGATGTTGTCTGGTTTGAGGTCCGCGTGTAGTACTTCCGTGTTCTTCATATGGACCAAAGCGTGAAACATCTGACAGGCGTAGATCCGGACAGCGTCAAGATTGATGCCAATATCGCGTCCAAACTTCTTCAGCACCTCGCGCAAGTCCATGTGCAGGCCCTCGAAGACAAGACAGAGGTGGCCTTTGTGCGTGAAGTTGCCCAGCAGCCGAATGATGTACCTTTTGTCGTCAGGATCCCGCTCGTTAAGTAGTTCCAGGAATTGCATTTCCTTCTGACCTGCCTTCAACATGGTATCATTCTTGCAGGCAATCTTGATGGCGACTTTGTTCCCAGTATCTGCATCGCGCGCACGCACAACAGTCGCGAACGTGCCCTTGCCCACCTGCTGTTCAACAGCGTAGCGACCGCCCAGAAGCTCGCCGTTGATAATCTTGTAGTGACCGTCAGGGTAATCCCAGTTGTCCAACAGACTCTCATCGAGTGCACGGCCTTGCTTGGACGCGGCTGGCGCTGTTGTGGGATCTTCAGCAGCGAACATGTCGATGTCATMATCAGCGAACATGTCAAAGTCGTCAGCAGCCTTTATTGGGGCTTCAGGAACAGTTGGTACTGCCTCTTTACTTTCCTCGACATCGGGCCGCTTGTGATCTGGGCGGTCCTCGTTCGTGTCCTCGTTCGGGTCATAGTCTGCAGCCGACTGACCCTGATCATCGCGGACCGCGTTTGGCTGCAGTGGATTGGCCAGGTCTTCGTCCTTGATGGGCGCAAGATTGGCCGGTGATGCAGGCGATGCCGGTGAGGCAGGTGAGGTCGGTGTGGCAGGCGGATCAGCTGACGAAGGAGGGGACTGACGATCCGAGTCTTGCGGCGTGGTTGGCAAGGTTGACTCCAAAGTGGTGCGGAGGAGCGAGTCGTTGCCGCTCGCTGCGGCGTGCTTCCTCCTGATCGCCTGCCGCGCTTTGCGACGCTGTTCGATGATCTCTGCTTCCGATAGCTTTGGAGCAGCCTCCTCGGGTTCATTACTATAGGAAATGACATTAGTCGTGTCGCCCTGTAAATTTCTCCATGGCACGACTGACCTTGCATTGATGGCCTCATCGGGGGGTGGCATCTGCTGTCCTGATTGAGATGTTTTCAATTTAGTATCATTTTCTTTGGCAGCGTCGGTCGGGGTGAACTCGCGTTGTGCTGCCGGCGCATTGCTGCGCGGCTTGACATGATTTTCTAGTCGAGAAGCGGCGCTCGAATTTGAATGTCTACTCGACGGGCGAGCGTTATCCTCGCGTGATGCACGGTATGGCGATCGGCTGCGGTCCCGCTGTCCAGCGGAGTCGTGGCTTGTACGGGATTTCGTATCTTCGTGAGGCAATCCCGAGCTCCGTCGATCAGGACGGTCGTGATCACGATAACTGTTGCTACCACCATAGCCGATGCCACTTCCTCGTGGAGCAGCACGATCTTCGTATATTTTGTGTCTGCGTGGATCCGACGAGCCTCTGCCGTAATGATCGTCCTGGTGCCGACGCTTCTCCCGTGCCGGCTGCTCTCTATCTGCACGATAAGGCGACCTCGAGCGCGAACGATCCCGACGGTAAGGGGAGCGTGACCTCGAGCGATCCTGGTCGCGATCACGTGTGCTTTGATATCCGTTGAAATGGGCATTCCGGTCCGTCATCAGAGCTTCGCGGCCGGATGGTTGGGGCGGCTGGCGAGATGAAGACGAAAGTCTGGCGGAGCGGTGGTCAACATGCGTTTCTGCGCGGTGTGATGTGTTTCTTGTAACCTTCTCCCCGTCCCCGTCCCCGCGGTAGCTGTTACTATTGCCATTGCTGTGGTTGTAGCCATAGCCTGAGGCGATGTTTCGAGCGCTACTCTCGTCACGCGGGCTCATCTTGACCAAGCCCTGCGCCACGCGTGTGCGGAAAAGTGTTAGCGATCAGTTCGTGATGGATTTTTCTGGTGCCGCAGAGCCACTCTGCAGTCGTGGATGAGTTTCTCACAGGCTGGATGTGTGCGCAGAGGTGAGCACCGCTTCTTCGTGGGCGGAGGTAGTCTGCGTAGGGGAAAGAGGGAGTCTGCGACAGTTCTTGCTGTCAGTTCTTGCTGTCAGTGAGGATGTGATGGTGCGGGTGGTTGCGGTGCAGGTGATGCTGGCTCAGCGGGAGCCGCCGTAGACGCTAAGAATTCCAGGTGGGGCTACCTTACCCACATTGCTCTTCCTACTCCTCTTCCTCTTATGGACTTGATGCATCTGGACAGCCACTTCATATGTATGTCCTTATGACGATGTTCTTTCACTCGCGGGAAGCGTGTCTTCGTTATCCGCRTGGTCATAAAGCGCGAAAACGAGAAGTCAACGAGATTCCGCTGAGTAGAAAGATGTTCGTCGTTGGAGTACTTCGGATGATACAACTTGCGTGGACGCCTCGCGCCTCACCAACAATTGACACTCTCCGTCAACATCTTTTACGAATGGCGTTCATGACACAAATCGGTGCTGTCTCCTGGACGCCTTGTATTAACCAAATGCAGCACGTGTCGGGCAAAAGAGATCGAAGTGCTGCATATAAAAGAGCCGGTGACTAAGCTGCAGGGCAGCGGCTGTTTAACCGACGTCGGACCTTTGGACATGCCGAACAGTGAAGACCAAGACAATACATACATACGTGCGAATGCATCTTTATACGCTCCTAATAGCCCACCTACTCCTTCTCCCTCCTCACGACGACGTCCCCGGGTAGTAGCACGACTGCTGCTCGCAATGCAGTCGCTCGCTCCCACTCCGCATCTCGGTCCAGTAACAGCAACAATAGCAGCACTAGTACCAGCAGCAACACTAGCACCCTTCACCGCACCCTCATAGCAATAGCCGGCACGGGGCCAACAAGCAACATCCAACACACAATGCCCGATCGCCCTTTGACAATCGCCACGTATGCGGCAGGAGCCTCCCTTGCAGCCGTAACGCTCGTCTACGTTTTTGGCCCTACCTTCTTCCTCGACGATGAAGCAGCGCAAAGTTCCCGCTCGTCGCGAAAAGTAGGCGTTGTGGGACTGTCCAATCCCGCGAACGACTGCTTCATCAACAGCGTGTTGCAGGCGTTGGCGGGGCTACCTGAGTTGAGGGCGTATTTGATCAGAGAGGTGCATCGGAGGAGCTTGGAGGGGGAGAGTTATGTGAGTCTGGAAGCTTGGGAGGAGGAGGAAAGGAGGAACCCGGAGAGGAAGAAGGTGCCGGAGTGGAAGATGTTGGGGCTGCAGGAGGGATTGGTGACCAAGGGATTGAAAGAGGTATTGGATGCATTGAATGAGAGGCCGATCTGGAAGAAGACCATTTCTGCAGGGTTGTTTATTCGGTGTGTGGAGGGTGCTTTGAGGACGAGGATTAGTCGCTCTCAGCAGGATGCGCACGAGTTCCTACAAGTTATTGTTGAGAGGCTGGGCGAAGAGTGGATGGCGGGGAAGCGGGTGAGGAAGCACCAATTGGGTGATTCACTGGACGAGTTATCAGGGAAAGAAGAAAAGGATGGAGATGGAGCAGATTCCACGGCATTCCCACTCCTCGGCCAACTGGAATCGACCATTGAGTGCTCCCACTGCCACTTTACGCCGAAACCGTCAGTGTCCTCCTTTCTTACCCTCACCCTGACGGTTCCCCACGATTCTACCTCTTCGACCCTCTCCACCTGCTTCGATGGCCTCTTTAAGGTGGAGCAGATTGAAGACTTTAAATGTGATCGCTGCCRACTTGAACACGCGCTCAGCCTCACCACCAAACAACTCCTCAAAACATCCCTTTCGCCGGAAACCCGCGCCGCTCTCGAATCAGATCAGTCCGCGCTCGAGACCTCAATCGCCAATGACCCTGAAGTTCCACCGGAAGGCGTCACCCTCCCTCCTCTCAACACAGCCCCAACACGACGAATTGCACGACACACTCGCATTTCCTCGTTTCCCTCGATACTGGCTGTTCACCTTAGCCGTTCTGTTTGGGACCCTTCGGCCAGCTCATCCAAGAATGTAGCCAAGGTTTCCTTCCCTGAAAGTCTGCCTCTCGGAGGACTTTTGGATCGTCGAGAATATCGTCTCCTCGGTGTTGTCACGCACAAAGGCGGACATAATAGCGGTCACTACGAGAGTTTCCGTCGACAGGTCTTGAGCCCACCATTTAGTACTCCTGTGGGACTGGGAAGGGATCCGAAGGGTGTTTATAGTGCGATTGCCTCTCCCCGAGACAGTCCCAGATTGTCCGCACAGGATTCACATGCTGAAGATGAAGGTGAGGACGGCAAGGCGGAGAAGAGGAAAGTGACTTCGAGTCCTCCGCTTGACGCGATTCCTACCCCTGGATTACCGAGTCCTCCAAAAGCGAAAGCTGCTCCAGAGAGGCAGGGGAGTGTAGTGGCAAATATGAGGGCCAAGGTCAGGAGGAAAGGTGGGGAGAGGTGGTGGAGGATCTCGGATGAGAAAGTTAGAGAGTGCAAGACGCAGGAGGTTTTAGGGATGCAGAGGGAGGTCTACCTGTTGTTTTATGAGAGGGTCGAGACGGGGTAGCCTTGGCACTGTCAGATTCGCTGTACATACCGTGGGGGAGAGGATGATCTGATTTAGCGAGGTGTTGGGAGTCTTCTTTTCGTGGGCAGGAGAGTTGGGTTTGGAAAGACATCATCAGCGATTAGCGTTGGTCTGGCATACTGATTGAGAAGTATTTGGCATGGCATAGTTCAAAATCGCAGGATGGCATTGCGAACTGCACTCCTCGAAATTTACAACTATTGAATGAGCTTTGCAGTAATGCAAGCACCCTTCAACGTTGTATTCACTTGCGAGCAAACCCAGCGATATCGGGCAGGACTCGGTGACTGGGCATGCAAAAACTCATGGGAATACGCCCTATCTCCTGCAATTCGGCACGCAGCGGCCTAAGTTGTGAACCTTCTATCTCTGGGCTAAACCTTCCTACAGCAACACCTTTCACTTCCATATCGAAACAAAAAGAAGAACTTCCAGCATCTCTCTCTCACTGCTCTCATCATAACCACCAATGGCCTCGTCAGAAACATCAAAAGAATGGTCCCTGCAAAACCCACCTCCCCTTCCTCCAGGCTACGAAAAACATCACATCGTATTCCTCGAATGCATTCATATGCCCTTGGCTCCTCTACCTTTTCCACACACAATGGATTCGTACCCACGCACCCTTCCCCATCAAGTCGCAGAACGTATTAAAACCTCAACGATCGCTATATCGAACGTCGTTCCGGTTCTGCCCTCTGATATGGAGAATGCCCCGCATTTACAATTGCTAGCGATTTTAGCGACAGGAATGGGATGGTGCGATAAGGAGTATTGTGCCAAACGAGGAATCAGTGTTGTCAATGGTCCTGGAGCGAATATCGATGCCGTGTCTGAGCATTTTTTGGCGTTGTACTTTGCTAGTAGAAGGAAGGTCAGGGAGATTGATCACTCCGTAAAAACCAGCGATGAGTGGTTGAGGACTAGTACTTTGACGAAGAAAATTTGGCCGGGTGGACCGCCTTTGGGATGTAAGCAGGAAGTTTTGGGGATTGTGGGATATGGAGCTTTGGGACAGAGGATCGAGGGGTTGTGTAGAGGGTTGGGGTTTGGAGAGATTCTTATCGCGGAGAGGAAAGGTGCTAAGGAGATCAGGAAGGGGAGGACCGAATTGGACGAGGTTTTGAAACGGGCGAGTACTATTTGTGTGGTTTGTCCGAAAGATAAGGAGACCGAGAATTTGATTGGAGAGGAGGAGCTACAGGGGATGAGGAAGGAGGCGTTGGTGATTAATATGGCCAGAGGAGGAATTGTGAATGAGGCGGCTCTGGTGAAGGCTTTGAGGGAAGGGTGGATCTCCGGAGCGGCGACGGATGTTTTGGAGACTGAACCTGGTGGACCGGGAAGCTCTCCACTGTTGCCGGCAGAGGGCGAGGCTGAGGTGCCGAACCTGATCGTTACAAGCCATATTGCGTGGTTCTCTGGAGGGACGATTGAGAATTTACAGGGCATTAACCGGGATGCTATGGCGGCTTTTGTTGAGGGGRGGATGTATGATCCGGCGGTGAAGAAGTGCGTAGCTGTGCATGATGGGAAGATCTGGAAGTGATGACTATAGATAGATGGGCAAAGGCCATGTCGTGGACAATGAACTTGTTGACGAGTATGTCAAGACTCCCGTGTTGCTAAAGCGTCCAATGTATCGAAAGATTTATTGTCGCATCAAAAGTGCGCTTTCCGTCCAACCTCCTGTGACCACTTAACATCACTGCAGCAGTATTTCAAGCAGAAGCGAAGCGTTCGTGGGACTATTGGCGGTCAACTCTTGTGGAAGAGCACTGATGAGTAGAGAGATGACCTTATGATGGAACATTCTCTACGCCATCGACGGCTTTGTTCTTTCTTTGGTCAGCCGGTCGTCCCGCTCCCAAACTCCAAAATAATAGTTTGGATGGAACTAGCCGAAAATGGAGATTTTTCTCCCTTCGAGGTTAGTGAAGATTAAATAAATGTCAAGGTCGCCAACTTTTTTCAAGCTTAACATCCATCACACTTTCCCATCTGCTCCTCAACATATGGCGACCGGAAGTGCCGCAGACCCGCAGACTCTGGTTCTGAGTGCTCTGGCAGACAAGTTCCTCACTCGAAATGACCACTTGACCTTCAGGAGCTGCGCGAAATTGAATGCCTCACTGGATAAAGTGCTTCCACGTAAGTCGATCATTCACCAGATTTCCCTCACACGACTCTTTCACGCAAGACCATTCACACGGACTCTTTCACTCAACCCCTTTCACCCACAATCTATCTCTTACCGCCCTTCCTCATACTAACTTTGCCTCCAGGTCCATCCGGTCAATCTTCCAGCGCCACTTTCGAAAATGCTGACCGCCCGGGCACTTTCCAGTATATGCTCAGCACACACTGCTCGATTCTCGCTTGCAGTGTTGAAGTCTGCGCTGTCGTCGTCTCTGGCGCGCAACTGGGACCTCCAGACGAGAATGCCGACGTGGTCAACATCAAAGACCCGCGCATCGTAATCGCCGCTGCTTCCGACCAAGATGACTACAAGAACCCGAAAATCCAGGAAGATGGGCTTGAGCACAAGGTGACGCTGTCCAAATTTGATGTGACCGGTGCCGACGCCCCGCCAGAGGATGTCGTCGCCGCTCTGGTGAAGGACCTCATCGCAGATGAAGGGGTCAAAGGCGCCTTCCAGCAGGGTTTCAATAAGCATGTTCGCACCTATTTCCAATACCTGCGAGCAGTTCATTCAGCCAGTACCAAGGAGATGCACACAGCGTCTGTGAGGCGTCTTCGAGACTACGTGTACGCAAAGTCGTACCCGAAGATGCTGTCCCGCTTCGCCGCTGGAAGCAAGAAGGGTCGAGACGACCGMACGGCCAACTTCTGGCAAGTCTTGATGCATGAGCTCAAAGACCTACCTGAACACGCACGCAGTATTGCGATGCCAGCAGATCTCGCCGATAAAAAGCCAAACGCAGCCCAAATCAGCCTCATCAAGATGGCCTTTGCTCGCGTTGACTATGTCGACTTCTTCACGAAATGTTCAGTTTACCGAACTCACGTGGACCGCCTGCGATTCTCGCAAATGCTGCGCGGCTTCTTGGTTCGAGCGAAAACTGGACTCGATCGCCTTGCCACTTCCATGGAAGCTGTGACCTCCAAGTCCAAGCCTATCTCGGAGATCATATCCGCCGTGAACTATGCCCGTGATGGGATGATTGTGTTGCTCAACTTCCTCGACGCTTTTGACGTGTTTCTTGAGCCACACCTGGAATGGCTTGCTGAATGCGCCAACGTGACCGACTTCAAGGAACCGCCAACGTGGACTGTGCCAACAGTTGCAGAAACACCCAGTCAGAGCCAGAAGAAGCCCGAAGCTACTGGGTCTGAAGAATATCCTGATGCGGAGACGAACGAGATCGAGGAGGAAGATGATGGTACAAAGGAGTTCTATCAAGCCCAAGATATCGTCAATGGGATGAGCACATCTCGCCAGTATCAGGCCTGGGCTTCGGCATGCAAGAATTTCCTTCGACTTCCATGCCTGCACGAGCTTTCTCTCCGACGGGCGACGATTGCTGTCCCAGGTCGCAAGACTGGAAGCCAGAAGTACGAATCGGCGCTGGTGGAGCAAGCAGAAATAACCGTCGTCAATTTCGAGATCAATGCTTGGGACAAGGAGATTGCGAAGATCGACAAGGATTTCATCGCAAAGCTCCAGAAGTTTGAGCCGGACTTGGATGTGAAGAAGCTTCTGGGCAAGGACAAGAAGGATCTGGGATATCTCGGAGATCCGAAGATTGTTGGGTCGGGCAAGCTCATCCAGCATTCCAACCCAAACATCAAAGGCGCGCCACACTGCGAGATGATTCTCATGAGTCTCATTGCCATCGCAAACGACAAGGAGATTATGAGTCACATCGACGACAAGTGGTTGAAGCACAATGGTATCTTTGCGACCCAGGAGGATTTGCTCGATCTTCCTAACGTCATGAACATGGTGGTGGTGTCGAAGAAGAATTGTCCACCTTGCGAGAAGACTCGCCTCCAAATGTCGAAATCTGGCATCATACACCGAGACTTCATCGCCCCGGGCTTCCACAACAAATGGTCCGGTGTAATGCTACCAGCAATCATGCCCAAGAAGCTTGGGCAATCTGTTGTGGAGTCTACCAAGCGTGAGACGGCCCAGAAACTGCTTGCGTTCCAGAAGCGCGTTGACGACCAAGCGGCTAAGCTGAAGCAAAAGGAGAGTCCGCAGTCCGAAGAGCACGACATGTCGCCCGATCACTTCGCCGTTGTTGAGAATCCCGATCTTGAAGTGGAGATTGACATTGGTGATTTCGAAGCTTGCATGGAAGCGGAGAATGCTAGGCAGGAGCCTGAGCCAGACACGCCAGACCTATCCATGGCGGAAGAAGAAGGTTCACAGGCTCCCCAATCTACCTTGCCGCATGGAATGAAGAGAGATGAGCGTAACTTCACCACTGAGACCCAAGGTGATCGGAAGAGGGAGAAGGATGATTAGTGGACTGAGCTCAGTGAGTCGGGCCCATTGAGCGGAGCGCAAACTCAATGATGGATACCTGACATTGGAGGGCGGAGTGGCGTGCTGTTGTCCAAGGGCGTTTTGCCCGAAGACGCTGGTTTTGGTTTTGGCATGGCGAGGTGATAGGCATATGATACCCAATAGATTAGATACTGATGACAATCGTGTTACGTGCACAAAGTAAACAGGATCAGTTACTGATCTCTCATTGACATCTGCCCTTCTTCCCCGTTCTCTCGCGGGAATGTTGTCTCGATCTCGTGGGAGAAGCTCATTGCCATGTTGACCTCCACCGTGTTCGACGCGCCACTCCCAGACGTGGTGGAGACAAGAATTGTCAATTTTCAATGAGATGGAGATGGTCCAAGTAATGATTACGGTAGCTACAAGTCATCGTCTTGGTTGTCTTGTCTTGTCATTGTCATTGTCATTGTAGAAGAGAAGGGCCACCGTCAATTTATCCTTTCCCTAGCGCGTCGCGGACTCAGCTCCGTCATTGCCATTTCCTCTCCATACTTTACCTTATGATCTGCACATTGACTTCACTCCCATCACACACCATGGCGCTCCCTCTAAGAACGCGGTCAATATGTCTGCGGACCTCCTCCCTACCCGCCATTCCCTCCCAATCCCGAGGAGCCAAGAAGATGGCCCGTCCCTCTGGCATGACAACCGCCAAACTCCTCAAAGACCTCCCAACATTCGGCCGTGCAGGTTCTCTCGTGCCCATTCCAACAGGCCAGATGCGCAATCGATTCTTCCCGCTTCGTATCGCCGACTACGTCACGCAATCCGAACGTCGCTCAATAAAACTCAACAACATCCCGGTTGAACGAGACTACAATTTCGGGAAGGAAGAAGAAGGTGCGGTGTTCGATGATTCCACTGCACCTTTTGGGGGGATGAATGCATATGCAGAGGAGCAGGAGCGGGTGGAACGGATGTCGAGACGGAATAAAGGAGTGGAAGTGGAGAAATTGACGGTCGAGAGGAGTTTGGAGTTGTTGGAAATCTTCGTACACCCGAGATTGGACTTCTATCGGCAGCCTTTGCCGCCTGTGATCGAGGATGAACCCGTGAAGGAGGCTCCAAAGGAAAGAATGAGGACGGCGAGTTCGGCTGCGGCGGATTTGTTGGAGGCGAGGACGGCGGTGCCCAAGGCCAAGCCTAATGCGGGTCCTCAGGGTATCTATGGAAGTGTGTCAGCGCAGGATGTGTTGGTTGCGATTCGAGCGGCGATACACTCGAACGATGAGGCGGCGAAGATACAGCTGAGAGAGGAGGATATCGTGTTTCTGGATGACAAAGTCGGAAGGGCAGTCAAGTCTGTCGGCGATTTCACGGTCGAGATTGGGGTCAAGGGAGCCGAGAAGGGAATAAAGAGGACAGTGAGAGTTATACCGCAAGAAGTAGTATAAAAGAAGAGGGTGGAGGACTGTACAGATATTATACGGCATCGGGTATATGTATATTGACCAAATCAAGAGAGAGGACAGAAGTCTTCACGAAGTCTTGTCGTAAGATCGCAGATACTCTACARCGTCTCTCGGCTTTAGAGAGTTCCCAGACTCACAGATTCCTTTCGAGCGCCCTGGTGCTGATGCGGTGGCAGCGAAGCGATTCTCAAAATATCGTGACGGCTTTTCAAGAATAACCCCCAATGCAAAGAGACATAAGCAGTGTGGTTGCACAGCATCACTTCCATCTCACCACGTACACAGCTGAGAAGAAACACAATCCGTAATCCTCAATATCAGAAAATGGACCGCCAACAATCGCATTCCCTCCACGCCTCCCTCACATCTCACGGGAAACTCTACTGGGTACCCGATCCCCCCCATTATCCCCCCCCCTCACTCTAACACCCTTCTCATCCCACAGGGCGTAGCAACAGATGCCAAAAACCTCTCAAACCCTACAACAACAACTCTCATAACCACAAACTTCAACCAACTGACCCCCGAGAACTCTCTAAAATGGTCATCCCTCCAACCCACCCGCGGCTCATTCACATTCTCCACCGCGGACTCCATCATCGCTTTCGCTCAGAAACACAACCTGCTAATCCGCGGCCACACCCTCCTCTGGCACCGTTCCCTGCCCTTTTGGGTGTCTCGAATCACAAATCCCACGGAGCTAGAATCCGTGATTGTGGAGCATATCACTGCCGTTGTAGGGCGTTATGTAGGGATGATCTATGCTTGGGATGTCGTGAATGAGATTTTTACTGATGTGGGAGATTTGAGGGAGAATCACTTCTTCAAAGTACTTGGGGAGAGGTATGTGAGACTGGCGTTCCAGGCTGCGAGGGAAGCGGATCGAGGGACGAAGTTATATGTTAATGATTATTTCACCGCGAAAGCGAAGATTTTGGCTGCTGTGGTTGTTATTGGGAGGTGGAAGAGGGATGGGTGGGAGATTGATGGGGTGGGTGTTCAGGGACATGTCTCGAAAGGGGAAGCGGGGAGGTTGGGGTGGAGTTTGGAAGTTTTGGGGAAGGTTGTGGATGAGGTGGCTATTACGGAGTTGGATGTTGTGGATGCTGGGGAGGAGGAGTATGTTGAGGTTGTGCAGGCTTGTTTGAATGTGCCGAATTGTGTGGGGATCACGAGTTGGGGTGTGAGGGATTCGGATAGTTGGCAGGCGAGTATGAGGCCTTTGTTGTTTGATGAGGTTGGCGAGCCGAAGGCAGCGTATCATGCTGTTGTGAAGTGTTTGTGTGTCGAGGCTGAGTGAGATTGACCCTAAGGGATTGATTAATCGAATAGCAACACAGGCTGGAGGTCCCCTACATGTAGCCTCTGACATCTTGACCCTATTCCAGCTCTATGGACTGGAAATGCAGCGCGCGATAAAGACCGTGCAAGCACCTCTTATCTACAGAGCAGAGCAAATCATAATGCGATGAGATATAGAATCAGTTCTCTCAGAACTCCTCGCGAGTCCTTCTACCGATATAATTGCACCAACCACACTACAAGACAATCAGTCAGGAATCATACCAAAARTATCCAATACTGACCTTGACCTCCGAACAATGCTCGTCATGCGGAAAGCAATACTCCGCCAGACACTGCCGACAATTCTTGATAACCTGGCTTTTACACTGCTCGCAGGTCCGTCCGCACTCGAAACAGTCGCGATGGACGCCCACCTACACATCGACACTCATCAGCACAACTCTCACTCATCAAGAGAAACCTGCAAGCAATGATTTTTGAATGAGCATCCGTTCTCCAACACTTTCTCCTTTCTCACCCCMACATCCCATAGCTACCCGCTCCAGCCATCATTTCTCCGACAAGACAATGCTCCACACAGAGTTTAGAGAATACCTTTGTCGAGAGTTTTGGCTCAGTAGTCGCTGTCACCCATCCATTGCTTTGTAATTCCTCTCGAAGTTCCAATTGCTGCATTTCCGTGCGAGTATGGGCTCGAGAAACAGGATCCGGGTAACAATTTTCACACCACCAGCGATTACATTGTTCACACCAGCGACCGCGGAGACAATCTTCGCATCGGAGGATGAGTCTCGGGAAGGTGCTATCTTCTGATTTTCCAGGCCTCAGGGCTGCGCGGAGGGTGGGCGAGTGGCTTGGGACGGGTCCGAGGAGAGGAAGATGGGAATCTGACGACACAGAAAATATTGCTGGAATTTCTGGGGTGGTTTTGCAGCTTTCACAGCCGCTGGGCCCTAATGCTACTGTGGCGATGCTTGGTTGGAGGAAGTCTTCGCTTGAGACTTTCGTGATGTCGTGGCGGGGTCCTCGGCAGAGCACAGCGTCGAAACTGATGATGTCTTTGCAGACGGTCAAGGTCTCTGCCCAATCTGAAAGCGGCCGTCTGATTGCTCGACCGGTGCAGCCGTACCATTTGCTTTGCTCATCTGACATGGTGGAGTGGAGAACTTCCGAGGACCGTTGATTCCATTCTGCGCCAATTTGAGCTCCCTGCAATCCCATGACTCCTAGTGATGGACTTGAGTCTGGTAATTGGATGGCCTTCTTCAATTGAGGTCCATCTTTTGGTCCAAAGATGTACATGGCTTGAAGAACGGGCGTACCCTCCGCTCGCGTAGGTCTCGTAACATAGCGTAAAACCTGCTGCAGCTTCGACAAATTCAAGTTCTTGCATTCTCGAACACTGAGGATCCTCACTCGATAGCGATCTTCAGATATGATCTCTCGAACAAGGTCAGCCGGAACACTCAATCCATCCAGGATGAGAGTTGAGACGTGCTTCAGGACCTGTTTGGAATGGAGACTACCGAGAATTCCACGTAGAGGTCCAGCATAGAAGTCGTCTTCAGTCAGGGATTCGTCCATTCTTTCTGCTCTCCACGACATTCCCCCAACATCGATGGGTGAGCTATCGATGATCGCTCGCCGTACCGTGGTCAAGTTCAGATGTCGCCATGCGTCCGGACTGCTGTATAACAGTTCTCGTAGTGCTTTTGATGTGAGAGTCAGACGGCGTAGTTCTCTGATTGGCAAGTATGGGATCGTTTGTCGTAGAATGATCGAGTTTGACAGCAGGTCGATTAATGTCGTCGGTAGCTGGTCCATGATGATAATATCCGATCATGAAAAGGCTTCTTTCAATTGATCGATCGGTGATGGATGATGTTGATGAYGAAGTGTTGTTGCATGCGACCTCGGAAGGCCCCGCCAATCACCACTTGGCAGTCACTGCCGGCGGGTGAATGTTTCCCGTCCGCTCTTCACTTCCGCTTTGTCGCTTCATTCTGCGCACTCAAGGTAATAGCTCTTGCAGTGCATCGCGTTACATTGMAGCCGGGAAAACGGTCCCGAGAGGCTTGCATACATACCACAGCGTTCGGCAATCAACAGCTTCTGATAACTCCCACTGTTGGACATCCTGCGCGATACCTACATTGATCATCCCACTACCTTATAGAGCAATGCTCACGCGCGAAACACACCTTTCACCGATAAGAAACCATCATTGACACGAGCAGACACGCGCCGAGTGACTCCATCCACATCAAGATCTCCTGCTCGGAAGTGAAAGCAGGGTAGATGTCACTCTGCAGTAGCCTCGCCTCTTAGCCTCTTCGCCAAACAACATCCACAAGAAGCTCCATTCGCGCCAGCACTTCTGTGGAGTGCATACAGTAGTCTTTGCATTGCATGGCATTGGGTAACCCACAGCTGCACCATTGAGTACAGAGCCGCGAGATTGGTTTGTGTTAAGCTTGGTAGGTGATGGCAGTGAACCTTTCTCTCTCAGATGCACCATTTCAAATTGTGTCTCCGTCCAAATCAACCATCAGCAATAATGAACCCTCCACATGGCACCGCAAATGGCAACGGCAAGGAAGCGGGCGTCAAGCGACCAGATTCAGCAGTCAATTTGCGTGACGACTATGTCCTCACCAGGGATGCCGCGGCATCTGCGCGGCTCAGCCTGTCGCACTACATCTGGCACTCCTCTTTTGGGTACAACCTCCACCCGCGCATCCAGCAGGATATCCAAGGCAAGGAGAATCTGCAGGTCGCAGACATCGGAACAGGAACGGGGTAAGTCGAGCTCTTAGCTCCAAGGTCTTCGGTAGTGCTAAAATCCTCACAGCATCTGGCTGCTCGATATGGCACACCAGCTCCCAGCATCGACCCAGCTGGACGGTATCGACATCAGCTTCGGCCAATTCCCACCCAAGGAATGGTTGCCGAAAAATGTCAACCTCCGACTGGTCGACATCACAACTGCCGTCCCAGAAGAATTGACCTCCAAGTACGACATAATCCACATCCGCCATTTCATCTGCGTGGTCTATTCCAACGACCCCACTCCACTCCTTCTCAACCTCCTTCGCATGCTCAAACCCGGCGGCTGGATCCAATGGGGTGAGTGGGATGTGCTCAATCGACACTTCACCAAAACCTCCCCCTCCATCCCTCAATCCAACATCGACAAACTCGAAGCTGAATTCGCCACAATGCGGCGCCATACTCCTCGACCAGATTGGCCTCCACGTCTTGATGAGTATCTCCTATTGCAGAATATGCAGAATGTCGCAATGGAGAAGCGTCTTTCAAGTACAAGTCATTTGGCTTTTATGCATGACTTGACGTTGTTGGTGTTTCAGGAATTGATTGATGGCGCGGAATTGAAAGGACATATTGATGAGGACAAGACGAGGGAACTAAGAGCTCTCTTGGATGGCGCGACGAGGGAGAGTAGGATGGGAGCGGCGTGGAATCTTACTAGGTGTATGGTTATCGGGCAGAAGGGATTGGATGAGCGGGGAAATGCCTTTGTGAATTGATGGAATGAGTGGGTTGAGTAGGGCTCGTAGGACTTTTCCTCCTTTTCTTCACATGTCAAAGGCCTTAATTATCAAATCTGTGCTCTCACAGAAAATCGCGTCACTTCCCAGTACGCATGTTGGATGGAATCAATTGTGAGACCAGTCTACAAAACTAGCAATACAGCGTCTCAACGCCTTGGAGCGGAATCCGCGGCGTAGAGGACTACAGCTTGGCAAGGTTTTTGGCTAGCACATCTGAAAGCAATATGCACAAGGCATCGTCTGCTGGTCAGTCACAGTCCAATGCACGAATGAAATGTAGGTCGAAGGTCTCCTTCACAATCCCTTGTGTCTTATTATTGTCCAACATGATGTTCGATCACGTCCATCAGCGGCGACTTTCTGTACAGCCCTTGACAGATCGGAGCAAAACCTACAAACACACCACACCAACACCTTCTCGTATAGAGTGTGGAGATCCTCGGAGATGCACCAGTAATGTGCGGCTGATGAATGATTGCCCACCCTGGGCCTTGCTAGATTAGTACAAGAGAGTTGCGCTCCGATTCTTCACGGATCAGAGCTCTTTGCTACAGCCGGACTTCTACCCCTGCAAAGACACTTGTGTCTAGCCGATGAAGGAGGCAACGGAGCGGAGCGACACGTCGCGCAACGATCATCGAGATAACGCAACGTTTGCGTCAATTTTTCGCACTGTGCACAGGCTTCCGGTCACATGAAGTGTAAATCTTTTACGATCATTCTGCGGAGTTAGCGGCTTCAAAGGAGGTTGATCCTTGAGTCAGGATATTGACATCCACGATTCTAGACTTTAGCCGCGTAAAGTTCTCGTTGGCCAACGTAAAGAGGCATTACGGAGTAATAAGTCTGTTGAATTTCGGTCGTCCAAAGGTCTTGGTATTCGGTAATCTTGGATGAATTGCCATGATCAGGGCCCCACGGTGTTGACTCCGAACAAAATGAATGAAACTGCACAGACTCGACGGAGGGACAAATGGAGCTGAAGCAAATGTCCGCTCCGCGAGATTTGCCTCGTCTCAGATCTATTCGGATGGATGGCAGACCGGATCCGACAATTCAGCCTGTGTTGTAAAGTAGCCCATGTCCCTAGAGCCATAGCCAAGCATCGCGACTTCATCCATCCGTTTCTCCAACTGCTTTCGCTCGAGCATCCAAGCCGGAAGGTTGCTCGTCCGAATCTTGAGTGGAGCAGTGTTATACCATTCCTCCATGCTCCGCACATTCGCCGGACCCGTCCAGCACGGAGGCGAGTCGCGAGAAAAGCGGTGGAATCAGCATTAATGCACGATGAAGAAACATCGCATCCACTTAAAGAAGAACACGTCCCTAAATCTTATCTGCTGCCACTTTCTAACAAACGGCACAAAAGCATTTACCCCCAAATGGAAGTTGCGGCCGCTGAATCCTTGTACTACCGAAGATATAGCGGCGGAGATTTTGCTCCGGTTGGAGAAGTTCCAAAAATTAGGTGCGCGTGCACGTCCGTTGCCTGAAGACTAGGGTGCTGACTACTGCAGCGAAAATCATACCAGTGGAAAGAGTTGAGGTGGCACAGTAATGATATCGTCAGCGATAGGACGGGATTTCTCGGTCCAGGATGCGTTGGTGATTGATGTAGGCATCTATAGATCTGCCCGGGATGGCTGGTCGTCTTCACTTCAGGATTCAAATTCTCCTCTTTGACGATCAATCAACATGGCTTCTCGGTGTGAGATTTTAGCGGCTTTGAAAGGGCAAGAGGTTCGTGTTCCGGATCTGCAAACCCTGCTTCAGGAATGGCCGCAATACACGAATCAGCATCTAGAGCGGCTCAAAATCGATGTTGATGCAAAGCTTGAGGAGTTGGTGCCAGGAGAAAACCCTCACCGAAAGTTTGGCTGATTTCCGTTTCAGGTTGATACCCGCTGGCAAAAGGCTCCAGCAGATGAAGAGGGGAAACATTGCGCATTTCGCAGCCACCTGGTGGCCATATGCTGAGTACGAGCCGTTGAAGTATCTCGCATATCTTTCAATATGGGTGAGCACTTCCTCTGAAATATGTTTTTCTGAACGTTGCTGATTGTCGAACAGCTTTTCAACTGGGACGATGGTAACAAGATCCACATGAGACTCGAGATCCGCGACTGATTTGGCTTCCAGAAACGGACTCCAACGAATTCTCCAACATGGCAGATCATTTCGACGCCGAGCAACGCTTTCGCCAGGACACTCTCGCTTTCATGCGTCAGTGCTTGTCTTTGACGCCAGCGAGCGACAGCGAGCCCAGTGATTCAAGAGAGGGGTCTGGAGATTCGCATGCATCATCGTCATCATCATCATCGGGGTCCGCGGCAGCCGAGGCCTCGCCAAGCTCTTCTTCACCATCCATAGTGACGAGCACCGAGGCTCCCAGTACACATGGCCCCAGCAGAAACACACTACGACCTCCACCCCCGAAGTTGGAACGCTCCGCATCTTACAGAAAATTCGCGTCGAGATTCGCCCAGCATGCTCGGCGTCCGTCGACGTCCCCGGCAATAGGCGTCAAGTCCGCCACCAAAGATCCCAAGGCTGAGGGGAGTGATGAAGTCGAGTCCCCGCAGGAATCAGGGAAGCAGGTTGATCACAAGCCTCTATCGTCGGCTCCTGGCGGCAAGTCCCGTCGAACAGCAATCAAGAAACTCGCATCTACAATCGCGAAATACTTTCGTCCACGGAAAGATTCCGGCGTTGACATGAGTTGCCCGGTAATTGCGGTAGCTGAAGGTTCTGAGCAAGAAGCAGTCACAACCAGCCCATCGAGAAGCCCACTGATTTCAAGTTTCGAGACCATTGCCGAAGGAGTTTGCCCTCATCTTTCGCCTTTTGAGCATCAAGTCTTTCTTCGGGAGTGCGAGAAATTTGTCAATGCGACAGAAAGCGAGCAGAAATTGCGGGTCCGAGGAGTGCTGCCTGATCTAGAGGAGTACACCGCCATGAGACTAGACACGGGAGCCGTGGCGATGTGTCTAGCTTTGCATGAGTGAGTTGCAATCCGGTAATTTGGAATGAAGCGCGTACGTAGCTAACCATGCTCCAGATATGCCCTTGGCGTCCAGGTCCCCGATTCGATCCGCACAGACCCAGACATGGTAGAGATCTGGCTCCAGGCAAACAACATCATCTGGATGGTAAATGACATGCTCTCTATAAAGAAGGAAATAGCACAGGGCGAAACCGACAGCTTGCTCCCGATTTTGATTGGCCAAGGTAAAGGTCTACAAGCCGCCATGGACCATGCATATGGAATGACCCAAAACGCAAAGTGGGCGCTGGACGCTGCTGCTCTGAGACTGGCCGAGAAAGTGAGTGCGTCTTATGATGAGCGAGTATGTGAGGATGTGAAGAAGTTTGTGGATAGCTGCCGAATGGCATGCACAGGAAGCAYGAACTGGAGTGTTGAGAGTGGGAGATACAAGATCGGGGTGTCGAGTTTAGCGGGCGGCGTGGTGATTTGTCTGGAGTGATGAGCGTGCATTAAAGACCGACGACAGTTCTCCTTCAAACAGTCTTGAAGGACCATGATACCATGCCACGGCCATTCTCATTCTTCTTCTCTTGACCTCTGGTAGCGTTGTGATGAGATGAACCGTCCACACTTTCGAGGGATCATTGACGAGAAACACGCGATTTCGATGCTGATGGAACGTGTCTCAAATCTCGATCTGGGTTAGACCTCGCCCATGGCCTCATGATGGGAGTGTTGGTGTTGGTGAGGGAAAGAGGTGAAGTTGAAGCACCGAAACCGATAAAGAACAGATATCGGGCCGAGCCGCGTGAAGTGAGATCATCACAAACGGCAGGTACCACCGTCCTCCGATGCCTACCTTAAACATCATGTATGCGCCGCGTGATCAGCTATAGTCCACCTACCTACTCTTCTTCCACATGCGATGCATCAGATCATCTCATTCTCTTCCCGCCATGTGGTTCAGTAGTATCGTGTTGGCGTGCCTGCTCGCCTTGAGTCCACATGTGCAGGCAGCCAGATCCCAGCRGCAGCGGCGAGCGGAGGGCAGTCCGTATCTCGTCTTGCCACCGGGCATGAACGATGGTGCTGGCAGTGGCAAAGCTCCAGAGGCTCTAGGCGAGCGAGAATTTGTATGTGGCTGCTCTGAGCATGATTTTGTGCAAAAGCAGAGGCTAATAGCTTGTAGACGCTGCGCCATGTCTACCACCGCGGGTCCCATCAGTTCCCGGATCTCCACCGATACGTCGACGTACCTCAAAATGCAAGATTAAGAGTCTCGGATGATTATGGAAAGACATTCGAAGCAGCACCAAAAGAGCTTACAGCCAAAGCCTCTTCGCTGAATATCGAGAGGCTGGCAAAGAGGAAGCCATCGGATATCAACAACTTGTTGGAGTATGCATACATTCATGGAGAACCAGCTAGTCTCCCGTCAACAGCGTGGACAGAAGATGTGGTCGCTGGGCCCAACATCTCCGATAAGAGCACCATCATAACATTTGCCAAGATGGCYGCAAACGCATACTATCTCGATCCATCAGACTCCAACTGGAGGGACGTTAAAGGCGGCTTCAACTACACGGATGACTTTGGTTGGGAAGCTGATGGACTTCGCGGTCACATCTTCGCAGACCAGAAGAACACTACTGTTGTGATTGGACTGAAAGGTACTTTGGGCTCGTGCTACCCGTCAATAACGATGCTAAGTCATGTGTAGGAACATCTCCCGCCGTTTTCGATGGCATCGACACGACTGGAAACGATAAGCTGAATGACAATTTATTCGGATCCTGCTGTTGTGGTCAAGGTGGACAGATCTTATGGAAGTCTGTCTGCGATTGCATGACCGGAACCTACTCGTGCAACAATACATGTTTGGTTAAGAGCCTGCGCCAAAAGAGTCACTACTACTGGGCAGTCAGGGATCTCTACCATAACGTGACGGAGAGATACCCCAATTCGGATGTCTGGCTGTCTGGACACTCACTCGGAGGCGTGGTCAGCTCTCTGTTGGGCTTGACCTATGGCCTGCCGACAATCACCTTTGAAGCCTTTCCAGACGCATTGGCGGCCTCTCGTCTCGGTCTACCTACGCCGCCCAACTACAAGATTGGATCCCACCAATCGCGATCGAATCTAGGCATCACCCACATTGGACATACAGCCGACCCTATCTTCATGGGAACGTGCAACTCCGCCTCTTCATTCTGCACCATCGCGGGCTACGCATTCCAAGGCGTGTGTCACACAGGCCAGACCTGCATATACGACACAGTAGGTGATCTAGGATGGCGCGTGGGAATAGGCACGCATAAGATTGTGAACGTCATCCACGATGTGCTTGAAAAGTACGACACAGTACCAGCTCCCGAAACAGACGTTGACTGCCAGGATTGCTACAACTGGAAGTTCTACGAAAGCAACGGGACAGAAACGACGACAACTACAACTTCCAGCACAAGTACATCGACCTCTCGAACGAGGACGGAGACGTGCAAGACGCCAGGATGGTGGGGATGTCTTGACGAGTCCACCACAACAGGAGCTACGACGACGACATCAACATCATCATCGAGCACCTCTTCGACTTCAACGAGTACTTGTAMGACTCCAGGCTGGTTTGGCTGCAAGGACCCTATCACGACGACTTCAGCTGCCACCATCACAACAACCACAACCCCTGCTCCAGGCTCTAGCGTCGTTACCACRATAACGAGCACTAGTACGAGCACCTGCAAGACTCCCGGCTACTTTTTCGGTTGTGATGATGTCACTACAACTTCCGCAACTCCCAAGCCCACCTCAACTTCTTCTTCTGCGAAGAAGACCCACACTGCCACGGCGACGGACGACTGTAAGAGTAAAGAGTGGTTTGGGTTTATCTGTGTGGATCCTTCACCTACGACCAAGGGTGTCCCTAGCGTTACGAGTGTTCCTCCATCTGCAAAGACGAGGATTTGCGCTAGTAGGCATTGGTATGGTAGCTGCAAGGAGTGGGTGATTGAGGATGGATGGGGATTCAAGAATGACCTGAAGCGATAAGGTGAGCAGGATGGTTACGACTTGGGTTCGGAATTCTCACTTTTCGGGATAGGCGCATGTAGGCTGGCGGTGGGATTGATGGGCTTAGGGGGGTTACAACAGGATGGGAAAGCATGTATATACGAACAAATGAGATCGCACTTTTGAAGCTAGATATCCTCAATCTGATGTCTTGGGCATCGAAATATGTCGTGCTAGTAGCTATAGTGACTGTCGTCTCAATGCTTGCATGATGATATCGCTACCGCTGCCCGTTGGCCTTCACTCATGTGCAGCCGACGCTTCATATCTTTCGAAAAATCCCCACGGAGAAGCTCTTAATTCTTCAAGTACTGCAATATCCTGGCTAAAGGAAGTCAGTTCCCGGCCTTACGCTTCTCTAGTAGTGCCGTCATCTTCATCTTCAGCTTCATCTTCAGCTTCAGCTCTACCCYTTCAAGCTCGGCTTGCAATTTTGCACGCTTGATGTGGGCCTTCCTGACCTCGACCTCACTATCCTCTACGTCACTATCGAAGTTGAGAGTTTACTGCAATGTTTCGCGCCTAGCTCTTCGCTCATCGTCCTCAATTATGCTGCGAGGTGGACTGACAACGTCTTCTTCACCTTCGTCGTCTGTAATTGTCATTGCATGCTTCAATGTCCTATACTTTGCGACCTCAATACAGCGGACTTACCTAGTAGTTCACGAAATGCGGCTTTACCCTAGAGCAAGTGAAGCCAACGCTAGCTCCAAAAACTCCTATTTGTTTGGAAGAGATGGAATTTTTACATATCAAATACTTTTGTGAGACGGCCTCTGCTCAYGACCGTGTACATGCCTCGCCGTCGCCAGCATATCTCGTATTTTCTCACTCGCCCTATTCAACAGGCGCTCTGGGTTTCTTCTCGTGCTCCTTAATCTCCTGCTCCAGTTCCAACGCCTGCAGACGGTTCTGATAGACCTGATATTGAAGGTCAAGTTGAACGCGTCTTCGGCGCTGCTTATCCAGCAAATCGGAGTCTTGGACGTTGGTGCGATTGATTGTGGGGCGTTGAATGGCCGGGTCGGCCAAAGGCTCGGCTGGTTGCGCGTGCTCCATCTGCATCGAGACGGGAGTGAGGGTTGCACCAGGCATATCATCAATGGCGGCTAAGACCTCAACCCTTGTTTCATGCTCCTCAGGATCCTCGTCTCTTGTTAGATCGATGAGACCTGCTGGATCCTCCTGTATCTGGGGTCCCGACTGTTGACCGCTGCGAGGACGATCACTCTTCTTGGCCTGCGGTGCCGTAAAATTGGGGCACTCGAGCCTAGAGCGCATACTGGAGGCTCTAGGCGTGAGGTTATCCTCCTCATCGAGCGGCACATCCTCCTGCACCTTTCGTTTCTTTCTGTTTTCTTCCCTGCTAGCCCAGGTATGGCGTTTGCCATTGATTACTAGAGTAGAGAAGCTCAGAGGACGAGCCTGAACGGCCGGAGCCTGCTCTAGATTGCCACCCGCCTCGGTTCTTCCCTTATCCTGGTACTCTTCGTCCTTCATCAAATCTTCGTAAAAGTCTGTCCGGAATTAGCTAGCCTTCTGCTCCCTTAAATAACGTGTGCTGACGAACAAATGTGGTGGTCGTTCAGCAGATTAGAGGACAATCGGATAGCTCTTCGTGGTGCGTGGCCGTCATCGCTGTTGATATGCGCTACAAGTTCTTCCCTGTTCGCGTGACGTTTCGCACAAAGTCCCTCCGGGCCGTCGAACTGCTGGCGACACCAAATCTCGCCCGCGCGGATGAGAAAGTCGAGCGTGCTCGACTGAAACGGTGGGCAGTTCTTCGGTGGTCGGTCGAGAGAGAGGTATGCCTGGTAAGCTGGCTGTTCCAACGTCAGCTGAGACCGTCGATGTGCACACGCCCAAGATGCGTACCGAATCTTGCCAAGTCGTCGGTAGCGAGACATAATCCATGATGCCCCGATTGCACCCGATCGTGTCGCGGATGTGATGAGTAGTGGAAGGGCAAGTGTTGGTAGGAGGTGTTAGGAGGAAGTGTGATAGTGGATGTTGAAAGTGGTTGTTGTAAGAGAAGAAATCAATCCTATGTGGGCGAAAGCAGAGGTAATGGCCAGATGGCATGTGAACCTGACTTCGCTAAGGTGCAAGTGAAAGGCAAGAAGAGCGTGATAAGACCGAACAGTGAAGCTGGGGGCTTAGCGCCTAAGCGATAGCACGACCGCATTTGAGGAGAAATATCAGTAGCACACCCCGAGTGATAGTAGATTGAAACGATGATTAAGAAGGTTTGCTCACCAACCCTTATGATGCCACAATGCTCCCGAAGTACCAACGCCATGCTCAAAACCCAGCCATATGCTCAGAACGCTCCATTGAAAAGACTCTCAAATGTGCCATCCATCTCCTGCACATGTACTATTCAGACCTCACTTCAGCTTCCTAGAACGCTCTACCACTCGAACTCTTTCCAATCGTTCGGAACGTTTCACCGATGGCGAGAGTGTCGAACCGATCGATTCCCATTATCTGTCGCGTCGTTAGCAAGCCTATTCCACCAAAGCAGCGTCGTTCCCACATACCTCAGGATCATGGAAACCCGCAAACCAAAATCCAATCACCACGACCAGATATGTAAAGATCAAGATGCTTCCTTTGAAGTAATTGCTCTTGCCCTCTCCAACCACCCATCCCATCAAAAACACACTCAAAATGACACAGACCATATCCCACTGCGGGAAGATCATCGTGAATGTATGGTCTGCTAGCTGCTCATCGAGTAACCAGCGCCCGGAGATGAAGCTGAAGAGCACGAGACAGGGTACTTGCAGTAAGATGACCTGCAGAGCATAGGAAGAACCAATCTCCATGGACAGTGCAACATTCCCGTTCATCGCAAAACTAATGGCGTTGAGGAATTCAGTGGTGTTTGGGACAAGGGAGAACAGTGTGATGCCGAGGAACTTCTCCGGGATGTCGATGGAGGAGAGGACGACGTCAACTGTGTCTACCAGAATCTCAGCGATCACCGCGTAGGCCACTGTAGCGGTAAGCAGAATCACGGCGGATTTGGTACGAGACCAATTGGGCGCATCGTGGCCGCCAGATGCTTCTTCGTGGTGGGCTGGAGTGGCACCAACTGCTGGCTCGTTCGGAAGACCGTGGTCGTTTGACTGCTGAGCATGGGCTTGGACTGCGTCTTTGGGTTCTCTTACCCGAGAGCCTTGGYGGGTTCCTGCGGACAAAAAACTTGCACGGCGCGGGGCTTTGGTGGCATCTCTGGCAGCAACAGTCGCTGCGGTGGCGGCAATTTCAGCAACCTGTTGGACAAGCGCACGATTATCCTCGTGGCTCAGTCCGGTGATTACGTCGTTCCCGGCACTCTTAGGGGGCACTATATGAGGTGGCTGTGGCTCTCCTCTGGGTCCCTCTTCTGGAATATCTTTCTTTGCGTCGGGAGAGTGAGCCGGGGTTGGTGGGGCGACACCTGCCTGTTTCAAGCTTTGGGTCAGAATGCGCTTGTACATCTGAGTGGATTTGATGTCGTCTTTCGGGGAGATCCCTTGCGAGGCCTTGTGGGCACCGGGAAGAATTTCGACAGGAACCAATCCTGAAGTGTAAGGCAGATTCATATGCCCGTGCAGGTGATGCGTTTGACCCGTAGCTTCGTGCTTCGATTCCCTCTTCTCATCAGGTTCGTTGTTCCAGATCACGGCCGCGTGCGTACGTAGCGTGAAAAGCAGTCCCACCACATACGACAGGAAAAGGCAGAGCGTGCAAAAGTAGATGTATGGGCGCACCGCTTCCGYGAAGAACCTGTCTTTGAGTTCTGGCACTTGCGTGAAGTAGCAACGCCGGCAATCTCGCTCTTCATTGTCGTGTTTGGTGTGGCACTGCCGGCAGTTCAGGATATGCGTGCCATAAAACTGGTAGAACAGCGTCGGACCAAAGGCGCCAATAACAGCAAATAGCAGCATTGTCGAGGTCACTCCTGCAGACCTGACATTGAATCGTTGTGTCTTCCGTTTGATCGCACCAAAGCACATGGAAAGGCCTGGTAAGAATAGAATACCTGCGAAGATAGAGCCGATGATACTGCCCTCCACAAGTTGGGATTTGCCCTCGTTCAGAGCGACGCAGTATAAAAAGACTTCGACGATTGTACTGAAGAAGGCATTGATTGTTGCTCCAACACCCATTGACGATTGCGCAGAGATCGACGCTACGGCCTGACCGATGAAGTACGCCAGTGGGATGATGGACGAGAGTGCTACCACAAACATGAATCCCGGGGAGGTGATCCATATGTCGAGATGTAAAACTTTGCTGAGGATGAAGTAGTCGCCAATGGCAAAGACCACTAGGCCGAGCAAGTTGATGAGAAAGATGTTTGTCCCATCAATGGTGTACTTCCAATACTTTGATCCGACCGCGCGGTACGTGCATAGCAGAATGACACTATCAGTACTGCCACGAGGCTGCGATGAGCTGCGCTGGTAATGGCTGTCGGTGTGAAAGCTCATGGCCAGTGGATGACGACGCAAGTGGTAGAACAAGAGTAGCGTGACCTTGCCCATCGGGATGGTAAAGACCATGAACCAGCAGATTCCGCTCACAAGAAACAAGAATGGGCTGATGATGAAGTAAAAGGAGAGGAAGAAGATGACCCGGCCAAGGTTCCACTTGCCTCGACCAAACAGGCGCTTCTTCGTCTTGACGCGAGCGGCCTTTGCGACTGAACTTTGGCGTCCACGGCCAAGGAGGCTGTCGGTCTCATTCTCCTCCAGATCGGGAACCTCATCCCGGCGCCGCCCAATAAGCGATCGGTTGATATCCGTGGGTCCAAAGAATAGGCGGCCCTCCTCGATATCACCCGCCTGCCAACGCTCGTATTCGGCAATGTCTCTTCCCTCGCCCTCATCTTCGTGCATGTACGCTTCATCTCTTTCCAGCTTAACGTACTYTCCGAATGGGTAGAAAAGGTAGTGGGCGAGGTTGATAAGCACACGTCCGTATGCTCGGCAGCCATCTGACTCGGCGTCCTGAAACATGCCAAACACCAAACAGACAATGCCTCCTACAGAAGTGATTGCGGCCAACCACCAGCCAAAGAGCAATGTCCATAGTCCGTTGAATATCCAGAGCCACTGACTGACATTCCCTCCCGGCGCGCTGTGAATATCTCCTTCGGCATTGCGCTGCACTGAACGACTCTTCTTGTACAGCGCGGGTTTCCAAATCCTGATACCAAAAGGATGTGTCTCGTTGATAGCCTCTTGACGATCCTTCAGTGTGAAGCTCTCGGCGTCGCTAAGATTGCCKTCCTCATCATCGTCGTCCTCGTCATCGCCATCGTCGTCTGGTGACGGTAGTTCCTCCTCCTCTTCGCCTTGCAGCGTGTCCTCTGAGCTTGGATCGCGAGCATCCTTGAGTGAAGCCGGCCTTGATTTTGCTCGGGGAAAGTCAGTGCCCGTCGTGGCTTGTGCTTCTTCATCTTCGTGGCTCTCGACCCTGGGTAGATTTGGTGCTTGGGCTGTTGGCCGTCTCCTCAACGTGCTGTCCCGCCGCCTCAGCGTTCGATCCCTTCTGGGTTCTTCCTTGGGCTCCTTCCGTGTACTTCGCAGGTCCAAGTCTACCTCGGTCGGGTCGTCGTCAACGGAGAAGACATCGCCTCGGTGGGGGGCTACGGAAGCTTTCCGCAGCGTTGCTGGCCGTTTCGGTGTCTGTTGCGCTTGCTGAGGCGTTTGTTGTTGTTGTTGCTGTCCCTGGAGAATGCTGCCCTGCAGCGATTGTGTCTGGCGAGCGGGCGTCGTCGATGATGAACCTTGCATCGATCCGTAGTTTTGAGGGCGAGGTCGGCGCGCCGTGCCACTGCTGTTTGCCGTCTCCGCCGAATGCATGCTGGCCTGGCTGTCCTGCATCGCGTTGTTGCCGGCTTGCGTTGGCCGCGACATGTCGATGGAGGCGAGCGTGGCGTCAGACGATCTCCGCGTCCCCGGAGCGGTGGAGGCGGTGGAGGATGCTAGAGCCCAATCCTGAACATTCGACGTATGGTCGGCCATGGCTCGAGCTTTCGGTGGATCGCGGGCTGCACCCCAAACTCTTATTTAGTCTTGGCTTCCCTGTTACACCAGTGAACCACCAGGCTCGTCGTCCGATCAAGTGGTGAAGGGAGGCTGTGTGTCGGAAGGACAGACGTCCATGCACAATCGCGACCTGACAAACCAACCCACGTGGAATCAATGTTGAACTTTCGTGAGCTTCCTGAGCCGATCCGTTGGTTGTTGTGTGGGCGGAAGGAGGAAAACAACTGAATGTCTGGTACGCGGTGATATCACCGAGATTCATCAAATTTAATGTCCCGATAAACGTGCAAGCATCAAACGGTTGCGTACATATCTACATGTTGCACAGCTGCRTGGCCATCAAAGATTCGCAGATAACAGCGTGCTGTATCTCGAACTACCTACCCTGGTCATCTGTCATGATCAACTTTGCAGCCAAGACGGAGCTGGGGCAGGGAGCTGTGTGTGCCGTCCGTCGTCCATCGACTTGTCATCACCAGTCTCACTTCTGCCTGCTCGTTGGGCGCGTTTCACATGGCCCGTCATGCGTGACCGCCTGTCAAACCTTTCCCGAATTCGCCCTCGTGGCCATCTCCATCATGACTTTGCTGCATTGCATTTATTACAATCAATGACGCCCCACAAGAAGTCCGGATCCGCGCGTCGAGACGTCCGGACCGCGTCTCGCTTGTAGGAGCTCCACTCCTCCACTCCCGCAGCATGTCACACTGTCACCATGTCAGCTCCACCCCCGGAGTGTGCACTCGCCGCACATGGCGTGGAGTGGTGCTGCGAGGAAGCTCATCACACTCCAATTCGGTGAAATGAAGCGCCGATCGTCTCATGGCATGTTGGAGAGTTGCTGCTTCCGATTGCGCGGCGGCTCAGTTCGATCAATTCCCAGCCTTCTGGAGACGTCCCCTCGGTCGGAAGCGGCAGACTAATTCCAGGTTCCAAAGTGGCGTTTTGTGGACATAACACGCGAGAAAAAGCTGTGATTCATCATGACAGTCTCGGTGTCTTATTAGGCTTGACAATATTGTTATAAAGGTGTCGATGTTGGCTCGGCATGGTGGGAGCTATGATGGGGCATCCAAGTTGTTCGCAGGGGCGGGCACCTCTCGCATCCAACGCTTATTGATGAGCAGCTAAGGTCGATTCTAGCCTTGGCAGAGGATCAGCGTGTGGGCTTTACAGCCCAGGCGTTCCCCAGCTTCCAATTCAGACGTTTCGGGGCGGGCTATGTGAAGACTGGTCATGGACGACGAGGACCCGCGAGCGATAGTTCAAACCGCGTACGACAGTATATCGAATTGGTACCTAGATTGGGCGAAAAGTCTCAAGTCCCCCCGCGAAAGATATGTCGAAATACTGCTGAAGGAGTCGATAACGCCATCACCTTCGGTGCTCGAACTTGGCTGTGGGCCTGGAGTCCCCATCCTTCGGATGCTTTTGGATCGTGGGGCGAGTGTGATAGGCAATGACATCTCCAGTCAGCAGCTTAGGTTAGCGAAGAGTAGTTGTCCCGAAGCTGAGCTTGTTGCAGGGGACATGTCTCTTCTGTCCTTTCCGTCCAAGACATACGACGGCGTGGTGTACTTCTACACCATATTCCATCTCCCTCGAGCAGAGCAAAAGAACTTGTTGGAGAAGATTTACGCTTGGCTGAAGCCGGGAGGGATGTTTCTTTGTAACTTTGCGGCCGTTGACGAGGACGCAATTCATGGCGAGTTCCTGGGGCATGGGATGTTCTGGAGTAGCTTCAGTGCGGATGCCAACCAATCCATGGTGAAGGAGGTGGGATTTGAGATGGTTGTGGCCGAAGTATCAGGCGCCGCGGGAGACGAAGACTTTGACGCTGGAGTTGAGTTCCTGTGGGTGGTAGCGAGGAAGAGGTTGATGGGTAGTGAGTATTGTGCGACAAGCAATTCTGCTTGAGGTGTCTTTGCGGACCAGAAGCATTGGGTGGGGGTGAAAAGCGGCGGTCACATCGTTTCATCTCTTGTTTGCTCGTCCACCTTCACCTCACTTTCAACTCGGCGGGATCACCACAGCACCTGCGGACTTCCCCATCACCACTCACGGCCATTGCGCATTGGAACACTGAGCAACATCCTCAGCGAGGCAGCATATATTATGTCAGCGCATCGGGGACATGTAGTGATGCGAAGATACTCAGTCAGTAATTTGAAAGCAAATTGAGCGCCAGAAAACTGATAAAATCGCAGCCGGCATTCGTGGCATACACAGAAATGCCTGAGCTTCCAGAGCATGTGCCGAACTTTGACACAGATGACAACGATTGTCCCATTGTGCATCTGGGCGAGCTGTTCTGCCGGATGCCTGGTTTGGGCCGTGGTACCATTTGCGGGGCCAAGTTCACGACGAGGGATCATGTCATGAACCACGTAACAGTCTTCCACGGGGTGCTCAAGGAAAACCTCAGAGGCATAAGAGGCGGACAACACACGGGTGCCTATGTTCGAGCAAGCCTGAGTATGCGCTTCATTCCGAGCTCCTCTGTTCAGAAGATTGACAGCTCGCAGGATTCTACATCAACGTCATGAAGCATGAGGACTATCTTGGGAAGGAAGGTCCGCTGGAGACAGCTGTCGACACAATGTCGATCAAGCCGCGACCTCGTTCAAGAAAAACGCTCGAAGGCAACGATGGGCGGGCTATGCTCGGGGAAGATGATGATGTCGAGCTGAGCTATCCACCACGACGCAGTCCGAGGCGGAAAGCAGCTCTTCCCTCATTCGCGGAGTCAAACAGCGCCGAGCTGAACTATACACCGCGGCGCAATCTGAGACGGAGACTACCTTTCCCTTCGGACGCGCAGTCAGATGACGCCGAGATGGTAGATGGGGATTTGATTCATGGGCAAGGTCACAATTTGGGCGAAGGTGACGAAACTACACAGGTCCTGTCGGACCTACAACCCACTGCTCCGGTAAGAATAGAGACAGCCGGTGATGTTCAGCCCACATTGCAACGAGACAGCACTCCGGCGATGACCCGCCAATCCTTGGTCATCGATATGTCCGAGGATGTGTCTGAGGCAGGGAACGAGTCTTCTGACGGCGAAGAAGCGCAAGCTCAGCTTGAAAGCTTCCGCATTCAGAGGGACATCAAGCGAATCGAACTTGAGGAGAAGCGCATTGAGCTCGAGGAATTGCTGCTGAAGCAGAGACTAGTGGCCCGGAAGAAGAGTCGTAGGTCTTGATGCTCGTTCGAGCGTAGCTGTCCGGCGGTAAGTGTGTACACTCGACAAGCGTACTTCAGTCACGAACCGTTCGTAAAAATTCCCAGAGAGGTAACAATTCCATTTCACGAGCCTTCACGATGCTTGAGATCCAGCAAGACATCTCAGACTTTCTGGTGGGCATAGCCGTGCGAATCGTCAACAATGTCGACAAGATAGGGGATGCAGACTTACCCACAAGGTGACATGGCAGCCACCAGCGTGAGAAAATATGGCTTTGCATCACGTCGGACTCGCCAACGTTCTCTCCACCATCAGGCCATGATGCCGAGGAACTACTCCGTATGGCAGACACAACTAAATCTTGCATTGGACGTGATACGGCTTTGCCAGGCTGATCTGTGGTACATGAAGCGTCGACGATTCGTCCAAGCCCTGATAGACGCTGGTTATACTGTAAGGGAAACAGCTCCCGAATCTGAGGTCATTCTTTCATTCTTTCATTCGATGCATGATGTGCTTGGTTCCATAAAAACCGTCCTGGTTCGATCGGCCATGTTGTCATGTCGCATGTAATCAGGAGAAGGAAGCGTAATTGGTTCGGATGGGGAGCAGAGCGCTATGTGACGCGCAAGAAGACATCGACAGTGTGAGATGGATGCATCAGTCGCAAACCGACGGAGAAGAGAGTAGGAGAAGTTACTTGGTGTGAAGCAACTCATTTCTTTGATACATCGTGATGGTTAGAGTCAAGTGAGTGTCAGACATCTCTACATGGGTATGTAATTGGCCAAGAGCCATCAGGTCAAAGCCCGCAATTGACATGCTGTGGTGAGTACCTTAGCGGAGGATGTTGGACGTACATGTACAAAGGAGGTGATGGTGAACCGAGTTTTTAGCTTCACTTCTGCGGCCGCTGCGGCCGCTCCCGTCCATCGTCACTGCTATCAACTTTTGTGAGCAGACGTCCAACCATCGTTCATCTATCAATCCAAACCACCACCCACCACCCACCTCACACATCAATTCAAGATGCCTCCAAAGGGCCAGCAATCTCGTAGTGTCGCCATCGGTGGCCGTCAGCAAGCACGTGGAAACGTGGCGCGGGATACTTTCGGCTGGGTTTCCAACCCGGAGAACAGGAGCGTCGTGATTGCCGTTACTTTCTTTGCGGTATGCCATAGATGGAAAACAGAACGGCAACTATGATACTGATTTAGACGACAGACTGGCGTGGCTTTCCTACACAGCAGCTGGAGCGAGATCCTTCTTCCACCGTAAGGATTTTTGACGCGCTGTTCGTGGTTATTTGTTATTTGTATGCTAATAGCATGCGCAGGCTTTAGATGAACAGTCCGAGCGCGACGAGATACTGGACGAGCGACGAGCCTTTGTATATTATGGCGAAGAGGGCAGAGGGGAGGATGTGTAGGATACGAACAGTGGCAGGAATAGCATTGCACGGCGTTTGGTCAGAGGATGTTTAGCTGGCTGCCATGATGCAGGAAGAGACTCGTACTGTGGGAAATGAAGGAGAGCAGATACCACTCCAATCACAATGATCTCGAGCCGCCGATGGACACAATCACAAGAATGGAGGGTGAGTTCCACTCGCGAACCGCGAGATGTGCTTACGTACAGAAAGGACGCCGTTCATCGAGACTGCACAATCGTGACTGGCAAACAATTTTGCGGCTTGTCGTCCTGAGAGTCATCAAATTTGGCTGGTGCTGAGACCTCAATCTATTAGATGAGACTTCTGGCTTTTCCAACTCTGAAGCGGATATGCGGGCTCCAAGACATCAGAAATACGGCTGCACTCGGTCTCCTAGGTAGGAAGGACTCAGACACGCTTTCTGAAGGTAATGTCGCACATCAAAGACACTGACAGCTACGAGACGTAGGCCGTACCGCCGTGGGTATATGTACCCTTCACTGGTACACGCCATTCATTCTCCACGCCCAACAACGAACCATCAGATTCAGCAACTATCCAAACGCGAGCTCAAAGCCATCATCTCCTTTTCTTCATCAAAGTAGCTCATCTACCAAATCAGCAACATGTCACTCTACCCAGGTCAGGCTACTGAGCTCCATATCCTCCCCTTCCATGACTTACTTGCTACGCCTGACGCCCGGAGAAAGATTAACACCACACCGTCATTCCAAAGCACACTGTTGCGCATGGCTCCGTTTATCACCATTGTTTTCCTCTCTTTATTCGTACTTGCCGGCTGTTTTTACTTCAACTCGTGGCTGTTGGCCTTCATCTATAATGGCGGCGGCTTTCTGAAAGTTTTGGGCACGATCATCTTCATGGTCAATGTGGCGATTGCCTGTGGGGTGGTGCTTTGGTCATGATCCCGCCGCATGAATTGGAATAGTTGAAGGTACTGTGCTTTGGCGGTCGGTAGGTGGTTTGTCTTGTTTTGCTGACACATTTAGGATCCCTCCAAGTAAACGAGCTGGATAATCCGACTCCCAGCTCTCGCTATCGTCGAGACCCCGCCGGGTTCAATATCGACTTCTCCAACTAAGAAAACTGCAGTCAAGAATGTTGGTCTGTTCACCCTCACTTCCCGCAAGCTGAAACTTACGAGTACATGGGTCGTAGAGAGGTTAATACAGAAGAACAAGGGAAGATACAGTACGCAATCAATCAATTAGCTGGAAACGGAGGCATACGCTCATATATATTCACAACGACATTCTCTACTGATACCTCGATGTGCACAGAATGATGCTCCCTCTCACAAGAAGGCTTCTACTCAACTCATCAGATCAAACAACAGCACGAGCTTTAGCAGGTGCCTTGACAACAAACGAAGATCTTGAAGTTTGAGGCTCCACCCYCAATACTGCGGGTAACGAGATCATCTGTGTGAGCTTACGATATGTGACGTTGCCTAGCTATGGACGAAACACGAGATTTGGACATCCACATGTAATGCGAGAGTTACGTTCTATAAGAAGACAAAGGCCCATCCCAGGAGCTGGGGACAGCTCCGAGATCTTGGATTCCCAGGGTTTAATACCAGGTTTGCCCCGGATATGAGTTGCATCCTAGGCATCCTTGTCTAGCTTTTCAGGGGCTTCCAAGCATGCTCACTCGCACAAATGTCTCGCAAAATTCCGCTCCTAGGATCCTCCTGGGTTGCCATGACTGGAGTGAGCGGACAAAAATACGACCGCACGACCCGGCTGACGTGTCACGCTGGCAATCCTATCAACATGGCAGTGTCTCGGGAGATAAATACACCGCAGGGCCCTTCTCAAACTCTTACTCTATTCAGACGATCCTGCAACCTCTTACAACCACCAACCCGAACATCCTGACCCCAACTCTCACCATGTGGACTCCAATCATAAGCATCGTCTTCGCCCTCACCTCCTCGGTAGCAGCGACCGTCAGAGGCGGGCAATGCTGCGACGACGGCCTCCAGCACTGCTTCAATCAACATGCCTGGGGATGCGTTCAGCTCGCAGGACCAAATTGCGTCGACCAGACTCAAGTCTGTGACGAAGCTTGCGGAGGCTCGGGCTACGCGTATCAGAAAGATAAGTGAGTGCTTTCAAGGTTTTGGGGATATTGTAAGGAGACTAATGATGTTGTAGGTCGGACGATAGACAGTGTGTTTGCAGTTATGATGATGCTAGTCAGTCTCTTGGGTGGTGTTGATGAGTGGATGAAGCTGGGTTGAAGATGGAGTTGTTCATGTCTTTGTTGAGGCGAACGTGTGTCGTCGTGTAGGGCGTAGAATCGCCTGGGCTTACATTTATATGCTCAAAGACGGCTRAAAATTCGCATTGCCCTATAGACATACCCAAACAAGCTGCCTGCCGATGTTTTCGACGAATTTCGAGATGTCTCTCTTGCAATGTTTGTCGAACAGACCAAACAAGGTCGTGGTTAAAATCACTTTTAATCCATCCATGATCCCATCCTTCTTGGACTACATGCCATCGAAGTGGATGCTACGCCTCTGGAACTTCCTACACCGTCCACCTGATCCCATCATGTCATTTCGATTCCTCGACTTGCCGAATGAGATCCAAGACCTGGTGTATGGTTTCTATGCTGCAGAGTTCCTGAATCACAACGGTCACCAACTGTCTCGCGTTCGCTCCCCTCCCCTCGCACAAGTGTCCCAAAAGTTACGAAGGAACTTTCTGAGCCTCTTCTTCAGAGACAGCGCATTCGACATTGTGGTGGGACCACGCTATCCACGTGCAGATCTAGGTCCCGAATACAGAGGACCCACAACGGAACATTGCAATGGAACTCCAACGACCTGCATCTCACCATGCAAGCGGCACTTCATCCAGGCGACCCCATCTTCCTTCGACAGCCAGCTTCTCTCCTCATCACCAATCATGCAGGAATCTTTACCAACATCACCTTCCAACTCCATCAGCTCCGCCATCGATCGCGGAGGCAGCAGTGGATGTGGAGAGAGTTTGTTTACGGGGCACGATTTGATACAAGTGGCCGACAATACATTGCCGTGTCGCTCGTGTGGGCAAAGGGAAAGTTGGAGGTGCAGAAGTGGCCAGCTGAGCCGGCGAATGCTTCACCAGACGACCGGCGCTTGTTTGAGCGGACCATTCGTGTTGCGCGCAGGATCACGAAGGAGGAGGATTTCAAAGGATTTACGGTGCGGGACCTACGTAAGATTGCCATTGTGATGGTTGCTGCTATTGAGTATTGATTGATGGGGATAAGAAGGATGATCATGTCGCGGGAGATGTGAGAGTTCCTCAAGAAATTGATGGCATTTCCATCTTCGTGCTTTCTCGAATTGTGAAGATGTTGTCGATGCATGTAAATAGAAATCCCGCCACGCGAGACGCGGATGTCGGACAGCTGCCAAGGAAGGAATGACGTAGTCAGATCAAGGGGGCGAAGGATGGATGCCGGGCGTGTGGTTCTCGTGAAACATTGAACTTTTCTTAAATAACAACCTCATCAACCACCTATTTCCTCACCACCTCATCACCTCACAATGCCTACCATGAAGACTCTCCTCCCCCTCCTCGGCGCTGTAGCAGTCGCGGCTCAAGTTCAAAACGAAGGCTGCTACAGCTCATCCGGTTCACTTCAAAACCACGGCAAGAACATTTATCAGTCAACAGGCGCCTGTTTCACGAGCTGCGACAAAACAGTCATCGGCCTCACTGGCAGTGAATGTTACTGCGGCGACGAGGTGCCTCCCTTCAGCGATAAGGTCGAGGACTCGAAATGCTCAACACCTTGCCCGGGTTATCCATACGACAAATGTGGGTTCCGATTGCGTCAATGTGAGACAGAACCTTTTTTCTAATAAACTGTTTTAGGTGGAGGTGATGGATACTGGTCCATCTCGACTATCGGTGGATCCGATGTCCCCGGCAACACGACTTCTGAATCAACAACAGCTCCAGCTACTTCATCATCATCATCATCAAGCGTGGCTTCGACCTCGAGCATGAACGCTACTACCACCTCATCGGCTCCATCGACTTCTACTTCAGCCGAGTATACGGGTGCCGCTGCTCAGCCGGCTATGGGGGCTGGTGTGGTTGCGATCGGAGCTCTGTTCGCCCTGTTGTGAGCTCAGTTTGATCTAAGTACGGTCGATGATTTTGCACATGCGAGCGCAATGTGCTTGATGGACTTGAAATTGATCTGACATGTTCCRTCGTTTCAAATGGAGATCAGATCAGCTGCAGATCCCAACATGGGCTGCACGGTATCTCTTTACGTCGGACGTTGTTTAGATTCACGGATCATCTCGAGCATCCTAGTTCTGGTGCATCCAAGCGTACAACTACGGGGTATTCGGCACCGGGTGCTGTTGGAAGGATGTATCATCTCAACCAGTGTATCATTGGTCACTACCAGTACGTTGCCTCGAGATTGGAGATGGGAACACCGATTACCAGTGTCTTACGAACAGGGTGTTTTCGGTAGAAGGTCTGGCGTTCGATGATTACACTACAATAGATGTATCGAACCCATCACTCAGTCTTGACACGTTCCTCCCTCGCGGCGTAGGGATCTACCTGTGTCGTCGCGAATTTTGCGGCTTTTACATTGGCCTGGAACAAGAGGTCTAGCTCCTCGTAAGAGCGATTGCGCGTCTCGGGCAGACGAAAAAGTGCCCAGGCGAAGAAAACAAGACAAGTGCCTGCCCAGAAATATGCAGTTTTCCCACGCCACCCGGCCGCAGTGGGGTTGATCATATATGGTTGAATGACATTCCCAATCGCCTGCGAGACGTAGTACGCGATTCGCGAGAGACAGACCGATTTATTTCGAAGGCGTATCGCTGATGTTTCGGAGATGATGGCGTAGCAAACTGGGCCGACGGTGAGATAGTATAACAAGAGCCAGACAACCACGAGACCCGCCTGACCGTAGGATGAAGCACTGGTATTAGACACGGATGCCAGGATTCCGACCAGGACAAGGAGACCGGTCAAGCCACCGAGTCCTACCACATACAGCGTGCGGCGACCGAAGCGAGAGATGAGAAACCATGAGACAATGGTGCCTATACTCGCTAGACCAAGCCCACCCACGCTGAATTTGAAGGAATGKTCGGAAGAAAGACCGGCTTGCGTGAAGAAGTAGACGGGCGTGCCGCCGAGTGGACTCCCACACCAGACCTGCGCGGCAAATGTCATGCACACAATTTCGGTGCGTCGGCGGTCGACGCCTTTGAAGCAGTCCCAGTAGCTGGAGCCACCTTGAGACTCGGCTTCAATCTCCATGGTATGTCTAATCAGAGCGAGAGTATCTTCTGTTGCGAGTGTAGCTTCTGTGGAAGACAGTCTTTGTAGCGATAGTCTCGCCTGGTCAATGCGGCCCTTTCGGACCAGCCACCATGGAGACTCCGGAGCGAACCAGATGAGAGTGAAGAGGGGGATGGGAAAGACCCATTGAATGGCGAATGGGATTCTGAATGCCAGTGTGGTCGTGCCGGAGTTGAAACCAGTCAAAACCCCAGCCGCGATCAGTTGTCCCAGGGCCCAGCAAAGATTGATGTATACGGTCAAGTAGCCTCTCAAAGTCATGGAACTGATCAAAAACTTGTCAGTTGCGAAATTCTTTATCATGATTGATGACACCAGCACATCTCTCACCAGATCTCAGAAGCGTACGCAGGAGCCATACTTGCAAACACGCCCCACGGAATACCACAGAGAATCAAACCGACCAGTAGCACGGCCAAGGAGGGCGCAAAGAAGAGCGGGAAGATGAAAACAGTGATTGCCACCAGCGACGCCAGCAATACCTTCCGATATCCGAATTTGTACGTGAGCCAGCCATTCAAGAAAGCCCCCAGGACCGCTCCGATAATAGGAGCACTCCCCAAAGCCGACTGCCATTGTKCTGGGATCTGCCAATCATCACCAGTCTGAATACCATAGTGTTTCGAGAAGGCTGGTTGCGCGAAGAGAGACGTGACGAGGACAATGTCATATCCTTCCATGATACTGCAAAATTTCCCGGCCATGAGTTGATACAATCACCTTCTGTGGTCGACGGGGATTCACTCACATTGCCGTCGATACGGCTACGGACCAAAAGACGGATTTCCTTTCGGTTTTGAGAGCTTGCCAGAATGTTTGACGATGCTCTGTTTCGGCGGCGAGTTGGGCGATACTTTCGAGGGAGTCTTTGTTCTCGATGTGGATGTGCTCTGATGAGCTTTTCTTATCTTCATGAGGGAAGTCTTGCATAATGACTGGTGAGCCTGCGTGCCAACGGCAAAGAAGGGTGTGGAGACAACTGCTACGGATCAAGCGATCGTGGACTTCTTTATTCTCCTCATGACTGGATGGATCATGTACCTGGAATTTCCAGGGGTCGGTCTGTCCCATCGAGTTGAACTCCACTCCAGGATGAATGTTTGTGGGGATGATCGACCACCCGGTGGGGGATTCCGGGGTGTGGGAGTCCGGGGTGTTTCCATCAATCATCATTCTCCATTCGATGGCTAAATGGATTGTCTACAATCTGAGTTCTGACTCCAATTTAGTCAAGTTCAGTCCAATCAAGTTGGAGACGCTCTTGTTGACGTTGTTGCTRCGGATCATCCGATAAGTGGTCCATCGAGTACAACACGCCTCGCCCCCCATCAGATACCATCTGCTTTACATTCAATCTGCAAGACACAGAGCACTGAATATGCTGTATCAAGATGAGAACAGACTGGTGTTTCGTTTCGACGACCACACGTTGTGGATTGAGCCATGGGGTCCAAATGCTTTTCGGGTGCGTGCAACCAAGTTAGCACAAATGCCTCAAAGCGAGGGAGCTCTTCTCCCTCAACCTGAACTGGGCAATATCAATGCGGCTATCGATATTTCCACTGAAGGATCCGGCACAATCACCAATGGAGGGATCAGCGCGACGGTGTCTCGACGCGGGAAGATCATCATGTACAACGAAAAGGGAGAGCGGATTCTCGAGGAATATGCCCGACACCGCAGAGACTTGAAGGACCCCAAGTGCAGCGCTTTGGAAATCGAGGCGCGAGAGCTTCGTCCCATCTTAGGAGGAGACTTTCAACTTACAATGCGGCTGGAGTCTATCTCACCTAAGGAGCGTCTGTTCGGAATGGGCCAATACCAGCAGCCCTACCTGAATCTCAAAGGTTCTGACATTGAGCTGGCACATCGCAATTCGCAAGCCAGCGTTCCATTCATGCTGTCTTCTCTTGGATATGGTCTACTGTGGAACAATCCTGGTATCGGCCGCGCGGTGTTAGCAAYGAACGTCATGTCATTCGAAGCTTGTTCAACCAGACATATGGACTACTGGATCGTGGCGGGCAACACACCTGCCTCGATCGAAGAGACATATGCCCAAGTCACAGGTTACGTCCCAATGATGCCCGAGTACGGACTAGGTTTCTGGCAATGTAAGTTACGCTACGCCAGCCAAGAAGACCTCTTACAAATTGCGCGGGAGCATAAGCGGCGAGGACTGCCAATGGATGTCATAGTCTGCGATTTCTTCCATTGGATCCACCAGGGCGACTGGTCGTTTGATCCCAAATACTGGCCCGACCCCGCCGCCATGGTGCAAGAACTCCGATCGCTAGGCATCGAATTAATGGTCTCAGTCTGGCCAACCGTGGCGCCGCAATCCGAGAATTTTGAAGAAATGTTGGAGAAAGGCTTGCTGATCCGCCATGATCGGGGCGTGCGAGTCGCCATGCAAGTCGGGGGTGATAGCACCCACATCGACGTTACCAACCCGGAAGCTCGCGCRTTCTTGTGGTCGAAGCTGAAGCGCAACTACTACGACTATGGTATCAAGATCTTCTGGGCGGATGAGGCGGAGCCGGAATATAGTATCTACGACTTTGATCTCTACCGCTACCACGCAGGCCCTAATGTCCAAATTGGAAATTTGTATCCGCGATTCTATGCCCAAGCTCTCTATGAGGGCATGAAAGGAGAGGGTCAGGAGAATATCGTTAATCTTCTCCGCTGCGTGTGGGCTGGTAGCCAGCGATACGGAGCGCTTGTCTGGTCTGGAGACATTGCCAGTTCATGGGAGAGTTTCCGGAATCAATTATCAGCAGGCCTGAATGTTTCACTCAGTGGTATACCATGGTTTACCACTGACATTGGAGGTTTCCATGGAGGTAGCCCTGATGATCCCGCTTTTCGAGAATTACTTGTACGTTGGTTTCAATGGGGAACTTTTTGCCCTGTGATGCGGCTTCACGGTGATCGAGAACCCAAGTCGGTGAAGGATGATGAGACGGCTCCTGGGGCACCTAATGAGATTTGGTCGTTTGGCGAAGAGGCATATCCGATTTTGGTCAAGTACTTGCATATGCGGGAGGAAATGCGGGATTATACGAGGAGGTTGATGAGGCTGGCGCATGAAAGGGGTTCGCCTGTTATGCGGACTTGCTTTTATGAGTTTCCTGAGGATGTCAGGTGCTGGGAGATGGAGCAGCAGTATATGTTTGGTGACAAGTATCTTGTGGCTCCTGTTTTATCGGCTGGGATTCGTGAGATGGATGTTTATCTGCCGCTTGGAGCGCGGTGGAAGAGGTGGGGATTTGATGTTGTGCATGAGGGGGGTAAGATTGTGAGGGAATCTTGTCCGATTGAGTCTATGCCTGTGTTCGTCCGTCAGGAGGACTGAGTCATGTGTGCTTACTTAGGGTAGTGCATTCAATGTCGCGAAGTATTTTCCTTATGGATATGCTCAGTAGCGAACTTTGTAGCCCATGCAGTAGTTCTCTTCTACCTCATGTAAAGCCGGGTGAGATGACGGATGTTTTCTGTACTTTCACACCAGATAGATACATCGAGTACGATGAGAATCATGCTTAGGTGTAGCCCTCCAGGCCATGTATTCGACCCCGGTGCGTCGAAGTGCTGTACATGCAAAGAAACGGCATACGAAAGTCAAGAAACGTCTTGAAGAACTGCTACATCCTCTGCATCCATCGTCTCAGCATGCGAGCATGCTCTCGACAATCATCAAGATGCATATACTGCGAGCGTTCAAGCAGCTTTATCGCCTCCTCCAAAACAACTCTCTGACCCTGCGGCAGACAAATATCTCCAGCTCTAGACATTTTAACATTCATATCATGTCCTTTACGTACGAATCTCTGAACAATCTCATCATCACAAGGTCTATCAAGAAGAATCGTATCAGGCATAAGTTCATCTTCCTCACTCTCCACAAATCCCGTTTCTTGCATACCATCATTGAGATGTCGTTGTTTCTCCACCGAGAGTTTGATTCTCAAAAGTGCATTTCGAAGCTGCGGAAGATAAACGCCGTAGATGACGATGAGCAAGGCGGAGAGGAAGATCCCAAACGGTTCGTAAAACATCCCGTGGCTATAACGTCTACAATGCCAGAAAATCGCTCCTGCGTGGACAAGAGAGAGCCTGATTTTGTGGTCATCGAGAGTGAGCGATTTGAGTACCAATGTATCCAAGTCTGCCACAGGGCAACCTTCGGTCCTGATTGTCCCGATGGAACTCAATCTCTGACCTACTCTAATGAGAGCACGATATGGACATAGAAGTAGAATTCGAGAGAGATGAAGGTGGAACACATTTGGCTTTTCGAGCCCCTTTTCCATAGCAATGTCTCCATTCTCCGCCCAGTGAAGAGTATCCAAGCAGTCGCAGGCGCTGTTACGCCACGAGGCAAAATTGGAGTTTGCAGGTAGCCATTGCTGAGTTTGATGTTGTGTAGACGGCTCATCTTCTTCGCTGAGCGCTTCGTATTGCTCTGCTCCGGTAGGAGGACCAGGTTTCCAAGAGTGAAGCGGATCTCGAATTGAGCGGGCTACTTCCTCTGTTCGTGCTAGTAAGCAGTATATGAGGAGTGTCTTTCCAAAGCCGCTGTCACGCTCTGGGAGTTTTGTTTTGGCATACAAAGAAAACAGCAACGAACGAACGCCTGCTGGTCGTGTAGCTGTCGTTGGACTCGAGGATGAGTCCGTCAGCTTGACCCAATCGATTGCAGTCCTGGCCTCCCATCTCGCATCGTCCGATGGCAAAGGGTAGTCTTCAAGCGGCAAGGCTATCGGGCTGTCTTGTAGCCGGAAAAGGGCATGGAAAGTCTGCATGAGCCATTTGTACCACATCAATCGACATCGGCTCTCTTCTTCCAACCAGGCTCGCCATCGAAGATCAATTTGCGATGGGTCGATATCGTTTACAGGTAGAGGACGATACCGTCGATCAAAGCTATCGCAAGCGGCGTGTGCTTCTGCCATAGGCATCTCGCAGGACGATTCGTGCGGTGTGTTGAAGCGAGCCACGGCGAGGAGAATACACGCTTGYGCGAATGGTAGCGGATCGCAATCGGTCCCGTTCTCTGATGCATTGTGTATGGCTCGTCGTAGGAACTCCGTAAATGCCACGTAGCTCTGATGGCCTTGCTGACTGTGGTCATGAGAGGAGCCGATAGTGATGGCCGCGAGTACCAAGATCCAGTGGACGTTTTGCTCATCCCATGTGGTGCAATGGATCAGACTGAAGTTCTCCTGGAAGGAAGCCTGATATTTTGCTAGACAACCCGAACAGTATGAATGAGCCGGGAATCGTGCGGATGTGAATCTTTTGGCGTAGAGCGATGCCCGACTGCAACATAGCACGTCGAAATGTCTTGCAAGCGTGTCGTAGATTGCTACACTAAGCCCGTTGGTCGATCCAGGGTCGGTCACGATAAAGCTGTCTGTTAATTGCGTAGAAGCAGGAAACTCTAGATCGAATGAGGACAGGACGACAGGGTCAGCTGAGCAAGTACGAGTTCGTGGAGGTGCTTGTTGGAGCGAACCACGTGCGCCATTGCCATCCGTGTATGTGAAATCTACCGATCGGCGATTTCTACTGGCACTAGCCGTAAGACTCGAAGACGGAGTCAACGGAATCTCAGTTGGAGAGCGCAGATATGATGCTGGCTGGGAAGAGAGATTCCAGGCATTACGTGGAGAATGTGTTGCCTCTGCAAAGTCATCGAGCAGATCCGTTCCGTCCAATACAGGTAGCCAATTCATGTGACCTGACCACGCGTAATCCATATTGTCGTGGAAAAGAGTGTTGATGGCGGGATATTGATCCTCCACGGCTGGTACCACATGCTGTGATGTCACAACCTCGTTCTCACATGGAATTGTAGATATGGTCGGAAGAGAACCCTGCCTCCGCTGTCGTCCTTCGCTTCCAGGATAGAGGCAAACCAGAGCTCTCTTCTCACACCGTCCACAACGCTCTCCACCGCTACACTTTGTCCGGGCTTGGGCACATGCTATGCACGCTCTGCGCGTTCTACGCCTGGGACCAGCGTCTGGCAATTCATAGACTTCCTCCTGTTCTCTCCGATGGGCGGTCATTCGATGGCGCTGGCATGAATCTTTACGGTTGAACTGCTTGCCGCAGAACTCGCATGACACACTCCCGGTTCCATGGACCGCTTGCACGTGGCGACGCAAATGCTCCKGCCGGGCAAAGGTCCGGGAGCAGATTGCACACTCCATCTGGGTCTTCAATACACGCGGGCATTGATTCTTTGGACTCCGCATGTGTCGAGTGTTCGGGTGGAAAAGGGGGAGGATGAGTCCGGAGCCATCGGTCCCCCACAAATTTGCGGGGAAACAACATGGTTCTTTCCTGCTAGCGGGCGGGCTTGGCAGTGGGGGATGAGGAGAAGGTGCACGTCCAGGGAAGAGGGTATGCGGGGGACGCTACTCGACAAACACGACAAGAACTGGCATCATTCAAAATGACACATGTCAGACGGCATACGACCACCGAGCATTGCACCTCATCATGCATATATAGCAATGGCTCAACCGCCACCATGCAGGCCATTGCATTCCCCCTCTACCGTCACTCAGGATTGAAGTGAAAGGTATGCCCTTCTTCTCTACCTCAGCCGCTGTGGCGGCTCTAGCCACCCTGGTATCCGCTCAAAGCAATCTTGGAGGCCGGGGCTTCGTAGATCTCTCTATCTTTGGAGGAACTCCCGATGCCAAAGGCGCAGGTATCTTGTATGGTTTACCAAATGATCCCGCCTATTCTCCGGAAACCTCCCCACCTCGCTCCACATGGGGCTCCTTTTTCCAAGAGGCAGGCATTTCCCATGTCCGAGCAGGAGGCGCTCAGATTCCCTTTGGTGGATACGCTTCCGATGTCCTCAATGGTGGTACTACTGGCTATGATGAGCGCTTTGCCTCGATGAAGAAGAACTATCAGGATGCGAAGGCTTTGAATCCAAAGAACAAGTATGTTTGTTCCTTCTACACTGCTCGCCTGGCAGGCTTTGTGAATACGGACTGATCGTCTAGATTCGTCTTGCTCGTACATGATATTTGGGGAGCCGACAGTACTCAAGGAAGCGATACACCTTTCCCGTGTGATAATGGTGACTGCACGGAGTATGGTAGATACTTGGACAAACTTATTGGAGATCTCAAATCGAAGTAAACCTCGCCCAACCCCTTTAATTTTGAACAGCACTGACTCTCGTCGTGATCAGCGATTTACTCGAAGGACTTCAAATTGACATCTGGAACGAGGTAAACCATCACTATCATCCCAGCTTTCTACTATCCGCTAATACACGGTAGCCTGATGGATCTAATTTCTGGCCTGGCTCCCAAGACCAATATCTTCAATCCTATGATTTTGCGTACGCCAAGTATAGAGCAGCATTCGGTACTAACGTCGCTTTGGTGGCACCATCCACTGCAGCTCAACCATCTCTCGACAATAGCTGGTGGAACAACTTCACCAGTCACATCAGTGGTAATGGCAATGTGGGAACACTCGAAACTCAAAACTAAACAATACCACAATGCTAATCAATCGTCGACAGATTCCAGACTGGTGGTCCGCTCATCAGCTAAACGGACGCAATACTCCAAACTGTGGCAACGATCCAGTCATCACACAGCAACAATTGCGCCAAGTTCTTGAAAAATACAACCTCCCAGAAAAGCCTTTCCAAATCAACGAGTACGCTGCATCAGATGAGCAGACTCCCGCCTACACAGCCTGGTTCATCCAACGTTTCGAGCGCACAGGTATCGTCGGAATGCGCGCCAACTGGGGATCAAAAGTCGGTCTGCACAATGATATCGCCAAATTACTTGGCCCAGGCGATCAGGATAAAAGTAGCAATTTCTACAAGCTCGGAGACTGGCACGTGTTGAACTATTACACCCAGGCACAGAAAGGGGTCATCACGCTAGCTGGAGCCACTGTTAGCACATGTTACGATTTGTATGTCACACAGGAGCGTGATGTTGGTATTACTCATGTCCTGGCTGGGTCGCGAGGTCAGAGCGGTGCTTACCCTGTTACAATCTCTAATGTCGATTCCATGCCGGCTTACAAGGGAAAGACAAGTTTGCGTGTGGTTGTCAGGGAGATTCCGTGGAATAATGGCGGAGTTGTTGACGAGCCTACGACGGTTTCGAATGGCACTGTCGCAGTGGCTGATAATCAGCTTGTGATTGGATTGGATATGAGAACAGACTCTGCATATACAATTGATGTCTATGCATCGTGAGGCCCGTGGGAAGTACGGCAGGTTCGCGGAAGTTGAGTAAACCAAGCTTGGTGTATATAGGAGAGGAGGTCTCAGTCGGATAGAGAGAGAGAGAGAGAGAGAGAGTCGTAGCAGATCGAACGAATCGTGCAAAATATATATCATTCATGCGGCTTCTTCGTCCATTACTTAATATTTACACAATAATACCAATATCATGAAGAGTATCGCCAAGCAAACCGTCAAGGGGATCATCTCCCTGTTCCTCACTCACATCTCGCTGAGCGATCGAAATGCCATCAAGACCAGCCTCATCGGCAATTCCATTAACATCATCGACAGTCTTGTCAACATTCTCGTATAGCAGATCGTGGAGCAGGTCATCTGCTTGGCGCTCGCTCACATCTCGCTGAGTGATTGAAATGCCATTGACACCGAGGCCGGCGACGATCTCGTTGACGTCGTCGACGGATTTGTCGATGTTCTCGTATAGGAGATCGTGGACGAGGTCTTTTACTTGGGTCTCGCTTAATTCAGGTGTCTCGCGCACCTAGGATATGATTAGATGAAGTGGATGTGGTAGGGCAGTGGGCGACTTACGGGGAGTGCGAGGGCACCTGCTGCAAAAGCAATTGATAGGAGGGTGGAGAAGTGCATCTTTGGATTGTATGTTGATGTAGATGTGGCGAGATTGGGGTAACACGTGGAGCTGCAGGGGCGATCAAGAAAACAAGAGCGACTTGCGACTCCAGGCATGCAGTATATATAGCCATTCACATCACTAGCAGCGAGTGATGGAAGAGAAAAATATGCAGGTCGGCTGCATTGTTGATCTGAAAGTCTAGATCCCAATCAGGGAGGCAGAGAACAGCGATAGCTAGTCAGCGCACACCATTCAATGAATGAATGAAGGGCTGTACTGTAGGAAACTTCATCCTTCTTGCGGTTACGTGCGCAATCCCACAAGCACAGAAAGGGAGCTGGTCACAATTTTGCGTCATAATCGCCCTGTTCGACCCCTCTGATGATAAGAGATGTGGTCCTATACCGCGGCTCGTATCATTCCAGGAGAAGGGGAAGGGGTTAGCATGGTGGCGTACATCGGCTCCATGCAAGCCGAAAGTCGATTCTTTTTTTTTTTTGTTTAGACCGAAAAACTGAAGTCGAGTTGCTTGTCGCTGCATGCTGGCCGAGGTGCTGTGGACCCTTCCATGCATGTTCGGCATTGGGATGAAGTTCGTGCTCAATGGATCTGCGCGGTTGTGAAGTCAAATAGGGGCTAGAAAAACTTAGTATGTGGCGTCACGTTGACGATCTATGAGACTGGTCTCAATAATTCTCCGTGAAGGAATTGCTATAAGCGACGAGCTGAATGAACAAGAAACATGAAAATTTGAATCTTACTCGTTCACATGTGCTTGTAGAAGCTTTCTATGATGGACTCCTTTTGGATGGAACGACTTGATGGGACACCAGAACAGCAATGTAGGGTCCAGAGCGTCTCTCTCATTCTCTCTGATTCCAAGCGCCGATCACATTAGTTGAAGTCCGTCTGTTTATACCCTTTTAGGAAATCTGGCGATGCGATATGGAGGCGCGCTGGACTCACAGGCTACACACAACATATCATTTTCTTTCGTAGGCAGGGCACTTGGGACAGTCTAAACCAACCATCTCTAGCCTAACGACACTCGGGACATAAGAGGTACCGTCCTAAAAGTGCAAAATTCGCTTTCATCAATCGAACGAAATGTTCTCAGAAGAAGTCGAACACGCCAGAGGAATTTCTGCGTAAGTGTTCAATCGTCAAGGTAGTATTATGCAAGTTCATCAATACAAATCTCTGTCCAGAACTTCTTAAATTCAACCATTCTATACAACATCAATAGCACGAGGTATGTGCTCAGGGAATCTACGCGCTTCGTGAAGCTGAGTAGGGGCTAGAGAAAACCTCGGCGTCAAGCTGGTCGTCTATCAGATGCATCTAGAAGATGAAGAATCATTCTAGTACAGAAAGTACAGACAATGATATGGCGAGGTGGCTACCCTCTCCTATTGCACGTGAAGTGACTAGAGGTGTCCCGGTTCGATCGACGGTCGAACGGTATTCGATAGTGAATCAAGCATCATGTTCTGGAAGCTGACGGTGAATTCACTTTCACTCACCCGTCAACTTGTGCTTAACAGTCTTCTTGTGTGCTTTTTATGAACCCAATCAGCAAGCTTTGCCTAGACACTTGGATCTTCTGCCTGTTTCGCCCGGCATAGATTGAATGAACGAATCCCATCACCATTTAATCGCAACCCACGCGCTCCCCTCTACAACCACAAAAGCACCCTAGCAATTCAYATCCGCCGCCCGAATCTAGCCAAGATCTCCTTTAACATCACTTCGAAACTCTCTGTTCCAAGAATTGATTCGCCTACGTTAAAGACTTTCTAGCCGTTAATTTCCGCTCGGTTCAAACGAAATGCATATGCTATAGCAAGATGCCTTCCTGATTCTTTCTTTTTAATATTCATTTTATTCTATTACTAAGGACTAGTAGGCCACTGCTTTAAGGCTAGGGCGGGTTGTGGTTCGGTCTATAGGTAATTGTAATTAGTAGATGGCCGGTTATATAGGTTGATATACAGTATCTGACTATTGTTAATTCCATTTAAGCTTGATAATGTTCTTGTCTGATGTTTTTCGGGGCTTCTAGTGAGTTGGAGAGACTCGTAGTTGGAACACTCACGTCAATGGTTTAACACTTATCTTCTTCGTTATTTTGAGACATTCTGGTCATCAACTGATGAACGGACCAAGACAGTGAACCACCTTATTAGGCTCATGCCATTTCGCCGGATTTCCAACTTGATACTATAAAGCATAATCTTCTAGCAAGTCGTACCCGAGTCGTTTGATATGTACGATCAAAACTGACAAGAAGTTTCTCACTCACTACTCACTCACTCACTCACACGACGAGACGAAAGGGGCCAGCGTGCTCGATTCAGAGACCATGCACATCTCTCCAAAGCTCCTGAAATCCGATCATTTATTCCAACAGACTAGGCAGAATCCAATTTCCAAAAAAAACCCCACAGCAAATCACATACATCGCAGCAGAGACACCGTCTCTAAAAATCCTCAAAAAGCAGCACCACAGTAGAAGTAACAACTCACATTAACCGACTAGCAGCAACAGCAGCAAAATGTATGTACCTCACGCCAAATCGTCTCCGAACTCCTGTTGTCCAAGAAAGTTTTTCCTTGATTCCTTGTTCTTGTTGGGTTTTCTTGGGAGGTTGGTTGTACTCCGCGGTGTTGGTCTGGGGTGAGATGAAATTGAGGAGACGGAAACGGTTTTTAATACCAGTCAGTAGGAATATTTGGTGCTTCGCTTCTACACATTACTATAAATTCAAGGAGATTTCTTTCAGGATCACGATTTGACATTGTTGTTCTGAACAAAGCTGTTGTTGTAACGATGTCAAGCAAATGCCAACCAATATAGGTCCACATTCACTGCTAATGTAGAACGATCGTCTGAMCCTTACACAATGTACCAGAAAGACGAGTTGTGCGCCAAAGGTTTTTTGATTCATTTTTCTATCTAGAAGCTGTACAGACTATATAGTTCCCAGAATAAACGCCAAAAAACCCCTATCCCCCCCTTAGTTAACAAACACTGTTCGATGTTACAAATACAGAATCACTTTTGCTCATCATCGTTTTGGTACATATATACTATGACGCGAACACTTTTTATATATATTTGCTCACCTTGCGTTGTGGGGTCAAGATAACTCCTCGCTCAGTCTGATCAAATTAATCGACGGAAGATCCGTTCAACAACAGGAGAGTTCACCCGAATAGATAAAAAGATCCAAGTTGTCGCCCCGAGAAGACACCACACCTCCTCACCCATTCATAACATATAGCATAATCAACAGCTCCATCAAAAAAGTAGACATTTTCATATTCTCGATCAAAGAATCTACTTCTATCATCCAGCCAAACCAACAACCCCCATCTCATCACTCCCCAACCCCCCTCCCTCCCCTCCCCCCATCCTGAACAGCAAAAATCACCGCACTCCCCCCACCGCCATTTCCGGGTGGTCTCCCAAAGCTGAGCTAACATCTCCAAGACGTGATATTCTGGAAATAATCCCCCTGGTAATCATCAGGTCTGCTATTCCCAGACTCGCTCTTGCTAAGATCATAGACGTAAGAGAGAGTGACTCCTGGGTCATCGCCGTTGATGTTGCAGCCCTCCTCACTACACACACATAGTTAGTACGCGTTCTTCCTAGGATGTGATGGGATTGGGGGATTGGGGATTGATGGGGCTTACTGGTAGAATTGACAAACGCCACCTGTGTTGGTACTCAGAGACATGGCTAGCTTATCGAATTTATCCGAGATGGAAGTTGTTTCGCTGTCGAAATCAAAGTACGAGACTATAAATTTGTCAGTCGTCAGTCATCCCCTCTCTCCATCTCTCTCTCTCTCACTCATAGTTTAACTGCAATATACATACCGCATTGTCCAGGCGGACCACCAAGAACCATACACTCCCCCCTAAAACCCTGTTCAAGACACTGCACCACAAAGATATTGTCTGGAATCGTCGATGGATCCTCAGGAGGGTTTGTAGGGGCGAAGAGGAGGTTTGGCGCACTGTCGTCTTTGAACATCGTTTGCGCTTCGTCTGGGACGGAGGGCGCTACGTTTGGGTTGGGGACTTCGGCTACGGAACCTGAGCCTCGCTTGGAGAGGTAGCTTGCCGCCATTGCTGCTGGGGCGAAGAGGAGGGCTAGGGAGCTGATTTGGGAGGGCTTCATTTTGGGTGGTGGTTTGAGGGAAAGGGTGTTGAGGACTTGGAGGGTTGCAGATTTGGGTGGATGTTAAGAAGGGGATGAGTGTAAAGTAGTTCTAATGTGAGAGAATGGCAACTTGTTATGACAACCTTTCTTCGGGGTCAGACGGCAATGTCCAACAAGGATATCGTTACCCCTATACATTAGGAGCAAGGTAATCCTGGAAAAAATTTCAGGGACAACCTTTGCAGCTTTCATATTGGAGGTGAACTTTCGTGTCTCATCCCACCAAGGCTTGCCCCTCTTTGCTGGAGACGACTCCGGCCTTAACAGTGCAGCACGTTTTGTAGTCTCTGTCTCGTATGAGGAAATCCTAAAAGTATAGTAGATGAGATTCGAGGTTCACGGATGCTAGTACTTTCATGGCCAAGACATTCGTAGTGTTTCCCCCCTGATAAGCCTATTCCAGTTTGTATCCAAGACAGAGAGTTGCTTTGCTCACAGCCTCCCCGCCCTTGTTTATCTTTTGTGCCAAGAGGGATCATGCTCTTGGATGGTGCTGTTATGGGTGATGTACATATATCCCCCACAGGATCACGTTCCGTCAGAAATGACCAGGAATCATTGCTTGCGATACAAGATCTATGTGGAACGTCTGGTCCTCTTGATCAGTGTTCAGCACAGAGAAACGCTGCAAGATGATGGCTTTGGGATCATTTCTCCAGCTGAGACGGATGCGGCACCCCAGTCAGCCAAGTGGCTTGGTATTGAGGACTTCCCTGCAACAGACGTATTCCAGCCAATGCCAATGCGAAATCTTGCTCATAGGCTCATCATAGCGTCTTTTATTCATCGTCGATTTACAGCATCAAGTATGAGATCGATATCGTTCCAAGTTCCAACAATCATGAAATATTCATCAACGCCCTTGCATAATAACCCCTTCTATACCCGCTGCAATGTTCAAAATCCGCTCCTCGCTCAAAGGAACACCCAGAATTTCGAGACCGACTGGCAGTTCTGGATCCTCGGGATACCCATCATCCTTGGCTCTGCCGATGGGCACCGACACCGAAGCAAACAGTAAATAGGAACCAATCGCCGTATTGGTAGGGAAGGCGCCGGAATGCCATCTGAAAAATTGTCAGCGTTTTGTTCATGATCCCATTCTTCCCCCCATCAACTTCTATCTCACTCACTCCATGTCAAGAACATCCTTCGTCTTCGGAGCCAAAACCTGACAGGTAGGATAGATGATGGCATCCAGATCATGCTTTGCATAGATCCCCGCGACAGATCGTTGAAAATCTCCAATCTCCTCCAGTTTCGCAGAGTAATGTGGGTTCTTGTGAAAGTCGGCCGAGACCAACGCTCCGGTAAGATTGATGCACTCGTGGTACTCTCCCGAGTGATACACATCTTCAATCTTGATATGTGCCAAATCTTCCCGTGAAGCACAGAATTCGTTGATGTCCGCTTTGGAGCGGAGAGTATAGACGGAAGTCGACTGCGTGTAGCGATCCAAGTCGGGAATCTCCACATCAATCAGCTTCCCCCCCGAAAGGGAGAGTTTGTGCAATGTATCGTCGAGAAGGGTGCGAATCCCTCGATGCGTTCCAAACACCTGTCGCAACACGCCGATTCTGCGTCCTTGAAGGATGGGCTTCACAATAGCATCGGAGAAGGGGAAGTCCCCCCTCCTCGGAGCCAAAGCATTGATACTGGTGAAAGAATCACTCTCATCAAACCCCACCAAAACATCCAAAATCCTCGCCGCATCCTCAACATTCCCACACATGGGACCAGGAGTATCAAGCGTCTTAACGAGCGCCGACATACCCTGCCTCGAAATCCTCCCGGGAGTAACACGCACGCCGACCAATCCACAAAAACTCGCAGGCAAACGAATACTACCGCAAGTATCGCCTCCAATAGCCGCGAGCCCCATTCCCGCCGCGACGCCCGTGCCGCAACCACTGGAGGAGCCGCCGGGGTCTCGGGATGAATCATGGGGATGTTGAGTGGTTCCGGTTAAAGAGGATGTGGAGAACCATCCCGCCGCCCAATCTGGTTGCGTGGTCTTGGCGAGGATGATTGCGCCCGCGGATTTCAATCTTTGGATGATGGCGGCGTCTTTGGTGGGAATGTAGTCTTTGCAGAGTTTACTGCCGAAACACGTGGGGATTCCGGCTGTTTCGATTTGGTCTTTGATCAGGAGGGGGAGGCCGTGGAGAGGTCCTCGTTGTTCTGGGGGAAGTTTCTGGGCATTTTTTTCGTCAGATTGTGTCGCTGTCGCCAGAAATGGGGAAATACGGTATCCACCCACATCGAGCCTTTCGGCTTCTTCCAAGGCATTCGAATTGATTGCAGTGACTGCATTGAGCTGTCCATTCAGCCCGTCAATCTGTTCCAGGTAGTGCAACACCACTTCCTTGACAGATGTACGTCCATCATAGAGAGCCCTTTGAAGATCGGTGATCGATGTGTACTGTGACAAGACAGGTGCCATATAAACCTATGGCGCTGCTTAATGGATGTGACGGAACAAACAATAAGAAATGGGAAAAATCCAACTTAAAGGTCAGTGTGTGTTCCGGCTCTCAACAACAATAATGTCACCTGTCCACAAAGCCAAGCAAGCCCATGTTAGCAAGATATGCTATCTTTGACACATACAAAAGGTCCGTTTGGTCCCTTCTCGGCGGACTCGAATCAAAATGAAACGTCCCGGGGAGATAAAGGGCTAGTCTAATTTCCTAACTCGGGCGACTTGGGGCCTGATAAGAATACACATCGGGTAAGTTGAAATTCGTGGGTGTCTGTGCCGATGTATACTACGGGCATGATCGTGGATACATACGGTAACGAGTCGGGTGGTAGTGATGACTGTGCGTTTACCGTGCATACCTTACAATTCTCGTCGGCAGCTCCGAGGTTTTTGATGCTGTGTGTTGGTTTTGCACACGGAATGTTCTGTTTTCATGGTTCTTRCTTGGACTTTGGAAGCAATCGAGAATGGAATCGTTGAGGATTTTGATTGAGATGTAATTTTTTGGACCTCGATCTTGTCAAAGTTACTACAARCATTATCCTGCTTTTACCGACGCACATACAGTACTAGAGATGTAGGAATGATGTAATGTTGTTGAATGCACCGTTAACGTCACACTTGACATCGACTTTGTGTCCGACGCCTGCCGTCAGCCAGGATGCAATGGACGAAAACAAGCTAGGAAGATGCATAATTCATCCCGTTGTGCCACTAGGATGTAGGCGCCGAGACTATCACATGAATGTTCCCGATAATCCTTAAGGCAGTTAGAAAGATGCTCCGAAGCAAGCTCTAAACACATCGGCGAATCCGGTATTTGATTCACTCGTTCTTTCTTTCTTGAAATAGGTGAAGGAATAATGCGATGATGTAGTTGAAGATGGACAGGTAAGATCTTCCTTAAGATAAGTGAATAAATAATGCGACGACATGGTTGAAAATAAACAGCTTAGAATCTTCCTCGTATATTATAAATCACATCTGAACATCTTAACAAACAAACGAATAAACACTTATCCCAATCGATCGATCGATACTACACTCAACTCACTCACTCAACTCACTCACTCACTCACTCACTCACTCACTCACCCACTCACCCGCTCAACTCACCTACTCAACTCACTCAACTCACTCAACTCACTCAACTCACTCAACTCACTCAACTCACTCAACTCACTCAACTCACTCAACTCACTCAACTCACTCACCCACTCACTCACTCACCTCAACCTAACTCAACTCAACTCACTCAACTCAACTCAACTCACTTACTCAGCTTATATACCAGTCACACACATGACACCCAGTATCATGCACTTCCTACCTAGCAACGATTCTTTTCTTCTCCCCTGAGTTCAATTTGAAATGAATATGCATGCATGCGGATTACCGATAAAAACAAAAAAGGAGAGCCCGGAAGGGATTCAAAAGATATAGTGACCCCCTCACTGAGATTCATTCATTAATTCATTTATTCATTGCTGCGACTAAGAATAGAGAAGAGGGAGAAGGAGAAGGAGAAGGAGAAGGAGAAGGAGAAGGAGAAGGAGAAGGAGAAGGAGAAGGAGAAGGAGAAGGAGAAGGAGAAGGAAAAGGAGAAGGAGAAGGAGAAGGAGAAGGAGAAGGAAAAGGAGAAGGAGAAGGAGAAGGAGAAGAAGAAGAAGAAGAAGAAGAAGAAGAAGAAGAAGAAGAAGAAGAAGAAGAAGAAGAAGAAGAAGAAGAAGAAGAGAAGAAGAAGAAGAAGAAGAAGAAGAAGAAGAAGAAGAAGAAGAAGAAGAAGAAGAAGAAGAAGAAGAAGAAGAGAAAATATTCCCCGCTATTTATTTTACAGCATATGCAAGTTTCCTCCCATCATACCGACGAAGGCGAGTGACACGCAAGAAGGAAAAGAGAAGATGGCTGGCTGATTCCCACCTACCTCATTCATTACATTCAAATGTCATAACCTCCTCCTCCTCCTCATCACCATTAACATCATCATCAACATCATCATCAACATCATCATCAACATCATCATCAACATCATCATCAACATCATCATCAACATCATCATCAACATCATCAACATCATCATCATCATCATTACTACTATCAACATCATTATCATCTCCCCCCTCCCCCTTCCCCCCTTTCCGGAGCCCAATTCCTCAACCAGGTCCTAGCGCCCTCCAAATCCCCTCCCATGGCTTCTAATGCTCCGAGACACCATTCCATCGCATACCCACCACCACCACCACTACTCTTCCCTCCTCCCATTCCTCCATCTTCTACTTCCGCAGCAAGTAACCCGGCCAAATTCCTCCTCTTCTGACTCCCTTCATCCACACAGAAATGCAAGGGACTATCCTTCTCCCCGTTACTCTTCTTCACGGAGAGACCGTCCAGAAAAGGTTTAATCATCGGCAACGCCTCCTTGGTGGAAATGGTCGTGTTGGCGAGGGCGAGATTCTTCCGGCCGGATTTACAGAATTCATTCCCACACCACGTCTTGCCACAGCCGGTGAGGAGTTGTTGGAGATATCGTCTCTCCACCCGACGTTTCAAACCCTTGCCTTCGGGATCGTGCGTGCTGACGTACATGGGACCGTAACACACACTGCACAAACCGACGTCATTACCCGGTCCTTGGCCCATGCGAGTCCCCGCTCGAGTATCTCCTGCTTTGGAACAGGTGTCGACTGTGCGGCCACAATTGAGATTTCRACAGGGGATGGGTGGGAGGCGGGATAGACGGTCGAGGTCGTGGTTTTTGAGGTGGATTTCCATGTCTCGTAGGCGGACGATTTTGGAGCAGAGATGGCATTCGGTGGTTCGTGCTCCGTCGGCTAGTTCGTGGACTGTCATGCCTGAGAGGAGGGCTTCGGCGTTGGGGACGTCGGGGTCACCTTCTTGTGGGACTACGAGATGGCAGAAGCGGCAGAGGATTTGTTTTGCGGGACAGGTGGTAGTGCGGTGGCGAGCGAGGGAGGGGAGGTTGGCGAAGGTTTCGGTGGTGCTGCATTCGGGGCATCTCAAGATTTCTGAAGGGTGGAAGATGGTATTGTGGTGGGATTGTGAGGAGGAGGTGTTGCCGAAGGTGGAATCGTATGGGCAATGCCAGTGGGATGAGAATTGGGGGGAGCGTTTTTGGAAGACTTGGCCGCAGCCTTGGGGGCAGATGATGTTGTTGCGAAGGCAGAAGTTTTCGTGAAGCATGAGGGTGCGTTGAGGGACCCATTGCGTGCAGTTCTTGCATCGAACATCTCCTTCGTTGGGTGACTTCTCTGGAGTATTTGTATTTGTACTTGCAGGCGTCTTCTCCACGTCGGGATGTCTCGCGCGTAAGGTGAAATGTCGAAGGTTGCCTGGTGCTTCCGTCACGCCATTCGATGGCGATGGCGATGACTCTGAAACAGCAGATGCGTAGACGGATACGTGCAAAGCTTCGGCATTCTCCATTTCGACATTGCTGGGTTCCAGACGGATTCGTTTCGTGGGTCGCGTGTCGAAATCGGCAAAGACAAACTCGTCGATTCGTGGTTTGGCACGTTGAGTGGCGGAGAGTGGGCTGATGAGGAGAGTGACATCCTCTTCATCATCTTCCACGTCCAGCTCAAGTTCCAGRGGCATCGTTCGATTCCACGATGGTAATGAGTAGTCGACATACTCTCCCGCGAGAATCTGTCCGGATTGTGGCTTGAACAGATCCAATTCACCACCGGGAGAAGTTCCTTGTTCCGTGCCGGGAGCCTTGGACAATTTGGCAGCGATGCGCTTCAACGTCTCGCGAGCCTGTTCCTCATTCAAAGCCTCAATGTCGACTTCCAGATCGGTGTCGACGACGCAGATGCCATCCGACTCGGGTTGGAAGCCGTCGACCAGAAAACGAAACTCTTCCCTCTTTCCATCCGCACCTCGTGCACCGGGCACGACCAGCACCTCTCCATTGGTCAGGGTGGTGTAGTTTTGTCGCAGATGTTGCTCCAACAAAGCCTTCCAATCGTCCGGGTCGTATCCCGGCTCCAAGGGTCGCAGCTTGACGAATTCTCCCTTGGGAAGTTGGTGGACGTGGACGGTGATGGCCGCCGTCTTTCCCTCTTGCCCGTCCTCCATGTCCACATTCCTTTCCATGCCATCTTCCTCAATCTGCTTGACATTCTCCTGTTTGATGCCCAACGCCTCGGCGAGAAAGGGACTGAGCACGATGTGCCCTTCCTCGGCCGAGAACTCTCTTACCCCCGCAAAGACCACCCGCCCACTTTCCGAGTTGACCAGACGGAAGGTCAGAGGATGGGGGAGTTGTTGTCGTTGATCCTGATATTGCGATTCTGCCTGGCGATAAGCCGMGTAGACGGAGGAATTGTAGGGATCAAAGGTTGGGAGGTTGCGGCGGGTCGCTTCGGCCGTTTGAGTGGATGCAGCATTCAACATTTGCTCGAGTGCCGAAGGGGGAAGGAGGATCTTGTCGCCGCCGAGCTGGCTTTTGGAGGCAGCGATGGTGAATTGGCCCGTCCATTTCAGCGGAGGCGGAGGCGAGTCGGTCATGCTGAGGAATGTTGGTGCTGTTGACCGATTAAATCTCCGCCTGCACAAGAAATGTTGTTAGCGACGACAGTCGTGATGTTGGCGGGATATGTACTGACCTGACATTCACATGCGGCTTCCAGAAGCTTCACATGTTGATCGAGTAATTGATGCTTGTCTTGATGGTCAGACGGCGGATTTAGCGGACTTTGACGGCGTCTGAAGGTGGAGATAGCTATGCCCGCCTTCCATCCAAACCAACGCCATCGACATTAGAATCCCCATCACAATCTCCATCTAACAGGATTTGGCGCGTGCAAGCCTCAACAATCAATTTCCAACCAACATTGATTGCCCGGTTCCAACATGGCAGAATCCATCTCGACGCGGCTTCGCGAAAACATCAACGCTGTGACGGGCGATGCTTCCACGCCAATCGATGCACGGGTGTTTGAAGAGGCAGAATTGGTTCTCGCCGACACATTATCGGCAGAACAACGTCAAGCACTGCTCGTCGACTTGTCTGCACTCCTGTCCACCCTTCAACAAGACCCCACGCCAATCGTCAATCTGCTCCTGAGACTGCTCCGCGATGTCCCATATGCACACATGCTCGCTCTTGGCACCGTCCCCTTCACACAAGGTCTGGCCGTGGGAGCTCATATGGTCCCTTTCAATCGTCTCATCCTCGCCATCCTCCGCAAGGCCACGCACAACGCGGCCGATGCAGCTTCCGTGGCCGGCATGCAGGACACGATGCTCGCCCTGGTCAAGCTCTGGCTGTGCACCGACGACACRGGAGTCGCTGGCCAGTCCTCTCAACTTCTCCTAGACTTGCTGAGAGTCGACCAGCAACTCGCAACTCATCCAGACGCATATATCCCCGCCGGTGGTCAGGGTCTCGTCTGGAAACGCCTCTTTGGAGATCGCGACATCTACTCCACCTTCTTCGACGCATGTGCCGTACACGGACCTTCCACCATCAAACCCGACAAGATCCATCGTACGCTGGCACAAGCTCGACTACTCGAATGGCTGCCGACAGTGGGCGCCATGGACTGGGACGCCATCTGCAAAAGCCATCACCCGGATGTGGAATCCTCCTATGGTCTCGAGCCGGAAGCCGGTCTACTGGACTTTGCAGCATTACACATGGTCGATTACAAAGACGACGTTCTCATGCATGTCTGCCTGGTAGACTTTTACTCCAACCTTCTACGCATCTCTCCACCTCCTTCAATGCGCATGACCGCATCTTCGAATGAGACCCAAGCCCTGCTCTATCTGATCTGCCAAGGCGTACATACGAGAACCGCATCCCTGTATCTGCAGCTTCCTGGCACCGACCTAGATCCTGTCGACTCCATGTTTCTCTACGGTCCAGCGGCAAACTACATCGCCACCTACGCCTCACAATACCCACAACACTTCCTCGCCAGCCAACTACCATCCCAAATCTTCACTAGACTAAGCTCGGCTTTCGACAAATCCGCCGGAGAATGGGCTCATGCAGACTCCCCAAAACACGATCTCCACCTCCTGGCCAGTCTCCCCCGAAAAGCTCTTCTAGTCTCATCCCCAGCCAACTWCCCATCCAGTCCCCTCTCCCTCCTCCCCACCAAATCCACCAACCCCGACGTCCTCAACACCCTCGCCACAATCTTCCACGGCCCCGAAACTCCAGAAATCCTCATCGGCAAACTCTCCTCCCCACCAAACAAGTCTCAACGCCATGAAGAAAAACAACAAGAAGAAGCAACAGCCGCACGACTCCTCTACTTCCAATACCTCGCCCACAACCCCACTCTCTGGCTCAACATCACCAACCACGCCGATACCATCGCCCTCCAAGACCTCGCCCTAGCAGCCATCAACGTCCTCCACTCCGTCATAACAGCGAATTGGACCTCCCCATCATCATCATCCAACCCTCTCCCATCAACCCTAGCAACACCCCCCTCAGGCCACCTCGCCATCCTCACCCCTCCAGCTCTAGAATACACTCTCCCTTACCTTCTCAAACCCCCTCAAACCTTCTCCAACCTCGTCGGTGGCGGAAGGGGAGACGTGCAAGGTTCCGCGTATTTGATCGCGACGGCAAAATTCGAGTCGCTGAAAGTTTTCGCGAGGAGGTTGGAAGGGCAGGTGCAGGAACGACCTGGAGAGGGTTTCGAGGAGATTTTGGAGACGGTGAAGAGGAGAGTTGTCGCGGGGCCGTTGTCAAGGGAGGGAGAGGTTGGGGGGAGGATTGCTACGATGGAGATGTGAGGAAGGGGTATGTGTTTACTACTGCTGAGCATGATATATGTATGAGGTATGATGTATGACTTCTTTTCTTCTTCTTCTTTTTTTTCGTCTTCTGTGGAGAATAAACAGGGGGCGGGTGGTAGACTTCGCCAAAATCGAGAAAGAATCCCAAAGTTACCTACCTCAAATCTCACCCTCGCACATCCCAAATAATCCTCCTCACACCAAATTCCCAGCAACCCAATGCGAACCCCCCTTACATCGAAACCCACCCTTCTGTCTCACCCAAGCATAACCCATAGGACATCTTCCCATCTCCTTCAATTTCACCTGCGCCAGCGTGATTTTGCGCCTCTCTTCCTCCATAACTTTCCTCGCAGTTTCCAATTCCTCCAATTCCTGTAAAACTTTCGCATCGGCGCAGGATTTCAACCATTCTCGCAATTTTTGCTCTTTGGCTTGGAGGTGTTGAAAAGCTTCTTCTTCTTCTTGCTGCGCTTGGAGAATGTCGGATTGGAGTTGATGCCAGATGGCGTCGCTTACTCCGGCATCTCTCTTGGAGGAGGAGGGAGAGGAGGGGACAGATGGTGGTGGTGGTGGGTCTGATTCGTCCTGCGACCTCGATTCGGGTTCTGATTCGGGCTCCTTGGCGAGATCTTGCTCGGCTATGATACCAGTGGAAGTAGCATGTGAAGTTTCAGGAGCTCGATAGGGTAAAGGCGTGCTGGAAGCATCGTTGATCGCTCCAGCTACTGCCGCTGCCGCATCAGCCGCTCTCCGGGACCGCTCGGCGATTTCCCTGTCCAAGGCTTCAATGACATTCCTCTCCTCAAGCACGGGCTCTTCTTTCTTGGCGTGTACGCGCTTCATCAGGCCTCCAAAGATGTTCTTGGTGATGGTCTGGACATCTCGAGCATTTGCAAAACTGTCCAAAGCTGCTAATGTGGAGAAGCGGCTCAGAACAGTGGCTTCGAATTGCGTGGAGGCTTCTCGTAGAATGGAAATGTTGAGGTGCTTTGTCTTTCCAACCCTCTTCTCCCCAAGTGTCTTGGTTAGCAAATCCAAGCAATCACGCGGCTGGAAGGGGGTGAAGACCATGGTGGTCGGGAAACGAGATGACAGGCCCGGATTCTTCGACATGAGGTTGTTGATATCCGCGTCGTAGCCAGCCAGGATGATGATGAGCTTCTCGAAGAATCGCTCGTTGGTAATGCAATCGACAAGCTCGTCCATGGCTTCTTTTGCAAATTGTCCGGTGGAGAGCCTGTAAGCCTCGTCGATGAACAACACTTTCCCCAGAGCAGATTCGATGAGTTTACGTGTTTTGGGCCCGGTGTGACCCACGTATTCCCCCACCAAGTCAGATGCCGAACACGTCACGACTTCTGCGGAGGAGAGGAATCCCATGTCGTAGTACACTTTGCCCATCTTCCGAGCCGTCGTCGTCTTTCCTGTGCCGGGAGGTCCCCTGAAGAGAAAAGTGAACGGGATCTGGTCGCGAGGGTCCATGTCAAGCTCTTTCATGTTGGACACTGTGGTCTGGTAATCTTGAAGTTGCTTGATGATGCTCTCACAGCCGACGGTGTCCTTGAAGAGCATGGCAATGTTCGTGCCTGCTTTTTCTCCTCGACTGAAGTCAGGATCAAAGTCTTGAGCCTCAAACGTGTCTCTCGCCACGTTCGGCTGCTTCGCGAGACGCTGCTGATGTCGCATCTTTGCGTCGTTGAGGAGAATATCGACCTCCCCTGCATTCCCAAAGTGTGGACGGTTGCGTGCTCTACGCAGCATCTCCAACGCAACGGTTCTCGCGCGGGGTGTCACTTTGAAAGCAATCTCACCGAGCTTCATGTCCAGGATAACAGCCATTTCTGCTTCGGTAAAGTCCGCAAAGCTGAATCCAGAATCGATCGGAAATCTGCGAGCAAGCCCAGGATTGACGGTCTGCATCATGTGTTCCATCTGCTCCTTATAGCCAAGAAGTAGCACGCAGCGGTCGTCTCCGGGCACGCTCTGTATCTCCGCGACGATGGTGTCGATCACAGCGATGCGGTAGATATCAGAGGATCCATGTTGACCGCCGGCGCAAAGACCATATGCTTCGTCAATGAGCAAAACTTTGCCGACGGCGGCATCCAAAATGCCTTTGGTGTTTGCCTCTGAAGCGCCAATCACACTGCCAACGAAATCTGCTGGCTTCTTGACAACAACTGGAGATGAAGTTAGTGCAGCAGTGAGAACGAGATGGAGAAAGACTAACCTTCCCCGCTTGACAACAATCCCAAGTCACCAAGAATCTTCGCGTAGAGCTTACCGACACTCGTCTTGCCTGTGCCTGGATTGCCAAGAAAAACCTTGTTGAGGCTAAACTCAATCAAGGGTTCCTCATTCAGCTCACGTTCATAATTGAACTGTATGCTGTCAAGAAGCGCCTTGATGGAGTCTTTGACTGATTGCAGTCCGACCATCTTTTGAAGCTTGACCCAAGACTGATTTCCAACTAATGTAGCAGACGGCTCTGGACCAATAAGATCTTCTTTGGTGAGGAGGAAGTCGTCCGGGAGTAGACCAGACTGCCTCTGTTTTCGGACCCGTCTTGCTTGACGGGAAGCCATTTTTGAAACCGCATTCTCCACAGCCCGAGCATTGCCAAAACCTTCCTTGCCACGCCCGCGACCAAGTCTTCGGGCCACGATTCGCGCGTAGAGGCCGTGGGAACCGTCCTCGATACTCATACGACCGTCATAGCGTTTTCTGATGTTGTAGTTCATGATCTCAAGCAGTTCGGCATCTTCGTAGTCGGCGAATTGTAGCTGAGAGGGAAACCGGCTGGGTAATCCTGGGTTGTGCGCGAAGAACTTCTCCATCTGCTTGTTGTAGCCAGCGAGAATAAAAACCACTTTGCCAGTAAGATTTTCAACCTCTGGCAAGAGAAAGTCCAATACAGCAGCGCCGCCGGGACTGGCTCCAGAGGTCAGCTGATAGGCTTCGTCGATGAAAAGAGCACCACCACCTTTGTTCTTGATGCCGTCAATCAGCTTCTTGCAGCCCTGAACACCATTGCTGGCCAAGCTGGCTCCTGTGATCTCTTMAAAGTGATTCCCTGGGAGGGCGCCTACACTGAAGAGGAAACTGGCATAAATGCGAGCCACTGTCGTCTTACCTGAGAGAAGTTAGTTCGACGTCGGGGATGATTATTGCTGGACCTCAACATACCGGTGCCCGGATTGCCCAAGAGTGCTGCACCAAAGCGCTCTTTTGTCATGCTGATGTTCTGTCGAATCGCCAGGTCGATCTTTGATTTGATGTCGAGGAATTGGTCTTTCACGCTCTCAAGCCCAATCATACCCATCAACTCATCAAGATAGACATTTTTTGCACCATCCAAAGATTTTTGACTTTCCCAGTCAGCTTGAGCCTTGAGACCACTGCCAGATACCGCGATGGAAGCCGCTACGGGATGATGAGATGAGCCATGGACATCACCCTGCTCTGGGTCTGGTGTGCTCTTCGCAACAGCAGCATTTCGTAGATCTTTMTGCTGCAAAGCGTGGGACTTTGCAGCCTCCAGATCAGCAAGCCGTTGCTGGAGAGTCGCTTCTTGATCTTCTTCATCACGAATGGCCTGGCAGTCACGCCTGTGGCGATCTATCTCCGCCTGCACAGTTGCCAGCTTCGCAGCATAATCGCGCTGTCTTGCTTGACGTGCTTGTTCCAGGTCAAATTCCAGTGCGTGTTGTTCAGCCAGAACTCGATCCTCTGCATCGCAGATACGGCAAGAAGCGGGATGACCATCGCAACATCTCCTCGCTAGGACATGTTCCCGTGGACACTTGTCGCTGACTTTGCGCACGCACTTCATTTTGGTGTGATCAGTCTGTCGGTGACACTTCTGTGGACACTCGTGAACTCCACAGACAAGTTGGACACCACTGACGGAGCTTTGATTAGCGATTCGACTTTCATTGCTGTAGTGGATGGCATCTTACCATGGAGCTGAACATCCACCGTCGGGACAGTACAGTGTAAAGTCAGCAGGTGTTTCCAACACCATCTGCCGATCTGGATGCTGCTCGCATTTCACAGGAAGACCGTCGTACAGTTGATCTTTCGCGGCCAACATAGCAAAGAAAGACTTCCACATATCGCCGCCTCTTCGACTCGCGAGAAATGTTGCCGGGTTGCCTATTATGATCAGCGCTTTCCGTGCTCGAGAGAGCAAAACGTTCAGACGCTCAGGAGAAACCATGAAGCCGATATCGCCATTGGCATTGCTGCGTGTCAAAGATACAATGACCACATCGCTTTCATCGCCTTGGTAATTGTCTGTATGTAATAGTCAGCTGAGCCAAACAGAACCCGCATGGTCATGTGACCTTGTTCACCTACCGATGGTCGACAGCTTGATTGGCTGCTTGGTCTGAGAAGCACTCGCCGGTGAGAGTGCCCCAGCCTTGATGAGATCGAAAGAGTCAATGTCGTTGAGTACAGGATCATTATCACGTGCAAGTTCGCGTCGAAGAAGGCTCAGTTRACCCAAGTAGGGGGTTAGAACCACTTGTTGTGAAGTACCATAGCCCTGTTGAGCCATGTATTTGACAACTTTCAGCGTGAGGGCGGCCTCGTAGTCATTTTGCTTGCTGATAGGCGCTCCTTCCTCTCGTCTGTCGGTTATGGTGGATGCAAGCTCAAGCTTCTCGTGCTTGATGAAAACAACTCTGCTGCGGATTCCGCGCATTGGTTCGCGCGTGAGGGTCGACGGAGCATCGATGAGGTCAGGATATGTGAGTTCTCGGACAAGAGAAGAAATCTCCGGACACATTCGATGTTGCTGCCGCAGTTTCGCATGAGGAACCCCAGCAAGAACAAGTCTCTCAAACAAAGACCTGTTCAGATCATAGCCATCGCCCTTTTCAACTGTCAAGCTGTAGTTGTTGACTTTGGGCCGCAATTGCTGATGATCACCAATCAGGATCAGCTGTCGTGTGCTTGGTGTCATTGCTGCAAGGACGTGACTCTCGAGGATCTCCCCAGCTTCCTCTACCAAGATGATACCGGGCGCTGCGCTCCGAAGCTGTCCAGAGTATTTGGCTGCCGCTGTGGTGGTGCATGCTACAATGCGCTTCTTCTGGATAAACTCGGCATCCCACTGGTTCAACGTTTCGTGTAACGTGGCCTGGCTTGCGTCGTAAGCTGCAGCTTTGCTTGCGACATTGTCAACAGCTTCTGAAAGCATATCCAGTAGCCACGCCTTGACTTTCTCCTCGCGAGCCGGCTTTGTCATCCTCCAAATCTCAGWATGATCGGAAGACAGCTGCGTGGCGAAGACACCAGCATCATCACCTCTCATCCATCGGTCCATCAAATAGAACTCTCCGACGGCTTTGCCCTTTTCCCCGACCAGGGTCATTCCATCCTCCGTCTCCGGCAGCTGAAATGCTTCAAAGAATGGAGCATCATCTTCAGAGAACTCTAGATGCACCATCAAGTCGCTTTGTGAGTCACGAAGCTTCACATAAGATTCCACGAGCGATTGCAAAGTGGTTACTTGCTCGTTGGTCTCAGCTTCAAGCTGATTGATTGCATTCCAATTCTCGTTGCTTCGGTGGCGAGGTTGCCCACGAAGGCCCAGATGTTGTGTTTTTGGGGTAGACTTGGCTCCGAGTCGAACCATACTCTCGGACGGGATACCGATGTCAAGGAGCTCCTCCAAGTACTGGTCCAGGGCATGGTTGGTGTAGCAAATGACCAATATTCTCTCGCTGGTATGTTCATGAATAGCTTTCGCAAGCAGAGCGCCAATGAAAGACTTTCCGGTACCTTGAATAACTGTTAGCATTGACATGTGAAAGACTTCGCCAAATGATTACCCACCGGGAGGACCCTGAATCAGACTAACAGACTGACGAAGTCCTGAAAGCAGCGATGTAGTCTGTGAGTCGTCGAGCTGAATCTTCTTGGGTAGGTTCAAAATCGACTTGAGATCTGCTCCACGAACATCCTCAATCTGATCCGCAAGGTGATGTAGAGTCGTTGAATCGTGCAATTGTGGCTCTCGCAAAGTATCGCCCAAAAGCTGATCTGATAGAGGCAGCTCGACCATGTCCTGTAGACATCGCAAAACTGGCTCATATGCAAAGACCGCGTTGTCAATCAGTTGAAACGCAACTGCGTCGGACATCTTGAGAGCCAAAAGCACTTTTCCTAGATCTCCAGTTCCTGGAGCCTGGATGGTGACCACCGGCGGGTCCTGCACAAGCAGGTCCTCCACTCTCAGGAGGAATCCAAAGGCGATGACTCGTCCTTTATCAATGAATTGTCCGAAGGAATTGTGCTTCAAGTAGCTGGGGGTATCCCTGAGGAAGGCGCGTCGCCCGGTCTCTGCAACGTTGGTCAGACCACCGAGACCTTTCTTCACGCTCACCGTCACTGCAAAGGGCGATCTTTTCCTGACTCCTCCGCAATGCGACCCGTCCAACTGGAGGCCTTCCAGTAAGGTACGTCTCTTTTTGCCCGACGCTGCAGTCTCACGGCCATCGCGCAGCTCTGCAAGAAAGTCTTCTCGGAGTAAACGAAATTGGTTGTCAAGGTGGAATCCCACCCGATTCTCCACGGGCTGGTTTCGCAGAGCGGCAGCTGGACTGTAAAAGGGGCGATCTTTGCTGGAGAGCTCATCTTCGGTCGGGTAGATTGCAATCTGGCGATGAGATGAGAAGTCATTATCGTGACGCCCACCTGGGCCGGCCGTATTTATTTCATGATCGGCTGTCTTTGCTCGCATGACGTGATCGAGGCGGTATCCAAGAGTGCGCAGCTCTCGGTTGTCAGAGTCGATAAACGTCTTGCTTTCTGTGACGCTGCGAGCAACATCTGCGGTGTCTGTCGGCGACTCGTCTGACCAACACAATACTTCCAACAAGACCCAAGCAAAGCTCAACTCGGTCGCCGGAGAGAGCTGCCTTTTGTGTTGTGCGGTGACCATGGCGTCCCAGATGGTAGGGGGTGAAACCACCATTTTCAATAGTCGCTTGAGAAACTCGCCGTTGCAAAGACGCTTGACCGCTGGTGCAGAAATGTAGGAGAGAAGGTCCTGCAGTGGACCGTTGATGAAAGTGATCGATACATCGAATCGTAGACCCTGTCTGAGGGACTCCAGCGCGACTTTGCTGCATCCCACTTTCTCGATACATGCCGCGTGGTCATCTTGATTGCAGATGGCCTGAATGAACAATTTTACATCGTTGATTGAGTCTGACCGTCGTTTGCCTACCACGAAAGCATGAAGTAGTCTTGACAGATGATCGCCTCGGCGGGATTGATCGCCCATGATCAGGGCCTGTTGAGGGGATACTCTGGCAGAGCGAGAGGCCTCGTGATGGAGGAAACAGTCTGATTGTGCGAAGATCTGAAGATGGTGCAAGTAGAGCGGTTCCGAAAATCCGAAGATGCCGTGAGCTGTCCGCTGTTTGATGCATGACGCTAAAGCTCCGTATGGAAACATAGAGCAGTATCAAAAGCTTTGTGCAAGGTTCCACAACCTTCTACACCATGCAAGGCCCCACTGTGAACAGCAAGCACCGCAATGCATCGCGATCTGCAAGGGAGCCGCACAGACTGATAAATCAACGCTCAAAGAAAGTCTTTGCTGTAGACGAGCTAGAGGCGTGGCTGCCGTACCCCTGGCAAACTCCTCAAACTTACATTTTGAGACGACTGCTCAGAGGGGAACTGTCGTACTTTGAAGCTGAACAAGCCAACTCAGAACACAAGGTACCCGACCATGAATACAATTCGTGGAAGAGGCCAGGGAGGAGGTGCAATGCGGGATTACCGCAGTGCTATTGGAGTCAAGACATCCGCATCTCCAGCTCCGCCGTTTGGAGCGCTGCTGCAAACCATCATGATTCAGGAACTCGGTTCGCAGACGGATCCAAAGTACGAACATTCGAAGATCAGTGGCTGCAAGTACATGGCATCATTCAACTGGCTGAAGAGCGAGATGCCGACGATCGTAATGCCGGGTATGTTCAAATCTCTCTCCTCGTGCTACACCGCAACGCTGACGGTGAGACAGGTATGCCTCCAAAGTGGACGCCATTGAAGGAGCCTGAAGAACTCAAAGAAGACTCTGGAGAGTACTATCGAGATGTGAATGCCGCCCACTATTCGGACCATCCCATTGAACCAGCAGTGAGGGCATTACTCGCTCAGAACGACAGCTTCCCGGTGGAAGGGGTTGACCTGTTTGCTTGTGGGAGCACCATGGGTAACTTACTTGGGTTCGTTCGTGATGACCACCGAGACTTCCGTTTTGTGGTTGAAAGTATTGGAGAGACGACACTCTTCATTCGCCGTCCAAACAGTCCGACTGAAAAGATCCCCGATGTCCGAGGGTATGGTCACGCCTTCCCGGAAAAGTACACAACCTATGACAAGGAAGTACAAGGTTCAGATTCCCACCAGCGGCTGATCATGTATGACTTTGCGGGTTTCCAATGTATCGTCCGATCAGAAGTCGATGGCTACTTTGCAGACGAAAGTGGGAAGCAGGAGCTGCCAAGCGGGATACTCAACCTCCCAGACTTGGAAAGGCTGAGGATGAAGAATGGCGGCATTCGTATTCCACAAGAGGCCGTGTTTGATATCAAAACGCGATCTGCGAGGCGGCCAGGTGATTACCTCGCCAAGGAGATGGGTCGGCTTTGGGTGAGGCAGATTCCACACTTCGTCTTGGCCTACCATGAGCGCGGTACGTTCAAAGACATCAAGGTCCAGGATATTCGACGGGAAATGGCGGCGTGGGAGAAGGACCATGGGCGTGAAATTGACAAGCTGGCCGTTTTAATTGCCAAAATCACGAGCAGAGCCAGAAGCAAGCCAGATGAACGATTCGAGGTTTGTTGTCAAGCTCCGGGCATACTGGAGATGCGCCATGTTGGCGGTGTCTTCGAGCCGGCTCTGCCCGATGACCTGCACAAGGTGTGGACAGCTCATCTGTCAGATTCGGATGCTTCACAAGACGCGGGTTCGGGTGCAGAGGGCAGCGAAGACTTTGAATCTGGCGACGAAGACGATGATGTTGACAAGGACTACACGCTTTGCAGCGGCGAGTGTGAGTATTGCGGTCGCTGTAAGAAGTGACGAGATGTGGAGAAGGAGCAAGGGAGTGTCGTGGGGCGGAGAGTTCGGTCGACCAAGATTCATCATCATAGCATAAGGGGAGCGTTCAAATTTCCATGGGATGCGAATCAATATTTGATGACATCGCTTGTCACCGTCTCCCTGCAAGGCCCGGCCATCTCCGAGCAAACTTCCGACCTTCAAGCAAACATGACCATATAGATATGAAAGTCCTTCTTATCACGCGTGCCTCTTGTTGGTTACTTTCTGCTCATCTGTTCATTTCAACACTGGCCTCGCCATTTTACCCTCCATCATGACCGAGTCTCCCCAGAAAACTTTGTACATCGGCTCCTTCATTCACTCAACGTCACTAACCACCTTGGACCACTGCGCCAATGGAGTGATCGGCGTTGACGAAAGCGGAAAGATTGCCTTCATTCTCCGTGATGCTTCAAACGAGACTATCCCCGAAGACTGGGAATCAGCCAAAGTCATTCGTCAAGAAGGCGAAGGATTCTTCTTCCCGGGCTTTGTCGACACACACATTCATGCTTCTCAATACCCCAACGCCGGCGTCTTTGGAAAATCCACTCTTTTAGATTGGCTCAATACGTACACCTTCCCCCTTGAATCAAGTTTCACAGACCTCAAAATCGCCTCCAAAATCTACAATCGCGTTGTAGCAAGAACCATTTCCCACGGAACAACAACAGCATGCTATTACGCAACGATCCATGTACCAGCCACAAATCTCCTCTCCACCATCTGCCATTCCCAAGGCCAGCGAGCTTTCGTGGGCAGAGTATGTATGGACTCGGCTCTCAGTCCAGACTTCTACCGCGACGAAAGCGCAGCAGCATCTCTGCAACATACGAAAGACTGCATCACACACATCCAATCCATCAACCCGGACTACGCCCTCATAACTCCCATCATAACCCCTCGCTTCGCACCTTCTTGCAGTGTGGAGAGTATGCTATCTCTAGGGGCACTCCACGCAGAAACAGGCATCCCAGTCCAAACCCACATTTCCGAAAACCTTGCCGAGTGTGAACTGGTCAAGGCCATGTTCCCCACCTACAAATCATATGCAGATGTCTATCATTCAACAGGCCTTCTCACATCAAAGACAATTCTCGCTCACGCGATCCACTTAACGCCCGAGGAAAGATCTTTGATTAAAGAAACGGACGCGAAGATCAGTCATTGTCCGGGATCCAACACGGCTCTCACATCCGGAACAGCGAAGATCAGGGATCTTCTGAATGATGGTCTTTCGATTGGTTTGGGAACCGATGTCAGTGGTGGCTGCACACCTTCCATCCTCAATCAAGCCCGCGAAGCAGTGTATGTATCTCGACATGTCGCAATGGCACCGGGACAAATCGAGGCGAAGTTGTCCGTTGCGGAAGCACTTTATCTTGCAACTCGTGGGGGAGCAAAAGTCGTTGGGTTGGAGGGATCGATTGGCGGATTTGAAGTCGGTATGGATTGGGATGCGCAGTTAGTGCGGTTTGGGCAAGTGGGTGATACGGAAGGTTTGGGGAGTGAGAGTGATGGTTTGGTGGAGATTTTTGGAAACGAGAGCTGGGAGGACAAGGTTGCAAAGTGGTTGTATACGGGTGATGATCGGAATACGCATGCTGTGTGGGTCAAGGGGCGCTTGGTGCACCATCGCGAGGGCTGGAGGGCATGATATTCTAGAAATCGTATTGAGAAATCCAAGCTTTGGCTTAGATGCTGCGGCAATTCTAAAGCGACTAGAGCCCTCTCTATCGGTAGAGTCAACTGTCAAGGAATGCAGAGGGTCGTCGAAGACCTTGTCAAAAAGATCTCGTTCGAATAGCTCCGGGCACCACACGATGTTCCTGGTGGTTTCCGCCACGTAGAAGCTTAGGAAGATGCCATTGACGCCCTGCATCCTTGTCGTGACGCTCCTAATCCGTGACCTCGGGGAAGCAGACCATCCATGTGTAATCCTCCCCTTCCACCTTTGTGATGACAGCTCCTTTCGCTCCGAGCTTGGACCGACAACGCTCCAAACATCCATCGGAGCCACCCACTGGCCCGTAATTGTACGACATCCAGTCGCGTGTACGCAAGTTTCTCAAGTATCTTCGATTGGCACCAATCCTGTCCAGCCAGTCTCGAAAGACGGGCCAATACTCATGATCAGAGTGCGTGCAGTGGTCGGCCTGAAACTCATTAAGTCTGTAGAAAGCCTTGATAGCATCTTTCCGCAAAGCGCGGCACGTCTTGGATATTGCTGGCTGGTTCTCACCCGTCATCAAGGCCCTGTATGCCCTTTGAGAGGATGTTAGTGACCTGTTGTCGGGGTAATAGATTATTCTGATGACGATTGGCTCGCTCTGAACGACAGCGAGATCGATGATGTGTAGTAGAATTTCACGAGGGAGGTCGAAGAGTCTGAAGGTGCCAGCCTGACGTTGGACAAAATTAGCTTTGCTAGAACATTTCTAGATGGGCTTCAAGTGGATACTGACCGTGCCCGACGGTTCGGGTGGAGAAGACATGACCTGGGCTTGAGGGTGGTGTAGTTGTTGTCGCTACTGCCTTTGAATAACGGAAAGTGACGGCTCCCAAAGTCCGGCCAGCTGTAGCAAGGCAGTCAGCCAGCAATTATGGCGTGTTATTGCCTCTGGTGCGGTAGTCGATGCTTGCGCAGATCCAATTTGCAGACGAAAGGCTTGAGTAGTGACGGGTCGCTCTCCAGAAGGAAAATTCTCTTGCAGCATACAGCGCTCTGGAATAAAGGATTGGAAAGAGGTGAAATTGAAAAGCCTCCGAAGTGTGCGGTGCAAAGAAGCCAAGTTCAAACTTACCAGCCGGGATACGTTCAACACAAGAGGCAACCCGGATCGTACTCGCAAGATCTTGGTAAGGACACTTGGTGGCTAATTCGGATTCCAGTTCCCAAAGAAGGAGCCGGCTCATTTTACTTGATGTGGTCACCAGCCTCAGCTCCAGATCCTACGTTCGAGCAAGTAGACGCGGCATCAACGGAGCAGTCTCAAACACCTTCCAACACCTCGCTAATCCCACAGATATCAACTCCGCAGTCAAACAGTTAATGCAAAATCAGCGGTGACCAATATTCACCTCCTCAGGTTCTCCAAACTCCTTCAACAGATCTGCACTCTCCACATCGCCATACTCCGTCACTTTCTCAGGATCGTAGGCGTCACGAGCCCATCCGTTCGCGATTGCACCATTCCAGTCCTCGGCGCGAGAGCCAAGGAGATCAACCTGTCCAATAACCTTGGGCGCAAGTGCGGCATTCTGAGGCTGCAAAGTACTTTTGAACACAGGCTTCTTCTTCCCGCCCGCTGCACCATTCGACCCCAGTCCAGAGAGTGGCATAGACACGGACTTCAGGGCAGCATTCTCATTCGCCTTCTCCTCTGCCGCGCGCTGGCGAGCCGCGGCGTTTGGGTCTTTGGTCAGGGACTTCATGTCTTTTAATCGCTGGTTGCCAGTTTAGCGCGTGTCTTCTTGCTGTTCGTGCAATATTTGTACTTTTCGGTGTTGATGATCGTAGCTCCCTTCATGTGCTTCGAAATCTGTGGATCTTGCGTAGCCTTTTTGGCATAATTCGCCTGATATTTGTCGTGTTAGTAGACGCAACAGAAGGTCTGCGGAAATGGTCCAACGTTACGACGTACAGAAGAACGCTCTCCTTGCCTCTCGTGCACTTTCTGTTGCCGCCTGCGGCAGGGGTTGACTCCGCTGAAGAAGAATACATGTCAGCTGCAGCAAACAAAGCATAATACGACGAAAATTGTGCATACAGGAGCCATATTTTCGATCTTCCCTGAGTCTGACTTGACTAAAATTGACCCACGACTATCGTATGATAGGCGTAGCTGCGTCGGAATGAGATGGATTCTCGACCAGAAGTGAATGGACTGCAGTCAAGAAGAAGGCAGGGACACAGCATGGGAGCAAAGTCCACGGCTGAGCGCTAGCTTGTATTGGGTATTTACGGTGATTTCAGCACGCTATCGGCCCAAAATGGACTTAGCGCGCTGGCTAGTGCATTGCAGACCTCAACTTCACCGAGCGTCTCCATGAACAGTGTCCCAGACATCAAGTGCAACCAATCAGATTGTATGCGGTATAGAGTCAGAAGATTCTAGCTACCAGACACCCCATACAGAAATCATCAAAGGATTCCGTCTCTCATTTTAGAAGCCGAATAGAGAGACCCGAAGACTGACTACAACTTCTTCGGACGATGCTGTGCCATGGCCCACGGAGACTTCACCGCGTGTTGTCGGCTTACCACAATGCATGCATACTGCGAGCCTCCATATGAAGATGAGGATGGCCCTTAGGAAGATGATCGTAGGCGGAATCGAACAGCAACGGATCATGCCACAGCTCCGTCAGCCAAGCAGGGTTGTCCATCACTACGCAGCAGCGAATAACAGTTCCTGGATTTGTGCCCCGTCTTACATACATGCAGGTGGCTCACGAGCTCTTCAACTTGGCCGTCTGGAAATATGAGAGCGATTCCGGGTTATTGTGTCTCGGTCCCTGGCGTGCTGACATCTCAGCCGCGGCTGACTAGTCATATCACTCCACGTATACCGCACGCCGAAGTGACACAAGATGCTCTTCCGTGTGGTTTATACGCCTGAGCTAGCTTCGTATAGAATGTGCTTACCTTTCAGCCTGGAGCCGAAGGCGCAGTATCAAGAAGGCTGTAATACACGGAGTCAGCCCCTGCAGTTTACCTGGGATCTTGGGAAAGAACTTTGCAGTATAAAGGTAGCCGTGATGGCATTAAGAGTGAACTCGACTCATTCCTCAATCGTATCATCTCTTTTAGACCCCAAAGCATTGAGATCACCCACAATCATCATGGCTGCTACTCTTCTCCCTGACCTTGCCAACGTGCAAGGTGACATCCTCCTCAGGGGTTTGCCGAAAGAGACGGAGACTTTCGCATTCTTCACCATTACCAATGGAACAAAGTTTTGCAAACTCCTCCGTACCGTCGCCACGGAAGAGATCTCTCATACGCAAAACACCCTTGATACTCGCAAGCAGATCAAAGACTTCAAGGCCAATGCCGGGGCTGCTGGGCCCACAACGAAGCTTCCTACTGTAGGAGCCAACATCTCGTTTTCGGCAAAGGGCCTACAGAAGATTGCTCAAGCCACTGGCACGGATCTCAAGACTGGAGATGCCGACTTCGAGGCTGGAATGAAGAGCAGCGCAGTTGGTACTTTGAACGATCCGAAGAAGGACGGGTCGGCCACGCCCAAATGGGATGACGAGTGGTTGAACAACAACATCGATGGGGTCCTTCTTGTTGCTGGCAACACCACTGCTCTCGTGAACGAGAAGCTCGATCGTATCACGAAATTGTTTGGCGACTCAATGAAGTTGGCTTTCAAGCACAGCGGTAAAGTGCGCCCGGGCGAACAGAAGGGGCATGAACAGTAAGATCCACCGTCCTCAAGGTAAGGGATTAATGCTAAGCGCCAACGTTCTAGCTTCGGTTACATGGATGGTGTCTCCCAGCCTGTAGTTTCCGACCTTCCCAACCTCACAGAAGAGGAATCAGCTGTGCCTCCAGGGCAGGACAAAATTGCGCAAGGCGTGATTCTTTGCGGCCGTCCAGGGGATGTGAGCGCCGCAACCCGCCCAGCATGGACAGTCGATGGAAGCTTCCTCGCTTTTCGCAAGTTGAAGCAGAACGTACAAGATTTCGACAACTTCCTACAGACATCCGCCAATTCCTTGGGTGTCTTCAAAGACCAACTCGGTGCGAGGTTGGTTGGACGATGGAAGAGTGGATGTCCCATCAACCTTCAACCTGACTTTGATGATATCAAGATCGGAAAGGATGCGAAGCAGAACAATTTGTTCGAGTTCGATACCGATGGTGAGTCAAGTTGAGCACTGCAGAGCTGTCAATATGAGGGTTGTCGGGAGGTCTCCACTGTCTTCAGACAGGGAGGCTGTGCTGAGAGCATAGTTCTAACGTCAGTACGAAGAGGCTTTGAAGACTTTGACTTCCGTGGAGATTCCTCATATCGCCAGCTCTGTTCAGCAGTCCGCGTCTCGAAAGAGCTTCAGCGCTCGGCTGTCGTTGTATTGAATCGTCGCTAATTGGTGTACTTCTTGCATTTAGGAATCAACATTGAGAAAATCGGCCTTGGCGGTGTCCTCCCTGCCTCTAGACTAGTGTGCCCTATCGGGGCTCACATTCGCAAGACAAACCCAAGAGGAGATCAGCCAGGAGGACGCGCCGCTGTCCACCAGCACCGTATTCTCCGAGCCGGAATCCCATACGGCCCAGAGATCAGCGAGGACGCAGGAGCCGAAAGAGGATTGCTGTTCGCTTGCTACCAAAGCAATCTTAACCAAGGCTTCACTTTCATCCAGCAGAGATGGGCCAATAACGAGGCGTTCCGCTTCCAGGGCGGAGGTGTTGATGCCGTTATGGGTCAAGTTAATGACAAGGCCGAAGTTGACATGCTTGGCCTCTTCCCGCAAGACGCAAGCCGTCCGTTGAAGTTGCCAGGTATCAATCGCTTTGTAGTTCCCAAGGGAGGAGAGTACTTCTTCTCACCGAGTATGAAGGCTCTCACAGGAGTCTTGTCTGAGGTGAAAGCTGCAGCCGCTAACGGAACCAATGGTACTAATGGCCACAAGGAGCTTTGAGGGTCACAGAGAAGAAGGGTTGAATAGTAGGCAACAAGCCAAGAGCCCAACGGGCATAAATACCGTATATACTTTGTGAAATCACAAGATTGAGCGACGCTGAGTTTCGGGTATGTGCAAGGTGCTCTCTCACGTCGAGGTTTTACAGCACCTCATGAGTCTTGTAGCCACAGACTGGCGTCCTCTGCATACTGGTCTCGGCTGGAACGGCCAAGATCCTTGTTCAGCTGTGATCCTCCAGGCAGCGGAGTCCACTCCGCGACGTCGAGATGATGTGGTTGTGCAAAGAGACGGAAGCTGAGATTTGCTGCTCATCCTTGACACGGAGAATCTTCGTAGAGTCATAACCAGCGGATAATCAGCGTCAGGTTGGGAGAAGCCCTGTCAGATGAAAAGAAGTGGAAATATGAGGCAGGAGTGACGACACATCACTTTGACATCATTCGCTTGCCCCACTAAACATTGACGAAACAGTCCTGAAAGCCTTCCAGGTTCACCACATAATAAACATCCCCTCAACAATCAAGCTCTCAAACTCAACAAGCTCTCAATTGCAATCTACCTCACCCAACAATACCTAATCTGTACGTTGTTCACATACGCTGGCAACGATGACAATCTAACAATCTCAAAGTTCCATCAGCAACCACAAACAGCCCCACACGCCACCATGTCTGCACCAAACCAAGGCCGTCAGTCTCCAGAGCCCGAGAAGCAGTCCGATGCCCAGGCTGGTACTCAAGCAGGCAACCCCAACCAGGGAGCTGGTTCCGGCCAGAAGACGGGCGATGAGAGCAAGGACACACTCAAGAACTTGAGCAGCAACCCAAAGGGTYCCCTTGATGACGAGGCAGAGAAGAAGACTGCGAAGAACTGAGCAGAACTCTCTCCATTACGGCGATGGGAATGTTATGATGAAAGGACCACGGATACCAGCTGTGTGCGATAGCGCAGTTCTTGTGACGAAATGAACGAAGTCAGAAAACTTCTTAACATCTGGTCTTTTTCGCGTGATGTCCTTTCCTCTCTGGGTCATTAAGTCGGGCTCAATGGGTTCCAATGTTCGTCCATCGATTCGAACGCCTTTGGGTATCATATGTTGCAATCCCGGTGCAGTCGTGGGAAGCCCTGCTGTAATTCTGCACAAATTTCATCCATCGTTCACGTGCATCAACTCAATCCCCTCCCTCTTCCTCTCACTGTACTTGAGGCTCGACCGGCAGTCCCTCTCGAACCTGCGGTGCCCCTACCACGTCCCGTTTGTCCTCCAACGCCAGTGTAGCCCCTCGAGGAGGATGTCCCTCGCACACTTCCTCTCCTTCCCAACCCACCTCTTCCTGTAGCCACAGCAGCCGCCTTCTTCCTCTCTTCCTCCTCCGCCTTTCTCAGGGCTTCCTCTCTTCGCCTCTGCTCCTCCATCGCTCTCCGCTCCGCCTCCTGCTGTCGTCGCAAATCGGCATTCTCCAAGTCTTCCAGGTCTTGCGACGCGCCCTGCCAATTTGGGTTGAGGATCAGACGTTGATTGTGCTCCGTCTGACTCAGTATACGCGTCCAAGTCGCGAGAAGTGTAGATGCGTTGTTGACTGTGGTATGGACAGTGCCCATGTTTTCTTTCGCTTTTCGTAGACTGGCTGTAGTGCCTTCTATGATGTTGTTTACTTCGCGAATTTTGTCCAGTTCGGCGCGTAGTTGAGCATTGCGTGCATCTTCGACATCCTGTTTTGACTGTGTACGGGCCGGAGGAGCTTTTTGCGACTGCGATTGAGATCGTGAATGTGAATGTGGTGGAGCTTGTTTCGCGTGCGCAGCGGCGCTGGGACTGGCGAAGAGGGAGTTCTCCTCCTCTTCGTCGTCAGAAATGCGCAAGTCTTCGATGTTTGGTTCCGCCATGTCAATGTTGTCTCTCCTGTCATCTGTCGGCTCCTGGGTCAAACTAAATTCTTCGGCGATTCATGGAGCTCATGTTCTAGCGAGCACGTGTCAAATGATCGACCGTGAACCCTGTCCCAGCCACAATCGAAACCTCCGTAACCTCGCTCCCTGCCGCGCTGACGGGACGGAGGAGAAAGATACTCTTACCCATTGTCACATCTCTCAAATCCCCAATCGCGTACGTCGCATCGCCCGATAACGATCCGGTAGCATACGAACAGAGACCGAGGACTCGAAACACGGCGCCTACGGCACCACAGAAGCAGTCAGCTCCGCCGGCGCATAACGATACGACACGGCGCGAAAGAGGCGAAACGCGCGACGCAAACACAACAAAGTTCAGGGAAGTTTGCGCAGAGGACACAGCGCATTGGGATACCAAACAAGTCGCGTTGAGTTGCTCGTAGGAGGCATCGCGGTGGTGAGTCGCTATTGTCAAGACCTCCCTTACATCACCACGAGGCCACACCGCCTGCCCTTGCCCGCTGTTTGATAAGACGAGGGATGTGTCTTGGAGTGCTGGACGCTGCTGTACCCATTCAAAGATATAGTACCGACAGCTCCTGCTGCTGTGCGCCGTTGAAAGCACGTACACTGACAGACACCTCTGATAAGATCGCCGCCATGACGACCATGACTGCGCCCTCCACCCCGCCCGTCGCGCCGCGCAAAAGTCGTCGACTGCGAACACCGCCGAGCCCACAGCATGGCTCCTACCATGACGAGTGGCAGCCATATGGTTCGCCTCGCCGCTCGACTCGCGCTACCCTCGTCAAAAATCCATACAGCACATCGAACACGACGAGCATGAAGAGCGCTGGAGGACCTTCCAATGGTGTGCCTCCCCTTCGCACGCCAACTGCAAGAAAGTCATCATTCTGGCAATTAAGCGACCTCATCTCCCCGCCTGCTTCCCCGGATGAGAACGGGAGCAATTCAAAGTTCGGCATGACCCCACGCAAACAATCTACCAAAACCAAAACCCACAGTACCAACGCGGACACGGAATTCGGCCACCGGGCATCTCCAAACAACGACAACTACACATCCTTCCGCATCGAACCTCGAGTCGACTCGCCCTTTGACAACAAACCCTCCCCCAGTGCCATTCGCTCAAACGGCATGAAGGATACCGCACGCATTTTGCGCTTCCAGCCGGCCGACCCAAATGACTGCTTCCCAACTAAGAAGCAGACGCTTAAGCAACGCAAGCACGACGCTCAGCGACTGAATAATTTCACGCTCGATACCGATAGCATGCGCGGCATGGACAGCCGGACAGGCGCCCAGAATAATATGAATATCTACACCGACACGCACGCCCGCGTCCCGGAGCTCGATGACTCCGAGGAGAACGTATTCTATCGACCGTCAACCCGTTCTCGTGCGCGCACTCGTCCTCAGCCACGGATACCAACCACCTCCTGCCCAGACTCATCCCCGGCCAGGCGCCCGCCGACTGCTCAGCAACTTAGCGACGCGCGTGAAATGCAGCGCGCTGCCGACAATGGCGAGGGTACCATTCAGATGTTGTATGTATTTTGTCTCGCCTCCTACTTCGGTATCAAGCTAACACACGACAGCCGCGGTAGAAAAGTCTTCCACCGATACGACGATGTCCCAGCGAGCTCTCCCCACATCAGCAAGAGCCTCAGTCAGCGCACACTTCGGCGAGCCGCTGGTATTGCGGCAGATCGACCCATGACTCGTAGCTCTCTCCAGCCGCGCTTGCTGTTCCCGGTGTCCGCCGAGGAGGCTGAGACAGACATTGATGACGACAACGTCGAGGCCGAGACCGATGTTGAAATTCATGCCGACGAGGATGTCGAGATGTCGGACGCTGCTCCTTCTATGGAAGGCGAAGGCGAGGAGGCGCCGTCTGCTGTACCCGCCACGCCGGCCAAGGGCAAAGGGCGCGCCCAACCGTCCATGTTGGAAACTCCGCCTACCACCGGACGCGTTACTCGCATGAAGGAGGTCGCGGATGWTATGCCAGCCGGGAGCGCACTCACGTACAAATCAGCAGATCCCGGTTCCACAAGGACTCCGAACAGCAAGAAGACAAAGCGTTTTGCGCTTGTGGAGATTGCGGGGGAAGATGGAGACGACGAGCTCGATAATCACAACGATGGTCTCATGCGCCCTCCGCCAACCCCGGCTCGTCGTGGTGCTGCACGCAAGCAAGGATCCAACGCCGTGTCGCTCACCGATATCGCGGAGGAACAAGAACCGAAACCTTCCACCACGGCTAAGAGGTCCAGCAGTCTCTTCGATCACTGGCCGCGTACTAAGAGTTGCGGCCGGAAGCGCGATGGAGATATGATGAGTTCTCCCACCTCCAAGCGGACTACGCGCGGTGCAAGAGGCGGCGAAGACGCTTCTGCTTGAAGTAGATGCGGTATGCTAGGTGTCATTGCTAAGTGTTGTTGATTGTTCTTTGCATTTGGTCGGCCATTTTGAAGAAAGCGAGGCGTTGCATTGCGAATCGATTCTTAAGGAGATTGATTGATTGAAGCGACTCTACGCGACACACGATGGAGAAATAGGGAAGAATTGGCATGCATGAGCATGCAATAGTAAAAGCCTGGAGCTACTGCTGTTGGGCACTGCTATCATCTGGCGGAGTCATCAAGTGTAAAGCTACCTGATGGCAGGATTGAGCCAACGCGATCCTTTTGGATTCCTGGGACGACTACTGTGCTGGGCTTGATGTTATCACATTATCCAAACCACAGCAGAGTATGTCTCCCTCGTTGCGCTGGTATTTCGGAATAGATAGTGGTATTAATGAAAGTCATCAGACTCGTCGAAAGGTCCCAGGCATGCGTATGGCGGCATCCCGACGCATCGGAGAGGAATTCATGGTCTAGAGGACCGCAACGTTGCTAGGCTCCCAGCCAGTCCGGTCGAGAGCAGAGAGCGACATGCAGAGGCGTCATCTGCTTCCGATTCAATGTGTGTCAATGCATGGAGGTGACGTGAAATAGTGAAGCAGATCGGGGACGGCCAAGCAATCGTTAGTTCGGTGCCAGAAACTCTCAAGCAATGCGGGTGAGACTTGGCCTGAGCGCGAGCAAGGATGCCATCAATCGATTACGGTCACGGAGTATCTGTCACATCATGGCTTTCCAAAGAACGACTTTCCCTCTCTCAGGCTGCCACTATACATGACTCGCCCATGTCACCGAAGCATGGCCGTACTTGTCTATTACACACACCGCTCCGAGGGAGTAATTGAGGCGATGTTTAATGGGGTTTGCCACGCTACGGTACTCATATACCCCACGATACAGATCGTCTTGATTATTTTCCGTAATGGAGGACCATAAGTCCGGGCACCGAATTATCCGCTGTCTTCCGGAGATGTTTCTGACCAGGAAGTTTAACTTTCTCTTGTCTTCATTCAAGTTCATTGCAATTTATCTCGCTACACTCACTTCCTTGCTGAGGAGCTACACATGTCCGTCTCTTGATTACGGGCGTCGCTCTCAATGGCCGACATGGAAAAGAGCGTCCCTCTGGGCACCCAAGCGGATGACTACCTAGAAAGTCTAGGAACGCTCAGGAAACAAGAAGAAGATGGCACATTCGTGCTTCCCACCCTTGAAGAAGAACAGAARGTCATTCGAAAGATGGATTGGCGATTATTGCCTCTGGTCTTCGTGCTCTACTCGCTCGCCGTACTCGACCGCTCTAATCTTGGAAATGCTCGGCTCGCAGGAATGGAAGACACTATTGATCTGTCTGGAAATCGATACACCTTGCTAGGAACAATTTTTTACATCACGTACATTTTGTCGCAATGGACCATGCTTGGATGGAAACAATTCAAACCTCATAACTGGTGCTCCTTTACTGTTTTGTTCTGGGGATTCATCGCGACAGTACAAGCCGGTGCTTTCAACTGGGCTGGCCTGATGACTTGTAGAGCTTTCTTGGGCGTTGCGGAGGCAATGTTCGGYCCTGGTGTACCATTGTATCTGTCCTACTTCTACCCACGAGAGAAGGTCGGCTTTAGACATGGAGTCTTCATCTCTGGTGCTGCGATCGCTAATGCTTATGGAGGAGTTCTTGCCTATGGCATCTCACAAATCCGAGGCTCGATTGCGCCATGGCAGATATTATTTCTCATCGAGGGACTTCCAACGATTGTCTTCGCGGGCATTACATGGTACTTTTTACCCGACAGTATCAGCGCATCGCCCTTCTTGAACGAGCGGGAGAAGCAAGTAGCATTGTACATGGTTTCCAAGGACCAAAAGGTGGACATCAAAGAGCGAGGCGTCAAGTGGAAAGAAATCTTGGAGGCCTTCCTGGATATTAAGTCCTGGGCTATTGCATTGATGTACTTTGGATGCAACGTGAGCTTTGCATCTCTACCGCTCTTCTTGCCAACCATCATCAGCGAGATGGGTAAGTCGTGTCTGGATCGATAATGAACAGGACCGCTAACCTCTTGACCAGGTGCCTTCAATCGAGTAACATCACAAGGTCTCTCCGCCCCGCCATACGTGCTCTGTTTCCTGGTGATACTCAGCCTCTGCTGGACATCAGATCGGGTCAAGTTGCGAGGGCCTTTTGTGGTTCTCACATCAACCATTGCTGCTGTGGGTTTCATCATCAACGCAACGACGGAGACTTCGGCACCGAGATATGCGTCGACGTTTCTCTCTGTTATGATCTTCGCTTCGGTAGCGTTGCTTTTGGCCTGGACGGCCAACATCAATGCTACCGAGAGCAAAAGAGGTGGAGCTTACGCGGTCGTATACACGATTGGTCAATGCGGACCCGTGTTGGGCACAAACGTCTTCCCTTCCAGTGAGAAGCCTTTGTATCGCAAGGGGATGTGGATCTCTGCTTCCATGTGCTTGATGGTAGCTACGGTGGCTTTATGTCTGAGCTGCCTGCTCAGATGGGAGAACAAGAAGATGGACGAGAAGAAGGCTGCCGAGGGAGAAACACAGGAAGAAAGAGCCACTCGACGCAGAAACATTTGGTGATTGCTCTCAGCTGAACATAATGATTGATGGAATTGAAAATTGAGCAAGAAAGGATTTGAATTCATGCACATTATCCCAATGCCTCCCTAGTTCACACATCAAACATTCCGTTTGTCCTCCATGCAGCCGTTATCCATGCCGTTGTCGGGTTGTCGTACATGAGATGCGGGAAAAGGGGCGCATGGCTTCGTCAAGCCATATGTAATCGAGAGGGACAGTCCCTTAAGACTTCAACAGGACTCGCACATGTCAGCGTTATTCGCCTCCGCCACCACTCAGGAAAGTGTAATACTCACGCTGCATTTGCAAGCACCGGCGGCGCAAGAGCAAGAGCTGCAAGAGCAGGTGGAGTTTCCGCAGCCGCCCATTTTGAAAGAGTTGTGTTTGGGGTTTTGGTTTGGTTTTGGTTGGAAAGTTGCTGAGTGTCTTGAATGCGATGTTGATGCTGGTGATGACCGCCTATTATTCCGCTGAGGAGAGAGGGGTATATATACATATCTTATCGGCTCACGCCCCCACCCACACTATCGGGTGAGTGACTTGTGCTTCGCCAAGACAACAAAGGACCCTCTAGGCCGACCAATCACAGCGCGACACCTCATGAGCTCTTTTTGCGGTTTCCGCACAAAACGCGCGGGTAAACAACATGTGTCAAATCCGGGCGGCGGACTCGGCCGGCATGTGATTGCGTACCAGGCATGTTGGTGGCGACTAAGACAGTCGTACACGCGAACATCCAAGGGCGATGATGATGACAGACGCTTTTCCCGCGTGTTGACTGAGCAAGTTTCGCGCGAATCGGGACTGCGTGTCCGGCGAGCTGCAGGTAAGCTGCCTTGGATAAGAATCGCGGAGTGGAGAGCTTTCTTGGAGGATCTGATGATCTGGGCCGGAGGATCGGTAGACACGTCTTCACCGCATACGAAGCGCGTGCAAGTAACGCCGAGAAGGAGAGAGGGATGCTGAAGCCCGGGCAGGGGCGTTGGGAAGCTCTAATACTTTCACTTGGGACCCATCAAGGTTGCTGTTTTCTTCTCACTGTGCTGACAGTACAAGACTTGTCACACCATGGCTCTGGAAATCTCGGAATGGTAGTGGGAAGCAGCAATATTCTTTAATGACACCTCAGCTATACAGCCGGGTGGGCGAAGATCAACCACCCTGAACATCTTCGGGCAAGCTTTCATCGGCTTCAACACAGGATCAGGACGCTCGCCAACATTCGTGGGTCTGTTGGAAAGATTTCTCGAACATCAGCCTCTAGCACGGGAGATGAACATTGTCGAGCCGGGCGATTACCACTACTAGCAGGACTTTAATGATACAAGTTGGCAAGGCTTGAACCACATCAACACAAACCAGGATGATGGGACATGAAGTCGCTTCRGTCGAGGCGTTGAAGCCAGCAAAAGTCACGCCTCGAGAGATGAAAGCATTCCCAGAGCCTTCACTTACATCGCCACCGCCGTATGCAATGATCGTGGCGCTCTTTGTGGCGGCTGGAGCATTTTGACGTCCTTTGAGATTTGCTCGCCAAAGGGAGCTGCCAGGTAAAGGCTGCCTACTCCTTCAACATACTTCAAAGCCTCARCGACCCCTTGGGCAGAGTGAGCCACACCGGCGAGGGACGTCACGGTTGTGTAAGCATTTTTGATATGTTCCAAGAGTGCTATAATTRACCCGCCTGCCTGTTCAGTCGGGCAAGAAAAGGGGCTAGCAGAAGAATACTAGCACAAATGTAGGAGTATGCTCCACATGGAAGAACGAAAAAGTCGTAAAGGCAAGAAAGGAACATAAGGCAATGCATGTTCTCATACCCAGCGGGCGCCAAACCTAGCGTCCAATTGTGGTAAGCAGCAGCGAGAGAATAAGTAAATGTGACCAGCTTGGGAGTGTTAGTAGTCCCGAAGTATGCACCATGACCAAGCACTCATACTTGGATGCCGCAAAGGTCTTGGGATATTGACAAATCTCTTGCAGCCGGTCGTTCTCCCTCTACCATTCGGACTGCCAATAGAGTCTTGTACTCATATACACGAAGATGTTGCTTGAAGGCACAGCACAACCTCGGAACCGCTGTTTCGTTGTTGGACTGGTACGAACCGACAGCCGGTTTCCTTTCTAGATATTTCAATAGTCAAAGCACTTTGAGTCTCCCCTGCACGGCAAGTGTATATTCCAGCGGATGGACGAAAGATCTGCGGAGGATGATCGCGAAGGATGAGCGAATCGTCATTGCCTTGTGGAAGCCAAAGAGCAAGCAGAAAGCTGACTCAAACACCGTGTAGTCGAATGTAACATCTCAACTAGATAAACACAGGTCTCTCCCCGAAGTTGTGAATAGGTTGACATTTGACCCGCAAGCGACAGCTATCATATGATCGTGATCCACGTGATCCACGTGARTCCAAGTATATTGAGTGTTGGTATCGATTATGTAGGAAATGAGAGTTACTCTTGAACAGCATGAGTGTATGTGCATGTAAATCGACAAACCCCGAAACTTCTATCCCATGGTATCATAGCAGTATGCAAACGAACGCCGGCATCCTTGGCCTGGTGCTTTACTTGAGTAATACCTTTCCGGCACCCACGACAGCCTTTGCTGTGACCTTCACGCCCCAAAACCCGACTCTAAATGTGAGACCAACGACTTTGATTGCGCCTCTTGCAATTATAGGCAGTTTGACCTGCTCTTCCTTCTCGTCCTCGACGACTACCATTTGTGTCTCCTTTTTCGAGTCAGACCGCTTGAACCATTTCTTCGAGATGTCCGAGGACGAAGCTTCTGTTGTATGAATAGCTTGTTTCTTAGCTCTCGGTAAGGGAGTTCGAGGTGGAGCTTCGAATACCACTGCACCAGCTACCAAAGCATCATTCTCAATCACCGCCACTGCCAGGAGAGCACACACAACGGTGTCAATGACATAGTGACTGTCCAGTGCAATCAGCCCCGGGATGTCGAGTACACAGGCATTGTGGGCGAAATCAAGAAAGGCAAGATTCAACGTGTCGGCCTCGATGGCGGCAGGTGTTGCAGACGGATGGTGGAAAGCAATTTTAGCTCTAGGTCCCGTGGACGACGTCGCTGATTGCGATTTGGTCACGGTAACTGCACACGTTCCCAGTACTGGATGACGCAAGTCGTACTGCGCGACGACACCGCCGAGACTGTCTTGCCTGCGAGTCTTGTTGATCAAATCGCAGCTGTAATTTCGATATGCCATGGCGACAGCATTTTGAGCCATTCGAGCGGCCTCTGGAGAATCTGCGGTAGGATCGAACGTGGCGATTGCAACAGCTTGTGGCGAGTTTGAGATGGACTCAATCGCTGCAATGGCGGCTTTTCGCGGGAAAATGGCGGTGCTTGTGTTGTGACGCTCAGCTGTGGCAGACTTTGCAGGCAGGATGAGCTGGGCCACGGGAGAAGAGCATGGAGAGGTCGGAGAATGCTTTTTCACTGCGAACTCTCTTGGTTGGGGGACGTCAACGGGAGCATCGATGGTGATGTCTTTCTCGAGGGAGTATACAATGTCTGCATGGGAGGTGCCAATGGAAAGAGCAGTGCCATGACCCTCGGGCTGGTAAAGACCGAATTGGACTTTGCGACCATCGCAGGGATATTCCTCCTCGGAAGCTTTCCACACGGCCTCAAGATCGGCATGGGCAGCAGCAGGAATGTGCTCGTAGCCGTTGATCAGACCGACTCCAGAGTCATAGCGTTTCAGAGGCGCTTTCTCAACCGGGCTAGCGATATGAGCGGAATGATCGCCCGTGAATACTGCCGGTGACTGTGCACGTGAGGTAGGATAGTACCGCTGTCCGTCTAGAGGGCGCTGCGGATCGTACGTGGGAAACATCGATCTCATGGGAGGACTGTAGGCTGGTAACGATGGTGATGGCGGTGTGAAGCGTGTCTTGGTCGGCAATGGTGATAGGCTGTCATTTTCGTCGGTTGGTGTGGCGAGTCCATTATTGGGACTGGCGATTGGGGCAGCCGTTTGGATTGGGTTTGGTCTTCTGAGATGCGATGAAAGAATCCTTCTGGGAGGTGATGAGGAACCGAATTGCGTGTTGATAGGTAATGCTGTGAGCTCGTCCGTTTCACCAGGTGCGGCGTTACTGTTGTTGGTTTCGGGGCTGCTCGCTATCTGGCTGGATCGCCTGCGAGTTCGGCTATGCCTACGCACTGGTCCCTTGTTTGCTTGCGCAGAAACACCGGTGAGATCAACTGTCGCGGGAGATGGTAGAGCGGGTTCGGGGGCACAAAAAAGCGAATGTTGGATGGGCTCTACTGATGGCGCGACCCTGGGCGCGGATACAACTTGAAATGCAACACCATTGAGCTTCAGCTCCCTCGAGGGTGGTGCGACTTTGTTGGTGGCATTTTTCTGTGTCTTTCGTAGGCTTGGGAGTCTTGATGGACCAGTCGTTGTCGAAGCTGGAAAGAGATGAAGCGATGCGGGAGACATGGTGCCAGACCTGTCGAGTGAACTGTAAACGAATAAAGTAGAAGGAAAGACAGGATGCTGAACGGAATGAAGGATCGAATGGGTATAATAGAATGTTGCAGAGATACCTATAACAATATATCTTCGACGGCATACCGCCACCTACTAGACGTCCAGCGTCCTTGGTCTGCATGTTTTCAATGGCGTCTAGAACGAGCAAACAAGACGACTTGGCGCCGTGTTCACACCGTGAAGGAGGTGTGGTGAGGGCGACCTGCACGCCAAGCACTCTTCGACGAGCGAATAGAGTGCTGTGCCGCATGGATTGTTGTGATGGGCATTTCGTGCATCCAGAGGATCGTGCGAAATTCTAAGCGCCGGCCTCTGTAAGCGCCCGCAGACACCGCTGTGAGTCGGCAAGCAATCTGAGGTTCGACTTTGAAGTACGGCGACTGATGATCTTTTGCATCGGCGGCCACTCTTCTGGCAGCTGGTTGCAGTCTCGTGGCGCCCGGAACCAGGTTACGCCTCTTGCCGTATCGAAGGATGTAGGATGATTCTCATCGTGGATGGAGACGGCAAATTCAGATTCAAGGCCGACACCAAGGCCTCCTACCCGCTTGAAGTGTCTTATCCTGAATGCAGGCAGCGATCCTGGTCTGTAGTCCAACTCTGGCGTCCATTGCGGTGGATTCTAGGAAGATATCTGTGGTCGCGTGCAGAGTTCAATCAAGACTGCCACGCGCTCCGGGCATTACTGTCGCGCCCTGACTACCTCATTGAGACGTGTCGAGAAGTATCCCTTCGGTTGAGCAGTAACATCGTCGTCTGTCGTCCATTATCACGTTGTTGCCAGATGGTGTGGAGATGAAATGCATGTTTGGACGCGTAAATACTCTATGCACATTTGATGCTTGGAAGCTCTGACGTCGGTGAGTGACGACGGCGAACTTGGAAGGCACACGCAGCTTCAACTTCATTGGGAAGAGAACTGTTCTTATTACACATGTATTCTCGGACGACACCCTTGCCACACCTCACACATACGATGAACCTTCATCGCTGATTCCGGGCACCATGGTGTCTTTTTGGCCCTTCAAGGGCGATGACAACAGCGCCGCTTCTTTCGAGAAGATCCTCAGCCAGCTGTCCACCAAGATCAACAAGGTCAGCGCTCAAAACGATCGCTTTCGCCAGAGACAACGTCGCTATAAGGTGCTATGGACGCTTTACTCAACATTCGCGTACATCCTCATTGCCGCAATCCTCACGCTGGTCACGGGCTGGGAGAAATGGGGCGCTGTTGAGTACAGTGCCATGGGAGGTGGTCCTATTCTGATTTACAGCTTGCGAACGGTGTTGGACGCATACTACAACTATCGCATAGCGAATACCCAGACTCATCTGAACGATTTGTCGAAACAGCGCGAGGCGGCCATTGAGCGGCTGAAGCAGGCCACCAAGTACAATAGTACGCAACAGTTGCTGGAAAAGTATGGAGGATCACCGCCTAGCAAGCAACAGCCATCGCCGCAGCCCAAGGGGAAGAGAAGGTCGGACATGAGCAATAATGCATCCCGAACTGGATTTGCACCACCGCCTACAGCCAACATTCCCAGCAGGCAGTCTTTGCCAGCACAACAACCAGCGCGTGGAGTTCCAGTCCCTGGGCCACCACCTTCTGGCCTTCCACCGCCAGCGGCTCCAGTCACGCCCAGGATACAGAATGTACCCGGAGAGGAATTCGCGCCCAATGCATTCACAGCCTCTCAAGCCCCACCACGCGGCCCTCCGCCTGTCAGACAGGCGGCACAATACGCGACTGAAGCTCCCAAGTGGTATGATCGCATCCTCGACGTGGTACTGGGAGATGATGAGACCAAATCCGAGAATCGTATCGTGCTGATATGCGCGAAATGTCGGCTGGTAAACGGACAGGCACCACCTGGTGCAAGAACGCTGGAGGATATCGGAAAGTGGAGGTGCAGTAGCTGCGGTACCATGAATGGCCAAGAGAGCGAGGAGAACAAGATACTCCAGCACATTGCCACAGGCGGAGATGGTACAACACGATTGAACACTTCTGCCGACCCTGGCACGTCTTCCCCGACTCATGCGGATGAAATCGGAGAGACGGAGAGTGAGAACGATAGCGAGGGGTCCCGCGAGAACACTTCGCCTGCCGCTTCGACCCGCAGCAAAGCTAGAAGGTCCGGGAAGGCATGACGAGAAAGCATGAAAGGAACAGCACACCTAGTGTTTCATGGCATTCAATATAATAAATTGTCGCCATGATCTCCCTCACAGCTTCGGGCCCTGCTTCCTCTTGATCCAAGCATTCACAGCATCAACACCAGCCGTAGCGACCTCGATATCCTGCGCTGGAGTTCCCGTACTGACTCCGATAGCGCCCACTACCTGCCCATCCACCGTTATTGGAATCCCTCCCCCAATCAACGAAAAGCGGCCAGCATTCGAATTGTGGATGCTGTAACCTGGTCCCCCCGGCAAGAAGTTCTTGCTGTTCGTGTATATTGACGTTGGGGCGCGATGGCCAGCTGCGGTGAAAGCCTTATTGATGGAGATGTCGATTGAGGTCAACTTGGCGTTGGGCATGCGGGTGAAGTGCAGCAGGTGAAGCGTGCCATCGACCAGGGCAATGTTGAAGTCTAGGTACAATGATCTCAGATCTGATCACGGCGAACATCAATACATAGTCTTACCGATTCCCATCTCCTTCGCCTTCTGTTGTGCCGCTTCTGAAGCTACAACTGCAGCTTCCAGGCTCAGCATCGGGACTGATCGTGTACCTGCCATTGTGGGAGTGTGGTTATTGAGCAGACAGAGAGTAATCCGGAGGGAAAGCGGGGGATGGAGAGTATATATGGTGGAGTGGACGCTACATGCACGATGCTTGTATGTACACAAAGTGAACTGCTGCCGTCAGCTTTGGCGACGAGAATGTGTCTGACGTAATGTCCGAGGTTTGGAGTTCGTCTGGCCGATCCTCCATGCAATCCACCAAGTCAAACGCGGTATCGACACGTCAAGTCGAGAGCATTCATTTGATGGTATAGCACGCGCCCGTCTAGAAGCTGTGCTCATAGCCTCTCAGCTACTTGCTTCCTGCTGCTGTCCGATTGTTTCCGGTCCTCGCCCAGCCTTCACCGAGGTCAGACCATGTCGACCTTGCAGGGGAAGATTGTTGTGGGCCTACTGGCGGCCGGTCCGCCTGCTGCACTCCTCTTACGAACCTATCTGGATCCACAGTACCTGGCAAGCTCCTCCAAAACGCTCATCCTGCTCTCTGTCATTATCTGCGCTGTGATCCTGAGGAATGTCACTGTTCCATACTTTACAAGCCCTCTGCGCCACCTTCCCCAGCCGCCCGGAGAGAGACTTCTGACAGGCCATCTGCTAGAAGAATTCGCCAAACCAATAGGCAGTACACTGCGCCGGTGGGTTGACAACGTCGACAATGCGGGCTTGATATTCTATCGCGGAATACTGCACTGCTTCCCACGCCTGCTACTGACTACCCCCGAGGCTCTACATGAGGTGCTCATTACACATGCCTACGACTACCAAAAGCCCTCACCAGGTCGAATCTTGCTCTCACGAACCACGGGACAGGGCCTTGTCGTAGTTGAAGGGCACGAGCATAAACTACAAAGGAAAAGCGTAGCGCCTGCATTCACGGGAAAGCAGATTAAAGACCTCGTTCCGTTGTTTTGGTCAAAGTCAAAGGAGTTTGTCGATGTCATTGCTAATCAACTCGATGTACCATCTGGCTTGAACCAGGCTGGGGGACGCACAGGTGTCGTGGATCTCACCAAATGGACCTCTCGCGCCACGCTAGACATCATCGGTCAAGCCTGTGTCGGTCGAGACTTTGCYTCTCTATACAATCAGGATGATGAGTTCGTACAGCAGTATGATAAGATTCTGGGCAAGGTGCCTGGCAATATCTTAGTCTATGGTGCCTTGAGTGTGCTTATCCCTATTCACATCGGACGCTGGGTCCCATTCTTCACCCGATTCCGCCAGGCTTCCGACGGAAGGTACCACCTGCGTCCCCTTTGTCGCAATCTCATCGAGATCAAACGACGAGACATGGAGTCCGAATCCGCTAAGCATGTTGACATCCTTTCTGTCCTCATTCGTTCGGGCCAGTTCACAGACGATGGTCTCGTTGATCAGCTACTCACATTTCTTGCTGCTGGGTCAGTGCTACAATTTCCAGCTAGTCGAATGTCACTAACTCAATACAAGTCACGAAACAACCTCAGGCGCTTTGAGCTTTACTGCTTGGCTTCTCAGCATCAATCCTTCGGTCCAGAACAAGCTCCGCGCAGAGCTTCGCGAGTACTTTGCCGTCAACACTGACATTACCGCTGCTTCTCTCGATCAGTTGCCTTACCTAAACGCCGTGACGAACGAACAGCTAAGACTAGTCCCATCCGTTCCTACAACAGCCAGAGTAGCCATCCGCGACACTCAAATCCTCGGCCAGCACGTTGCCGCAGGCACACATATTGTCATCAGCCCTTGGGCCATCAACCGTAGTCAGAAGATCTGGGGCCCCGATGCCGAGGAATTCAGACCAGAGCGATGGCTCGAGCAAGAGACGTCGAAAAGTCCGCTGAATCTGATGACTTTCTTGCATGGACCGCGCAGTTGTATTGGACAGGCATTTTCTCGCGCAGAACTCAAGTGCTTGGTGGCCGCTTTGGTTCACAAGTTTGAGCTGAAGATGGCTGATCCGGGAGAAGTCATCGAGCCGGTGGGGCTGGCAACGGTCAAGCCGAAGAATGGTCTGAGACTGCTACTGAGGGAGTTGTGATCTCTTGGCCCTTGTGCTCGATAGCGATACATAGTGGCGAAACATTGCACTCGTCGTCTGTTCGGTGTCTCTTTTAGGTTGTGATCATTCGAGACAAGCGACAAGATGCCACGCACAGATACACGGCGGTGACGTCTGATAGCTTCACAAACGTAGAATCTCGATTGTGTAATGCACCATTCGGTTCGGGCGATTTCCGATTCAGGTCTGACAGGTGTGACAAGATTTTCTTAGCGCCATTCCAGGTGAATGTATTCTTCTTCGCATCACTGGGTATCTTGTTAGTCCGCACGGCAACGGAGGCAACACACAACTCAAAAGTTCGTTGGGTCTAGAGGAATACAGAGTTGTACACTATTTTCGACTCGCAACTACTTCTGTGATGGGTATAATGCACACATTCTCAATAGTCTGTAACCATAGTAGTGCCACCTTTTCATGGATTAGGAACCGCATGATTCTAGACGCAGAGACAAAGCACGCGGATGTGTCCCGACTGAGGTCCATCAAGTCCGACTTCTCAAGAAAGCTTTTCCCAAGTCCTTTTRCTGTACGCCAACAACGCTCAAGGCCAGCTCATATTTAAAACGGTCGCAGGGAATTCAAAAGACGAGAAATTGCACTTTGTGCGGACGGGCAGCATCATTCGTTTTCGGCCTGTAAACTTGGTCGCATTGGCAGTTCAAAGCCATGTTCTTGCGCTGGAGACTCGCTTCTAAGCAAGTCATTGGGTCTGTGCGCGAGGGTGTTGATACCGTCCAGCTGCGTTCGTACCGAGGCAACCGAGGAAGAACTTTCGCCTCTCATGCCAGAACTGCTCTGCAACAACAAACCGTGACGAAAGCGCTCAGATTTGCGAGCCTTCGTTGAGCCTGCTGTACCTCCGCTCCCACTTGTAGACCATATGCGACGCTTTGGGGTAGTAGGTGGGGCACGCGGTAGCAAAACATCGCTCTGTCTCTTTTTCCATATCCGTCCCTGACTTGTGTGCTTCAGTCTGCATGCGGTGCCAATGTTCGTGGAGTTTGATAGTTCATGCCTGCGCGGAGACCTTCGGCCATCAAGCGCATTAGCGAACATGTGTCAAGAAGGTGTTTGAGGAGGGTAGGGCGATCACAACTCTTCCTCGTCGTTGACCTGTGGCAGCTGAGGCGTTGCGTTCAGCTTGATCTCAGGTGTCGAGGCTGCTCGGTCACCAGACGCAGCTGACGTTTGGCTCTCGTTCACACTAGTACCAAAGCCGCCAAATGCACTGCTGGCCAATCCCGGCATGCTAGATCTCGCACGCTTGTACGGACTTGAAATGCCATCGGCAGTTGCGTCGGTGATGAGCGGCGATAGGCCATCTGGAGGCGTTCCAGCATTCGCATTGGTCGAGTTCCCTGATGGCGATGTGCCACCACCTGGCGAATCCTCGACTTTGATGTGTGGTGTCTTGTGGCTGGAGCTAGACTCGCTAACTGGCTCAGCAGAGTGCTGGCGTTTGAGCTGTTGCAATATGTCAGTGATTCCAACACTCCGGGTTAGCTGCAGGCTATGCTCACCTTGATCTTCTGTACGCCCTCCGAGATCTCGCCTTGACGCTTAGCGTCCTCAGRAGACAGCAAGCCGCCATTTTCTTGCTTGACATCGCCATCCTCAAGCCCGTCGATTCGCCTCTCGTCATCCTCGTCGTCCGCATCGCTGTCCATGGCGTCCACGTCCTTGTTCCGATCGTGTCGCCGCTTGGCGGTAGTAGCATCCCGATATCCAGAGTAGCCTACGGTACCGGCTGTCTTGAGCGGACCAAGCTTGGAGAAGTCTGGTCCGGATGACTTGCGTCTGCTGTTCTGTTCTGTAGCCTTCTGAGGCGTTGTTTCTGGTACTATGCCCATCTTCTGTAACTGCTTCTTGCCACGATAGAAGAATGTGAAGACTGCATATGGTGATTCTGGAGGGTCCAGTCCTGTGACGGTCTGCGTGCTGATTGATTTCGGATCCAGTGTCTTGGGCTTGGCGAAACTCGTAGTATGGTCGGCATCACCGTCGCCGCCATCGCCGCCTCCGCTCTGTCCGTCCATACCTTCGTCGTCATCGTGCGCGTCGAATTGAGGAGAGTATTCTCCGCGTTTGATCTCGCCACTGGCAAGAACACGGAAGAGTGCGACCTTGATCTGGCCAGCAGCTTCTGATTGCGGTGGCTCGTCGTCCGAGTCCGACTCGGACGAGAAGAGGCCGTCCTCGATTGGAAGATCCTCCACTGGGGAGCTGCCATCTCCACCATACCGCAGCACGCCGTTCCTGTCCACCCGCTTGTAGCCTATCTCTTCCATCTCGCCGTCACTGTTGACCTCTTCCTTGACCTTGGTCCGCTTCTTCTCCAGTTTCCGCTGCCTCCGCTCAATCCGCGCCGCCTTGTCCTTGTTGCTGCCCTCGAGATCAAGCCCGTTCAGCCATCTCTCTAGTCCCACCTCCCTGAACAAGAACTCACGCTCTGCCAGGCCACCACCTTCCGATTCGGGCACGCTGACCCATCGCGAGTTCACCCACGTCTCTTCGCCGCGGCGTAGCAGAGTCGCAACTTCCTCCTTTGGACGGCCATCGAAATAAATATAAGCGGCAATCGTCTCGTTCGGGTTTGTGGTGCGCGGAATGTAGGGAGGCACGGTCGCAGAGTATTTGCCACGCTCGCCCGCATATCCTGGTAGTCCGCCAACAACTCTCGGGCGAGGGTAGGGGTCCTCGGGTGTGGGCTTTGGTGTCGAGTAAGGCACATTCAGGCCGGGTGTGAGCAAGGTGATGGAAATGGCAAATGTGGACTGCTCCGGTTTGCCCGTGGCCGAGTTGTTGGGGATGCTGGCGGGAGGAACGGGGATATAGGACGAGATTCGGGAGACGCGCGATTGTTTCTGGATCGAGTGCTCGGCTATGGGGCCATCCGGTGTGTGGATGCTGACCGCAAGGCCCTTGAAGCAAGGCATCTTGCGGTCCTCAGATCGCACCGGGGCGGGGTGGAAATGTGGTTGTCGAGGGTGCAATCGGCTGCAATGTGCGCGGTGGTGGTGGAAAAAGCGCGGGAGATTGTGAAGAAAGCTGCAGCAGCCTGCAAGGCGGAGTGGGAGTAAATTGTCGTCCGTCAGTAGCAATGCGGGCGCCGGCGGAAAGAGCCGAGCAGAAGATGTCGATGGCGATGGAAGAATCTTTTGTGAACGCGGCGACGGGTCGTGTACAAGTTCCGTAGTTCTACTTACTCCACCAGTTCGCGAGGAGAGCGTGTGCTTGTGCTTGTCTCAAAGGGAAGCTTCAACAGCAACGAAGTTCCAGGTTGTCCAACCCCACCTCACTTCAGCACTCGAGGCTTGATATCTGACGCGCGACAACACACACAACACGGGAAGACGATGCTCTATTATGAAAGAGGAGGGACTGATACTAGAAGCCGCCTGCGTCGCTCACGAGAAGCCAGCGCAGGACAAATTGTGCCTCAAGCGTGTCCCTCTCGCCCGCGTGCTTCAGATCACCTTTCCACATCAACGGTCACATGCGCGAAGAGGAGATAACTGACCGTGCGTTTGCCATGATCGATAAGGGATCTCGCATGACACACTTCGCGAGCCATCTTTGCGAATCCCTGTTCCGGGCGTTCAGTTGGCTTCTTCAACTCCCATCGCATGTCCGGACTGTGGCCCGTTGCCTGTTCATATCATATGAACTTGCCGAGGACTTGCTGAGCTGTGGCTTTGGACCATTCCTTGCACCTCGCGGTCTAAAGATACTACGTCTGAGTGGTCTGGTATTCATCATCCGGTGTTCGGACAATCTGCCATGATGCTGATCAGCGCTTCCCCTGTTCATCACTGCGTCAAACCTGACCAACAACTCCATGCGTAGGGCTTACGGCTTCGACCCGGTCAAGACAAAAGGCGGTATGAGCTGATGTGCTCTGAATGATTCTTTACTTCTCTTTCGTTGTATCTCTTTGATCTACCACTCCTCGTCCGGCACTATGATATGCGTGAAGACAGGTCCAGCAGCATTTGTAGCCAAGACCCACCTCTGTTCATCATCGGAATCAACATCTGGCGTGCTATTGATCAACCCTACCGGATACTCCACAGTCGAACACTGCAAAGCGCAAGTCAAATCATCTCGGGGCACAATCTTGCAATTCAGCGGCACCCGATCATCCTCCTCGATCTCCTCGGCGTCACTGAGATAGACTATTTGCTGGTCGTCTCGTCTAGGCTTGCTGGAAGTCGTTCCATCTACATTCGCAATCATCTCAGGATAGCTGGCATTTCGAAGCTGACCTTGAGCGTCCAAGCTGAATAATAGCCCTTGGTATGGACGTTCAACCAGAGTCTGTCCTCCACCTCCTGATAGCTCATGGCCATCCAGAGCTTCGTCGTCGCTCAAAGCTCGCAGATGGAAGGCTGCTGGTGTTTGAACAGCTGTCCGAGTGGCCGTAACGGTCACGGTACCCGTCAGGACTTTGGTGGTGGTGGACGTGACGGGACCGGTGGGAATGGTCAAGCAGCTGCAAGCCGATGAGATTGCGGCCGTCTTTGTGTATCGACCGAGACATGAGGGTTTCGGCTTCGGCTTGGATTTCTGGACGACCTTCTTCTTACTTGCTTCGCGCTTTTCAACGGATCCTGTGGGTGCCTGACATACGAACGCTTTGGTCGTTGTTGCTGTAACGGTTGCAGTGACCTTGGCACTAGGTTTGGGTCAGCCTTGTACGAGATCCTTGTATTGGCTAACTCACTTCGTGATTGTCCGAGTAACCGTCGTCGTTGCTCGAGGCTTCAACGAAAGGTAAGAGCTGCAATATGTAGTGGCAGCTGGAAGATCTTTGGCCGGAATCACCACAGTCTTGATTGCTGAGCAGTATGCATGTTTCGCATTGCCACTACGTCCTTCGAGCTCGATTGGTGTTGCCAACACAGAGGCAACGAGGGCGGCAAGGAAGAGTGATCTCATCTTGAGCGAGTTATGGGTAATGAAATGAAGGGGCGGACTGCAGGTGACTAAATTTACCTACTCACTCGAGGGGATATCCATCTTATACATATCAAAGTCCCGTTGACAAATGTCCACATCAAAGTCAATGGCGGTCTGGCTGCAAGCCTCGAAGCCAGCGCTTGTCGAATTGTAGCCGCAGGGCTGTTCGTCGCGAGTATTCCACGCTCAGTCAAGCGAGCTATTACTAACAACTCTTTGGAACCGCTGCTGTTCAAGGACAGGGAGCTCGGGTCAGCCCTCTGGTTCTGAATCAGAGATTGCCAAGCAACGACATGTGGCATATAAATGGGGCTAGTTCTGATTTTGGCGCGGTCTAGGCTCTAGCAAGCGCAACACATCACCTACGCGAACGGCCACRCCGTGCGTGCACGAGACTCGTCGGCATGGTTTGACTGCCAGTGGAAATGAAAATCAGCTGAGACCGAATGCAAGGACAGCAGTCAAATTCAGCTGAATTACAGAGTACGACTTTGATCATTCCCACAARAGCTTGGGTCGCTTGCAAAGCAGTGTAGTGTTCAAATGCGTCTTTGTAGGAGAGAGTTCCATTCTCTTCGCTTCCTTGCTGCGACACTCTGTTATCGAAGCTGTATCTAGTGCTCCCGATCACCCTCATCACATCGAGCGTCGAGAGACTGCGTTACTCCGAGAGGCAGGAAGGGGCGTAGTCTTGGACTCTCGATACTGTGTGCATAGCTAAAGCCTGACATCGGCATGTCCACATTCGCTACCGTGTCCAACCGACTTCTGAGCGAATATACCTGGATATTTCAAGCAATTGATGTTGAGATGTTGAGAGAGATTCCACACTTTATGTGTTCGGAACTTTCCAACTCCGGTCATGTCCAAGCCGCTTCAAAAGCTCTGGTCGAGACTGCCGGACTTTGACTCGCGGAGCATCTGCAGCTTCTTTGGATCCTGGAGGCACGCTCTCTTGAGCAGCTCAAACTCGACCGGACTGTTAAGTCACCTGTAGCGCGCGACAGCCGCAGGGACTAGAGACTTAATTCTTGTCAACAAGGAAGTGGTGTCTCGGGATTCAAAGTGAGAGCAGCCATTGCGCGACAGTTTATAGCCCTCTCATAGCAGGACGAGTTTGCATATAATGGCCTGGGCGTGATATGAAACGTCCCCACCTCAAGTCGCGACCTCTGCTGAAGGATCCAACGCAGCTCTCTTCTCCACTTGATTTTTCAGGATCTCTTCGTTGGGATCAGTGATCGTAACATGTAGCTCGTCCACCAGATCCTTCGTCTCAAACTGTCTCGCTCCTATAGGCCGTTGAGGCCGAAGCGCAGTCCTTTGCACCAGTGGATAGAAGTATGCACCCTTCGCCAGCCGCTTCCCTGCATCACCTGTCGTCTCAGGATCGTGCAGAGAAAGCGCCACAGAATCGTTGTAGAGATTGTGCAGGTCACCGTGCTGGTTGTAGGTCTCGTACGTCCGTAGGCGCTTGAACCTGAATCCCAGCCCTCCGTCCATCGCCTCCTGTGGGTAGAGAGCATCATCATCCTTCTCCGGGTCATTGACATTCAGCTTCCGCTTGAGATTGTTCACCGCCTCCTGGTCGTCTGGGATGTAGTAATCATAGTCATATTCTCGGATCGGCGCAGGCTTCGTTGACTTTGCCTCCTCCCACTCGCGCAGCTTCTCGTCATACTTTGCTTCCGCCTGCTCGTCGATTACAGGCTTGATTATCGCAGTGTCGAGCCGTTCGTCATAGCTCCCCGTCGTCGCAAGTGGATTCGAAATGAACTTCATCACCATGTAGAAACCGGCTGATGGTATTGCTTCCAGGTCAGGAAGTACGGGATACGAGTCGAGCAATTTGAGGTCTGAATTGGTTGGGTGTTTCGGGTTTTTCCACGCTTTTTTCTCTTCCTCGGTGACCTGAGCTCCTCTCAAGTTGGTGGTACTGTCCTGACCTTCGTACATATCGTGCGGATATGCCAAGTCGAAGCCCTTGACAATATTCCGCATGATATTGATTGGGTCTTCCTTGTTCACGCTCGGTTGTGTGGGTTTCGTGTTGTTGCGTGGCTTCGCAAGATTATTGGGGGTGGCCGCTGAAAAGTGCTGTGTATTTTGAGAAGCGGTATATTCAGTCCTTCGAAGGAAAGAGACAGCGCCGCTGGTTGCACTGGCCTTGCCTAAAGATGCGAGTGGTCTTAGGAGGGCCTTGTCTGCCGGATGTATGGTCTGTGGGCCCACTCGCGCCGAGATGGCTATATCCTGTCAGTGCATGACCAACACACACGCGTCTAGCATCACTTACCGCGCTCATCGCCGTCGAATACTCCCGGAATACCCACCAAGTCAATGGGCATGCCCAGCTCCGCATCCGCTTCAATGTTGAGCGGTTGGTCTCTTGCCAGACGCGATGCATATCCCGCGCTTGTGTATTGCCCGCCGGCGAGTCCTGTTCCCGGAATCTCGAGGAGTTTGGGTGGATGCGGCGGTGGTGGTAGGGCATTGGAGTATCGAATGCGCGCGWTGTAGTCCTGGTGCACCACCTTCTCTGCACGCGCTCCGGACGCCATGGTTCGGGGATACGCAGATACGCGAGGGCCGACGAAGTTATGCGAAGGTGTAGGTTTGATGTCGCTTCAKCTGATGCTTTTGTAGAGATGCTTCAAAGTACAACTTGAGCATTAGAATACGCGCTGTAGGCAGGAGCTCGCTCCGCGGAAGGTCAAGCGAGCATAGGCAAACGGCCTCGACCGCGGCGACCGCCAACTTTCTTCACACGCCACGACTGAAACATCATCACCAAATCGACCACCAAGGCTCGTAGACGACGCTGCTTGCATTGATTTGCCGAGCATCTGCGATACTTTGCGCATGCTCCCAGACCGGACAGATTACTGCACATGCTGGTTCTAATCGAAGCTGGGAACTAGGACTTGTCAAAGCACCAGCCCCGCAGCATGCCCACGTTCTTGGATTGATTCKGTGTCCCCACTGCGCACTGCCACCTGAGGCGCGGAAAGCATACTTCTAACCCACGTGCATCATGGACGGGACGGAAGGGATGGAGAGACTCGCCGCGAGCCTCTCTTCGTCACCAGCCGCTAGCAGAGTCGCCGAAGTTGTGCAAACCATGACCTCCATCGCAAGCTCAACTGATGCAGGTACACCGGCCGCCCGCTCCAACCTGAGCATGCTGGGTGGCCTGCTGCTGGGCATCTTCACGATAGTCCCGAGCATTTTGATCTGGATCATCACCTTCATCACCCTGACTCTCCCGACATGGCTGTTCTCCTTCCTCTCAACGAGTCTGACCTTCACCATGAACATGACGACTCTTCTGCTCCTCCTGCTGGCGATAGTGTCCACCCTCAGCTGGTTTGTGAGATATCGGTTCTTGAACATGTACTCTCGATTACCACCAGAACCACAACGGAAGGAGCCTCAGGTCGAAGTCTTCCCCGAGTCCCACGAAACAGAGTCCAAACCTGGCTTGGCCAATTACTTTGATGAATTTCTCAGCGCTATCAAAGTCTTCGGCTACCTGGAACGTCMAGTATTTCACGAGCTCACACGGACTATGCAGACTAGAAAGCTTATCGCGGGAGAGACGTTACTCCTGGACGAGGAGAAAGGCTTCTGTTTGGTGGTCGACGGCTTGGTTCAGATCTTTGTCAAGTCCAGTCGCGGACAAGGAATGGATTCGAACGAGTCTGCAATCGCAGACGATGATCAACCTGAGGATCGGACTGGTGGACATGGAAGCTACCAGTTACTGACCGAGGTCAAGAACGGTGCTCCCCTGTCTTCTCTGTTCTCGATCTTGGCTCTCTTCACGGATAATGTCAAGTTACGATATGACGAAGACGAAGACGATATGCATACTAGCGGATCCAGTGGAAATTTAAAGCAGCATGCTCGAGCCGCCGTGAGTGGCGAGTATGCTCCAGGCTCGGCCCAGGATAGTCCACTACCCTGGAGTGCCACAGATACTTCCCGGCCGGCTAGCAGCAGTCACTTCAGAGACCCTCCCCCGTTGACCTTGGATGGGAGCACCGACAATAGCCAAAATCGGCAATCCAGCAGGAGACAAAGTAAGGCTCGCGATGCCGGCGTTCGAGACCAGCGAGCAAGGAAAAGTAGCTCTGCTCATCCTGATATTGTTGCCAGAGCGACTGTCGACACTACAATCGCCATTATCCCTGCGAGCGCGTTTCATAGAATTACGAGGATCTATCCCAAAGCGACTGCGCACATTGTTCAGGTAATCCTGACTCGTCTCCAGCGCGTAACATTGGCAACTGCAAATTCTTATCTTGGCTTGACAAGCGAAGTGCTAAGAACCGAGCGTTTGATGGACAAGTATACCAGCTATGACCTGCCAGACTTCCTGCGCGGCGAGGCGCTGCAACGTCTGAAGGATAAGTTCCTCAAAGATCAGGAACGAATTGGACCTGAGGAGGGGATGAAAGGGATTGCATTGCACAATCCTCGAATTGCCCAGCGGAGACGAACCAGTAGTCGTCTTAGGCGTGATGCTGCGACGCAAGCACGAATGAGTGTTCGCAACGGCAGCCTGCATGCGGACGACGTGGGAGGGGAGCGTGGCGGGATGAGCGCTGGTGACCTACTGACAAACATCCACGCAGCTCGAATGCCCGGCCGCAGAGGCCAGCCTGGGGGCTTCTCGCAGCCATATTCCGCACCACGCGCTTCAAATGGGGACGCATCAGAGTCCATGCGCCACCGGAAGCGAGAGTCATTCAACGCGGGGCACAACCCTCGAGCCACGATGCATCGTCAGGAGTCGATGGATGAGGATTTGATATTCCGCGAGTCTATCATGGAATGCATGGCGAAAGCCATTGGCCTTACCAACTCGAAGGACGCTTTGCGGCAGGCCTCTTCCGTGGCCCAGTCGCCTCACTTGGTCTCCTACGACTCGCGCAAACAAAGCGCAATCTTCGGCAATGCTTTTGGCTTCATGGACTCGTACGATGGCGGCTCACAGGACGACTCGGAATCGGTGGCATCTGCGTCCGCTTTCAGCGTGGGCGGATCTGCCAATATCCTGGACGACTTACGGAACGAGGTCGAGATCGTGTTCTTCCCCAAGGATGCAGTTCTGGTCGAGGAAGGAGAGCGAAACCCCGGGTTGTACTATGTCATCGACGGCTTCCTGGATGTCAGTGCGTCGGTAGATGAACAAGAGGCAAACTCGAACGTCTTTGGCACCACGGCTAAGCCTGACATCCCGGAAATGCTCACCCCACAAGACCGACGACGCGTCTCGGGAACAACCAGGTCTACGTCGGTCAGCGGCTCAGAGAACGTTCGTCGCAAAAAGGCCGGACTCGCCCGTAAAAGCCTCTTTCTGATCAAGCCTGGCGGTCTAGCGGGCTATCTTGGTACGATCTCTTCGTATCGTTCCTTCATCAACGTTACTGCCAAAACTGATGTCTATGTTGGATTTTTACCGCGCGTCGCGATCGAAAAGATTGTCGAGCGGCACCCGATTGTGCTATTGACCATGGCGAAGAGAATGACAAATCTGCTGCCGCGGCTGATCCTGCACATTGATTTCGCTTTGGAATGGGTGCAAGTCAATGCTGGTCAAGCAATCTACCATCAGAAAGAAGACAGCGATGCAATATACATTGTCTTGAACGGGCGACTACGCGCCATACAGGAGAGCGATGATGGTAAGATGAAAGTCACCGGAGAGTATGGTCAGGGTGATAGCGTGGGCGAGCTCGAGGTGCTCACCGAAACAGCCCGATCCAGCACCCTGCACGCAATTCGTGACACAGAGCTCGCGAAGTTCCCAAAGACGCTGTTTAATAGCCTGGCGCAGGAGCATCCCGGCATCACCATCAAAGTCTCAAAGATCATCGCATCTCGGATGAGGGCTTTGATTGAGAACCCGATGAACGAGTCGGATAGCTACAACAAACTTGCGGTCGAGAGGCCCAAGGTCACGACAACTTCGAATCTCAGGACGGTTGCGATCATCCCCTGTACATCAGGTGTTCCTGTTGTTGAGTTTGGCCACAAACTGCACAATGCTTTGAACCAGATTGGGAATCCGAACGGCGTTTACGTGCTGAGCCAGTCGACAATTCTGAACCACCTTGGCAGGCACGCATTCAGCAAAATGGGCAAATTGAAGCTGTCGCAGTACCTGGCTGACCTTGAAGAGAAGTATGGACTCGTGATCTACGTGGCAGATACGAGCGTGAAATCGCCTTGGACTCAAACATGTGTGAGTCAAGCTGACTGCATCTACTTGGTTGGTGTCGCTGAGGGCTCGCCGGCTATTGGCGAGTATGAACGTTTCTTATTGACCACCAAGACTACTGCGCGCAAAGAGCTCATCTTGCTGCACACTGAGCGGTACTGTCCCTCGGGGACAACAAGAGCATGGATGCGGAACAGACCTTGGATTAACGGGGGTCACCATCACGTTCAAATGGCCTTTCGATCAGCACCGGAGCCCGTCCATCCTCCCCAGAAGCGATTCGGCAGTGCCATTAAGCAGCGTGTTCAAGTGATACAAGCCGAGATACACAAGTACACGTCGCGGAAGGTCAGGCAAACTCCTCTCTACTCGGCAGAAACACCGTTCAAGGGCGACTTCCATCGTCTGGCGAGGAGACTTTGCAACAGATCTGTTGGCCTCGTCCTAGGCGGTGGTGGTGCCAGAGGTCTCGCTCACGTTGGTATCATCAGAGCTTTGGAGGAAGCCGGCCTCCCAATTGACATCATTGGTGGGACATCAATCGGGTCGTTTGWGGGTGCAGTCTATGCTCAAGATGCCGATGTGGTACCAATGTATGGCCGAGTGAAGAAGTTTGCTGGCCGCATGGGCAGTGTCTGGAGATTCGCGCTTGATGTGACCTACCCGTCCGCATCGTACACAACTGGCCACGAATTCAACCGCGGAATCTTCAAGACGTTCGGGGACAGCCAGATCGAAGACTTCTGGCTCGACTTTTACTGCAATTCGACGAACATAACAAAGTCGCGCTCGGAGATTCACACGAGCGGCTACGTTTGGAGATATGTCCGCGCATCGATGTCTTTGGCGGGCTTAATTCCGCCCATGTGTGATGAAGGGAACATGCTGCTCGACGGCGGCTACACGGACAATCTGACTGTATCGCACATGAAGGCACTCGGGGCAGATCAGATCTTCGCCGTTGATGTGGGTGCGCTGGACGACGACACTCCGCAAGCCTACGGCGACAGTCTTTCCGGAATCTGGGCCTCGCTCAATCGCTGGAATCCTTTCTCGTCATACCCAAACCCGCCTACGCTCTCCGAGATCCAGGCCCGGCTGGCATACGTAAGCTCAGTGGACAATCTCGAGCGTGCGAAGAACATCCCCGGCTGCAGATACATGCGACCTCCAGTTGAAGCATATGGAACACTGGATTTCGGAAAGTTTGACGAGATTTACCAGGTGGGCTATCAGTATGGACAGAAGTTTTTGGCTGATTTGAGGGAGGAAGGACTGCTGCCGGGTGGAGAGGAAACTGAAGAGAAACGAAATCTGAGGAGGACTATGGCTCCAAGGCGTGCCAGTATTTGATGTGATGCATATTCTGCGCAAGGGGCTTGAAACTGTGCTCGCGTCTCGCGGTGATACCCCATGGCGAAAGCAATGTCGCAGCATATTGTAATGAAATATATTGACTTCCTCACCTCGCTCCGGAAGTTGCTAGGTGACAATTCTTCTGGGTCCTGCGGTACCTACCTATCGCGTCGGAAAGAGATCGGCTCGGCACCCTGCTGGTGCTTGGTGGGGCCGAAGAACCGATAAATGGTCCCGAATGTGAGAGAGCTAACTCCATGACGAATGCTACATCATTTACAATAAATGCCCATACATCTCGACACATTTGAACTCTGGTCTCATTGATCATGTCTCCTAAGAAGAATTTCGAGATAGCAATTGTTGGTGGCGGTATGTTCTGGCTCCAATTCACGAATCATTATCTAACCGTAACATCTAGGTATATCCGGGTTGGCGCTTGCGATTGCTCTTCATCATAGGGGAATTCCTATTACCATATACGAGCAAGCGCCTCACTTTGCAGAGATTGGAGCTGGAGTTGCCTTCACTGGAAATGCAGTTCAGGCAATGAAAATTTGCCATGAGGGTGTCCACGATGCTTTCCACAAGGTCCGCACGGGCAACATGTGGAAGGAGAAAGCAAATGTCTGGTTCGATTACCACGATGGTTATCACAGCAGGGAAAACACTCATGCATTTACCATCCTCAACGAACTTGGCCAAGCGGGCGTTCATCGTGCACACTACCTGGATGAACTCGTCAAGCTGCTGCCCAAGGAACACGCACAGTTTGGCAAGCGTTTGAAGTCACTTACCAAAGGTAATGATGGTAGGTGGAATCTGCAGTTCCAGGACGGATCGTCTAGTAGTGCAGATGCGGTTATAGGTTGTGATGGCATCAAGTCTACGGTGAGGCAGATGATGTATGGGCGAGATCACCCATGTGCATTTCCAACGTACACGTACAAGTATGCGTACCGGGCACTCGCAACAATGGAGGATGCTATCAAGGCTGTTGGAGAAGAGAAGGCACAGAATGCATGCATGCATGTATGTTTCAGTTTCTCACATTGTGAGTTTGGTCAGACTGACATTGGATCTAGATGGGACCTGGCGGGCACATGTTGACATTCCCCGTCAATCACGGCAAGACGTTGAACATTGTAGCTTTCACCRCTACGAAGAACGACTGGCCGGATCATGAGAGGCTTACCATGCCCGCAAAGCGAGAAGATGCACTGAGGGACTTCGAAGGCTACGGCGATGATGTCACAAAGCTGCTCCAGCTATGTCAACCGGAGCTCGACATTGTGAGTTTCATAAACGGCACTTGACTGTCAACGTCGGAACACTGACCTTCGCGAAGTGGGCCATCTTCCATTTAGGAGACAATCCTGTTCCCAATTTCGCGAAAGGAAGCTTATGCCTAATTGGAGACGCGGCCCACGCAACATCTCCCCATCACGGGGCTGGAGCGGGTCTCTGTATTGAAGACAGTGCTATCCTCGCCGAGCTACTGGCAGATGAGCGTGTCCGCAGCACGCAGGATGTCGAATCTGTATTTGCTACCTTTGACGAGGTTCGACGAGAGAGAGGTCACTGGCTGGTCCAAAGCAGCCGACGCATGGGCGACTGCTACGAATGGCTAGGGGAGGGAGTTGGCGAAGATTTCTCCAAAATCGAGGAGGAGATCAATAGGCGGAACGGCATTATTGCTAATGTCGACGTCACAGAATTGTGCCTAGATGCGAGAAAACATTTGTCGCAGGCCTTGGGGTCGGCAGGGAAGCTGTGAGGAGGCTGTCGCAGTCGATTTGTGGCATTTACTCGGAGCACGCATTACATATTAAGCTCAAGCACAAGATTCTCTTCCAGTGTGTTTTCAATATGTTTGTGCTAGCAGGGGAACCTACTGCTGCGGAAAATCCAGCCAATCCAAGTTGATCAACTGCTGACCGTACCACGCCTCCGTTAAATTTTCGGCCCCAAAGAAGTCGCCATCTTCAAGACTCAGGTTGAGTGGTGTGGTTGCAGAACCAGTGCCAGTGCCAGTGCCGTTTTGCCCGGCATCTGACACTTGGGAGGGATGCATTGACTGCCCCTGTGCACGCGCAGAGACTTTCAAGGGTTAGCTCATCGTAGAGTTCTCTATTTTGCAATGGCGACAGTCAATCAATACAGACTTACCTTGCCCACGGGCAGTCTCCAAGACCTGGTTCTTCATTGAGTTGAGAATTTGCATTGCGTGATTCGCAGAGGGGATCTGATCCTCGTACTAATAGCCAAGGACAGGATGGTTAGCAGTTCGGTGTCTCAAATGGCCTTGCATGTCTAGCAACAAGACAGACTTTACGAAGGAAGGTATGCCTTGCACTTACGTATTCCAAAATGGATAGACAGCGACTCCACGCTGTTCCCATGTCGCTGACATCCGCCTCCGGTCGATAGTCGTCGATCTTCGAGTAAGCCAGGAGCACAATGGCAGCGGCAAATGTGACTATAAGGATCATGTCAGATACCTAGCAGTCAGTAACCAGGCGGAACGACGTACAATAAACAGAGTGCCATCCGGWGCTTCGATATAGCGTTCCTAGGTGGTCATACAGAGTATCGATTAGCCGACCTGCGGTCGAAACGCAACTGTTGCAGCAGCTTCGAATAACTTGGTCATCCAAGTGAGAAATGCTTGAGAGTCTGGATTCCCGCTTGGTGGTGGCCATCAACAACAGAGGCCGAAGCGACAGCAATCTGACATAGAGGAATCTAGGGCAGTTATTGTAAGCCGTGACTCCATACAGGACTACTCGGACAGCGACTCACCGGCAATATAGTACTTGTTGCTAGGGAAAAGTGAGTTAGCCAGCCGAAGCGACCTATAAGATGGTGAACTCACTTGAAGCTGGACATAGTCTGCGGATACCATGGCCTGTCCAGGACCTGGCATTCGAAGGTGGTCTGGAACACTCTGTCATACGTGAGCAATGTGGTTCATGGTATTGGTATCGATGGCTGTCGCATATCCGTACCTCTAGAAAGCTGTCCAGCCGTCGATTGAAGTCAAGTACGGGCGTCACAATCTCAGCGACGTTGCTCACGCCATTGCCCGACTTCTGAGATCCGGAGTCCCTGTAGAACAACTCTAGTATTTCTTCCAGAATGTCAAAAAGCTTGCAGGAAAAGACAAACAGTCCGAGCCTCGAATGGATGCCGGCTGGCTGCCCAGACTCTCCTCGGTCGCTCAGGTACTCGTCATCAATCATCGCCGGTATGGGGATTGAGTGGGAATTATCAATCATGGAAGGGCGTCCAAAAGTCATGGCAAGTAGTCTGTCTAGATTGACGCACGTATGCCAAATTCGACGGCGCATCTCCCGTTCGACCTGACTTCCAAGCTTCCGTGTACTATTATCAACGTGCAACCCCAGACTCATTGCCATACGAATGGCCAGGCCCACCGAGTTCCAGCATCGGCTAGCATATTCGGTGGATTGCAAATACACGCCGGTAAGTACTAGCATCTGCACGAGAGAGACACTTGTGGAGTCCAGGATATCGAACGGATATGCTTGACGAGATCTCTGATAGAATCCATTGGCAACGTTACTTTTCTGCGCAGCTTCAATGAGGCTGGAGAACTTGCAGCCGATCGCAAACACCAGATTCAAGATCGACGTGAACGTTGCTTCTTCGGCCTCTGAAGAAAATTCCGGATGCGCATCGGCATTTTCGACCCATAGACGTTCGTATTGCCGCAGGAAGGTTGGTCGATGCAAGACAGGAAAGAGAGGGTGCACGAACTCCCAAAAACACAGCAGAAAGTTGTCCGCCTGTCGCCTGATTGGAAGAACAGCCACGCCTCCATCATTCGCGCGTGTCAGGCGGTCTGGTATAGGCGCTACAGGAGCGAAACTCCTGGGATCATTGTAGGTATCTCGTGTATTAGCTTGGAGGGGTGTCGGGGAGCCACTGTTTTGAGCTTCCTTGACAGATCGTAAAAAGGCCACAGTTGAAGAAGGCCCATATAGCGAGTCATCGCCGCTTGCGGCAATTGTGGCGAGCCCATCTGCCCGTCCAGGGTGCCATTCGCGATTCTGCACAGGAATGCCCTGGCTCGGAGCTCCCTCCTTGGTTGTCAATAGCTGTGCCTAGAAGCGAAGGGCAAAAGGGTCAGCGATGTCTCAGACATTCGAGGAGCGCAGACAGAGATCCCAGGAGGCTTTCTCCAAGATCGCAGCATCTTACAGATGCGCGGAGGTCTGCTGTTTGTGTCGCCTGTCAATCCCCGAGTGGGATGTCTTGTGCCCTTCAATGTACTTACCGGGTTGGGTAGTACGTATGGCATCTGGGAATTGCTTGGTACATGGTCTAGAACCAGCATGAAAGAGCTTAGCACACAAACCTTCYTGATGATGTGTTAACAACATGCCATTACCGTTCGACTGCTTGATGCTGCCCAGATCGGACAGTGCTTGTGCCGCGTCTCGTCGTATTGCCGGATCGGATGAAGATATTCGATCACCTTGCCGCTTCTTCTCGCTGCCTTGAGAAGGACGGCTCCTCTGGCGCCGAACATAGGTGTAATCGCACTGACTAGCAACGCCTCGTTCTTCGCACGCTACGCAAATCGGTTTTCTTCCATCGCAGCGAGTTTTCCTTGACTATATCGGGTGAAGGAGTTAGCGACATATCCGTCAAGCATCGGAACAGCCGAAGGCATCGCAAGGCCCTATCGATACACGCTGTATAGTTAGGCTACCCTGTATGCCTCCGGCTTCTCAATTCGATACCCTGCATGGCCCACACGCCTGACTAACGCGCTGTCTTTTGGCCTGGGGACTGTCGCCCTCACCCTCGAGTCCTTCAGGAGACGAAATCTCGGCATTAGTGGACATCGCACGTCGAACCAGATGATCTCGCTATAAGACAGGGCTCACACTCTCGGTGCGGCAAGTAGCGGGGACGGATKATCACCATGTTGACCAGAGGTTCCGAAGCAGTGAGGTTCGTTCGAACTCTATTCCGTGTGAAATTTACCCGGGCCGGGTCGCCCGGAAAAAGATGGTAAGGTAGGTCAGGGTACCTAGGCAGTAATCTTCCACTTCACCTCATTTCTCGACATAGCAACATTGAGATGAGATGTCTAGTTTGCCATAGCTTCGCAAGGATTACAGTCAAGCCCATTGAGGACACCGTACAAAGGGCGTAAAGTCCAGTGTTTAAGCACAGCTGCTTCAGGAACTGGTGGCGCGTGAGGAGCTTGCCAGCGCTGCGAAACGCCCTCTCTCACACGAACGCTTGAGGAGTGTGCCAACGAAGACTGTTTCCAACCAATTGGAAGTTGTCGCCACTAAAGAGAGCGTCGTGACTGCGAGCGAATGTCGTTAGCTCACTTCGCCCTTTGTATACGGTCAGTATCTCTCCATATGACGCTATAATTGCTACCAGGAGTGAAGACTCAGAGGGAATTCATTATGTCGCATTGCAAACGTAATATATACAGTACTGTTCCGTCCTGTCGAGCTGACTTCCACTAACACCTTTTGCTATGCTACAGATGCAGGAACAATCGTCTTCCGCGTTATGAATCTGAAGGAAGTCGAGTATTCCGGTGGTGACATGAAGTTTCAGGATCTTCACGACGAGTCGTTCTTCACATCCTTGGCTAGGTCCTCGGCCTGTTTGCTGCGCTTCTGGAGGACCTGCTGGAGCTCACTGAGTGTGTCCTTGGTGAGCTGCTCAGCCTCTGGCCCTCTCTTCTCGGCGGCCTCCTTCAGCTTCATGAGTTGAGGCAGAATTTCACTGCCGCCGGGTACCATGTTCAACCACTTGCTGATTGACCCACTTGAGAACTGCTCAGCCTTGTTTGCGGCATTCTTCACGTAATTCTCGAGGTCCATGGTATTACCGCTGGACACTGCAGAGGTGACTTTTTGGATGGCTTCCGAGATGTTCCCGTTCTTCAAGGTGTCCATGTTCTTCTCGACCAGCTCCTTCACTTGGGGATTCTTGTCCAAAGCAGGCTTGATCTGCTCCTCCCATGCCTTGTTCCAGGCTTGGTCTCCAAGCTGCTTCACCTCCTCGACCTTCTCCTGGATGAGTTTTCGAATCTTATCGACAGAGTCGGCTGAGAAGCCTGACTTGGCGATCTGAGACACCTCCGACCAGGTCTCATCAATTTTCTTCTTCGCATCTGGTCCTACTCTGTCGCCAAGGTCCTTGAGTTGCTGGTATGAGCCGCCCAACTTTTTCTCGACTTCCGGGTGGTTTGCAAGAATCTGCTGCGCGGAGTCGCCGGCAAGGGATGCGAGTTCCTGAAAGCGCCGAGAGAGGATGCTCCACACGTCGTTGGCAATCTCGAGTGAAGTACCTTTTTTTCTCGATACTTCCTTGATCTCCTCGTATGTTGCCTTGACAATCTGGTTGACCTCATCGCCATGCTTCTTCTGCACCTCCTCCAAGTCCTTGAACGCGGAGTCCACGTATTGGCGACCGCCCGGAATCCATCCAGCGTATGACAGAGAGACTTCCTTGAGCTTTGCAATGACGCCCTCGGCTGAGTCCGGGGTAGCTTCTTGGAGGGTCTTCTTCAGTTGCTCGCTTCCGTAGTCGACATAGCTCTTGGCCTGTTGAGCGGTGTTGACGGCAGTTTTTGCTCCTGAGAAGTAGTACCAGCCGTAGACCGCTGAGAATGCGATTCCAGCTCCCATGAGACCTCCGACAACACCGGGTCCAACGCCGCTGCTATTGCTAGTTCCGGCATTCTCTGTGGCGTAGTTTCGTCGTGCAGCCTGTCTGAAAGTTGCTCTGCTTTGAATGGTGCGAGCTGCACGGGCAGTCGATCTGGAGAACATTTTGAATTGTGGAGAGGTAATGTGGCTGTGGATGTATAATTGCGAAGGAAAGAGGAAGTGCAGCATTCGACATCACTTTCATTGAAGCCAATGGCCAGAAACGTCAATTGATCGTCAGTGATTGTGGAATGACGCGCGCTTACCGCACAGCGGCAGTTCAGGAACCGGATTCTACTGACCATTCAGCAGTCTAACCAGAGTAGGAAAGGTATAGAGGTAGATGGCCTACATCAACCTATATCTCTTTCACCGCTGGTGCCATTACAATTGTCAAGATGCTGATCGACCAGCAGCGTGTTGATTTTCAAGTCTAGGGTCAGACCGCTTTTTAGAAAAGCTTGTGCTATAGTTCACAGTCGTGGATACCTAGGTAGAATCATGGAAGTGGGGCTATCGAATGCTGAGCTCGAGGGTTAGGGTTGGGGTAGTCACATCCGCTTTGGATGCTGAAGTCCGCCAGGATATGGAAGCGCATTCGTGATGGCAAGTCGAGTCTGCATGTGTCGGTTGCACCTATATTCGTTCGGCAGCATTTCGTGCTCGAGTAAGAATGCCATGTCAATACGATGTATGAATGCTTTTCACAACTCCACAAATTGTTAGGCTCGACACAAGCCGAACGCCAACGACATATGGACAGCAATCGCACGAGTGTATTCAGTGCAGCTGGGGACACTTGTTGGAAGCGTAAGAAGCAATCAATTGAAGCGAACGACTGCATAGAGGTCGTATCGAAAATGTCGAGCGGTGAGCGTAGCCTCTACGAACGGATCCGCAGTAGTGTCCATCGGTCAGCCTCAGCTTAGAAGCCGTCTTCAAAGCAGTACTTGTCACTGGAGTCGTTGAAATCGTGCATCTCCGTCTGTCTACATGCACTTCATGCCTCAGATCTGGCAAGACACTTGATGATGTAAAGAACGGTTCATCCGTAGGGCGCTATGCCTGCTCCAATTTATATCGAGCATTTACCGGCATGGCAACGGAGCTAAACCTTGAAGACTTGCCTGAGAGTCATTCGATGTACAGGCAGCCCCGTTCGAAAGGGTACCTCACCTGGCCACCGCTCTCTGGGTCGACAGTCGGAATGCAGACCTGAAGCAGCACTGTGCCGTATGGCAGTTGAAGCCTGCTCTCAAGAGGAAGACGGTACACATGACGTCCTTGCTTGGAATGCCATGGCCAAACCTTGTCATTAATCGCCGTTCGGTGTGGGTGAGCCAGGGTGATACGCAAGGGTCCCGATTCGCCAGGGTACCCAACTCCTCGTGGTAGCGTGGCGTTTTGGGCATTGTGCTGCGGGCTGTAGCTGCCTAGACCGAGCCGGAGTCAGGATGAGGATCCGGCGAAAGCAAATGCGAGGCATAGCCAAAGCAAATGCAGCTGCAGGCGACAGAAGTTGAGCGCGATCGAAGATCACACTACTGCATATCGCTTGTCAACTCTACGTCAGCTCAACGCTACGCCCGCCTGAGAATAGGTTCGGTAGCTTTTGTTTCAATCTTTCACCACCCGCCTGCTGTGTCCAGCAACAACAGTTCATTAATCAAGGGGTTCGAGCACGCACACCCTGATTGTCCGATACATCCAGTCCGCCTGTGGCTCTCCTTGTACCCTCAAAGAGTCGTCGTGTAGCGCGCGAGTCACTCGTATACCTTGCTGCTTGCTGCCTCGAGCTCGGACCAATCTTTTTTTATTAGCGAAGAGAAGAAGCCGGGACTCCTGATTATTGTCCGCCGTCGTCGCAACTCCAGCTCCAGCGACCTTTTCAATCCCCTCCCAAAGCCCCTCGAACCGTTCCAACCTCGCCGTCAGCAAACCACATCATATCGACACTGTTCGGTCGATCAACCGGATCCTGGTCCTTGCCTTGACTAGTCTGCCGCATGTGCATGCAGGTCGTTACTACCAAGAGCCAATCGCAATCCAAGCTTCCCAGCTGCCCCAGCATTCTTGTCGTGTGAGGGAACAACACGGCTCACCTTTTACACATTTCTCGCCGGAAAGGAGACTTTGCGCAACACATCATTGCATCGATCTTCGCTTGCAACAACAGACCATTCGACGTATTTGCGMCGCATTCTGTTTGTAAGAGCACGCTCCGATCATGCAAACTCGACGGAAAAGCCTMAATTTGGGCGACCTGGGGATAGTCGCTGCAAAGCGAAGCAGGACAACGTCAACGTCGCATCCGTCGCCGCCATCGACGGTACCGGAAATCGACGAGCCTCACACCAAGAGAGCGAAGCTTTCGCCACCGTCAGGACGCATGAGTCCTCCGCGGACGACCGTGATCAGAATCAAGGACGAAAAGCCAAAGAGTCTCGCCGAGATGTCGCCTCCACCGTCGCCAGTTGCTGAGTGCGCCAACAAGATCGATACGGAAGGGATCAACGATGACATCGTTATTGGAACCATACAACAATTAGAGAGGACGGGGAATAGACCGCACTTGGTGAAAGAGCTGGCAGCTGTGCTTGCGACCAAGCTGCACATTGTTGAAAAGTACGACGCAGACATTACATCCGAGCAGCATACGAAAGTCGCTAACATTCTGCGTAGATCTGCCAACCCATCCGCATTGATATCATCGAGACTGACCGCTTATCTGCAACGAGCATGGCCTGCCGTCAGTCCATGTCCTCTTGCCAAGGAGTTGTCACCTGTGCACCCTCGTAGGCTATATCTGTACTTAACTACTGGACCACACCAGCCGATCCCAGAGGTGGTGGAACCAGTGCAAAAACCGACGCGCATTATCTCGCCATCTCTATCATCGGCCTCTGCCGCAGATGAAGAAGATCGTTTCGCGAGAGATCGGCACGCAATGTCACCATCGCCCGAAGTGGATTTGTCGTCGCCTGAGTATGACGAAGATCGTGGGAACTCTCCTCCCACACCAGGAGGCTCTTTCGCGCAGCGGGGCTCAGTGCCGCGAGACGCATCGAGCTACACCGCTCGAAGGGCTGCAAGTCCTCCACTGGAAAATGAGGAGCGTGATTTCAAACAAACGGCGAGCGCTTTGTACGAACAGGCATTGGCCAGGCGCAACAGCCAGGAAAGCCAAAAGGATGTTAACATGGAGCAAGGTGATGCGGTTGCTGGCGCAGAGCAACGGAATGATAGTGTGAGCATTTCAATAGAGCCCGACGAGACGGAAGAATGTGCCGCCCTGAAGAATCGCGAAGCTGCTGCAGCGTTGTTCGAATCCGAGCACCTTCAAATGCCAATCGATCAGACAATGGACTTCAGCAGTCCAATGCTGCTTGCTCAAAACGATACCCGCGGCGAATCGGCCGCAACGACTGATCATCACGACTCAAACATGGATCACATGGCACTGGACCAAAGTGAGAAAGACACCTCTATGCAACTCCCGGATCCAGCCTTTGCATGGGACAGCTTAAAAAGCCCGGAGAACATCGAGATTGCGGAGCTTGAGGACATGTTCGATGAATACTAAAGAGAAATTTGTCTGGATAGAGATGTGTTGGATGATTGCCAGGGAATACCTTATGTTGTTGGAGTAGAGTTGTGGGTCGACTCGAGTCTTGGGTTAGTTGGGGTTTGTATTACTATCTGTGGACATGAACTGAGTCTGCTGGCTGGACCGCAGTCAAGCAGAAATGATAACGACTAAGAGTATACACGAGATCAACACTCACATTATTGTGCGTCTTTATTTTCGCCGCGCTTCTTCAGCAGCTTACCGTGGTGGTCACTGCCACCAACGTGCAGAAGAGTGTTAAGAAACCTTCGGATCTTAAGACTTGCGTGGGCTACACTTTCCATATGCATGTTATCTTCGAACTGTTATCGTATCGAAATGAATTGGGGGTGTATTCACTTCGACGGAAACCCAATTTCAGTGCTCCTTCCACTTCGGGCTAACGTGCCGCGAACCTCGGCATGATGTACACCGTCGATACCAGCATGAATCATGATACCTTACACCGCTCTCGCCAAGAAACACCTCAACATCAAAGTACAGGAACCACAGAGACAAACATGCCTACCGAGAAATGGCAAACAGCATTTGGTGCCTCAGTCCCCAAGGACACGGACTCCTTTACCATCACCGCGCCGCCCAAGACCGTAAGCAACCTCATAATGACCAAAACGCCTTTTGTTGAAGCTGAGGCAACTCCTCGTTCTCTGAACCCTCGCCGACATTACTTGATAGGACATCTGGCGGCCAGCGGACGATGACGATGTCTTCAATGCACCCATGATCTACCAGAGGATAAAAGCCTCTGACTTTAAGAAAATTGAGGCGACAATGTGGGCACCCTGGAAAACGCAATATGTGAGCTATTCTCACCGAAGAGTGACATATCTACAATATAACATGTGCACCTTCTGWCTCTTGAAATTAGGACCAAGGAGGCCTCGTAATCGCATTTCTCAACTCATCAACTCCAAAGACCCCAGCAGATCCCAACGAAGAAGTCGCAGCATTCAAGAATTTAAAATGGATCAAAGCCGGAATCGAATTCTTCGGCACGGAATCCTGTCTTGGAATCGTAGGAACTGATCGATACTCGGATTGGAGTCTCTCGCCCATGAACAAGGAATATCATCAAAAAGCCAAATTTCGCGCTGAGCGTGATGGGACGACGCTTTGGATTTATGCTGCTCAGGAAGGCGATGAGAAATTGAAACCGATGCGGGAGGTCAAGTGGGCGTTTCTGGAGGGGAGAGGGGAGGGGGATATTTTGGTGGGTGTGTATGCGGCGAAACCGACGCCTGAGGAGGGGAATGAGAAGGATGGGGCTACGCAGAAGGGGATTGAGGTTACCTTCTCGGAGCTGGTTCTTGTGAAGGATGAGTGATGTTGTGACGAAGATTGGGGTTTGTCTGGGTTTCTTTTGGACTATTCTCAGTGTTCAGATTTGACGTATGTATCATCGTTCACGAAGCATGCAGCACACACGTCTCGTCACCATGTCAAAATGTATGTCCGTACCTACAACCATCGACGCATGAGCATAGGGTCTGAGGTGAGGATCAGACCCCATGCTCACGTTCTGGGTGATGTTGCAAAGTGACAACAATGGCAATTGATCACTGGGTAAGTCATCGAAAAAACATTAAGGCGGTCCTATTCYAGCTTCTCTCTCGTTCGTTTCTGGTCTTTCCTTTTTGTGAAAAGACCTGTTTCATGCTCTGTCTGAGACAGGTAGATGACATCACTCTACTCGTCAGTACACTAGCGTTGGATGTGACAGGAGGGAAGGCAAACATGTCCCACCCACGAAGTCTTGACACGAGTAGTTCTATGCATCCCGACTTTGATTTGCCTGTGACGGCCTCCAGTATTGGCTGTCGTTCGAAAAGTATTCGTGTTGGTCGGTGGCAGACAGTCGTGCTGCATGTGCAACGAATCACAACATGGCCCCTTGGCAAGTGAGTTGCACTAAAATTKCCCAGAATGTTTCAGTGCCATGTTTGATCGGAGCCGAACACGTGTTCTGTGTGAGGTCAATCCTTCAACTGTGCACTCCTTCCATCTCGGGACCGAGAGGAGCCACCAACATATAATCAGAGCTCTCCGACGTGTCCTAAGGTTTCTAGGTCCCGGCACCTCGAAGTGTAGTTCACTCCCCAGAATACTGCAATTCAGCGAACTCCTCGGCCAATTCAGCTGAGAATGACGTGCATTTAGCGTCGGTCCGCTTCTGGTCGATTCCCCTTATGATGCGTTATGGGGCCATGTGCATTGCGGAAATAGACAAGACGTCTAATGAATGCTCATCGGGTCGATTGGGGCTCTTGTCGCATGGACTGGGGCTGGATTGATTCTGTGCGATAGTCCTCGGACCTGACGGTCCATTTCTTGAGTATTGTCACGTACTTCACTTACTGCTGGYAAAGTTCGGACGCCAGTCGGTCAAATTCTGTCCAATCGATGGCATCCAGATCCATTCCAAGAACGGGATCAGGGTGATCCGCAAGAATGTTCCGCCCAAAATTGGGCGGTGTTGGCACGCGTCCAAAGTCCAGTGCTGGAACACTCGACCGATAGCCATATGTGCTGCTGAAGCCGTCTATAGGCTTGAATCCTGGAGATGGTAGGACCGGTCGATAAAGGCTCGGCTTCTCACCTCCGGCTTGCTGGTCTTGCTGCATCTTGGCCGCGTTAAGCAGGGCATGGATACCATCCAGGAGAAGGCTCTTCCTCGGACCTAGCTCTAGAGATGGAATAATGATCTCGAAAGCCATCTTGATCAGCACCCATGCTCGTGTGACATTCCCGCCAGACTGTCGCAGACGTGTTTGCCGCAACAGGCTCACCAAGGCGTACCACTGGAAATGGGCCTGCCAATGCCAACGCCACTGCTGGACGGCTGGTTCGCACCACAGGTCCAATTGAAGCTGCAGCAAGTCTTGACTGAGGATAAAGGCATTCTCCGAGAAGCCGTCCGCATTTTCCCACTCCCCTTCTAGATCTACCACTGGCACTCTTGCGACGAGGCGCAGCTTTGCAGCAAACGTTCGAGCAGTGTTTATGGAGAGCCATTGCAAGGGCACAGYCGGGTCACAAGGCTCAAGGATCTCCTCGGCGTACCGCCGCTCAATGCGTTGCATAATGAGCAGCTTTTCCGACGTTGGCATGGTCGTATCCTGGAGTTTGTGCCATGTGCCTTGAGGACCGGAGATGTTCTGGAGACTGCGAGCGACGGTCATACTCAAAACCCTTGCCTGTAGATAAATAGCCTCAGTCGGGGCCCTTCCATTATCGGGCAGTCGAGCCATTGTCGGGAAGAGATCGCTATCGTTCAGGTTCGCTGGCGGACCAGTCTCGTAGTCATTCCCCATGAGGTCGCCGTCTTGTCCAACCAGCTCAGCCATCCTTCCATCAAAGTAGACCAGTCCCCACCACAACCTTCGACGCATTTCCGTCTCGAACGGTGTGAGATTGAGTGAGGTACCATCGCGAGGCAGACCCAAAGTTCCCGCTATGCGTATTGCAAGCCCAAACAACGACCATACGGTTTGAAACTCTCCTAAACTTCGCAAGGCCGCCAGATAGAGAACGAGAGCTTGGAGCACGTTGGTGTCTGTAGTTGTGATGAAGCCAGCAGCCGACAGGGCGTTTTCTGCAGCATTACGATACCTGAAAGGTAGAAAAGGTCAGCCTTTGCTCTGGATATTGAATGTGCTCGGGCTTACAGCCTCGGCCATGCATTCCGGGGTGGTCTTACTTTAACAAAAGATTTGCGCGCGTGTCCTGAAGCTCTTTGCGACACTGGTCGTCCGTCAAGGAGACTACACTAACGAAGTAGATTGCGGATGTCAAGGCCTGCTCATTCCTAGAAAGACCCGAGCGTGCGATCTGTCCAAGTACGATGTGTTGAACAGACGGCGCATGAGAGATTTTCATGACCGGATCGATGTTGGCGCAGAATATTTGCCATAGGAAAACAACATGATTGACGGGAAAATGCATGGCCGCAGGTGTGTCGGCTGGTAGCTGGCCGGGTCCGAAGAGGAAGCTTCGTCCCGGAGCCATATCATCGCTGCGAGAGAAGTCCTCGTGTACCGCATGTCCTGAATGTGAACCGTTTCCATTTAGTCGCGGGGTTGACGTATTCGATCCGGGACTCCCAGCAGGATTGCCGGTGGAGATGGCAGACCACAAATGGTTATTCACATAACGCCCATCCGACACCAGGCGGGCGGTGATGGAACCATTGGCAACGCTGTCCACCGTGCTGCTGTTGGAGGTGGAGTTGGAGTCTGGTGAGGTATGATCGTTGATTGCAGTAGCACGGAAGGTGCCCGAGTGGGTGGAACTCGAAGGACCTGCATTGCCAGGTGATTGTCGGGTCGCAGCCGGAGACCCGCCCGCCAGGGTATTCCTCTTCGCCCTCTTCCTCGGGGCGTTGAAGGCACATTCAAGGCCGCTCTTGATACACGGTGCACATGGAAATACTCTATCCGCGAATAACGGGTGTCAGCGATGATGTTTCCTTCCAAGCCTCTCGGTGAAGCCTGAACCTTGGCATGGCACGGCCTGACCAATCTGTTTCGCCGACGCTGTAGGCCTCTACAGTGAGTAAGGTAGGTGACTGTGGTATTTCTTACCTGTTGCACTTGACCTTGCGACGTGCACAGACCGCGCACGACGGAGTGTGGTTATCGCGCTTCTGCGACGAATCCATAGCGTTGCGGCACGCCGATGGGACCCTCCACACCACTCATTCTCCGCGAGTAATGATGTCCATGTCAAGCCTCGGTCGCCCCGACGGGTATATTATTATATTGTACGGTGGTATGCGACTCTGGAGACTCCCGAGGCGAGCAAGAGAAGTATACAGTGCTTAGTCAATCCCATCGCCAAACGCCAACGCCACCGAATCCTGGCCGCCCGCTTTCTGGCGGTCTACCACGTCTTCTTCGGTCAATCGTCTATTTTCTATCCTTGACTCCGCGTGATGGTCTGAAACCAGACCAGTCGCACGTCGCCATACATTTGATGGAGCAGATCGTCTCGGCCAGATGCCGCATTACATGACATGTCCWGCGACGACTGCTCGAAGGCTGTCCCTTTTGTTGCGTCGAATGCGTATAGCGTTGTTCTCATGAAGGGACCGCTTCCCGGCCAAGTTTGCTCGACCGACTGCGGACCCCAAAGCATTGAGACGCTTGCGACAGATCTTGATGCATGTTGAGATGAGTGATGAAAGGTGTAGACTGCTTGAAAACATTCGGTCAAAATGGCCAATCAGTCCATCACTCCAAGTCAGCCTTTGCGCCTCGGTCTCGAGTCCGCGGTGTAACTCAACATTCAGAGCACATTGATTGCTGCATGTAGGCTGCAAAGAGATTCCGATGATGCATGTGGAACCTTTGTACTTGGAGTCAGTGTTGTCAATGTGAGGGCGTACTCCACCTCGGTCAATAATTGCGATTCTCAGCAATGCCAAAGTCCTCCTGTGCTCAGTCAGGGTCTTCCGTTGTTCTTGTTGCCCGACTGTGTGGCCGTGACGGCTTAGAATTTGTGCCCATCGCGTCATGCGACCTCGCAGTTTCCAAAAAATCTACCACTCGTGCCTCCACCCCACCTACCCTACACATACGACTCACCACTTGCGCTTCAACCACCGGGAGGCGTTTTGTGCATTTTCTGGCGTTGGGGTCATCCGTTTTCCTTCCGAGTCGCGCAAAATCGACACAATGGGAGACTCGTGGCGGGGAGATGCATATCGCACGCGCGGGTACAATGACAACAGCTACGAACACGACCGCGGTCCGCCACCAAGCCGATATGATCGCGATCGCGACCCGCCGCAGCATGAGCCTCGAGACTACGGTAGCTACCACTTCCGCGGTGCAGCGCAGCCCGACAACTACCGCACACATGCCGACAGTTATCGCCCGCAAGACCAGCGACCGCCGGACTTCAGCTTCCGGGCAGCAGGCCCACCAGCCCCGCACTTTCCGCCTGCTGCACCTGGCCAATACAATCAACAGGCCACCCAGCGGAGAGACCGCCGCGGCAATGACTATCGTGGAGGTGGTAGAGGAGGGTCGCGCGGACGGGGCCGTGGAGGTCGCAACAGAGCAGCCCATGCGCGTGACCTCATGGCAAAGTCCAATCGCGCTGCCACGCCGGAGCAGATGGAGGGTATGAAGGACGACGGCAAGGCGTACTTTGTTGACAATGTCTCCTCGGACGAGGAAGAGGATGCTGCCAGCACTGGCGGAGACAACGACGAACCGCCATCCACCAAGCGCAACAAGACCACCACCGCACGTGCCGATGCTTCGTCCGCACCGAAATGGAGCAATCCGGACCCGTACACGGTTCTGCCGCCCACCGATATGTCCATGGCACCCAAGAAGGACATTGTCCAGACTATCCGCAAGGCCAAAGTCGAAGCTGCAAATAAAGCGAGCAGTGCCAATGCGATCAAGGAGAATGTCGATTTCATCTCCTTTGACGACTTCAACGACGAAACCATGGATGAGCCAAATGTCGAGGGGTCTGAAGACGGAGAGATTGAAGACCACGGCGGTGTTGATCTCGGTTTCGACATCACGCCACGGTTTGATCGCGAGCCTTCTGTTGGCGTCCCGCCGCCTCCCCCGGAGGTTCTGATTCCCGAAGCCCGCGAATTGACAATGCCATCCTATGACTCCTCCCGCGAGCAGCGAAACGGCGGCCAAGTCGGCACCATACTCAGCAACAAACGCAAACGTGGAATCGAGCCGCTCACGTCTCATGCAGGCGTAATTGTCACAGAATGGATGTCAGATGGAAGCAATCCGACGCCGTGGCTTCGTGAAGATGCAACGTTCACATCGCACGTCGGCCTTCAGTAAGTAGAACACCCAGGTGAAAGCCATTTGTAGTGTCAGCTAACATCTGCCAGTAGGTTGCACAAAGAGTTGGTCGACTTCCACGAGTTCGTGCGACCATACTCCTTCGAAGCAGAGTGTCGTGAAGATCTCATCAATCGGGTCCAGCGTGCCATCCGAAGTTGGAGGGGGGCCAGTGATGTCGAAGTCCGCAGTTTTGGCTCGTTTGCATCGGGATTGTATCTCCCAACTGCAGATATGGATCTCGTTGCGGTGTCACCGTCTTACCTGCGCTCTGGGCACAAGTCATTTTGCCAGAGAAAGAACGAGATGTGGAACCTATCACATCATTTGAGCAGGACTGCCAAGAAGAACTCAATGGTTGTGATTGCGAAAGCAAAGGTCCCGATTCTCAAATTTGTTGACGAAGACACCGACCTCAAGGTCGATATCTCCTTTGAGAATGACTCCGGGCTACGTGCCATCGATACCTTCCTCGATTGGAAGCGTGACTATCCCGAAGCTCCTCAGCTCGTGGTCATTGTAAAGCAGCTACTCGCCATGCGCGGGCTGAACGAGGTTCACAGTGGCGGTATAGGCGGTTTCACAATCATCTGCCTTGTGGTCAGCATGTTCCAGCTCATGCCACAGGAGCAGAGTCGTAGTGGCAACCAACAGGGAAGACTGGGCGAGCTCTTGCTCAACTTTCTCGACCTCTATGGCAACAAATTCAACAGACATACGACTGGAATCTTAATGGATCCTCCTGGCTACTTCAACAAGCAGACGGATTACTGTCCTGCCAGAATCAACCCTACCGGCCTGACTATCATCGATCCGAATCGCGCCGACAACGACATTTCTGGTGGATCGAAACAGGTCGAAAGCGTGTTCAAGTGCTTTCGCGGTGCCCTCACGCTCATTCAACATCGACTTGATGCGATTAGCAAGGGTGAGAGCGACGACCGAAGCATTCTAGGATGCGTTTTGGGTGGGAATTATTCCAGCTTCATCAAGCAGCGTGAAATCTTGCGCAGATGTGCGGCACGCCGCCAGTCTCAACCTGTAAGCAGCGTACTCTCCTTGTCATCAAGCTTTCTTCCCGACAACACACAGCAAAATGGCCGCGCTTTGGCCGCCCAGTTACCTGAGCGTCCACGTCTTCAAGGTGAATCTGGGTCTTACCAACCCAGCTTTGCCCAGCACAATTTCTCCGACACCGCTCATGATTACAACAACTCCACGACTCATTCGAGTTTGGCCTTGCAGTCCCCGTTCCGTACAACGGCGGGTGCTCCTTATCTCACAGGCTCCTACGCGGATCCCGCTCCGCTGGAGCACCCGAGACACCATCTGCCTCGCCTTCAACCATGGGAGCTAACCAGTCTGCGTGCACCCTTCACTGAAACCGAGCGATACTGGATGAAGTTTTATGCACAGCCTAACAGTTTGCAGGATGCATCATTCCGCCCTGCACAGCCAGCACACCCACTGCCGCCGCCACCACCAGCTCGGCAACCTCCGCGAGCACCTCCACGAGCACCTCAGCATACTCTGCCTCCACGACCTACTTCTCAGCAGGATTACAACTACTCGCAGAGATCCGCCTATGCGCCGCAGCCGGCTGACTACATGCAGCGTCCGCAAGATTACCACCAGCGTCCAGCGTACAACAACTACCCGCCGCCGCCGCCGCCGCCTTCGATAGGCAACGTCTCGCAATCCAACATTCTAACGCACTCGAGGCGTGGCACTCAGAACGGTGATGGCGGCTCGCGCAATCCTACCGAGTCCCAGGCAGGGTAAGCTTGATCATGACATGCATTGTTCTACCGTAATGTATATCTTTCGACCGCTGCTGACATTGTGATAGTCAGGCAACAGGTGCATCTACAAGACCTGCGGAGCCGAAGAAGCGAAAAGGCCGGACCAAGGCCAAGAAAAACCTCACAGGTCTGCAAGGCGATCCCATCGACCTCACCTGATCGGCTCGACATGTCTTGGGGAGACGATGCGAATGACGCAATGACACCTCTACGATGCATCAACATGGAACGCAGCGAGTTTATGGATGGGCAAGGTAACGCGTGATGCATATCACCAGCCACGCTCAGTGGCTTTTTTGTTCATCGCGAGGGCGCGGTCGGTTCTTTTCTGTTTTTGCTTTCCCTCTGCACGAGAGCAAGGAGTGGATGATACCCGTGTACTATTAAACTTTTATTGACAGCCTTACAGGACGACGGCGCCGTGGTGTCATGCCAAAAAAGAGCCGGGTGCCTCGCTGGGACTCATTGTGCATAGCGACTGCYTCTTAACGGCGCCGCCCGTCCTGCCGGAGTCATTGCGTATCGTGTGTACCTTGACTTCTCATCACAAACCCTCWCATCAATAGTATCCAGCGAAAAGCGAATGAAAGGACGAACGGCCGAAGAACGAGCCGCGAAACTGACGTACTAGACATTGAGAAACATGAAAGAAAACATGGGAGTGTCGAGATGACATGAACTGAATGAGCTTTTGGTCATGCAAGCGAGACTACACACCTGTCTCAGGACGAGATTGCACCGATCGCCATCTCTTGCTGTGCGTCGGAGACTGCCCTTTGGAGTTCTTCAGCCACCACCCACGTCAATACGCTTCCTCTTTTCCTTTTGGATTTGGGCCTGCCGTTGATGTCTTTTCTCATCACGTTGCTCGCTTGATGCGAGTGCGTGAAGAGGAATTGTGACCGATCGCGCCTGCTCTCTCGAACGCTACTCCATCTCAATCTTGTGATTTGGCCGCGCCAATGCTCTCCAATGGCGACCCTGTAGCTGGTAGTGCTACCGTCGTGCGTCTTGCCGTGGCGGCTCTGATCTGTACCAGAGAGTTAGCTCTGATTCGGCGGGCTTCCTCGGGCGTCGCTGTGTGGCCTGTGTGCGTGGCGGCGCGGGTCCGGCCTGGCATCTGGACGGGACGAGGAGCGGTCATGGCGGGGATTGTGGGTGAGGCGGTCCGGGGAGCTGGCAGGGAGAAGGCATGAGGAGAAATTCTAATTGAGGATCTAAAGGCCGGTCCATTGGGAGGGTTGGAGGACAGGGGGCCTGGATGCGGGTTGGGAGAACGGCGGAATTGTTGGCGAGGAGTCTGAGTAGTGGTGGTGGTTGTGGGAGCGGACGAGGAATGATGGATTTGCAGCTCTATGCTGCTGGCATTGTCGTCGTGGTGCATTGCTTCTTGGGAGTGTCAGTAATATGTCGTAGCATCTGTAGGTGTCGATAATTCTATATATTACCATGTTGAAGGATTGCAATGTTCCTCTTGTGGATGATCTTGCGCCAGAAAGCAAGGAGGCAGACGCAAATGATGCCGTAGACGAGGGTGGCAGAGAGAGTGGTCCAGATTATGTAGGCGAACTTGTTGTCGCTAGCGGCGCCCACCAGGTTGATGATCGCGCAGGCGAGGGAGACGAGGGCGAGGGCGAGCAGGATGAGGAGGCTCAGGGCGTAGAAAGACATCTTGGTGGTGATAGTGTGAGGATGTTATTTGGAGAGGAAGCAGATTCTCAGAAGGAAGCGACATGGCTGCCGTGGGAAAAAATTGTTACAATGGTTATTTTGCTGCTATTGTTGATTTTCCGAATGTGGGTGTGAGTGAATGGATGAGTCTGAAGAGAGTCTCAGGGGTTGGCGACGTCGGAATTTGCGCGCATTATCTCAATCCTGAGAACAATGTTAGTGATTCGACAGACTGGTACAAGGTGGCTGCCATGTTTCTCTGTCGGAAAGAGATCAATGACAGAGTTGGAGTCCCTCCTGCTGTCAAGGGCCTCTTGATGTTATAAGACGAKGCGAGACGCGAGCATGAGGACTTTCCTGGAGCCCCTAGTGGTATAGATCTTTACGAGTACCGGCAAAGTTTGGCTGGGAGATGTCATGCTGCACAATGGCAGACGTGGATGCAGCTGGAAAGTTGTGCCAAGAGTAATCTCAGGGGTTGGCGACCTTGGAGTTGATGCGAAGATATTCATCGCTGTGAGACACCAAAGCGCTCTAGGGGACTGATGTACATTTCTCCCTATTGGTATGATGCTAACCAAGAGGCGGAAGGTAGCTCTTATCGTGTAGAGCTTCTCTATGATGTAGAGGCAAACGAGACTCCAGCAGAGAGTCGTTCTACTGGCGCTCGGTGGGACTTGGTTATGAACGCTACCAGACCTGGGCGCGAGAGGTAGTCATTCCAAACAAACTATGGTTATGGTATTCAAGTGGAGAGATGCCTCAGGACACTCGGGAGGGTTTGTGACGACAAAGTTCATACTGATTACTCCATCTCCATGTAAGGATCGGTGGGCATGGCTTACCATTGTAAGCATCGACAACCCAATTTGAGGCTAATCTTCCCCCGCAGAAAGTCTGTGTTTCTAGAAACGTACCAGGTGCCATAAATGAGCTTTCCCATGGTTCTTCCAGGGCTAATTCAAAACGATAAGATCACTGCCATTGCCTTTGTTGGTCAGAGGATACTGAAGGTCTAGTGACACTAACAATCCCCTCGACGTGCTGCTGCATAAGGTCAGTTACTTCTTCTGTCCTTAGGCATGACAATGTGGAGCTCGGCGACATAAGCAGTTGGTTCGGAGAACAACGTGACACCCAAGCGCTGAGTACTCCTTGCCAATGCTCTGTAGCATCTGACCGGCCGGAATAAGGCCTGGCCATCTCTAAGTGCATCAGCGTGGCCTACTCAATTGTGACCTGGAACTTGGAAGGGAGGATCCTCGGGTATGGCCGTAGTAAGAATGATGCTAATGTAGGAAATATCMCATTCCAAGGTCAAGAAACATGCAAGTGTCACCTAGCCGGCATCTTGAATACATGTATGTGCTCCACGCGAATGTGAAAGTTTTAATTGAGATGGAAATCAATCTACGCCGAGACGAACCTGTCTTCACAGTCGCAGCATCCGTTTGATGTACACTGGGCATTGTCTGGGCATGTCGTAAGCCACCGCCCGGCTACCCAAAAAGGTGGCGACAAGTCGATGATTTTGATAGTAGGGGAGAAAGTCTAAGAAAGTCCAAGTCCAACAGAGTGCTAGAGAAGTTTTTAACACTTTCATGGGACGTGGGAAAGCAAGGATTCATCCGAACAGTGTGTATCATGGAAAATGTGCATCTTCATTCATAGCTTTGGGAAAGCAGTAGCGACCTTTCCAGCCATCTCCACCAGCGTGCTTTTGTTTTGCACCCAGTTCTCCAGCCCTCTAGGGCCATTTTCGACTCCCAATCCGCTTAATTTCCATCCACCCACTGGCATCTCCGCTGGTGACTCTCCCCAAGTATTGATCCAAGTAATGCCGGCTGAAAGTTGCTCAACGATCCTGTGACCAAGATCTATGTTCTGGGTAAAGATGCCCGCCGCCAGACCCATTTGCGTGTTGTTAGCACGACTCACGAGATTCTCTACCCAAGAATCGGCGGAGTCATCATAAGGCAGAATGCACATGACGGGTCCGAAGATCTCATCGGTCGCGATAAGCATATCATCTGTACAGTTTGTGAATATGGTTGGCTTCACCCAGAAGCCCTCCTTGGAGGCCGTAGAGGGAAGGTCGGGCACACCCAGACCGCCGGAGATGAGCTTCGCCTTGTCGACCTCGATACCGTGTTTGATGTACCGAAGCACTTTCTGCTGGTGCACTTGAGACACAAGCGGCCCGAAGTTGGTACTCGGATCGAAAAGGTCACCAGCACGGATGTTGCCAACTTCCTCGAGTAGGCGCTTCTCGAAAGCAGATAGCATGGACTTTGGGACAAATACCCGAGTGCCGTTTGTGCACACCTGGCCAGTGGAGAAGAAGTTGGCGAGCAGAGCCCCGTTCACAGCATTGTCGATCTCGGCGTCTGGGAGAATGATACAGGGCGACTTGCCGCCCAACTCCATAGTTACATATTTCATGCCTGCCGCTGCAGAGCCTGCGACTTTGCTTCCTGTCGATACCTGACCGGTGAAAGAGACCTTGGCGATGTCCGGGTGGGAGGTGAGCATAGCGCCGACGTCGCCTGGGCCTTGCACAACGTTGAAAACACCAGGTGGCACGCCGGCTTCAGTATAGATCTCGGCCAGCTTGAGAGCGTGGAGAGGGGTGAATTCTGAAGGCTTGTATACCATACAGTTACCCGCAGCGAGGCATGGCGCGGACTTCCAAAGCGCGATCTGAATGGGGTAGTTCCAGGCTCCAATGCCCGCGCACACTCCCAAGGGTGCCTTGGTTGTGTATACCCAAGCATCACGTCGTAGCTTAGTAGTCTCTCCATTCAGACCGCCGGATGCTACGAGATTAGCATAGTACTCCAGGACATCCGCTCCAGTCACCACATCTACGGCACTAGTTTCCGAGAAGGCCTTTCCGGTGTCGTGAGTCTCTATTGTGGCCAACTCATCATTGCGTTGGCGAAGCAGTGCTACGGCTTTGAGCAGTATTCTTGATCTTTCCATTGGTGGTGTGGCAGACCATGATGGGAAAGCATCTTTGGCCGAACGAATTGCTGCATCGATGGAGGATTTGTCTGCTTTACATATCTCCGCAATCGGCTTGTTGGTTGATGGATCTATGCTTGTGAAGGTCTCCGTTGTGGTCTCACGTTTGCCACCATAGTAGAGCGACTGCTGTTCGTACTTTGCGGACGCCATTGTAGGATTGATTAAGATGAGACTCGAAAATGATCTTTCCACTGTTCGTATTGCTGACGTTCGGAGAGTTTTCGCGTGGGCTAACAACGGCCTATGAAAGAACAGGAGAGAATGACGACGGTGAGTGAAAGTTTTCCCGCAGTAGAGTCCGATTGGGAAGCAGCATGCGATATGGGCCGCCCGGGAGATTGTCATATGATGTGTGCGGGCTGCGGGACCAGAGTTTTGACACCGAGTGTGTCCGGTTCGATGCAAACGCAAATGCACGCGGTCCAATGAAAACATGTCCTAGTCGGATCACACTCCCGCCATTCCAATGGGTGCACTACATGCGGGAGCGACGAAGATGTTCGGGGAGCCGGGGACCAAATCGCTGGGACGCTGCCTCTCTGGAAACACATATCAACGAGGAGAGAAGGATTCACAGCGGCATGGGCCGGAGCACACCGCGAGCAAACTCTCACCAGAAGAAGTCATCGAGCTTCTCGAATGCCGCGAAGTCCCTATTCTAGGTACTACCTTACTGTGGACGTCACCACTCAAGGTTTCGGGGCCAGTCTGAGATCCAGGCGCACTAGCGTGGCGGCATTGAGCTCGATCTCAACGGCGCAGACGGCAACCCACGGGCAGCGCTCGGAGCCCGTGTCAAAGTCGCGTGTCTGATCGAGGAAGATGCGAATCTGATCCTTCACCAACAAAGGTGGGGCCCAAGGATACAGATTTTACTTTATCTGTGGCATTCGCCTGGTGTTGCCTCTGACTTTTTTTTATCTTGACATCCCCATTTTGTCTTACATCCTCGACAATCTTGGTCTCCTTCCCTCACCAGGCGTTCGCCTTTCCACTCACTTGACCATCCTCATATCATCACGTTCACCTCACCTCTACAACCTGTCACAACACCGTTAGCATGGCCACTACCAACGAGCTTCCGGCTTCAGAAGTCAACAGCTATGACTTTATTATTGTTGGAGGTGGTACTGCTGGGTGCGTGATTGCRTCCCGACTATCCGAATACCTGCCCAACAAACGGGTGCTGCTGATCGAAGGCGGCCCCTCTGATTTCATGGATGATCGGGTGCTTCTCCTCAAGGACTGGCTCAGCTTGTTGGGCGGCGAGCTCGATTATGATTACCCCACCACTGAGCAACCACACGGAAACTCGCACATTCGACACTCCCGTGCTAAGGTTTTGGGTGGCTGCTCTAGCCACAACACGCTTATTAGCTTCCGTCCGTTTGAGTACGACTGTAAGAGATGGGTGGCACAAGGCTGCAAAGGATGGGACTTTAAGACCTTCACACGCCTGCTGGACAACCTTAGAAACACTGTTCAGCCGGTGCACGAAAGGCACCGCAACCAGCTCTGTCTTGACTGGGTCAACAGCGGGGCTGAGGCTCTCAACATTCCAGTAACACATGACTACAACAAGGAGATCCGATCAACAGGAGCCCTCCACCCAGGCATTGGATTCTTATCCGTATCTTACAACCCTGACGATGGTCGACGAAGCAGCGCCAGTGTCGCTTATATCCACCCAATCCTGCGCGGGGAAGAGCGACGACCCAACTTGACGATCCTGACCAACGCTTGGGTGGGCAAGATCAACTTGTCGGGTTCTAAAGTTACAGGTGTGAATGTGACGCTAAAGGACGGTACCTCACACACCGTTACTGCCAAAGCGGAGACTATTCTCAGTGCAGGTGCTGTAGATACTCCTCGTTTGATGATGTTATCCGGTCTGGGCCCAAAGCAACACTTGACAGACCTCGGAATCACAGTTCACAAGGACTTGCCCGGTGTTGGTGAGAACCTGATCGATCACCCAGAGAGCATCATTCTCTGGGAGCTGAACAAGCCAGTCCCCGCCAACCAGACCGTCATGGACTCCGACGCCGCTCTCTTCATCCGAAGAGAGAAACCCAATGCAGCAGGCGGTGACGGTGAAATCATTGACATTATGGCTCACTGCTACCAAGTGCCGTTCGTGTACAACACCGAGCGRCTTGGTTACGATGTTCCAGTTGACGCCTTCTGCGTGACTCCAAACATCCCTCGTCCTCGCTCTCGCGGTAAGCTCTACCTTGTGAGCAAGGACCCAAGCGTGARGCCAGCGCTCGACTTCCGCTACTTCTCCGACCCAGAGGGGTACGATGCCGCCACTATTGTTGAGGGTCTCAAGGCCGCTCGCGAGATTGCCAAGCAAAAGCCTTTCGCAGACTGGATCAAGCGTGAGATCGCACCTGGTCCCGCAATCACCAGCGATGAAGATCTCAGCGAGTATGGTCGCCGTGTCGCCCACACCGTCTACCACCCTGCAGGCACTACTAAGATGGGTGACATTAAGACAAACCACATGGCTGTTGTCGACCCGGAGCTTAGAATCCGTGGTCTGCAGAATGTTCGTATCGCCGATGCCGGTGTCTTCCCCGAGATGCCTTCCATCAACCCCATGTTGACGGTTCTCGCCATTGGTGAGCGTTGCGCCGAGATGGTTGCTCAGACATGGGGATGGACTGGAGCAGAGCGTGCGAGGTTGTAGGCGCGATGAGATGATGTGATGGTACGACCATGAATGAAACCGTCTTGCCAAAGAAAGAATTACACGTCTCGATACCCAGCACAAATTGAACGAATCAACAAAACATCTTCTATCACGAGGTTCGAAAATACAAAATGGCATTCACGTGCAACCGTAATCGCGGAGAAGACGCGCACGCGTTCTAGCGCGGAATCTTGCAGGCTTCCTTGGAAGTCTTCTTCGCCGCACCACGGACCTTGAATCTTGACCCGATAACTCGCGCAAACAATTAGTTATGTCAAAGTGACAGCAAACACTCCTGAAGCTAAGCTCCGCTTTCACTCGCCTCCTCATCATCTATCTCTTACACTGCTTTCACGAACACTGACTTCATGCCGCCCAAATCGACTCCGAGCTCTACGAAAGAGGCAAGATTACAGAGGGTATGTTCCTGCTACATGAGTGCGACATTACTGACGCCAGCTAATGATACTAGCAGTGTTGTTTTACAAGAGAGTCACAGAGCTGGATCCCACGAAACGAGTGCCATGGACCAACCTTTCCCCTGCGTCCCTTGAGAGAAGCGAATGTGCGGAAGCCATATCGGCTTGCGATACTGCTCCAACTTTACTTGACCCCAATTTCAGAAGACTACGAGGCCATCAAGCAGAATAACGTTGTGCGGCGAGCTAAGTGTATCTTTTCTTCGATCGATATAATGACCTGGCGACTGTGGCTGCTGCAAATCTTGCTGCTTGGGAAACAGAGAATGCACTGACGGGATGTGCAAAACTGTATGCTGACGTTACTGAGCGGGTCGTTGACCTGATTATGGCCGGAAATGAGATTATTCTCAATCAAACCTACGCTGCGAGTGTTGATACGATACATTATTTCGCGTACATAACAATTTTTCAGCATGAGTGCTGCTGAATTTTATCTCATCGGTCACGGTAAACCAAGATGAAGCACTGTCACAATCGCCAGGGCCCATCGTCTCGATTTTGCCGTTTGGCATTGGAACCGAACCGAATCTGGTCTTCGTAAGATTGAAAGATATTGGACCAAGCTGGATTCAACGGGCGGGCGGAGAAGCAGTCTAGGGCCCGATCTCGAACGATGCTCGACACCGAGGAAGAAGAATACGACAACTCGACAGACTTTTGCGACGGGTTTGACAGCGGTAGTAGCAGTTCTGGCGGTAACGCTCACGAAATTGAGCGATGAAAAGCGCTGAGCGGTCATTAGGTACCCTTCGATCAGAGCAGAAGCTTGAAGTACCCTGCACCATATCTGCACCATCCAGTATCACTTTCAAACACAAGCACTGCGATTTAAGTCCACTCATCGGCACCAAGCACCAAAAAGGCTCCACTTTACTCGCGTACAACAAGCCTGCACCCACACGAAGTCAACCACATCCACAACCAACACCATGCAGTTCACCGCCGTTCTTCTCTTCGTCGCATCGACTCTGGCCGCCACTTCTTCCCCAATGGCACAATGCGCCACCGAATTCACCTTGTGCCAGCAGAGCGCAAATGCAGTCACCCTCTTCACAAAGTGCTCGACTCTGTTGGCCGCCTGCGCTGCATCTGGAGCCATGACCACGGACGATGAATCCCTCGGCCAAACCATGAGTGATGGTTTGAGGAAGGCTTACCGAAAGTGTCGGGAGGAATACAGTTCTTGCAGGGGCGCTCCACGGGCGAACTTGAGCACTTGCGCTAATGAGGCTCTTGGTTGCTTCGCCGATGGAAAGAGAAGATTCGATTCGATCTCGATTTCTAGCAAATGAGGTTTTCGTTGCGAGGAGGAGGGCTAAGATGATGAGGTGGCTTCGAACGGCCTTGCTTTGATTGTTACGGCATGAGGGCGGGTGTAGAGTTGGACGAGAAGACGACTTTGTAATTTTAATGATATTCGATTCACTGTACAAACATCAGCAAGAGAGTCTTGCAAGTATCTCATGCGCCCCCTATCTTGTCACTGCTATGGTATTCCATCCGTCCATAGGGCTTCCTCGCGATCGAGGATCGCTCTCGCTTGTGCTACGGCATACTGCTCCATCGATTCGTCGTCCGATTATGACATTCATTAACAGCGTCATATCAAACCAATTCGGCATGTTCCTTCTCGTGTTCGATTTAGTAGCTGCTGCTACTGCTTGACAGCTTTAGTAGGTCGAGTTTAGAGGTCAGGCCTACGACACTATACCTACGGACTTCCCGATGCGGTAGAATTTGCGAGCG